AAACCCTAAACCCTAAACCCTAAACCCTAAACCCTAAACCCTAAACCCTAAACCCTAAACCCTAAACCCTAAACCCTAAACCCTAAACCCTAAACCCTAAACCCTAAACCCTAAACCCTAAACCAAAAACCATAAACCATAAACCATAAACCATAAACCATAAACCATAAACCATAAACCATAAACCATAAACCATAAACCATAAACCATAAACCATAAACCATAAACCATAAACCATAAACCATTAATTCTCACCTTCTCATTTAAAAAATCCACATCTATTTCCACCTTATATAACTATATTCAACCACCACATACCTCCTCTTCATCCTACAACCCACCACTTTTCTCCACCACCTCAACTCTCATTTCCCAATCCATTATCCACGTTTCGCCTCATATCCACCATCCTACCACATCTCTCACACTTCCCACACACCATTTACACACGCCATACCTAATTTCCTATCTACTACATCCATCCAACCACCGACCCCCTTCACTCCATCCTACAACCCACTTTTCTCCACCACCTCCACTCACATTTTTCAACCTCATTATCTACTTTTTACCTTATACCCATCATTCAACCACATCTATCCTACTCCCCATACCCCATTTACATACGTCAAACCTACTTCGACATAAGCTAACTCTATTAAACTATCAACTCATTTTTCTACATCCTGTATGTACTTTCATTTTCAAACCGCGTTTACCACTTTTCACCTCATATCCACCACTTAACATCCCCATCTACCCTTCTTGCCACACAACATTTCTTATACATACTTCCACATCAACTAACTCCATTTAACCACCGCCCCCTTTTTCTTCCTCCTACAAACCAGCTTTCATCACCACCCCTACTCTCATTGCTTAACCTCATTATTCACACTTCACCTCATATCCACCATTTAAACACATCTTTGCACAATTCACCTCATTTCCACTATTTAATCACATCTATCTTTTCCCTATTTTCTTTTTTACCGTCATCCACGTCCCCTACCAAATTATACACTTTTCAATCATACACATATATTCTACTTCATATACCTCATTTTACACTACCTTTTCACGCACCTATTACCATATCCTATACCTACTTCCACATCTGCTATCTCCATTTAACAACCACATCTCTCTTCTTTTTAATTTACAATCCACCTTTTCACCCACCCCTACTCTCACTTTCCAACCTCATTTATCCACTTTTTACCTCGTATCCATCATTCAAAGGTCGCAAACCTACTCCCCACATCCCATTCGCGCACCTCATACCTAATTGTACATCAACTACCTCAAATCAATCACAAACCCTTTCTCTTCATCCTACAACACACTTTCTTCTACCATCTCTACACTCTTTTTTTTCCAACCTCACTATCCACTTGTCATTTCTTATCCACCCTATCGATCCAAACATCGCCTTTCTTTTCCCTATCCTTCAATTCACTAATCACCACAATGATATTATCGCCCAACGTCGTTTGCTTCCCCCCATACTATTACATATCATATACTGACCAACCACGTCTATATTTTGCCACACACCTTGCTTACCCACTTCAGCTTTTATTGCTTTTAATTACATCCAAACAGCCACTCCTTTTTTCTTTAACCTACACTCCGTTTCTCAGTGCCAATTTCAATCTTAACCCCCAACTTAAACATCATTCTACGACCTCATGTCCACCAAACAACCACTTTAATCCTCTACACACATCTGATTTGTGCACCCCACACCATTTTCCTATCAACCACTCCCATTTAACTACCACTTTTCTTTTTTCCAATCCAAAAATCTATTTCTCACCACCACCTACATGAACTCTCACAAACCATTCTTTTAACTTTAACTTTGTTCCCACCAATCAACCACATATATTCTATCAGACGCACCGTTTTGAAACTCTACCTTTTTACACGAACCAACTCCATCCAACTCCCTCCGTACTTCTTTCTACCTTACAATCTACTTCTCTTCATTGTCCACACACCCCAACCAAAACACTCACTTCCCACCACATACCCACCAATCTACCACATATATCCACCTCCTTTACACATTCCATACTATCTTCCGCTATCACTCACTCCACTATAAATAATGAACTATAATATAATTTTAACTATATACTTCAGCATACCTAAACTAAATTACATTTGAGTAGATATTTTGGATTATTGTGCATAATTTGGTATATTATCGACTAAAAGGTAGATGATTTGGTTTATTAACACTGCCACCTATCAACTCATACTTACACAATGAATACTACCACATATTCTTCGTGTACTATTACGTTCACCACTTCTCATATTCTACTACACATGTATTCTATACGGATAAACTGGCGACTTCCAAAGCGTAACCTTTGTATGCCCGAAACTAGCAGCTATCAAATAATGGATAACTGACCCGACTCTGGCACATGCCAGTGGTACCATTGAATTCCCCGTATACAAAAGCATATACGCCCAGGTTTTCACGTCTTCGTACTTAAAATTGGCTCCGATCTTATTTTTATCTATTTGTCCCATCTCTGACACTTGGGAGCAGTACAACTGAGTTCCCCGTATACGAAAACCTATATGTCCAGATTTTTAGGTTCCGAAGTCGTAAACTAGAGCGGTTAAAAATCCCTGGTATACCGACCTCTTTAATTTTAACTTTTTCTGTCATAACTTATTTATTAAATTTGGGAGTTTATTTATGTTATTAAACAAAAGTCGCTAGTTTTACCTCTTTTTAGTAACGTGCCACTAAAGAGAGGTATCCAATATTACATTGTCGTTACCTAGAATAATTTAATTTGGGCACTGGGACCCCGGATACATGGCAGCGGGGTCCACGGATACCCAAATACCTACCGCTGTGGGGCCCTCAGGACCCCCGGATGTACGCGCGGATGTACGCGCATCCGGCCGCTGTGGGGCCCTCAGGACCCCCGGATGTACGCGCGGATGTACGCGCATCCGGGGTCCTGAGGGTCCCACAGCGGTAGGTATTTGGGTATCCGTGGATCCCGCTGCCATGTATCCGGGGTCCCAGTGCCCAAATTAAATTATTCTAGGTAACGACAATGTAATATTGGATACCTCTCTTTACCGGAAGGGTTACGAAGTGGGTACATACTGCCTAACCTAAATCAGTAGGATAATCAGTACATGGCTTCAGAGCCTCTGATTATGCAAATGACGAGGGTTCGCTATGCTAGATACCGACTTCCTCCGCTTGTAGTGGATAACCTCCCAATCATAACACAAGATTTGGAGGGCCTTGCCGACTCCGCTTATAAGTTCAGCACAAATCATTTCGATACGTTTCCACCGGTAATATATCGGTGCGATGGAGCTTCCATTCATTTCACGCAGCTACGGCTGCAGCCTAGAGCTGCCTGGACGCGGTTGCTGCCAGTACCCACTACCTATGCTAGTGTTAAGCGCTGCTACGGCACACGTATACTATACAGACGTTCGGAGAGTGGTTTGCTTGCATCACGCTGTTCCCATCGACCAATGACGTATGTTACCGAGTTAGACTTTAGTAAAAAGTTTACCTCAAAAATGTTCTAAAGCCAGGGTAAAGCATTGCAACGGCACTAGCCTCACGCGGGCGCGTGTTGCTCAAGGCTTTGCAGTGGCAGCCTGTTGCCTGCCGCGAGGTGTCAAGCGCGACTGGCTCGCTCAGGCGGCTAGAGTCGTTGTACCAATAAAGTGAGCAAAGCGCAAAAAAGTGGCAGCTAATCGACTACTGGTAGCGGTACCAGTTGCCAGATTCGGCATATCATTTTTGACGGGTGGTATAGTGTACCGGTATATACCCTGTCCACTATAAGCGGAGGGAGTCGGTAATGAAGGGGCTGCGGGGCCATGCATTGGATATGCTGCGCGAGTCGTTGGAGAATCACAAGGCGGATTTTTGCGTGATGTTTGGATTACACCCGCCAGTTGACGTTCCTCCCTTACGTGTGCAGTTGAAGCCCGACGCTACTCCTGTTCGCTGTTCAGCAAGACGATATGCGCCGATGCAACGAGCATTCATGGATGCGCATGGGGCTGAACTCGAGGAGCTGGGACTCGTTGAGCGAAACCACAGCAGTCGCTGGGCGTCGGCTCCACGCATTGTGCCAAAGGCACCCCCGGCCGATTTTCGAAAGTGCATTGACTCAAGAGAGGTGAACGAGCAGACTATCCCAATGCAGTGGCCGATGCCACAAATTGATGTCGTCATAACGCACGTGGCGGGTTCGAAGGTGTTTTTTGTGTGTGACTGGTTTCGAGGGTATTGGCTGTTGCCATTGCACCCCGATTCGAGAGAGATTTGCACCTTCATGACGCATCGGGGAATGTATACCTCCACACGTGTGCCAATGGGTGAGAGAGATGCAGTCGCTTATTGTGAAAGCGTTGTTGAATTGATCTTTGGCGACCCGCTCTATCGTGGTGTTCTCGTATGGCTCGATGATATTCTCGGCTACGCAGAATCAGAGGACGAGCTTATGGAATGGCTAGAGGAAGTGCTGCAGCGGTGTGCTAAGTATGGACTGAAACTCAATCCTGCGAAGTGCCAGTTCTTCGTGAAGGAAGTTACCTGGTGCGGAAAAGTTATCTCGGCGGCAGAAGTGACGCATAGCCCAGAGCGAGTTCAGGGTCTCGTTGAGATGTCATCACCATCGACAGCAGCCGATTTGCAGCAGTTCGTGTGTGCTGTGAATTGGATGAGGGCCAGTATTCCAGAGTTTGCGCGGGTCGCAGCTCCACTGTACAACATTCTCGAGTAGGCCATGCAAGCCAGTGGTCATCGAACTAAGCGTCAGCTTTCTAAAGTGCAGCTTTCAAGTGTTAGATGGGGCGCGCAGAAAGAAGAAAGTCTGGCGCAGGTGAAGGCTCGACTTCTGGCGATGGTGCCTTTGGCCCATCCAAAAGCAGAGTATGATCTTGCATTGGTGGTGGATGCGAGCCTGGATCACTGGGGATCGGTATTGACACAGATGCCAGCAGAGTTTTCAATTGCGGATTTTGTCCTTGCAGCTACGGCGATCAAAGGTGGAAGCAAGCTTTCTCTGCATTGGCGGGGTCCAATACGTGTGGTGCGCTCCCTCAACGATTATACGTTTGAGGTACAGGATATCTGCGCTCCGTATACAGTCACTGTTCGCCATGCTTCGCGGCTCAAGTTTTACCGTGAGGCTGGCCGAGGCGTCACCGAGGATCTGGTTGCGCACGCTCTTCATGGCGAAGGGGGTCACCTCGTTGACAAGCTCCTAGATTACAGATTGGGGCAACAAACCCAGCAATGGGAGGTTTTTGTGCAGTGGATTGGACTCGATGCAGAACAAGCATCATGGGAACTAGCGTCTGTCATCTTTAAACGTTCCGCAGCTTGTTCGTAAGTTTGTGGCCGAGTCCCGACCGGATCACCTGGCGCGTCGCATGTGGACGAAGTTATCACCGGATGACCCTATTGAAGACACCGAGCGACGCCAGCCTGATCGCGGTCGTCGAAAAAGGAGGAAGTGACCTGGGTTGTACCCACCCAGTGAGATGCGAGAAGTAAGATGTCAGTGTGTATCTAGGTTGTAAGTAGTCTGATCGAACTAGGCTGTGGGTTCACTAGGCGTGCATGTGCATGTGTGGGCTGCTAAGGCGGTCTCCGAGAAGACGAGAGACAAATGATCAGTTTCTATTTTCTCCACAACCCGTTAAGTTGTTGGGATTTGCCGCCGCCGTGTGGAGGCAGTCGAGGAAGACATCAAATTATACTTTAGGCGGCTTGGCCGCAATAAAGGGAAAAACATTCAGTTTGAGATTCACACAGTTAAGAGTTAAGGGTTGACTCTTGGAGTCCGTAAGGTGTACGGACTCGTACGTTCTGGTATTAGAACGGGCTATCTTAAGCTGAGACTCTGTGAGTCTGTTACGTCTTTCTCTGACGCTAAAGCTAGGGCAGCCCCGCTGCACAAGAGCTATTTCAGTTAATGACGGCGTAGATGAATCTGTATAGGCTGACCCTCTGTGGAGGATGGAGCAGTTTGCTCACTTGCCCCCGAACCAGCAGGATGCGCTTAAAAAGCTTATGTCCTTGCTGAGCCCGGAGGGCGTGACGCAACTTGCGCAGCAAGGCCCCGATGCGGTGAACGCGCGTCTCGAGGCGTTTTCAAGATACGAGAATGCTCTGCTAAAGCACCTCCAGCAGAGGATGGCGACGGCCGCGGCGCCCCAAGCGCCCGCTTCGTCATTCGACGCGGGAACAAGACCCAAGCCGCTCATGTTGAGCGTGAAGACCTTCGAAGGCAAGGAGGGTGAAAGCTTGATGCTTTGGATCCGTGAGGTTGAGATGGCTATGAGCTCAGCTCTACTCCGGACGGAGTCGTAGCGCGTGACACTAGCTATCTCGAAACTCGGTGGGCGAGCGAGGGAGTGGGCACTAACGTCCGGGACGTCGGTCGAGGTGGGATCAGCTGAAACAGCAATTGTCCCGAGTGTTTGCTCCGCCTAACGAGGCGTATCGCGTGCGCTCACGCTTCCTGGCGACCAGGCAGAGCAAGAAGGAGTTGATGGACTATGTCCAAGAGTTAAGAACTCTCATTGCTGGTATGTCTGCGGACTCCCTGCCGAAGGCAGTCACCGTTACGGTGTTCATGGAGGGCCTTCGCACTGGTGTTGCCGGGACGGAGGTGTTCCGAACCCTCTCGGGCTCTTTTGAAGAGGCTGTGAGCATCGCATTGATTGCGGAGCACAACTTTAAGTCGTCGAGACTTGGGTGGAATACGTCTTACGCTAGCGCGTCGAGTGGTTCGAACCCATGGACCTCAGCTATGCTGAAGACGTAGAAGCCGAGCTTCGTGCTGCTGAGCAGCGTCGCGGTATCTGCAGATGCTTCATCTGTGGTGACACCCGTCACCTTCGTGCTGGGTGCCCGCTGCGCCATGAGCGCCAGGCTTCGTCAAGCCGCTCTTCCAGTTTGAGCCAGGGCTCTGGTTTGTCTCGGGGAAACAAGAAGTCCCAGTAGGCGCGGGGTGGTCTACTGGGGAAGAACTAAGTTCTATTGAGCCTCGGCGAGGTGGAGGTCGACAAGACTTAGCCCCGAAGAGAGCCGTACTCTCTAACACGGAACGTGTATGCAAGCCGGGCTTGCTAGTTGTCCAAGCTTGGATGAAGGGCTTCACCAAACCATGGACGATTTTGATCGATTCGGGAGCGTCGGGTAACTACGCCCGGCGTTCTACGGTGGACGGAAGTCAGCTTTATGCTGAGGCGCTGGTAGCGCGCGGGAGTGACATCGTCACTGTTCGTCTCGCGACGGGCACTCGTGGCACGGTGCCTAAGGTCCCTGTGGACCTGGGCGTGAAGTTTTTGGATTTTGATAGCGTGGAACGCTGTCTGGTCTTAGACCTCGATTCGAGATATGATCTCATCCTTGGCATGGCGTGGCTGGAACGCCATGAGTCTTGGATCGATTGGAGCGGAAGACCCTTGATGCTACGCACTTCTCTCCTGGCGGAGCATTGGCGAGTCATGAACCCACCTCTGCTAGGAAGCAGAAGCGCTTCTGGCACGAGCACTGGACCGAGTCAGTCAATGTGCTGGACATCGAAGTTTCCAAGTTGATGAACACTGAGTGTGTCGAGAACAAGCGTTCCGAGCGTGGCTCGCGGATGGCAGGTGGAGCGGCACGAATTCCGCTGAGCGGGCGGGCGTCTCAGGTCGACGCCCTGCTGCGTGCCAGCGACGGCGCGGTGGGCACGATGCCGAAGAACAAGGGGCTTTGCCCGGATGAAGATCGTGGAGTGGCACGTAATCCACAGAGTGGAGGCTGCGGATCGTGCAGCTCCTCGCTGAGTGTCGGTAAAGACACTGGGGCTCCCCTGGAGCTGAACGAGGTGGTGACACCTGGCGTCAAGACGCACGCGAAATCACGGGGCTCTTCAGGGTGGACGGTGTCCATGAAGAGGAGGCAGCGCCGCAAACCGCTGGCTGCTGATACACCTGTTGGGCTCTCAGCCGTTTGTGATTTACACGGATCATGCGTCGTTAAGCACTGTGCCTCAGTCACCTCACCTTTCGCAAAGGATGGCCCGCTGGCTGTCCTTCTTCGCGGAGTACAACCTCGAGGTGAAGCACAAGCCTGGCAGGCAATATGTCCTTGCGGACGCGCTGTCGCGCAGGCCGGATTATAAGCCGGCTCATGTAACGACCGTGACTTTGTCATTACCTGATCTGATCCGAACTGCATATGCCAAGGACGACACTTGTGTCGCGTTGCTGAAGGCTCTGGGGAGCAAGGGGTTTCAAGACTCGGACATGGAATTGTCACCGTTAATCCCTCGATGGAGGCCTGTTGTTCTACAACACCGGCCCCGAGGATACTTCCCGCGTGGTCATCCATCATGACGAGGATCTGAAGTATCGCATCCTCTATGAGGCCCACGACACGCCTCTGGCTGGCCATCTTGGCCGTAAGAAGACCTACAGCTTAGTGAGCACCCACTACTGGTGGCCGAAGCTGTACAAGTGGGCGAGCACTTATGTGCGCACGTGCGAGACGTGTCAGCGCGTGAAGTCGTCACCTCATGCCGCAGCGCCGTTGGCGAGTTTGCCTGTCCCTTCAGGCTGTTGGCATTCCATGAGTAAGAACTTTGTGTTTGGCCTGCCGGCGGACGTGGCGGGCAGCACAGGCGTCGTGGTCTTCGTGGACCGACTGAGCAAGATGGCTCACATTGCGGTTGTGCCGGATACCATCGATGGTAAAGGTACAGCAACGTTGTTCTTGGACCTAGTGTTTCGACAACACTCCCTGGGTCGATTATCTCGGACCGAGACTCCCACTTCACGGGCAACATCTGGAGTGCGGACATGTCCACGGTAGACCATCCACAGGCCGATGGTCAGACAGAGCGCGTGAATCGCGTCGTCGAGGACGTGCTCCGCAGCATTTGCGCCGAGACACCGAAGCGCAATGCTGCCACTCGTTGAGTTTGCGTTGAACAACGTCGTGCACGCCTCGACAGGTTACACGCCGTTCTACTTGTCTCATCCCCGCGTCCTGCTGACGCCGCCACGTGGTGGCCTCGGGATTGGTGGGGGGGAAAAGTCGATTTAGCTGATCGGCTAGCCGATGTCAGCCCGGCTATTGTTCGTAAACAGGTTGACGCTTTCTTGTCGACGCGTCTGAGTGTCTTACGACATATGCGTGACGCAATGGCTGAGAGCCAAGACAAGCAAAAGGAACATGCAGATGCCAGGGGCAGAGGTAATGTTGAAAGTTATGAGGTCGGGGACCTGGTGTTGCTTAATGCAAAGAACCTACCTACACATGCAGTGTCAGCCGTCTTCAAGACGAAGTTGCGCCCGCGCTTCATCGGACCTTTCAAGGTTGTGGCCAAGAAGAGCCATGCGTACACGCTCAATCTTCCGAAGAAGATGCGAACGCACCCCGTCTTCTGCGTGGGCTTGCTCAAGCCGTACCATGACCCGATGCAGGTGCAGATGGAGGCACCGAGGGTGACGAGGTGATAGACGCGGAGGTCGCGGTCGTCGAGGACGCAGTTGCAGGCGTCAATGACGCGACCATCGACACGGGCACCGCAGGCACAGGCGGAAGATTCGGCGCCGGGTGTCGTCGAGCATTCCGGTGGCTGTACTTGACGCACCCCTTGCGGTGGCTCCTCGTGTGGCTAACATTCCCAAATAGAGAGCGAGGTGCCGCGGGCACAGCAAGAGCCGCAGGCGCAGCAGGCGGAGCCTGCAGGTCGAGCTGACCCTGAAGCACAGCCTGCTGACGCTGTTGCTCCCCGAGCTCCCGGCCACGTTGCTCATAGCGATCGCGATAGTATTGCACCCAGTCCTCCAGGGACCCAATGCGGTCCCAGACCGCTCGAGGCACCTCGATCCATCGCGTCCGCTCGGCGAGCTCGTCGAGTTCGGTGGTAGTCCGGCCCAGACGCGCACCAACGTCATGGATATGATCCCGAAGGCGACCCGCCTGCTGCCGCACCTCCAAGAGCTCACTTTGAGTCGCAAAGGGCCCCACAGCGGCCTCCACCGGCCCTGCTCGATGAGCATGGGAATCTACATTACCATGCGGAGCGCCTCCTGGGGAAGCGGCGGTGCCGGGGTCAAAACCAGTTTCTGGTGAAATGGCGAGGGTACCCTCATTCCGAGAACTCATGGGAGTTTGGGGTGCCCCTCCGCCAAGACTGCCCAGACGTCGTGGACGCTTTTGATCAGCTTGATCACCAGCGCCCCGAGGGCTCAAGGCCGGCACGCCGGCCGTCCCGCGCTTCCCGGCAATAAGCTGGGGAGCTGCTAGGTCAGCCACATTGCTCCGAGGCTGGCCCTGAGCCACAGCGCTCACTCTCTCGCGCGGGAAGGAGCGGCTGGAGTGCTCGAAGGAGCGAAGCGCGCAGCGCTAAACTGGGTCTGAGGCTGGGTGAGTGCCGAGAGACTGCGCTTGGCTCGGACCTTCGCGAAATCGAAGCGGAGCTTGCGTTCAATGCGAACATCCACTTCACTGAAGCTGGCTCGGAGAGCATCCATGGAGCTGAGCTTCCGGCTGTGCTCGGCCCAAGACTCGAACTGAGCTTCGTACTCAATTGAGTCTTCCCCCGGCCTAAGTACCACCGGGTACGTCCGCATGGCGGGCACGGACTTCTGCTGGGCTTGCAGCCGTAGCCTCTCGCGATACTCCGCGACAGTCGTAGACTGTGGAGTGAGGAGTCGCTCTCGCAGAGACGTACGCAGTGCGAGCTCCTCCGGAATACAGGCCGCGGGACCAATGGCGTGCAGCGCGAGAGACTGCTGGAACGCCTGGCGACAAGCCTCCGCGGGGTCGCGAGGCCGGAAGCCGTAGTCGGCAATGCTGGGGTTCAGCAGAGGTCGCCGCTCAGGGCGCTGGGAGCGCATGGAAGCCATCTGCGCCACAGCCTGCTCGGACTGAGCTTCGTCCAAAGGGTTGGAAATGACGGAACCCAGGGGCACGTCATCACCACGAGGCGGCGAATACCGTGGCTCAGTGAGCGCGCGCAGCTCGGTGAGGCCGGAAGAGCGTACAGGGAACGGGTTTGGAGTTCGCAGCGGCGGCCGCGGCTCCTCTCTCGATGGCGCAGCGCGCTCTCCAGGTGGAGGCGTGCGCGCGGGGCGCTCCTGATCGCGACGGCTTGAAGAGCCAACTGGGGCCGGCGAGCCTTCTTCACGACGTGTCGACGGTGTGGGCGAAGTGTCGCGTGGGTGGGGACGCGTCTCCTCGGTTCGGAGAACCCAGCATGGACTCGTCCACCTCGCCCTCTTCACCAAAGAGTTCCCTAGGATCCGTGATCTGGCGGGTTGGTGCTCGAGGAGAGCTGGGGCTTGCGCGCTGCGAGCTGCGCTTCAGGCGTTGCGCCGTGAAGTACTCGGACACCGAGAGCCTGGAAGACGTCGAGAGTGTGCGCGCGGGCGCTGGCGTTCGCGGAGGTGCGGAGGCACGCAGTGCAGCAGCATGAGAGGAGCGAGGCTCCGAGGCGGATCTCCCGAGAGGCTGTCTGCGGTCGAAAGACCAAAAGGCTTTATGACTTGAAGTCATGTGATGGCGCGTTGCACCGAGAAGTTCTCAGAGACGTCCACGCGATGTGGATTGACTCGTTCGAGAGGGAGGCTTGACGGAACAAGACCCGGAGGTTGACCGTTAAGCGTGAACACCCGTGTCCACGGTTTGGTGGGGGAGGGTGTAACGGGGTTACACGAGAGTTACCCGAAGGGTTACGAAGTGGGTACACACTGTCTAACCTAAATCAGTAGGAGAACCAGTACACGGGTTCAGAGCCACTGATTATGCATATGACCAGGGTTCACTGTGCTAGATAGTGAACCGGATACATTTACACCGTAGGCGGCTTGGCCGCGATAAAGGGAAATACATTCGGTTTTGAGATTCACAGTTAAGAGTTAAGGGTTGACTCTTGGAGTCCGTAAGGTGTACGGACTCGTACGTTCTGATATTAGAACGGGCTATCTTAAGCTGAGATTTTGTGAGTCTATTACGTCTTCCTCTGACGCTAAAGATACGGCAGCCCCGCTGCATTGCGCTTCTTCGACGGGGCGTTCAGCTTCGCAGAAAATCTGTCTTCGCTGTCACTTGGCACCTCCTCATCTTGATCATCATCTCCGTCTTCGCGGCTTGGAACTTCTTCGTCTTCATCGCTCGAGGGGGCCTCTTCACTTTGTGATTCTTTCGCGGGGATGTCCGCGCGGAGGTGGCCTTCGGTGTGGAATGGATGTTTCTTGGGCGACTTATTAAACCAGATGCGTAAAATGAACAAAAAGTAGACAGAGTCAAAAGTGAGAACACCATTTCGCGGTCGAGTTACAAGATTTACCAACCAAGGTGCAAATGACTGGCCCATGCACTTTTTAGTCTTACCTCCTTCTGCCGACAATTGCATGAAAAAGCCACGTTTTTCATGATTTGCAAAACGGTCCGGAATCCTTTTCCCCGAAAGAAACACCCCCTTAGCGTTGCGCCAGAATGGCATATGTGTGTTAGTATATACTGATATAGCATGTGTACCGTAAGCGGGGCTTGGTAGTAATTCATGATATCAGTAGAATACAGTACTATAGTACTATTACTTCTTCTATAGTAACCAGTAACTCGACACTTTCTGATTCCACTATTACTAAAGTAACCAGTATTAATAACGCATCCACGGCCCCAATAATACTATCGAGTTACTGCTGAGGTTGGCCAACTGTACCAGCTTGAATGACACATACAGGTACGTTTGCTTGCGAACCTCTCGCCTGCCGAGTGTATCCCACAGCCAAAAGCTCCACACGGGTTTACTTACGGTGAGAAAACGGTGATTGTTGATGATGTCAATAGTTTAGCACTGCCGCTGGTACGCAAGTTGCTGCTCGGCATAATAAGAAAAACTGTCGTAAGCCCCTCTTCATGCTCAATCGCGGTAATAAGTACAGGGTCTAATACGCTTTGGTGTCGTTTGTCGTTGGTACATCGCGAGATTTTCTATTTACTACAACGCACGTCCGCGTTTGCCTACAGATGGTCTCGCATGTGAACCACCAACAAAGTCACACCCTTAAATGATATAAAATATTACAGTTTAACCATTTCATGACAACCTGCCAAAAATAATATGTATAAATAGTCTGTGGACCGCTTTTTGCAAGTTGTTTGATAGTACTATAGTACTATTACTATAGTAGCTAGGAACGCTTGAGCGAAAAGCCCCAGTAACTAGTAATTCGTTTTCTTCTACTGGAATACTACTGGTAGTAGTTAGGAAAGAACTACCGCTACTATCAAGCCCTGACCGTAAGGTATGCTGCTACGCAGCCGGCACAGAATTAATTCGGTGTCGCATGAAGCTGTGAGGAAGCATCAATCGCATCATTTCCTCTTCTCACGCCCGACCCGCAGTCGCAACACCAGGACGAAGTTACAGTAAGTGTTTGGGAGGTAACTAATAGTTTGCTCGAATTTGGTTATTAACAGCGCGGGGGTAAGAAAGAAAATTGGTGTTATCGTGTGTTATTGCACTTAAAAGCCTGCTTATCTGGTAGTTGTGGATGTTCATAATATAATACGCACAGCGCGGGCGACTGGTGCGCCGCATTTGCGGCGCGCCTAAGTCGTGTGCGCTGTGCATATATCTGTTCTGTATTTTTGCTATCTCAGCCCCCACGAAGCCCTAGTCATAGTGCTACCAAGAAGAATATTATTGAAATCTTACTACTTAGTACTAGTACTGTAGTACTATGTATTAATATTAGTTCCGAACAACAACATGCTCATGTTTGATTTACCCTCGCTGCTGAAGCAATTGCTGCGCTTCCTCGAGAAGCATGCCCTCGACCAGTTCCTGTGTGGCAGTTATACTGGCCACCATGACACTCAACACGAATTCTGTGAATGTTCCAGCAGTTGTCACGTCCAGCACGCAGCCTCTCGCCATTTGTGGGGAAATGAGACAGCATATTTGCAGCGTTGTGGAGGAGGATTGATCTAGCTCCGGGAATGCTGGCCTCCGGACCACAACGTAGCCCTTATCGACGAACGAGAAGTTTGCGTAAGCAGAGGTTGGTTGCTCCACCGCTTCAGCCTTGGAGACCCACACCACGACCTGTCGATCCTCTTCGACGTACCGACGAAGCGCCTGCTTCACGCGGAACACAGCGTTGGTGGATTTGCCTGTGAACTTCATCGCAACCTCTTCCATGACGGTGTCAGGATCCTCCTCCTCGCCCTGGCAATATCGCACAGATACGAGACCGTAAGTTACCACGAGCACTCATCAAAACACACAGCAAAAAGCACCAACATACCTCAGTCAAGGTCTGGTGAATGTTCCCTCGACGTCGCTCCACCCCTCGGTAGTGATTCCATGTCGCCGTCGTCGCGGTCTCGAAGTCGAAGGGGAGAATTTTGTTGGCAAAGATGTCGAGGTACATGCCGCTAGCGCCTTCTTGTATCCTTGCATCGGTGGACGGAGTCTCCAGGCGACTCAAGCCGTTTGCGTCGAACACGGCGTCCATCTCGTCAAACGCCATGTCCAATCCGCGCCGAAGTGACTCGGCCGTCTCGGTTTCTAGCGCAAAGTCTGGACCACGCTCCAGCTCTGGCATGCAATTGGAGTGGCACATTTGGCCCATCAACTGCTGGTGAATGCGTTTGCCTAGCTCGACTTCCATGCTTCGGGCGAGACTCGCCTGGGTGTTCAGCACCATCCGCAGCCGCGTGCTCTCGCGCACAGCCTTCTCGCGCCAACGCTGCTGGCGAGCAGCCAAGTCCCAGATAGGTGGTGTTTCTGGCGCTTCTGGAGGCGGTACCGGGAAGCCAAACGCTTGACTAGAGAATGCCAGCGTGGTGGTGGGAGCCGAAGGCATCGGCACGGGCACCATTGTGTCCAGGTGCTGCAGGCGCAGCGTCCGCAGCTCCTCCTCCATCTGCTGCACCTTGCTGCGCAGGAACTCCAGCTCGTCGAAGCGATCGTTGCGCGCACGCCGCTTGCTCTTCCCTCCGCGGAGCGGCCGGGCGTTCGTCGGTCCCCGCGAGAGCGATTCGAGCATCTCCTGCAGCTCTGCCTCCTGCTCGCCCCACTCCTGTCCATCGGACTCGTCGTCCTCATCCAGCAGAAGCAGCTGCGAGAGCGCCGACGATGGTTCCTCCATCGACTCCTGCCGAACGTCCATCGACATGCTCGACGGCAGCGTCGCGCGCGATCGCCTCTGCGGTAGCGGTCAAATTGGAATGTGACCGTCTTTGCCCAACACGCGTGTTGAACCTGCGAAGCCTGTCTATCGTGATAGCTGACGAAAGGCGCTTTACAGCATGTGTACCAGGACCTCGCAAGAATCCTCGCTTGATCGTGCTCAAGGCCCGCAGGCCTGTACAGTGTAATGCTGTGAATATATTGTACAAGCTATTGCAGCTCACTCTACGGCAACTCTGGCCGTTGTTGGTCACTCTACCCGCGATCGCTTCAGGGCCTCGTCGAGCAGCACGTTCTCGATCCTCTCCTGGCTGACCGTGGCGTTCGCGACGATCACGTTCAGCACGAACTCCGTGAAGGCGCCGACGGCCATCGCGTCCTGCACACAGCTGTCTGCCTTCTGCGGGACTACGAGGCTGCACATCTGCAGCACCGTGAAGCCGCCCTTGTGTAGCGCCGGCGACATTGGTTGCTTGATGACCACGTAGGCCTTCTCCGCAAAGCCCAGGCCTGCGAAGGGCCGGAACTTGCCTTCGTCCAGAGAGTGCGCGCTCGAGAGGAAGACCACGACTTCGCGGTCGGCCTCCACATAGCGCCGCAGCACCTGCTTCACTCGGAAATTTGCGCGCGTTGTTTTCCCCACGAACTCCATCTTGAAGTCCTCCATCACGGTGTCGTCCGCTGACTCGAGTGCCTTGGCGGCCTTCTCGTAAAAGTTGCAGCGGTGTTTATCGCTTCCCTTGAAGCGGTTCCACACGGCAGTGGCTACGGCTTCCTTGCTGAACGGGAGCAGCTTGTTGCTGTTGATGTCCAGGTACATGCCGTTGGCGCCTTCGCGCATGCGCGCGTCGCGGCTCGGAGTTTCGCTGTCGATGAGGCCATTCAGAGCAAGCACTTCGTCCACCTCGTGGTAGGCGGCGTCGACGCTCGTCAGGAGCGCATCGAACGTGCTCTTATCGGCCAGGAAGTCCAGCGTCCGCCCCTGTACCCTGTCCTTGCTAACGTAGCCCGCGCACTCGGAAACCTGTTGCCGCGCGCGCTTCTGGAGCAGAGTCTCCATGCATCGAGCCAACTTGATCTGGCCCTCGAGCACGAGCTTCAGGCGCGCGTTCTCGCGCTCCGACTTCTCCCGCCGCAGTTTCTGTCGCGTAGCCATGTCTCGCCAGAAGGGAGGGAGCGGGCCAGCATTGGAGGTCAAGGTCGCATCGGCGTGCGGAAGCGCTACCGCCGTCGATGACGTGTTCTCTGGACGTGCCGCCTGCGTAGTCAATGCGGTGCTCGAACCAACGCGGTGGTGGCGATGCAGCTCGCCCAGCTCGGTCTCCATTTGCTTGACTTTGCTACGCAGGTAGGCCAGCTCGTTCTTGCGCTCGTTGCGAGCCCGGTTCGGGTTTACCTTGCTGCGCTTCTTCGCCGTGTCCTTGGCTGCTACTTTTGCATCGCTCGACGGCTGGCATGTCGACCCGCGGCACCCGCTTCGGAGGCGGCCGTTGCCCTTCACGCTGGCGACGTCGGGGGCCCTCGCGTTTGCGGCCAGCGGGGCCAGCGGCGACGGCAGCACGTGCGGACGGCTTCGTGTCTGGATCGCATCATTAGCGTTGGAATCGCTGCGGTACCCCCTGACGACGAGGGCGACGAGGGTGTCAGCGTCGTTATCAGCAGCTCGTCCAGACCCATGGCGTCTTCTTCGGACGAGTCCGCTCGCCGACTGCCACCGCCCGGCGCTACGACGGACGACATGTACGCATCCATGAAGTTCAGCGCCGCGTCGAGCGCGTCCACGTTGTCGGCGTCCTGCAGCAGCGCCATCGCTCGCTCGGGCGGTCAGCGCCACGCGGAACTTCGACTCAAGCTCGACTCAAGGCCGAGTCCGCCGTGCGTGACGCATGTGTTATCATGCGCGCTGAGATCCGGTCCTCCATACACAAACCAAGTCGCGCGGGCAGATCCCCACCACTCACCTGACCGCAGGAAGGTTCAAGGCGCCGGCCCAGCTGGTGTGCATAGGCCGAGCCGTAATGATGAGAGCAGGCTGCTTTTCAGCCAACCGGCGCGCAGTTGACGCACAGCCTCCGAGCGAGCGGCCCCACTTTCTCCGACGATACCGAGCGCTCGCCTCGAGCCGCCGCGAGGCTGCGAGACGCCGAGGCCATGGAGCAGCAGCAGCTAGAGGAGGAGGAGGAGCTCATGCAGGAGGCGCTGGCCCTGCTGGCCGACTGCCAGGACGACGACTACGACGCCGCCATCTCGCGGCTGCTGCTGCCGTCCGACGACGAGCAGCACAGCCCCGTGTCCGCCAACCGCAGCGAGCCCATCCCGTCGACCACCGAGACGCAGCCCGTGCCGCTGGCGCTGCCCCTGGGCGCGAACCCCAGCGTCGGCCCCAGCTTCAGCGAGGAGATCTCCCCCCCCGTGACGCCCGCGCTGGCCACCGCCACCAGCAGCCCCGTGAAGAAGACGCCCACGTCCGCGGCCAAGCAGCAGCGCAAGAAGAAGGCGCCGGCCGCCGCCGCCGCGGGCACCGGCGCCGGCAAGAAGCGCAAAACGTCGTCTCACAACTCGAACCGCGCGCGTGACGAACGCAAAGAGGAGCTCATCTATCTCCGCAAGACGGTGCAGACGATGGAGGCGAGGCTGCGCACGCTGCAGCTTTCCCAGCGTCGCGCGCTGGCTGCGCCTGCGCCTGCACCCGCATCGGCGAAAGCGGCTCTCCCCGGAGAGGCGCAGACGTTCACCGAAGGCGCATTTGCCCTCGCTGCCTTGCAGGGCCATGCCGCGACCAGCGAGCCCCTCTCGCCGGAAGATATGAAGGAGGACGCGGCGATGGGCCCCGTCTGGACTGAAATTGCAGCTCGCCAGTACCAGGAGCGCCGCCGCGTTGAGCTGGAGAACATCCGACTCAAACTCATCCTCGAGGGCCAGATCAAGATGGCCAAAAGCTTGGAGAAGATGTTGACCAAGCGTACCAGTCTACGGGTAAGTTGTGACGAATGTGCCGAGGAGAAAAAGAAAATCTTCCTGCTAACAATGCTGTGGTCGGGTTGGTATGTACGAACGCGTAGGTGATGGAGTCGATTCAGGGCAAATATTTAACGAGCTTGCAGCACCGGAAGCCTACTTCGACTGAGGAAGAGGATGAGGCGGCCATTTTTGCGCGTCTGGAAAAAGAACTGGAGACCGCTCTGGACGAGGTGGACGTGGTGTTTGAAGCGAATGGGCTCGCACGCATGGAGAAAACGTACGCTGACGCGCAAGTGCGACGCGAAGATGGCACTATAGTCATGGAAATTTTTGCCAACAAGGTCGTCCCATTCAGCGTGGAGGCTACAAGTCACGCCGTGTGGGAGCACTTTGTTCACTCGATGGACCACATTCCGTCTCGCTTCGTGTACCAGAAGCAACTTAAGGTAACAGTCTTTTTCTTTTGCCATTTTGTTGGATATACGGTGGCGGTCGAGCTAATCGCTTCCACTGTTGCCACGTAGAAGACGGAAACAACGGACGATACGCTGATGGAGAGCTTCGGCTTGGAACTCGTCGGCAGCCGCAATGCCACCGCCGCTTTCCGTGTGCGCCAGATCCGCCGGAAGTTTGTTCAGCCCCACCGCGTCGTGATTGCGTGGCCGATGTACTCGGAAGCCCTCGAGCTCTCCGCGGAGCCCACGAAAGGTGTCCGCCTCCACGAGAAGTGTTTTACTGTGGTCAAGGCGCTTCCAAATGCAAGTGGTCGGCGCGGCGCTCTAATACAATCGTGCTACGTCCTCCGGCCGGAGATTTACGGTCATGTTGCCGACCGCGAGCGCATTCTCACCACTCTAACAGACTTTTTGTTGGACTCTGTGTCGCATACGATTAGCTCAAGCCACCAAATGATTGAGAATTACCTGCTGGATGGAGCTCTTCGCTTCCGAGCGGAGCCCATAGCGTTGACGCAGGTAGCCGACCAAGCGGAAGTGGTCGAAGACAAACCCCTGTTGCAGCAGCAAGAATAGGGTACCGCTAAACTCTTACACTTGTGTCGTTGCTAGGCCGCGAAGTTTCAGACCAGCGACTGGGTGGTAGTATCGGATGCGAGACTTTGTAATTAACGTAAGCATTTTTGAAACACGCAGTGTGCCAACGGCGTTGGCTTCATATTACTACATCTAACCTTGTACGAAGCACTTCGATACATGTATTCCACTTCACCACGGGACCCCTCTAGATCCGCTTCTTGAGCGCTCCACTTAGTAGCACGTTTTCAATCATCTGATGACTCGCACTAATGCTGCCAGTCACAGAACTTAGCACAAAGTCTGTGAGTGCTCCGACCTTGCGTGACAGATCCGGCCTGTTGCGGTTGTGAATTTCTGGGCGAATAATGTAGCAAGTCTGCATCAGCGTGCAGTCCTCCTGGCCCGTAGCGGGGGGCTTGATCACGATGTAACCCTTTTCCAGGAAACGAATCCCCGGGGTCGGCTCCGCCGAGAACTCCACTGTGTCCGTGATCGTGCGCCAAACGACAATAATCCGATCGTGTTCCACGTATCGCCGAATAATGTGTTTCACATGAAAGTCCCCATCCGTGTGGCCGTCCGTCATTTCTAGTCCGTAGCGCTCGACGACGGTATCGTCACTCGTCTCAATATGCAGCGGTTGTTTCTCGTAGTATGTGCGGTGCGGCATGTGGTCCATGGAGTGCGCAAAATGGCGCCACACGGCCTTGCCCGTCGTAGGCATATCAAACGGCATGACCTTGTTCGCGTAGATCTCCATCACCATGCCTCGCGTAGCGTCATGCTCGATCTTTGCTGTGCGATGCGCCGTTTCCATGCGACCCAATCCATTGGCTTCGAACACGGCGTCGAGCTCCTGGCGAGATTTATCGATCCCAGACAGCAGCATATCAAAGTCGGCGCGATCATCGCGAGCCGCTTCAGGTCCCGGGGCGGGCGACACTCGTCGAATGCGTTTGCTCGGGCCGCCGAGCACCTGAAGAATCCCCTTGAATCAACGAACGGTGTCAGTACAAACCCGCGTGTAACTTAGGCATCAGGATACTTTACTCTTTCATTTTGGCGCTTCCGGAGAATGCGCTCAAGGCTTTTGGCCATCTTGATCTGCTTTTCCAAGACCAGCTTTAGCCGCACGTTCTCGCGCTCTGCCTTCTGCCGCTCTTGCGCCTGGCGCTGAGCCATGTCGCCCCACACGGCGGCCAGGTGTGCTGGTGATGCAGCGCTCGCCATAGGAGCCGCAACCGAGGAGAAAGTTGCAGACGGTGTGCTAGTAGAAAGCTTGGCCGCGCGCATGGCTGCGAGCCTACTCTTCGCCTTTGCGTCCTTCAGCTCCGTCGCGGACGGAGGAGCCGCAACGGACGAAAACGGCGCCGACACTGTCTGGGGCTTGTGCGTGCTGCGCAGTTGGTCCAATTGCAGCTGCAGGTCCTTCACTTTCTGCCGCAGGTACACGAGCTCTTCACGTCGCGCGTCTCGAGCACGGTTCGAATATTTCCTGGGCTGCTTCAGCTTCTTGCCCTTGGGGTTTTGAGTCTGCAGAGTCGGGCTGCTCGTGAAGGAGGTGGGGCTACCAGTGGACGACATGGCACTGCTGGAAGGCGCCAACGAAGACGACGCCACCCCCAGCGGCAGATTCACGACGGAATCTTGTGTGGCGCATGCATTCTCAGGCTCAGGGATCGGCTGCTCCGTGAGCGTCGGCAACTCCAGGTCCACCGCGTCCAACTCGCCGATGCAGTCGTCGAATTCCACGTCCTCCAGGTCCAGCGCCGCGTCCGCTCCCAGCAGCCACTCGGTCGATGCCTCGCAGTCGGCCAGGAACGAGAGCGCCTCCTCGAGCGTCTTGGCGTCGTCGTCCTTCATCGCCGTCGCCGCCGCCTCCAGCGAAAAGTTCATCGGTCCAACTCGGGAAAATGAATACTAATCCGCTGGGAGAGTCTTATCTGCGTATTGGTTTACGGTAATTGTTTGTGCAATATTGGCAGCGCTCAAATTCCGAAACAGGGAATTGGTGCAGGTCGGAGATGCCGCTGCTGCTGGGAGACGACGAGGTGGAGGCGCTGGAGGCCGCGCTGTCGTACGTAGATGCCCTTCCTGGCAGCGACTCGGAGCTACAGGGACAGGGAAACTCGGCAGTGGCGGCAGCAGCAGCGGCTGGGGCAGGAAGCTTCGGCGCTGCGGGCGGGGGAGAGGTCCGACTAGACGCAGAGCTGGACCGATTGCTCCTGGAGACGCTCTCTTCTTCGTCGGAGCATGACAGCGACTCTACCCCATTGACCGCGACGTCTTCAGCATTAACGGTGGCGCCGCCGGCATCGGTGCACGTCCTGCCGTCGCCTCTGCTGCCTATGGTGGCGAACGTCGGCGCTCCCGACGTATCTGGGCAAGCTCGACGCGGCTCCCGAGCGGCCAAGAACGCAACGACTACTCTAGCCAAAACCAAGCGCCGTGTGAAGGTCAATCCCAATCGCGCGCGGGACGAACGCAAGCATGAACTCGCGTACTTGAGGAACAAGGTGGAGCAGATGGAGAGGGAGCTGGACACGATGCGCCACCGTCGACGCGTTCGGGACATTTGCAATGGAGAACCGCCGCCCGCTTCGTCAGGCGCCGAGTCTAGAGCAATGACCACCAAAAGCGGGGCTTCCTCGTCCAGGATGCCCTTCATCTGGAGGGACATCGCCACTCGCCAGCAGCAACGGCGAGAGAAGTCTGAGCGGGAGAACGTGAGGCTGAAGCTCGTGCTTGAAAGCCAGGTGAAACTGGCCAAGAGCATGGAGACGCTGCTGCAGAAGCGAGCCCGGCAGCAAGTGTCTGGGTGCGCTGAAATGGTGGGAGCTTCTGGGGATCTGTCGTCGCAGGGGTCCACGCTGGACTTCCTGGTGGATAAGGACACGTACGAGGCGCTGCTTACGAGCGTAGAGACGGCTTATGCTGAGCTCGAGGCAGTGTTCTCCACCAATGGTTTGCTGGGCTTGGATACCCCCTGCCGAGACGCGCGGATGCGTGAAGGGGCCAGTGGGATGTATCTTGATGTGTTTGCCAACAAAGTGTTGCCCTTTAGCTACGATGCTGTTACGGCAGCGGTGTGGAACCACTTTCGAGGCAACGAGAAGCACCGGGGCGTGGTCTACGAGAATGCGACCAAGGTACGAGGTGCAGCTGGACGTGTAGTGTTGTATCTCTAACGCTGTTTGTGTTGCGTACAGCACCTCGAGACTTCGTCCGACACCATCATGGAGGCCTTCACGATGGAATTCCTGGGCAAAACGACGACGGCGGATTTCCGCGTGAAACAGGTGATCAGACGATTTGTGGAGACTGACAAGCAGGTCGTGGTGTGGGTGTCCATAGGGCAGGCACTGGACCCGAACAACTCGTTTGCCAGCTTCGGCTTCGTCGACAAGGGCTACGTCGTGACCCGCCGGCCGACGTCGATAGCCCCGGGCCACGGCGACTTCACCGTTTTGCAGATGTGCAGCCTCGTGTCGCCGCAAATGGCGGCGGGCTGCCGGATTGACATGACCGCAGCGGGGGATTTCACCGAGTTCGTGCTGAACGTCGTGGCGGCCAACACCACCACGAGCCAGGAGCTCATCGAGAACGTCCTGCTGGACCAGGCGCTCAACAAACAACAGGGAAACTCCAGCCTTGCTGCTTGAGGTCGATACGCTCGTTAATATATGTATAGATCCATGCGTGCTGAAGATCTCTTAGACGGCGCTGACGCATGACTGATGAAGGGCCCTCATGCCATGACTCATGGCCCATGAGGGCCTTCACTCACGAGACTCACGAGAACGCCCATCCTCGCATGTGTGCCACAAGAAATGTCCACTCATCACGCCCAGAGAACCTAGAATCTTCGATGTCAGTAGAGCCGCTCATGTAGGGCATTCATTCCTCAAGCGGCGCCAGCAGCAGCAGAGGCAGAGCTGAGCATGGCGCTCCTTCTGGAAGGCGAGGCGGATGAGACGCTGGCCGCGGCGCTGGCCTTCCTGGACGACCAGCAAAAGGTCGGCGGTCCAACCGATGAGACTACAAACCCAGACGATGTTGAAGTCAGCGACGACGCCGTGCTCCCGTTGCTGGACGACCCCGAGGCTGCCGAAGTGCTGGATGCGCTGAGTGTGGAGCTGCCTGCAGTGGCCGACAAGGCCATCAAGAACATCAGCTGGACGGCCGCCGTCCCCACCCCGAAGCTCATCTCGCAGCGCTTCAAGCGTCACCAGGTGGTCCCCTGCCCGCCTCAGCCTGCAGCCCCCAAAGCGTCCAGCGCCAAGCCTGCCAGCGCGAGCAAGAAGAAGCCCTACGTGCGCAAGAAACCGCTCAGCTACAACCCTAACAAGGCGCGCGATGAACGCAAGCTGGAGCTGCTCTACCTGCGCCAGAAAGTGGCCGACATGGAGCTGGAGCTGCAGAAGCTGCAGGAGATCAAGGGCAGCAAAGTCGGCGCCTCCCCTTCAGTGGGCGAGAAGGCGGCAGCCCCGTCACCGAGCTCCGCCACTGCCTTAGCTCCAAGCCACTGCACCACCGACGGAGTGCCCCGCGTCTGGGAGAAGATGTGCGCTCGCCAGCTCGAGCGCCGAGTGAAGGCTGAGCGAGAGAACGCTCGACTCAAGATGGTGCTCGAAGGCCAGATCAAGATCGCCAAGAGTATGGAGCAGATCCTTAGGAAGCGCACGGTGCTGCGTGCCATGGAGTCCTGCGGTAGCAACAAGCGCACCAAGCACACGAACCGCGTGCCTCGGGCAACTGATCCTCGTGCCGACGCGAAGATCTTCGAGGCACTGCTAGCCGGTGTCGAGGCGTCGTACCGTGAAGTTGACGCCGTGTTTGAGGCCAATGGTCTCGGCCGCACTGAGGCTCCCGAGAGCGACGCCCAGATGCGGGACGGTGTCAACGGCATGTACCTCGAGATCTTCGCCAACAAGATGCTGCCATTCGGCATGCATGCAACGGGTGAAGCTGTGTGGCAGCACTTCAAGGGGACGGATATCCCGTATCGCTGGTATCACTCCAAGTCCGCCGGATCGATCGAGTCGACAGAGGATACGATGGTGGAGTGCTTCGGCATGGAGATGTTCGATGCCAAGAGCAACACTACCGCCGAGTTCAACGTCAAGCAGATTCTGCGTCGCTACATCGAGGAAGATCGCGTCGTGGTGGTGTGGCGCTCGCACATTGAGCCCCTCGAGTTCTCCAATAAGCGCTTCGCCGGTATTCATTTCCAGGAGAAAGGCTACGTGGTCATCAAGCCTCGCGCGCACGACGACGACAGTGCTGACGACGACGACTTCACCCTACTCCAAACGTGCTACATCATTACTCCGGATCTGTCCGACCAAACGCTGAATGAAGACGCCAAGACGGGTGCGCTGACTGAGTTTGTGCTGAGCTCGACTGCTGCAAACATTTCTGCCAGTCACGACATGATTGAAAACGTGCTGCTGGACCAAGCACTGCAGCAGCGGAAGCATTGAAGAGGGGCAACTCGACTCCCGGAGTTCATGAATTCACATGCATTGTGTCATCTTCCATATTCAACTGAACTGCATCAATGAAGTCAAGTAAATGTGAAATACGCTTTCTTTGCATTGACTTGCTCGTTATGCAATCAAGTTGGCCGGAGTCAAATTGCAGCTTGCACCACAACCACTGGATCTACGTGATCGAGGAGCACATTTTGCTGCAACTGCAATACGTTGCGAAGCTTTTTGCCAATCGAATTCAGCACCACATTCTCAACACGAGCTAAGTCCCCTGGTTGAACCGACCTCGTGTCCACTTGCTTTACTTGCAGCTGATAGCAGCTTCGCACCACGGATGCGTTCTGGGAGTCTGTAGGGGACGGAGAGATGGTTGTCCAGTGGTGGTCTTCAAATTGCAGTCCTCCCGTAACCACGTAGTCGTCCCGACCAAGACGATCCGATCCGCTTCTTCATACTTGCGAACAATATTCACACCGTCAAGATGCAGCAGTGCATCGTTTCCGTCGGGTAGCGACGCCATGCAGTTCCGCTCCAGAGAATTCGGGTTTCGTGTTCGTACCTGCATATACAAAACCAGAGAAAGCCAACCGTTAGCGCTCAAACGTTTTATCTGTCGGACCCAGTACATGAAGCGTTGACATACGAAGCTGAAGGCCTTGTGTGCGTCCGTATTCCTCTCGGTCGTGATGTGATGCCATAACAGATTTCCAGCTTGCTGTACTGTGCACGTCATTGGAGCTATTGAGCTGGTGTCGACACAGTTGCCACGAGTTTCGTGATGTTTCGCTTGACTACTGCAAGTGATTGAAAGGCTTCCTTCGAGGGCCGGGAAGACTCGATCTACTTCCAGTCGCAACCGTCCCAAACTACTCGATTGATCGGATAATATGGCATCGCTGAAGTCAACTTGAAAGAGAGGGCTACCCGACGTGGGCTGTGGCTGGAACACGAAGTCCATTCCCTGCAGTAATTCACGCGTTCATTGCACAATGGTTAGGCACACTAAGATATACACACTATGATATCGAAGCTTACCTCGAGAACATTGCTGCGCCTAAGCAGCTTGCAAATGGAGGCGTGCACTTGCAGTTGGTTAGCCATGATTGCTTTCAACGCTCGATTGGTACGTTCCGCACGCTCACGGCCCTCGCTCTCGATCATAGCAAGACTGCACCAGACGCTGGAGTGACCGCTCTGAGGGTCGGTCATAGCTGGACCAACTCCAATGCGGCTCAGACGGGATAGCTGCAGTTTTTCCAGTTGCGCGTTCAACCTCTGCGCTTCCTCTCTCAACGATCTCAGCTCCGCTTTCTTGCGTCGTTGAAGGCTCGTCGTGTACCGCACAGGTCCTCCCTTGCGCCTTCGGTCCTTGTATACTGTTGGGGATTTAAGCTGCGGCTGCACTATAGTTGAGCACGTGCTAAAAGTGTCATCGTGACTGGAGTGGCTCTCCACGAACGAGGCGACAGAACTGGAATCGCTTTCAGGACTGCCAATGCCGTCCAGTAACATGAGCACTTCGGACAGCGTCTTGGAATCGTCCATCTTGCTGGAATGTCTGTTTGCTTTAGTGGGGCTTTGCTTTTTGAATTGTGGGGTAAGATGGCGAAGTACACTCCACTGCACCCAGATGTGTGATTATGCACTTCAAAAGATTATGCTCGTTGCTCCGGGAGGGAACACAGGTCGGCGAATAGTTTCATGGACGATGATAAAATTGAGTAAATCCCAAAGTTGTGTTGTTTTTAATCCTTTTAAGGATTTTAAAAGAGCACTACCAGCCGAACTCTCTAGTTGATTCTAACGTGGGCATCTACTGCGCCTGCTTCGCAGCCGCAGCATCTGCCCGGGAATAACACCCTGGTCAGCGTCCAATGGCTGCGTTGATGCCAGCAACGAGAGAGCTATTTCATTCAGTTTGCAGGTAAGAGAGCTAGCGGAACGAAGGAGAGATGCATGGTGCGCTGATCTTGACCTTTTAACTTGAGGGTAAAGTGCGGAATGAGAACTACGTTAATGTGCCCAGTCCTTGGAAGTGGGCGCTTCAACGCAGGTAAAGAAAGCCTAATTCAAACGAACGATGCTCGTGTCACTGTCGAGTTGAGCTGGTTGGTTTGGCGAGAGACACGAGGTTGGGCATCTTCGGCTAAGTGATTGAGTATTGAGCAAATTGACATGTAAAACATGCAGCCTGCAGCTAGACAAGTCATATTGGTCATCTTCAGCTAAGCTTGGTCGATTATGGCGCAAATTGATACGCCTTCAGCGAGGTCATGACGCTCTCATAGTGAACTGGAGCGTCTGTAAGTGTTTGGACGCAGGTTTTGGTAAAGAAAGAACGATTAGTATCAACCTTTGGTAAATAATGTGCATAAATTTTAGCATTTATCGACGGGTACCCGATTCCGGCAGATATTAGCTTAAACATTACAATTAAGAAAGAGAGACCCGGTTTGATACCCGGTTTTGGAAAGTGGGACCAAGCACAGGTCTTCGACCTGTGAGCACCAGGCAATCCTTTTGGAAATGCAAGTGTATTTTGTACGGACTGTTCCGTTGACTAACATAAGTAAGGTTATCGCTCACTCTTACTCAAATCTCGTCATAGGACGGCGCGCCAGAGCTGATCGCCTTCGAGTGGTGGTGCGGGGAGAACATCTCGGACTCTTCGGCCTCGACATCGTCGCCCGAGAGGACCTCCTCGTAGTCCGTCTTGAGGTAGGCGAACGCAGACAGGAAAATAAGCGCGAGAGGGACACCCAGGTCCGTGACGGCCCACATGACGCGTGCACCATAGTTCTGGTAGAAGTATCCGCCGACCATCGTGCCCACCGCGCGAGCCAAACCGTTCTGCGTCGCGTTCAGAAGCCCCATGACTGTTCCTTCGCAGCCCTTGGGGGCAGCAGCGTAAATGTACTGCGTGCAGGCAGCCCACGCCAAGCCAAACGTGCATCCGTGCAGGAATTCGAACGGAATGGCGCTCCAGGCATTGGTCATGACAGCATAGTACGTGATACGAAGCGCGTAGGCAGCAATGGAGACCAGCAGCACCTTGACCGTGCCCAACTTCTTGATGATAGCGTGCGAGAAGAAGAAGGCCGGGAGCTCCGAAATGGTCTCGCACATGATGGCGATACCCACGATCTGAGCGTTGCCGCCAGACAAATTGAACAGGTTCAGCGCCAGGAAGCTCGACAGCACGCCGTACATGAGGCCCATGAAGCACACAACGAGCAGCAGCATGACCACGTCCTTCTTCTGGTAGATGCGGCGCATGTTGTCCGCAAACGACGGCTGGCGGGTGCTCCTTCCGCCTTCCTCCATCGAAGAGTGGTTATCGCCGTGGTGTCCGTGCTTGACCGGCGGAATCGTGCGCAGCACCAGCAGCGAAGCAAACATGAAGATGAGGCTAATGTTGAAGGCCCACGAGATGCCCGCAGCAGCAACCGCCAAGCCAGTGATGTAGGCGCCCATGCCCCACCCGACAGCGCCAAACAGTCGCTGCTTGCCGTATTCTCCTCCGACCTTCTCAATCATATCCAGGACAGCGTGATCCATGAGCGACCCGGCGGGCATCGACTGGAAGCTGGCCAGCACCAGAACCGCGAGCGTCCAATGGTACGACCAGTAGAAGTACTGGATGGAGAACATGAGCAGCCCGCCCGTGATGATGCAGAAGTTGTGCACGAGGCGCTGGTTGCGGATGTAGTCGGCCACAGCTCCCCAAATGGGCGGCGACACCATGGCGCAGACGCAGGGCAGCGTCTGCAGCAGGCCGATCTGCACCTTGGAGAAGCCAGCCGTCTGCTGGTAGTACACGGCCAGGAAGATGGCGACCGACGACTGCTGCACGTTGGAGATGGCGTACATGAGCTTGGGCTGCCACAGGCAGTTCTCATACCACTTGGGAGGCTCCGACGACGCCTCTTTCTTGCCTGCACACATGCTGGTCACTTGCGCCTTGTTCGTGAGTAGAATGCCGAGCGGTGTCTTGAGCGTGGCGACTTGGGGAATGAACAAGGCGAGACGACCACGCCGAACGCTCACTGAACTCGGGCTGCATTCCGGCTGGATGGGAATAGCTCGGACTTCATCCACATACCCTCGGGCGCCGCCAACGTCACAATCGCAAGTTCAGGTGTCCGACAAAATGCATCCACGCAGCATTGGCGGCGGTTGAACTTCCTGCACTTCACCCCTTCTTCAGTAGTTAAACAAAATCTTGACTTCAGTATGGTCAAGGCTGGATGTCATAAAGGTCTCAACACTACAGCCTCGTCTATGCGGAGGGTGGACTTGAAATCGTGCACGAACTCTGTGCGGCACGACCGACAACGTTGGCGGTGGACTTGACCGTCAAGTGTGAACTGTAAACTGCCCCCGCAGAATTCAGGGCAGTGGGCGGCCCACCGGCTTACAAGCAGCATGGCGTGCCACTAAGACGAGCACGAATCAGCGGTTGCTGAGCATTCTCGTGCCTCACTCGGTTTGCCACGGTCAGCTCAGCGCAGGATAGAGCACAAGGAAAGAATGCAACTGTGAGAGCTGCCTGCCGTAGAAGACAGGTATTGTAGTCCAGCTCATTTGTCGCTGGGCTTGAAGCACTAGAAGAGTGTCCAGCATTTATCAAGACTGGATACTTCGGCTTGAACACCATCTACATGTAGCAGCTTGTTGAAAGAGCTAAGGTACGTACTTCCCGATAATTACACTTTTCCAGGATGCGGTTTGCAGTCGATACCGTTCGCAACTCGTTCCCCTTCACACTCCCTCCGCTACTGGAAGGAATTTTTGGTGGTACAAAATGCATCCTCACGAGGCCAATTGCCACAAACTTAACATTGAGCGACGCTCACTACAATCCATGTATTAGTCAGTCACTTCTACTTCTACGAAGTAAGGTAAATCAGCAGTTTAATGTCCATCCGGTAAGGCATGCAGAAAAATGGCCGTAATTTCAAAACTAATTGTCGGATTGAGAAGCTACTTGCACCACTGTAAAGAGGAGACACAGAGCGATTTTTGAGAATTTTTGCGTTCGTAGTGCTGCTGTTTTGAGTTGTCTGGGACGGATGAGTTCGCGGTACATCGGATTCAGCCTCTAATCAGTTTAATGGCCAACTTAGACTTGAATTAACTATGTGTGGGATCTCGTCTAACCCTTCTAGCCCCAGACCTTATTCTGTATCCTACAGAATAAGCATTATACTTGATTAAAGTATACTTCAAAACCTGTCAAAGATTTGCTGTTGGAAGCCCTTTCGCATCTTGCGGTCAAGCGCTGGGTACATTGTGCACAGAACAGCTACGAAAGTGAACAAAACATGCTCAATGTACCCACCATATGCCGAAATGGCGAACTTCTATTGGTTGTGGCGAGCGTAGAGCACGCTCAAAACCTGCTACATGGAAATACCTTGCAAGGCTGCTAAGGCAGCATACTTCGGCTCCAGCCACCCATCTTCGGCACGTCGCGATAAACGCGGAGGAAGAAATCGCCCTGTTCCTAACTGACGTAGTGAGGAGGAACTGGGCGAATTCTTCCTTGTGCTTGACATTAGCGCATCATTAGATTTCTTTAACCCACCTAACAAGCTTGTTACGATTGTCTCTCTAACAACACCAGGGAGCTTGCATGCTCAATAGCCCGTAATGACACGCACTACACACGGTTCCTCTTGTACGAAACAGGACAATATATGATATTCATGCCAACGTCTACTTCTTCCTTTACATGCGCACGCTCTTCAATGTTCGCGCCAGCCGTGGGTCATCTTCGCCATTTTGGCAGCCTCCGCTTTGCTCTGTAGCCTCCGGCACTGCCGCTCCATTCCTGCCGCTTTCATCGGTAACCTCCGTCGTAGCCTCTGTCCCTTCTTCTGTAATCTCCGGTGTAACCTCATCACGCGGAGAGCTTCTTCTGTTGCATCCGTCGTAGCATCTACCGCTTCTTCTGTAGTCTCCGGTGTAGCCACACCATGAGGAGCGCTTCTTCTGTAGCCTCTTGAGTAGCCACTGCATCAGCTACAATATAGCGGTAGACCCGGCTGTAGCCGGCTTCGTAGGAATCGATGAGGTTGTGCGCTGACTCCGCAATCGATCTGCCAATCGGGCCACACGCGAGAGCTCATAGCGTCGTCTGGGTCGGATCACCAGGTCTGGTAATCAACATCGCAACGTAGAATCAATATACCACTAGAAAAGTGTTACAAAGCAAAGTACACGCTCTCGCTTACCTGTAGATCACAATGGCGCTCATCATGATCGTCTTGGCCATGGTCCTTGGCCACTTGGGCGCGCTCGACGGGCCCCAACAAAGCTTGCATTGCGACGTCTTGAACAGCGTAGTTTCGGAATGAAGGAAAGTACGAGTGGCTGACACGCGGCGGTTTTAGGCTTCCACCCGAATTTTCAAACCTGTTGGTGGTTTATACTCGTCCGTCTATTACCGCGGAATAAACCCCGTTTATCTTCCCATCGCTAATCTAACAGGAAGATGTGCACAATACCGGCTATACAAACATCCATATGCGAAGTTCGAAAGAGAGGACAAGTTTGCTGGATATTATGTCCTGTGACAATGTTTATTCTGTAGGATACAAAATATGGGGTTAGAGGGACTAATCACGCTCGGTACCACTGAGGTTAGGGCTATGAAAACCTCCCTTCCCTCATAACTTCGAAAGCTGACCACTTTGTATGGTGTATTACTTGCTACAGAACTCTTCCACCTCCGCCACAAAGTGTCAGCGCCATGCTCGGCGAAGCTCGCGGAGCTCGCGGAGCATGGCTCCCAAAGGCTACTCCTAAAGGCTCACGAGCTCATGACGCCTCCACCCTTATATATCAATGCAGGCGTCTACTAATGTAAGGGTTCCTGGGTAGATGTATTGTTGCTTGTCTATACCAATAGGACACGCATTTTTAAGAGGTAGCTTTACCTGTCTGTGGCTAGTGACAAGCACAGCACCGCAATGCGATGGCTAGAGGACGCGACCGCCACGCCTTCTAGCCTGCCTACCTCGTTCCTACCAATATTCAGCGCTGGTCTCGTTGGATGCATTTCGCAGCAGAGTTAGTGGTAGGGCCCTGCAGGAAGTGTTGGAATATGCAATCAGACAGTGTCAAGTCCCAGCCCGAAGAGACGACGACCGGGGTGCCTGTATGGTGTAACGGTCTAACGAGCTATGTTATACAGGTATGTTGTGAGTTCAATCCCCGCGGCGCCCTACCTTTTCCAACAGGAAGCTTCTCTACGGCGAGCGGTACCATAACGAATGTCAAACACTACCCACCACATGCCTACGCCAGGATATATACGTACGACGAATAATGCTGCGGGGAAGCAGGAAAGAGAAAGAAGAGCTCTTCCGAGCACTGTTGACACGCGGTGTGTGGCTTGGTTGGTCCTCCCGTGCACAGCTTAAATATCAAGTCACTGAGGTTTTCATTTGAAATCAGCTGTTTTTATTTTGGCAAATCATATCTAGAAAAAGATGGCTACATCGTCAGGATTGGTAGAAACAGTGATGGCCATCAAACTGCTCGTGGCCATGGAACTGATGATTTGCCTTAGCAACTATTCAAGTGGCTGCCAGCCGATATTCATCGATAAACTGCCCAGCAAGTCACTGACACTCATTTCTATCTTCCCTTGGAGTAACAATAAGAGCTTTACATGTATCACTTTCCAAGTACTTCATCACTTCATACGTACAGATCTGGAAGTGAAGTAGTACAGCCATCTTGACTGAAGAACAAGTAAACATATTTTCAACGAACCAGACACGAGTTTGAGAAAAGGTTAGATGTGGTACATCGCTGCGTTTGCATTGGAATTGATTCCAAACCTGTCACTTTAAAAAAAAGCGAAAGGACTGTCGATTAGAATCGGTACTTAGCCCGTTGTAAAAAAATATCGCACTGTAGCCTTACATTAAACTTCAACTGGGACGCAACATCGAGACCGAGCACGATTGTCATCTCCGAAGCCTGAAAGCATTTCATGCTGGAACTCTGGGGGCCCATAGAATAAATTTCCAGCAGTTCCAACATGAGAACTGACAAAAAAAGAGAAATTACTGTTACATCCTGCAGCAGTCCGCAACGCTCTCGGTTTTGGCAGGAGTGTCCAACTAGTGTACCACGCAGAAGCCCGTTCTGCATCGTACTCATGAAGCTCCGCAGTTTACCAGCTATTTCGGCAAGCAGTCCAGTAACCACGTCAGCTGACATGCAATCCACATTTTTCACGCCCCATTGGTTACAGCTCTGCACGGCAGACGCTTGCAGTGGGTTGGTTGGTGATGGCGAAATGACCGTCCAGTGAAGCGTTTCCAGCTCGATCCCTCCCGCTAGAAAAAGCCAAACTGTTTCCCCACGAGAACGACTCTGTTCTCCTCGTCGTACTTGCGGTAGGCACTCACAGCGTCAACAAACCGCAAGTTGCAGTTGTCGTCGCGTAGTGGCAGAGTGAAACTCATTTTGAGAGAAGCGCTGCTGCTCGCTCGCACCTGCACACAATCACAGCGTAGTGAGAACACGCTATACTTGCGAAAGAACTCGTTCAACCGGGACTTACGAATCGATACAGCTTTTCTGGCTCCGTGTCCTTCCTGCGTACGAGGTGCTCCCACAGACTATTTCAAGCTTCCGCAATCGTTCTTCGCATAGGTGTGACGGAGATCACTTCGATGTAGTTGTAATCCTTGCACGCAAATGGCCCGTGACGTTTCTTGCGAGATTGCAACGTAACTGAGAGATTCTCAACGTGGGCCGGAAAGACAGACCCCGCTTGAAGATACAGCTCGTGCATTGACTTTGCCATCCTTGTAATGATCTGCACGTGCAAGAGCAGAACACAACCACATCATCAGTTGAGTCCGCACGCAGAGAGCCCAAGTCGTCGTCTGCATATTCACCGGTTGCGCAAGCTCCTGCTCCGGCACGCCTCAGCCAACCACTTCATGTTTAGGACCGAGCGCCATGAGGGCGCCCTCGGGTAGATGGATAGCAGCAAACAGACAAAGACATCAATTCAGTTTCCATTTTACTCGCAACACAACAAGCACAACCAGAACCTTACAATCCTCCCCAGTATGATGTTGGCCGTGAAAGTCGTATCCAAGACTTGATTCGATTGAGCTTGATCCTGGAATACAAAGTCCTTTACCTGAGAGTGCATCCGTATTCATAAGTACCAGAGAAACAACAACAAAAAATACTAGCAGAACCTCTTCCGTACCTCACATTTTGTCAGCAGTTCTCGAATGTTTGAACAGGTACCAAACAGGCTTGACAAACTTTCCTTCAGCTCGCGGTTTGTGTGTTCGGAGTATTGTAGTTTCTTGGTCGCAAGTTCTGCAACTTGACGCCACGGTTCGCACTTGTTCTTGGTAAAAGCTGTTGCTCCACCAACATGCTGTAGGTGCAGTTGAGCCAGCTTGTCTTCAAGTTCCCGAACTTCCAACCGCAATGACTCGACCTCCGCTTTCCTTCGCCGCTGCAGATCAGTTGAGTATGGCACAGAACCAACCTTACAGATGCGCTTCCTACGTCGCCTCCCCATAGGAACTTTGTGTCGAACCGATAAGGTCGTGGCGGATCCTCCAACTTCAGCATCATTTCTAATTCCATCCGCAGAAACACTGTTGATCTCGGATCCCGGTTCCGTGTCAGTACCGCTGTGAAGATGACTGCTGCCCAAAGCGTCCAGGATTTCCATCAGCTCCGATGGTGTCGACGAGACGTCATAGTCCATGATCCGGCCACCTCGGACAATAGTGCTATGCGATTCAATTGAAGAATGAGAGCCTACGGCGCACAGGCCTCCATTCCTGGACGTTTACGCTGAAGCCTTGGTCGCGAACAAAGGATTGGCTATCCGGTATCACTGTACGAAGCAAATCATCGCCTGAACGTGTCTGACGAACGATACCTGCCTCTTTAGGTGAGCCCACGCCAACTGGGTTTTATTTCTTGTTCTTCACGAACGAAATGATACAGTCGTCCGCTTCAGTCGCACAATCTTCTCAGCCGCATAATCAGTCAAAAGTCACCATGAAACAGCAGATGAGTGTACACCGCTACGAACACGTGAAAATACGATCGCCTCCGCCATTTGACCCCAAGGAGGTCTATGTTGCAAGTAGGAAAACCTTGCAAGCATTACTCAGCGGTGATATGTTACCAATGAGGTGATATGTGTCATTGCGAGTGCTCATTCTGTCCAGCAGTAGGACAGGCAACAAGTGTAGCTAGGTTAGAGATCTAGCCCCACATCTCCAAGGGGAATTCCCCTATCCATGTTCGTACGGAGCCTCTGCTCCAAGTGTGTTCTCATTCTCAAATTTACCTTCCTCAAAGGACTCGAGTCTCCGGCGCTGTCGTCTCTTCTCAGTGGTCTTCCTTTTCTGACCTCCTTTAGTCTACAATCCTGACTTTGGCAGTACATGTATGCTCACAGCCCCACAAAGCCAATCAGATCTGCGCGCCCAGTCCGAAACAAAATATCACGCTGCATGACCAAGTATCGCTCTTTAATCTTCTTCCCCATTGATGAGTGGAGGCGGTCGCGCACTCGATCGATGTGTTCACCATCTACCGCCGCACAGTCGACAGCTTTTTCAGCAGCGATTAAATAGTGTGATCGAAACACAGTCTCGCTGGTCGGGTTGGAGTGCGACCGATGGACTGCAAACCAGGTGCACTCCCGGAAACAGAGGGCCCCGCACCTGTCAAACGAGATCGCTGCCCACAAAATGAGCCGGTAGTTTTCGTCCTCGCTTTGACGAGTAGCGCCAAATCCGTCCAGTAGCACAGTTTGGAGCGGAGCGCCTAACTCTACTGTGAATTGCTGCTCGTACGTACTTCCACCGCGGCGTCGAGGCTCCTGCAAAATCAAATTGAGCATACATGAACTTCCTTCCAAGCAGATCACACATGAAAAATGATCACGGACCTGAATGTAGCGAGGCTCACCAATATCAACTGGAGCTCGCATTTGATACTGTGCCCCCAGCAACTTAACGGCTTCGTCCAATGCACAATTCATCGGAGTAGTCGTCGTCAGCTCCGTGGTAGGTCCAGCAGCAGGGTCCAGCCGCACATTAAAGTCGAAAGAAAGAAAATCATCGTCAACACATGGGTTGATCACAGATCGAGCATGTGCAAGAATCCGCTGCAACGTCGCTTCAATTTCATGCCGGACTGCAGTAGGGTTAACGTGGAGTGTGTTGGGTTGCAGCACGGCGAGCACTGTGGAGCTGGTAGTTAGATCTCCGCTTGAGGGCAGCTCGAACGACGGCGCATATCGTAATGTGGCCGTTTGTGCATCAACGCTCCTAAAGACTTGGCCACTCACTGCTCCTTAGCCACCGCCTTCCTGAGCGTAACGTTGAGCATCTCTGCCTGTATCCTCTCTTGTTTCAGGGCATCTGCCTTCTCCTGCCAGGTGCAGCAGCCAGCAGCTCTTCCTCCGCTTAGCTACAGGACTGGCGGCAGGGCTCACGTAGGCATTGCTGTCTTGCCGCAGCTGAGCCAACTGCGCCTCCTGCTGCAGCGCCGTGTCCTTCAGTTGCTGACGCTCGTTCTTCTTGCGCTGGCGCCACTGCGCGTCCTGTAGTCGCTGCCGCTCGCCGCGCACACGTTTAGGCCGCGCCGGCCCGCAGCTTGCGCCGTCCATGGCTACAGACAGTAGTGATTGGAAAAAATTTATTGGCAAGCATTGCAACTGTACCGTACCATTGCAATATAGACGCCAATGTTACCACCGTGTCTTGCAATATTGCCTAAGCTTCCAATCGAGTATTGCAATGCCCATCGCTATCCAATACTGGTATTGTATTTTTCACACCAGCTGGTTACCGGCTAACAGTTGCAACTAATGCTTATTACCTCCAGCGCTGCCAACAACCACTAGTTATTAACTAGTGGTGGATCGAAGTAGGGGAAACGAAGGCTTTGAGCTTAACTACTAGTCCCTATAAGACTTGCGCTTGCTACACGGTACATCATCTTCGGTATAAATGCTCTTTATTTCTGCCAGGTAAGTAATGACGGATCGTCAAAACAGGTTGGGCGCGACCTTGGCCAATGTGATCATGCCCCATGAAACAAATACTTCGAATTGGGTCATTCCGGAACAGCCGACTTGTTGCGGATGCTGTAAGGCGTTCCCGCAGTACTGATATCTATTGGCTACTACAAACAGGCATTTTTTACTGCGTTCCAACCGAGTATTGCAATATTTCTTGGGTGTGCAGTTGAGTATTGGTATTGCATTTACCATGCCAATAGGTATGTAGTTGAGTATTGGTATTGCACTTACCATGCCAAAGGTCGCGCATAAAAGTTTAATCCCGGAGAATTGTTTGATGAAACCACTTTTTGGTCTCATCAAACAATTCTAATGCGACTCTTTAACTAACAACGTGATTAAACAAGTGACTGAGCTCCACTATGCTAGAAGGTCGCGTTCCAGCAACCGTTTTGGGGCGCATTAAACGTTTCGGTAATTTAAAATAAATTACGGATTAAACTGATCAAACGGTTTTATATGGGTTTTGGAAGGGCGCCTTCCAAAACAACAAAATAGTGTCCTGCAGTTTAAATTTTAATCCGCAATAAAACCCGAAATATTTTTTCCAATCACTGGTCGAAACGTACACATCATAGTGTGGTGCACATTTCCATATGGCTTTCAGATACGACCAAACGGAAGATAGGACGAATGAACAAAAACACTTTTGATATGATGATGTGCACGATAGGAAGGCAGCGGGCAATGGTCTTGTAGACGCAGGCTTCCTGCCTGCCACCACGTCTGCATGCCCGCGAGCTTTCATTCTAAAATTCTACAGCGCACCATGCGATTCCGGTTCGGAGAGGGAGAGGAGCAGGTTTTCGTCGCGGACATTCTGCCGCTGCTCGACATCGAGGACGAGGACGACGATGTTTGCATGCGCTGCTCAATGAAGGCGGAGTCTCTTGATGGCGGCGACTCCAGCACCAGCTCCAGTGGTCTCAGCGACGGAGGCGTGAAATCAACCCACGTGACCCATTGGTCCCGCCCACGCCTGCAGACTAAGAGAAAGATTGAGCGCTTGCGTCGCGAGATCCAGACGCTCGGCTTGGAGCTCTCCGGTCTGCAGCGCGCCGGACGAGGAGTCGGAGACGTCACGATAAACGCACAGAACTGCGCAGCGACCTCAAGGTGGAAAGCTATCACAGCGAAGCAACTGCAGCGGCGGCAACGCGCAGAGCACGACAACAGGGTGCTCAAGAGGATGATCGCGGCGCAGAACATGCTCGCCAAGTCCATTCTCAACGGACGCGTACGGCTCCGAGCGGCTGCGCGGTGAGCTCCTCACTGCCACATCGATTTCCGCGCATCTCTATATAATCGACACCGCACCCACGAAGGCTTGTTGCCTAGCTTTACCTGGTTGCCAGTATATCTTTACATGCACCGCACAGACTGAAGCAACAAAGCTTAACGTATTTGGATTAATATAACGCCACGTCCATGGTTGTGGACTCGCAAACAACTAAATAGTCAGGCTCAATTCCTGGTCGGGTAGACTTGTCCACTCGCTGAGCACACCAGACAGCGACGTGGTCAGGGTGCACTGCGCACTCAGCAGACTCTTGAGCGCCTTGTTTTCGCTCTCCGCCTTCTCCCGCTCTTCACGCTGCTTCGTAGCGATGATTTTCCACAGTGAGTCAGCCTGAGGCTCCTCGATGTCTTGCTCGGCATTCTTGAGCGCCTCCAGTTCGGCTTCTAGCGTCTCGATCTCGCGCCTCAAGATCTCGATCTTGCCCTTGTTGCGCAGCCGCGGACGAGCTGCAGTGGGTCTCCTGCCTCTCTTCGGCTTGGGCCCCTTCGGGACTTCGTCGATATTAGGACAGGGTCGCAGCCTCTTCAGACTCCGCGTCTTTGGGTCGAGAACGGAAAGATCTTCGTGCTGTAGGGACTCGAGTGACAGGTCGCCCTCAAGGACGCCGTCGAGCATGGCGAGGATCTCGGGGACGGAGACCTGCTCGTCGCCTACAACCGGCTCGAAGAAGCAACTCGAGAGGCTGCTGGGCTCAAAGAGGAGACTCATGGCTCTTTGCGTGTTCGGGCGCAGATGCAGAAATGACCTCCCGCAAAGGTGTAGCACACGCCTCGGGAGTCAACACGCGGAAGGCTGCAGGTCGATTACGAGCTGAGCCAGAGTGTGTGTAAGATGACTTTGCCGTTCATGAGATACCATGGCCGTTGAGACGAAGTACGTTGCGGTGCCGCCTCCATCCATCCAAAACTCAGCAATCCTTTTACAACTTCGTTTCAAACTTCGTTCGCAGCAGTCAGCTCACGGGAAATATCTTCTAGCTACTGCAACCGATTCTAGGGGCTATAGGCCCCGATGGGTCCTGGAGCTGCTCGTGGGTTGCTCGCAGCGTGCTGCTCAGAACCTCCACGACGCTCCGACAGAGACGGCTCGAGTTCGGCGTCGGCAAGAACTTGGCCGCGTCAGTATCTTCTGGCTCGCCGCGCACCTCGTAGCTTGTCTGGAATACCGATCGGTGCTCCGGATCGTCAGGCGCCCGTGACAGCATGGCCCAACCGTTCTCCCGAAAATGTAGCTTGCAGGTATTACCGCCAGCAGACCCGCTATCTGACGGCACGGTAGCAGACGTCCACATGTATACGATCCGATCTCGCTCCTTCACTTTCCGCGCACAAGTCACTCCGTGGAGCGTGCGCTCGCCTGCTTCGTCGTGAGCTCTCACAACGTAGCTCTTCACTACGTAGTTAACGCTTGGCTGCAGACGCTGAAGACGCTCTTTGTAACAGCCATCGTAGTGCTTGAGCTGCATCCCCGTTCAGAAGATCCGACTAGCCGAGTCGAGATCGCACGCAATGGGCGTTGAAGACGACATCTGCAGCGATATTCCCCCAGACTGTGCGTTGCGCTTGGTCCTCGATTCGTAGTTCTCCTAGACTGCAGCTCTGGCAGCACCAGTGTGTAAATAAATACATTTTGTCCAAGTCTTCGCGAAGCTCGTCTAGCTGACGAGCTGCCGCGTTGCTACCCAGCGGCAATCCCATCGGCGAGCTGGATGGACAGCAGCCAACTGGACCACAGCTGGTGCTGAGGCTCTGCAGGTTCCCGAACGCGCCGTGCAGCAGAAGTTCTCCATCGTCTTCCTCAGCAAAGTCTTGAGCTATACATTCAACTGCTCCGCTTTCTGCCGTTGTAAGGCCTCATCTGCTGCTTTCTGCAGCCAGAACAACGGCTTATCCCCATTGTCATTAGTCCTCGCTGTATGGGCAGACTGGAGACGAGTGTCCCCACCGTCAGCGGTCAACATGAGCATCGTGTTGAGAGCCGATGACTTTTCGCACCTCAATCGCTCCAGCTGCATCTCCAGACTTGCAACCAGCTCGTGTAGCTGCAGCAGCTAGTTTTTCTTCCTTGCTCGTAAGCGAGCCGAGTACCATGCACTCTTGCGCTTGGTCCTTGCCCTCTCATGCTTGTCCATCGTAGCCTCGCTGACTGCAACGCCGGCGTCAGGGCCTCGATCCTGATGTGTATTCGCGTCCCTCTCGGGTGTGGCGCCATCCTCCGATGTGTCGAAGGCGTCGACAAGCGCCAGCGCCTCCGCGAGCGTCTCGGAGTCGCTGGGCAGTAAGAAGCTCATAGTATTGTGCTTTTCAGTTGTTTTGGCGAATCGGACGTGTAAAACAGCTACCTACTAAGATCGGGCTAGGTTATCGGAGCAGATTAGCAGGTCCCTCGTAGGGAATTAGGACCAAGAATTGCTAGTCCGATGGAAGCACTTGCGCAGGTCCTACCAACAGCCGAAAGCCCGAATGTTGCCCATTTTCACGGCATTCGGGGTTTGAGGTCTTACGAAGGACTCCTGCCAAGTCTTGTGGCAGGACTTTCATACGAGCTGACTCTAATACGGCGTATGTCAAACGCAGAATAAACTTAGGGAAACACGATGCAGTCGATACGTCAAACACTCCAGTCTTCGCCCTTCGCCTTCGCGGGTTCCGGCATTGCTTGCTCCCCTAAACAAAGCTTGCTTGGCTTGGACTCCAACCGGAGTCCATTGAACGGAGAGACTCCGGGAGACCGCTCATTGGACTCGTCCGAGATTTGCATCTCAGATTTAGAGACCGCCAGCCTCAGATTAACTGACCTCCAAAGTCCTACGTAGGACTCGGCAAAATGACCGAAAGGCACAATACATGAATGGCGAAAGTGGACCGACCACCTACTGCACGTCTCAGTACGGTCGGAAAGGATAGACTTGCATCGGATTTGCACAGAACAGTTCATAGTGACCCCTTTTGTACATTCATCAGCAGCGCTGAGCAAGGTGCTCGTCTCGATCAAACTCAGATATCTACATGTATTGCTGGTTAACAACCTCCTGCAGATTCAGCCATCAGCTTGTCTTGAACCCGTTCATGAAACTTGCGCAAGTCACTGCTTAGCAGGTTGACGAAGCCGCTCCCAATACGGTCATAGTCGACCTGCGTTAATGATGTGGGCCCATCGTCAAGCCCGAAATCACCCAACTCGCTTGATACTTCGTAGCAAGTTCGGAATACCGACTCGTGCTCTGGGTTACTTGGGGATCGGGACAGCATGGTCCAACCTTTTTCTCGGACGCGCAACTTCCACGGCTTGTTGGTTGAACCTGTGTTTCCTGATTCTTGCTGCGATGGTACCATAGCAGTCGTCCAGATGTACAAGATGCGATCTCTCTCCTCAAACTTCCGAGCGAAAGCTGCCCCGTGAAGTGTGCATGGGGTTAGCGCGTCGCCAAGCGTCAAGAAAAAGCTCTTTGCGATGGCATTGGCGTTCACGTGAAGTCGATGAACATAGTATTTGCAGCACTTGTCTCCCTTCAGATGCATTCCACGCCAGATCATGCGACTAGCAGTATCCAGGTCGCTTGCCAATGGTGTTAACGAAGACAGCTGCACATATCTCCTGCCAGTCACTGGGTCGCGCTTGATCTGCGAAGTAAACGCGGCAGACCCGGCTGAACCTGCCCCGCTTGCAGCGAGTACGTCATGTGCGATGGCGTACATTTGGTCCAAGTATTCACGAAGCTCGCCAAGTTGCGGGGTTGCGTCGTTGCTCCTCAGCGACGTTCCCATGAGGATCGTAGATGGCGCACCAACAGCCACGTTGATCTCACAGCCCAAAGACTGGAGATTCTGGAACGCGTCCTGCATGGTCTTTGACCTCTTTACCACTTTGCGCAGCAACGTCTTCAGCTGCGCATTCAGTTGTTCCGCTTGTTGCCTCTGATAGACTTGGGATGTGGCCTGCTGCAGCCAGTAATTCGCTCCTGTTCCGCAGTTTTCAAGCGCCAATAGCTCCCCGCTGCCCGACCACGAGGCCTTCGCCCTCTTCAGTCGCTCCAGTTGCATCTGCAGCTGTGTCACATGCTCCTTCAGCTGCTGCATCTTCTTCTTGGCTCGAAGTCGGGCCGAGTACACGGCGTTCTTGTGTCTGCTCTTGGCCCTCTCGTGCTTGTCCGGAGTCGCAACATCGGCGTCTTCGTCTTTGCTGCTGCTACGACGGCGCTTGTGGGACTCTGCGCCGCTATCGCTGCCAACTGAAGACTCATCTGTCAGGTTGTCACCACCAGAGAAGTCGAATTCGTCCACGAAGGCCAGCGCCTCCGCCAGCGTCTCCGGGTCGCCGGGGCTCTCGAGGAAGCTCATCGCACTGCAGTCTCGGTCATTGCATGAATATTCCGTAGAGTAGGTTGTGTGCACCACAACATGCTCTCGCATGATTAGTCGATAACCTAGCCCTTACTCAATGCACCCTGAATGTGGGTATTTAATATAGTACCGTATTTTAAAGATCAAAAGATATCTTTGTGCCATACAAAATCATACGTACGGATATCGGATTGGCTAAAATGGTTCGTCGCTAATAAAGTGAAATCGTAACCGTCCATTGCAAGTGAGCAAGTGCCAGGAAGGAGCTGACCGATGGAAGGATTCCCGTTGCCCGACGCCACCAGCAGCTCGCCCGCGTCTGTATCTAATGTGCCGACAGCTCAACCATCGGCTGCTGCTCCCAAGAAGAAGCGCGTGCGACGGCAGCAGCTGGAGCTCAAGTTGCTGCGCGAGCTCTCGGGGGAGCTGGAGTCCCGCCTGGAGCAACTCAAGCGACGTCGGATCTGCAGCCCACAGGCTCCTCGAAGCGGTGGCGACATTAACTCCAGTAGTGGCACAGTTAGTGGGAAGATAAAGTACGGTCCTACCTCCGTGTGGGAGGCCATCGCCGACAGCCAGTTCAAGGAGCGATCACGTGTGGAGAAGCAGAACGAGGAGCTGAGACTGCTGCTAAAGGCGCAGAGCAGCATGGCTCAGTCACAACAGAAAAAAGTCCGGAAGGTCTTGGGAGACGAGGTGGGTAGTGTATTACTACTTGACAAGCTACGGTTTTCAGGCAAACCTGACGTCATTCTTCTTGATGCAGGAGCTGATAGGGCTGACGGTGATGCAGCTGCGAGGCGAGGGGCCTCGCTACTGGGATTTAAGGTCGGGCGATGAGGAAGGCATTTTTGCAGACTTGCTGGTGCTAGTGGCGAGAACTCGCATGGCGATTCAGAGGCGACAAGTGGAGAACCCTAGGAGCGTGCTGTCGTTTGCTACGTGGGGTATCTCTGTCGGCGAGCCTCACGTGAGAGCGGACAGTGAGGCCGGACTTGTGTTGGAGACGCATGCATGCTCCTTGCTGCCTTTTAGTGTGACAACCACGGCGGCGGCACACTGGAGGATGTTCTCGCTGCCGCCTGTGAACCACGAAAATGTATCAAACGACGTAAGTAGTGGCTTGATTGGTTTTGTTTGTTCTAGATATGCACTGATTGCTATGAAACTTTTTGGTTTGATCAGATCGAGAATAGCGATGTCTTTGCGCGAATTTTTACGTGTTCGTCGAATCATTTTGGAAGGAGCATCCACGTCCGCGGCAAGCACATATGCCGCAGATACGTCGAGGAGGACGGCTGCATTACCATCGTGTTTGCTGTGCGTACGGGGCCCAAAGATGCAAACTCACCCTGTCAAGATGTCCAACTCCAGAAGACAGGGTGGATCAAAGTTCGCCAACTACGGGCGCAAGACTCGGATCGGCAATCATCTGCCTTGGTTGAAATGCACACAGAGGTGCAGCCGCGGTTTCAACACGGTAACGTGGGCCAGACCCAGCGAGCACGAGAGATCATTGAGTGGGCCTCGAAGTCGCAGCACTCAATAAATGACTGGTACCGACAGAAGCTTGGTGAAGTTCTTGTGGAGGAAGACTGGAAAGCATTTCGTGGTGGAGATGCTGACGAAGTTGCAGTTTAGGCGCATGTGTTGCACGTGATCACCTAACGTAAGTAGTGAGTAGTATTTTGCATCATGCAATTTGATTAGGGGGTTTTAAAGTAGGATTTTGCCTAACATATTCCTGAAGACATGAAAATTTCCAGCCTTCCTGATTGGCTGTTTCAAAAGTTACTTTGAACCCCCTTTTCCGAGCTCGACAAGTCAGCAAGCAAACATAAGCCCCGAAGCGGCTGTGCAGTTCCGCCAAGTGTACGAAGGTCAAGTCGAGCACCTGCAACCAAACCAAGTGCAAGTCCACAACAGTACAAGACGAGCGACGTTGTCTAGGGTAAGTACAAATGCACTGGCGTCGTGATTCAGGCCAACAGGAGACACGAGAGCGTCGAAGGCAAGTACGCGTGGCAAGACTTAAAGCGGAAGAAGGTCAAGGTCAGCAACAGCAGCTTCTACATCAAGTCTAGCACGAGCCGTGAGGCTTGGACCAAGTTCAGCGGCCGGACGGATATTGGCTGTACCAGCGCGGCGTGCCATGTTTCACGCAGCCAACGCGCATTGGTGTGTGCTTGACGCCATGGGCGCCAGCGCTGGAGCCGCAGTTGGCGCCTTCGCGGGGCGCGCGCTACTGGCGGAATAAGCCTTTGAGATGGCTAGATTAGCCGTCGGATTCCAAGTCAATAGGCTCTTAGGTCGTTTGGACTCGATTTTGGCGTCAGTAAAACATGACATAACGGCAAAACCGCAGCGCGATCTGATTGGCTGAAAAGCTGTTTAAAATATAAAAAAAATGTTCTTGTGTCTCTAGGCTCAGCCCAACTTTGAAACCCCCTAATTTGCATGTTCACTGCAACCGGTTGGGGCAAGCCCATTCAAACGGGAAGACTTTCGCAGCGATTGTTGAAGACAAGAGCCAAATTTGAGTTGCACATGTCATTGCTGCAACATAACCGACCAAAACACTGTACCTCATTCCCCGTTACCGTTACTTAAATACTAGCGTCATGTAGTAGGTCGAACTTCAAAAACGCGAACACAGTCGGGGGAAGCTGGCACTTCCTTCAGTTGTCTGCCGAGTGTATTGCGCTTGCCGGCTTTGAGATAAAACCAAAAGTGAGAAACTAAAACATGCATGCCGACTAGCTGCTCTACATCGCCACCACCAGCGTCCCAGTGGTGGCGCTCTTCACGACCTTCAGTAAGAGCTCCCTACTGCAACTTGCACCTTGCACCTCGCACCAGCTTGAGTCAACGAATGCACGCACGATGTGCTCTTGAGCACGCCAAGCCAGCACTCGCTGGTTGCGGCGCCCAAGTTCAACACCTCTGCATACTCGGCCACAGCGCTGGCTGAGCAACAGCACTCGCTGAGCAACAGCACACATGGCTGACTGCAACCACATGCTGGCAGCAACACGCTGCCCAGCATCGCCGCCGCACTCGACTGTACTGCGTGGTCGTGGTTGGGCTTTCATGCCGCCACCCACTACACGCCACCTGGTGCTGTGCTCCCCCACCACCACCACCCGGAGATGCAAGCCGCAGACGCCGCCGCCAACTTCGACCGGTTGCTGGACGACACAGAGCCGACATTGCTGGACTTCCTCGACTCGCTCGGCGACGGAGATGCGAGTATCGAAGCGGGACCCGACGCGCAGCCTGTCACTTCTACCAAGAGCAAGGCGAAGACGAAGTCGAACACTTGGCGACAGCGACAGCGAGTAGAAGTCCTAAGGCTGCGAGAGGAGGTGCAGCAACTGGATGCAGGGCTCAAGAAGCTGAAGTTGGCCGCTGGAGTGCGATCCACAGTGCCTCTCGTCGCCAGCATTGCTGCTGCTCCGCACAACAACAAGCGCCCAGCAGTGAGGAAGCTGCTGCATGAGTCGTGGCAAGATGTGGCATCTCGCGAGTCATGGGCGCGCCAATCCTCTGACATGGAGAATGAACGGCTGCATAAGGTGCTGCAGATGCAGGTGAAGCACGCCCGGAAGCTTTATCGAATGATGACTCAGCAGATGACAACTGCAGTCATGGCCTTGAGCTGCGTCATCTGCTCCTCCAGCTTCCCCACCAGCTGCCGCAGATAGTCCAGCTCCAGGTTCTGTCGCCTGATGCGCTTCTTCTTGGGCTTGGCTGGCGGCTGCGCGGGCTCCTCCTTCACTATTGGCGCGGAATCTGGCGACAGCAGCTTGCCCGCGCTGCAGTCCGCACTGCTGGTCTTCATGTCCGTGTTCAAGTCGGAGAACAGCGCCAGCGCCTCCTCCCGCGGAACGCAGTGGTCATGCTGACCCAAGACAAAACCTGAAAATGACACAACTGAACTTTTGGCTGGTGCCGACCAATCATCGATCAGGGATTGAAATGGGTACAATCGGACGATCCAAAAGCTACTGCAGTGCCATTGCTGTTGAAGTCTACACTTGAAGAGATACACTACTGCCGAGCCAGCCGTTGATATTCCAGTCTTCCTCCACGAGGATGTCGGCGATTATCTTGCTGCACACTTCAGTGAGCGTGTCGTGTAATTTACCACAAAATCGGTGATCGCACCCACTTGAAACTCTTGGTCGACAATGTCGTCCTGCAGCTCCATGGTCATCTTGGAATACGACTGCAGCAGCGTCGACGTGGAGCTGGCACCACCGACTTTGACATCACGAAGCACAATCCAGCCCGTCTCGTGGCAACGCACGCCGCTGAACTTGGTCCCGTTGAGCTCCACCGGGTTCACGACCCACTTCCACATGATCACGACCCGGTCGCCCACGACGCATTTGCGATGCGTCTGCTTCCCACGGACGTTTGCGTGGAATGGACCAGCGTTGAAATAGAGACCGTAAGCGCGAGCAACCACTGTCTCAGTCGCCAACCGTTCGTCGAGAAAGTAGCTGTCCTTCTTGGAGCCTTCTTCAGCAATTGCACGCCAAAAGGCCCTCTCGGTCACTTGAACGTCTAACGGAAGCATCGATCTCGCTCTTTTGATGAACGCGACACTGGTATCCGACTGTGGGTCGTTCATCACGTGTAGATTGCAGAAAGTGGCGGTGGAGTTCGTGAATTCCGGCACGTTGAAAAGCCGATCCTCGTCGAGATGGGCGCGCTCTATGTGCGCCAACTGCTCCGCGAAGATCTCGTCGTCAGTAGGACAAACTAGCGAGTTGGCCAAGTGCTTTACACGTTTGGGAATCGCCAACGAAGCCACTTCCTACATCAAAATACATGAAGACATAAAAATCAGGAATCGTGTTCCAGTTGCAGTTCACCAGCTTAACCCATTCAATACGTACCTCATCTCTTGGTCGCTTGCGTAGCAGCCCCTCCAGCTTCATGGCTAGCTTCAGCTGCCCCTTGAGTGACGCTCGCAGCTTCTGGTTCTTCTCCTCCACTCGTGTCCGCTCCTTAAGCTGCCGCTCTGCTATCCCTCTCCAAATCGGTGCATTGTTTCTCTTAGTTTCGGCCACAGCGGTCTCATTGCTGCTGTTCTCGACAGTCGGAGGGGGTTGATTAAGTTTGAGTTCCGTCATCTGCTCCTCCAACTTCTTGACCAGCTCCCGCAGGTATAAGAGCTCCTGTTTCTGCCGCCGAACGCGTTTCTTCTTGGGTTTGGCTGGCGGCGGCTGTGGTGCCAGTACCTGCTGCAGATGGCGGTGCTCCTTGTCTACCCCGCCACTGGGCTCAAAGAACGCTTTCCACGCAGAGTTCTGAGCAGGGAAGACTTGTTGTACGTGACACGTAGGGTCCATCTCTGCGGTCGACCAACTTTTGAGAAGTGAGCAATTACAAACAAACTCGCCGGGATTACGAAAAGGCCGAGGCAGCGATGATTACTCTCGACCGCTCCCCGCATCAAAGTTGGAGTGACGCTATGGGGCAACGAATGAGCGATCTCAACCAGACTAAACATCCTGTAAATACCATGAGCCCACAAACTGCGTTGGTAATTGTACATTTTAATGTACAATTTTTAAAAAAAGTAAGCACTCTATCGCTATATCCTCGTCCTTCCGTCAAGCAAAATCGGACTGTTGTAGTAATGCTTCGAGGTACGGTGTAGTTTTCGAAGTAAGTTAGTTTTTGAACGGGATGGCACATAATACGTGTTGTTTAACAGAGTGTCCAAGAAAGTGACGATCAACGAAGCAAAATTATTCACGCTGGACTACGTGAGAACTTCTGTTTCGCAAGCATCATTGAGGGATTATTGACAAGGGACGATTTTATGCAGCCAGAAAATTGGTCCTGCACCATAAAACAGGTCCTGCAAAATGGGGGGGGGGTCATACGTTATTCCGGGGAATCTACCGCCACCGATCGGGACCACATCCGACCGGATTTGACCACTTCTCACCTTTTTTGGACCCGAATGATTCCCCCGGTATTCCGTTTGAGTAGAGCAAGCACGCCCTGAAGAAGAAACGCGCTCACCCAGCACGGGTTGGAAGGCCTCGCGGACGGCCACCTCGAGGCCACGCTATAGCTGTCTATCCTACGGATACGACTGCCGAGAGCCCGGCGTTCTATCGCGGCGACGTCACTGTGGAGCGCTGCGTCCGGCATGAGTGGGTCTCTGTCTCTGGCTATCGTCCTCGTCGAGCGGGTCTGTGCGTCTATCGACGGGTGCGGCGGCCGAGTAGGCAACATCAAGCTGTCCGTGGGCAGTGGCGATACGGCTAAGGGCGGCGGCGTGCGCTGGTTTGAATACGACGAGCACCGCTGCGGGCGGCGTGGGCGGTGACGTGGGCGTGTCCAGCGGCGCGAGCAATAGCTTCACGAGCGGCAATGTGCTGATGCACACTCCGGATGGCGGCGTGGGCGCAAACAGCACGGCCGCTTCGTCGGGCCTGATCAAACTGACAACGGGCTGGGCTCGGCGGGCGACTCGCGGCAACGGCGGATCCGTCTTGCTCAGCGTGGGCACGGGCAGCAGCGGTGCTGGCGAGGCTATCTCGCTGCGGTTTGGCGACACACAGGCTGGAACAGGAGCGGCTCTTGCAGCGCAGGTGACGTGTCTGACTGCGGGGGCGAAAGTGGCCCGCCGTCTTCGGTTTGAGTGCTGACGAGCAGCAACAAGTAAACGTTGCGATGGTCGCTGCCTAGAGACAAGTGACCAACCTGATCAGGAAGAACCTCGTCATCAGATGCCGCAAGCCCGTGTCCTCCGTGTTTGAGCTGCTGCTGCCGCCCGTGCTGACGCCCTCGCTCGTGTTCATCGCCAACCTGGACTCGATCTTCGGTACCGGGGGCAACTACAGCAGCTCGTCCGAGGCGGCCACGGGCACCATTATGTACACGGGACTGGACTCGCCGGCGTACACAGACTACGGAGCGCTGAGTACCAACATGCCGACGTTCTACAGCAGCGGCCAGAGCGTGAGGCACTTCCTGCTGATCAGCTACATCAAGTTCGTGTCCACGACCACGACGGCCACGATGATCGAGAAGAACCGGAGACCTAACAGCTCGTCCACGTAGGGCTTGACGCTACCCTAGCGCTCGATGGCGAGCAACACAACGGGCATGACATTTAGCGTTCAGCGTTCTGCAAGGGCTGCGCTGCGTTCGAGATTGCTAAGGACACCAAGCTGTGGATGAAAGACCAGCTCATGAATGCGAGATTGGTTCACCTCGCAAGAAGGAGAACAGAATGCATGTTTGATGGATTGAACATGTGCGATGTAATGATCTTATCTAAATCGATCCTACCTGACTGTCTTGGTTGCTCTTTCGTTTTGTGCAGTAAAGACGCAGTGCTCGAGTCAATGGCAGACCTCCTTCCAGTGCTCGTTCTCGCTGAAAGCGGACGAGCTGTCGGACGAGTTGAGTTTGTCCGGCTCCGTGGACCGCGAGCTGCCGGTCTTCTAGTACTTGCCGTGCGTCGTCTGCAGCTGCGGGGTCATCTTCTGCGTGAGTTCGACCTCCTTGTTGATCGCGTCGCAGGCGCATCAGTTTTCCGAGCTCCTGGCTGGTCCTCAGCAGCTCCGCCAACTGCTTCTTCAACTTGGCGTTCTCCTCTCGCATGCGCGCGAACTCGTCGTCTTGCTCAGCTTTCTCCATCTTGAACTTGGAGAACTCCTCGCGCACGCGGTTGATCTCTCTCTCCTTCTCGATCTTCTCGATGCACAGTTTGGAGAAGATCTGACGAGCCAAGCGGCCACGCTAGATGCGGATAGCTGCTGCCTCCGCCTCCTGTCTGCCCTCCTCCTTCATCACGGCGAACTGCTTCCGCTCCTGGTTTTTCGCTCCTCCTTGTCGAGGTCCTTGTAGCCGTGCTCTGCGCTGCACTGCTCCAACTGCCGGCGCTCAGGCTGCGCCCCTTCGTCACGTCAAAGTGCTTCAGCACCGCCTCGGTGCCTCCAGCTCATAGCGAACGTCTGTCACGGCTTGAACTCCCTTTGAACGACCTTGTACTCAATTCTAAACTGACTTATGAACTTATAAACAAACATGCGGCGGAGTGTCGGAGTTCGGAGCTCGGTGTCGGATATGTCGGGGCCTGTCGGCCCCAACATATCGTATGAACCTGCAAAATCGTGGAATGTGTCCTGCAAAATACCAGAAACCTACTATAAAACTTACGTTTTACATTAACCCATTCTGTTTTACAGTAAATAACTTAGCCAATCAAAGCTTCCCTTTCACTGGCCTTATTTCACAGGGCGGACACTCGCCCGTTGGCTCTCGCCTGCGGACTTAGCGACGGCACTTCGGGGGGGCGCCGCATCGCGACCTGCCCCACCCCCTCGTGCCTTACGCTAAGTCCTTGGCTCGGCCAGGCGCGGTGTCTAGGAAAAAAAATATCGGGTTGCAGCGCTCGCGTTCGCTCGCTCGCGCAGACACGCCCCCGCCTAATCGGCGGGTGTTGGGCGATTGGTGAATGCACTGAGTGAGCCTCGCGCTCGCATCCGCTCGCCCTCGTCCGTTTTGTTGAAATCCCTCCGATCTGGCATCAGGATCGTGAGGGATGGGGCGCTCTGGCGTCAGACTGACGTCAGGATCCGCCGCTCAGCTGTGACCTGCATGACGAGGTAAGTAAGGATAGGCTATAGATAAGACTGAATCTCACTTTCCATTCTACCCTAAAACGTGCACTTCAACAGGTTTTGAGCCTAGATGCAAGCGGAGCAAGGCCGCAAGGACCGGCTCCGACGAAGGAGTGGAGAGCACCGCCGTCGGCCGCGCAAGGGGCGACGGTAACCCGGGAACGTCGCGCCGGCGACCACGGAGGGGGGCGAAGCGTCGGAGCTGCTGGTGCTACTTCGCAGCGTCGTTGGTCGGCTGGACAAGATGGAGGAGTCCCAGACCAAGCTCGAGCAGCGCCTGGAGCCGCCGAAGAAGGATGCGAAGAACCTGATGGACACGAGCCTGTTCGCGTCGGCCCTGGGCCGCGGGTCCAGGATGCACATTGACTCGTTGAGCGGACGCCGCACACGCAGACCCCTCGCAGACCGACAGCGCCCCCGCAGTACTTCGGGCTGCGCCATGCGGACGTCGGGTCCCACGAGCCGGGCTACGGCATGTCGGAGCTGCAGAGGCTCTACGCGGTGGAGCACGCCGCCCAAGCTGGACAAGGAGCGCAGCAGCCACCGGCGGCGCCGACGCCAGCACCTCGCCCGCCTGAAGCTCAGCCGCCAGCCGTCCCCACGCAGTACCAGTATCTGCAGCAGAACCAGGGCGGGGCGCTCCGATACCCGGACGCTCGCCAGAAGAAGCTGGCGATCCGCCCGTTCGACGGCAAGGAACTGTACGTCGGGCTGGGCTCCGGCTTCCTGGACTGGGGCAGGAGATTCGAGCGGCAGGTGGCGCTCGGGCAGTCGGCGTGCGGCTTCCCGTGGTCCGAGGACGTGAAGGTAGACCTGCTCGGCCACTACCTGTCGGGTACGGCCGAGCGGTACTACAACAAGCAGGTGGACACGTGGTGGAACCAGTTGCCCACCTTGCAGTACGTGATGGAGCGGATGCTGGACGCGTTCAAGACCAACATCACGCCCGCCCAAGCCATGAAGCTGTTCACGGCGCCGAAGGACACTAAGCGATCGTGGCCCGAGCACTACATGTACCTCGTGGCCATCTCCGAGGCCACGGGGAGCTTGACAAGCGTGGCTTCGAGCTGAGACAGCAAGCCGGACGACGCGTCGTTGCGGCCAAGGACGGTGGACGCGTGGCGTTCGACGTCGAGATGCGGCGCAACGTGTTGGTTGTGCGCGCCTCTGTGGGGCCGAGGCATGAGTTGCCCTCGGACGTGATCATGGCCGCGCTGAGCCAGGGGCTCACGGAGCCTACGGCAGTATCGGGCGACGTGCAGAAAGGCACGCTGCTGGAGTTTCACAAGCGCTTGGCGCACCTGAACTATGACTCGGTGGAGCGACTGGCTAAGGAGACGAGCTCCGGGATCCACCTAACGGACCATAAGCGTGTGAACTGCCTGACGTGCGCCGAGGGCAAGCAGACAAAGAACCGGCGGTCCAAGAAGGACACCGGCGCTCACTCACCCATCGACAGGGTGGGTGGGGTGATCTGTTCCGACTTGAAGGGGCCGATGACCCCCAAGGACCGCCTGGGCAACAGATACATGATCAACTTTGTGGACTTCAAGTCCAACTACTGCCGCGTGTTCCTGGCGCGCACCAAGGACGCGGCGGCGAAGCTCTTCGAGCACTTCCTCGTCTACTTCGAGAAGGAGTTCGACTGCAAGATCCACGTTCTGCGCACCGACTCCGGAGGAGAGTACGAGAACGTGGACTTGTTCTGCAAGCGCACCGGCGTGGCCAGGCAGCGCAGCGAGGCGCGGAACCAGTCTAGCAATGGCAAGGCCGAGCGCATGCACCGCACCATCATGAACATGGCGCGGTGCATGATCTTCGCGTGTGGGCTCCCGCTGAGGTTCTGGGGTGACGCGGTTCAGTACGCTGCGTACATTCTGAACCGCGCCCCGACCAACTCCAACCCGGGGCGTGTGTCGCCGTTGAAGGTGCTGACGGGAAAGTCTCCGCCGCTTGGCGAGATCGTGGTGTTCGGATCGCCGTGCACGGTGTACCGCGACCCGCGCAAGAAGAACTTCGCGCAACGCGCGCAGGCGGCCATGATCGTGGGCGTGGGCGAAGAGACCAAGGGGTACCGAGTGTACTTGCCCAAGGACAGGGTGGTGGTGACCACGCAGCACGTCAAGAATATCGAGACGCTCGACAAGGAGCAGAACCTGCAAGTGCAGAGGCTCTACCTGCGAGGCGACGAGACGCTCGAAGGCGACGAGACGCCAGAGAGCGAAGCTCAAGCGTCGGTGGCTGAGGCCACAAGCGCGCGCAGCAAGAAGAAGCGTGCGTCCAAGAAGAAGAAGCCGTGGGCGCGCGAGCGCCACGTGACGCGCTCCGTGACCAAGAACGCAAGCAGGGTGACGAACGGGGCCGCGCAGTCGCAGGAGGCGGCGCGCGACGTCGTGAACAGTGTCACCGAGCACGACCCGAAGACGTACCAGGAGGCCATGCGCAGCAAGCTCAAGGAAAAGTGGCTTGCTGCGATGGCGGAGGAGCTGCGAGCTCTAGAAGACAACGGGGTCTGGCGAGTCGTGCGTAAGCCCAAGGGCGCCCACGCGCTCCACACCAAGTGGGTCTACAAGACTAAGATGGATGCGGAGGGCGCCATCGAGCGACTGAAGGCGCGACTCGTCGCCTGCGGCAACGAGCAGGAGTTCGGGGTCGACTACAGCATGACGTTCTCCGCTGTCATCGAGATGAGCAGCGTGAAGCTGATTTTCGTGCTCGCCAGGAAGTGGGGAGTCCCCGCGAAGCACGGCGACGTGCCCAACGCGTACGTCAAGGCCGATAAGGAGGCAGAGCTGGACATCTATCTGCGCCTACCGCGCGGAATGGTGATTCCGGAGGACGTGCGCGAGCGACTGGGCGTCGCGAATGACTCCGAGTTGGTGCTGGAGTTGTTGAAGGCCCTGTACGGCCTCAAGCAGGCCGGCCGCCTCTGGAATCAGCTCTTGCACAAGACTCTCATCAAGTTGGGCTTCACCCAGAGTCTGACGGACATGTGCGTGTACCACAGGCGCCGGGAGGGCATCCTGGTGGTTGTCGGCGTGTACGTCGACGACGTGCTGGTCACGGGAATGCAGCAGCAAGCCGTCGACGCGTTCTTCGGCGAGCTGGCCGAGCTCTCCATCAAGGACCTCGGCCCCGCCAGCAAGTTTCTCGGTATGAGGGTGTCATACACCGAGGACGAGGGCTACGACTTAGACCAGGAGCTGGCCATCGAGGAGATGTTGCGCGAGCACGGGATGGCGACAGTGCACGGCGTGCGCACCCCGATCGGCGCCGAGTCGAACGAGATCGACGAAGCGTCAGATGAACTTCTGCCCACGTCTGGAGGAGACGGCGTGGTGACAGTGCGCAAGTGCCAGTCGCTCGTGGGGAGCTGGCGCGCTGCACGCGCCCGGACATCGCGTACGCGGTGCACAAAGCGTCGCGACGCACCCACAGCCCAACGATGTCCGACTGGAAGCTCGGCAAGCGCATCGCGCGCTACTTGGCAGGGACCAAGAGCCTGCGGCTAAGTATGAAGGGCCAGGGGGTTTTGGAGGAGCCGCTGAAGGTCATCGCGTACAGCGACGCGGACTTCGCTGCCGACAAGGCGGACAGGAAGTCCGTGACCGGTGGCCTGTTGACGGTTGACGGGATGCCCGTGTCGTGGGTCTGCAAGAAGCAGACCGGTGTCAGCCTCTCCACCATGGAGGCTGAGTACACTGCGGCCTCGGTTATGGCTACGGAGTTGCTGAGCGTGCGCGAGCTGCTCGGCGAGCTGGGCATCTCACATGCCAGCCCGATGTCGCTGTGCGTCGACAATCAAGCGGCGCTCAAGCAGCTCGACGGCGAAGGCTCATCGAGCAAGGCGAAGCACATTGATGTGCGCATCAAGTTCGTGGGCGCGCTGGCGAAGCGTGGGGTGCTCAAGGCCGAGTACCTCGAGAGCGAGAAGATGCCAGGAGACGTCCTCACTAAGGCCCTGGATGCACCGAGACTGGCTTACCTGCGGGTCATCGTGGGTCTCCATTGAGACGAAGAGGGGGTCGCCGCTGCCGGCGTGGAGGAGTGTTGAAATCCCTCCGATCTGGCGTGAGGATCGTGAGGGATGGGGCGCTCTGGCGTCAGACACGTCAGGATCCGCCGCTCAGCTGTGACCTGCATGACGAGGTAAGTAAGGATAGACTATCGATAAGACTGAATCTCACTTTCCATTCTACCCTAAAACGTGCACTTCAACACGTTTTGTATCGGACTCAAAATACAACGGATTGAATATGTCCTGCACCCCAACCATAATTCATATAATTGGTCCTGCAAACCGACCTGCATTTGCAGGAAAATTTGTCTGGTGTAGGACGTATTTTATGACTGCATTCATTTCTCCCATTGACAAAACGAGGTGTCTTGCTGTAGCCGGCTTCCTTGATCACTCCAGTGTACATCCACCTGTCACAACAAATACATGTACGACTTGATACGAATGGAAATGGGTTAAATAGACCATGCAGTACAATGATTTCAATCATCAAGATAGCAGTCTTAACTTGACTCTACGCGGATTGATCATCGTTTCCGTACGTCGCTTTCCAGTCTTCCTCCAGCAACATCTCACGTATCATCTGGCAGTAAATGCTATTTGTCGTGTTGTGAGCTCTGCCCATCGAGTCAACGAGCGTGCAGATCTGTCCGTTCTCGTTTTTCACTCCGTCTTTGAATACGGAGTCATTTCCGAGTACATTTCTACCGCAGTCGAAATCGTGGGTAGTCCAGGTACCCGTTGCAGCTTGATCCAACCAATTTTTCGGCATTGCATGCCCGAAAACTTGGCGCCGTTGAACTCGACGGGATCGGCATATCCTGCCCACACGATGATCTCGCTGTCTTCATGAATATATCGCCTGCAGGTTTGCATGCCCCGGTCACTTGCTGTGAAGCCATCACAGTTGACACGCAAGGCGAATGGTGTCGATACGACGTCGCTGTCCATGTCCCAATCCTGGCAACCATAACAATTAGCAAGAGAATAGAACCAAAGTAAACTGCACGATGGTATCGTATCGTACCTGTTGAACAGACCCTTGACGATGGAATGCCTCGTACGCTGAGATTCTCCAGTAGCTGCAAAGAATCTTCGTGAACAAGCCCACACGGAGATCAAATGGGACCGTGGTGTGGTGCTGCAGCGCATCTCGAGTACAGCCCCTGCATCGACGTTGGGATCTGGTCTTCTGACCTCCACTCCTTGAGAGAGATCCGCCGTGGGTTGCAGCGTTTCGCTCGGGGTAAACATTGCTGCTGCATCTTCAGATACGCTTTCGATACTTGCGTGAGCTGCTCTGCAAATATCCCAGCGGTGTCTGTGTCTGTCGAGAACAAGTCCCACAACCGGGCAGGTTTCTGCCTCACCATAGCACACACCCTTGCATCCTTCCCACACAACTTGAGCCGCTTCACCAGGTCGAGCACAAGCTTCGCATGAGCGGTGCACTCCGCCTTGGGTTCGTCTTGGATATGCTCGACGTGAAGCCTCTCTTTAAGCTGACGTTGCGCTATCTTCTCCCATACCGACGGAGCTGTTACATCGGTGTTGCAGGTTCGGCCAGAAGAGAGTCCACCGCTGGCAGGCACCCGTATCTTAAGTTGTTCCAGTCTCACTTCGAGTTCACGGGCCTGTTCACGGAGATTCTTGAGCTCTCGCACTTCGCGTCGCACGCGCTTTTTCTTCTTTTGATTCGCAGGCGTCGTTCCGAGCGTTAGTTGAGCTTGGTCGCTGTGGTTCGTCGGCGTCGGAGAAACGCCGGCAGGTTCATTAACTTGGACGGGGCCCTCCAACAGTGGGGGCAGTTCTACTGGTGGTGCGGAAGAAAGCAAGTCCTCCAGCGAGAACGAGGCTTGGTCGAATGGACTTGGGAAACTCATCGTGGGCTCGCCGGTTTTGAACTGTGCGACTGACTCCAGAGGTGCGGCATAGTACCGCAGTGGCGTCAACCGCGTGATTGCAACTCTTCTTAATAAATGTACAGGTGGAGCAATTTTAGCAACCCAATACATGTATACTGCTTCTCTGGGAAGCGTTTGTAAGCCTAGACTTTGTAATTGCTTCTTTCGTTGTGAACCTGCTTTTCTAAAACCAAACAGTTTCCAAAAACGCTCGTTTTCAACTTTAATACACACCGGTCGTGGAAGCCCAAAGCTATCATCGCCAACTCCACCAAGACTTGAACGAAGAAGCTACTCCTTACCACAGCAAGGCCTTCACGTCATCACAGTGCATGTGAAGCAGCATCTGCCGTGAAAACAACAAGCCAACGCTGTCGAAACTGGCAATCTGAGTTTCGTGGCATCCTTTCGCGTCGAGTAATATGCATTACTCGACGCACACGTGATGCACTTCGTTGGTGACAATGCCCCGACTGTATTACATGTAACAGGAACCTGCAGACACCAGACTCACTTTTCAATCGGACATATCTTCGCCCAGAACAAGCCAGGAAAACTTCGTCGGTAATGCAACGCTGGGTGACTTGGAGACGCGTTGCCGCACTTGCTGCAGCAATTGTCGCCATGATTTCCATCACGAGCGCTAAAGTCTCCTACCCCACCAAGTCGAATGTTTTACCGTGGGTGGACGTGGACACCACGGCAAATGCTCAAACCCACAAGTCGTCTCGCGGCGCGACATGGTCGCTTATCATGAGCGACGAGTTCAACGCGGTAGGTCGTACATTTGAGGCTGGGGCTGATCACCTTTGGACTGCAGTGGAGAAGCCCGACGATGTGAATGCTGCGCTGGAGATCTATGCCATCAACATGACTTCGACCGAGTGCGATAAGGTGGGCAACTGCTACTTCTACATCGAGTCCGACATTGACGAGCGGAACATCACGGTCTGGAACGACTACATTTCACCCCCTGGCTACCAGAACGTGTCGTTTTACTACCGAGCGGCAATGGTGCAGGGCTGGAACAAGTTTTGCTACCAGGGTGGGCTCGCAGTCGTGCGTGCCCAGCTTCCTGGCGCTGTCAGTGAAGACTCGGGAAATCCTGATCTCGCCAAAGGCACGAAAAACGCCCGCGCCTCCAGCATCGACTACTACCCGACTTGGCCAGGAATCTGGATGTTTGGCAATCTCGGACGCGCAATCTTCACAGGGTCCACAGCCCGCATTTGGCCATTCTCGTACAATGAGTGCAACGAGACGGTCTTCGATTCGCAAAACGAGCGCATTAGTGCATGCGACGCCAACCCTGGTTCAGGCATGAACCCGTACCAAGGTCGAGGCGCACCGGAGATTGATATCCTCGAAGGTGGAGGCACTGAAAACGCGTGTACACTCGACATCTGCCCCGCATCTTTCGACGTGAATCCAGATCTTGGATTCATGGACAACAGATCCGAGCACTGGGGCGTCAACTCCAACGGCACATGCTTCCCAAGGATGAATGCGTACACTGGTGCCTACCTGTGCAATGCAGGAAACACAGAGCCACAATGTACCGAGTCCGGGGGCTCGACCAGCGCTGCGTCTTCCTTCACCTACCAAATGGACGCGCTCTCATCAAACTGGGGCACCCACTTGGCCGCATACCTTGACTGGGTCACGTACTCAGTCGAGTGGGTCCCTGGAGACGACGGCTACGTGCGATGGGAAGTTGAAGGCCACCCGATCTACGAGATCACGGCCGCTACGGTCACCAACCCGCCTCAAAACGCAGCGCAGACGAATCCCAGGAAGATCATGATCGAGAAGCCCATGTATTTTATCTTCAACGTTGCACTGTCGAGCTCGTGGGGGTCAAAGCCTCCAAATGCTGGAGTATCCGGGTGCTACGGGGACGGAAAAGACAAGAAGACAAACGCAATTTGTGATGCCTTCCCCATGAAGATGAAGATCGACTACATTCGGGTGTACCAAGACACCTCTACGATGGCCTATGGCTGCGACCCGGCATCACACCCGACCAAGCAGTGGATCGAAGACCACATGGAGCTCTACCAGGATTTTGACAATTTGGTGGTAGAAGTCCCAGGAAAAGTGTCATGCAACTCCGACGATGACTGCACGGTTGCGGTGAATGGCTCCTCACCTGCGAGAACAGGGTCCTGCATCAAAGGACGTTGTGAATGCGCGTCACACACGTGGACTGGTCCACGCTGCACCGAAACCACAAGCGTCAAGAAAGACGATGGGCAATACGGTCCTCCGATGGTGCTATCTGCTGGAGTTGCAGTTGTGACTGTACTAGTCACGGTACTGACCATTGTGTACTCGAATGCCAAGGATAAACGCGATCGTGAGCGTAGACTAAGAAGTTACCCACTCAAGATGGAGCAGCTCGTCAAGCAGGCCGCATCTGTGACTTCAGAAGATAACGATGTGGGCCCTGCAAAGCACGCGTACAGCACTAACTTTGTTTAGAAAACCTACTTTTGCCACGCACTAGTTTTGTTGTCGTAAGAGCGCAATACTGTACAGTATTGTCATCGATCTCCAGCTTTCACTTTCACCTATAATACCAGCATCTACTGTACGATGTCATCAGCGAAAACAAGCTAATGTCTGGCTGTTATACATTCCTTTGAGGGTGAAGCCTCATTACGATATACATGTAGTACATGTATGTCGAATTTTGAGCAGATGCAGTAGCAATAACACTCATGTCGATGGGAGATCGTCGTCTACAAAAATGTCTAAATGCCGTTGAGTGTGCTCTGCAAACATGGTCGCAACTTTTACGATGCTCTAACAAAATGGAAGTACTACTTGCAACGCGTTTTTCCGTTTGCCGCTCTTCATAGCAGTCAATTTAACAGCTCCTCAAGCAAACTTGGTTAATCGGATCCACTTTCTAATACGCAGCACGGCGCGCTGTGCCTAGAGTAATATTTCAACCACCGCAGTGTTGGCGTAAGAAAATAAGCTATTGTGCACCAACTATCGGAGTTAGCTTTGAAATTGAGTAAATATGAACATGTTAGCCAGCTTTTGTGCCTCATCTCCTACGTGCTCTCCTCCGATGCGGAATTGCCGCAAGTATAGTATTCACAAGAAAATTGACAACGAACCGTTTCAACCTGCGCGATAAGTCTGCGTAGCATCGTATCTCGCTCCACTCGCTTTTCCCAACTTCTTCAATCAGTACTCGCAATGCCGTTCTCCGAGTGCTCACACGTTGGCAAATTGCAACGCAACTTGTCACGAATTATGAGCGATGAGGCTGCTTCAATCATGAGCCAAGTAAAACGGAAAACTAATGAGATGGCAGCCCTTTCGTACAACTGAAAGTCTAATGAGGTGCCATTCAGCATCATTCAGATGCATCACCCAAAAGGTCGCCCGACGGGGCTTATGAAATTGTCCACACACAGCTCAACCGACAGCGATGTCATGGTTTCAACTCACCAAGGTAAGAAATAACCTTTCGCTCATTTCATTAATGGTGGTGTCAAAACTGTAGGAAGACCGATGAGGCTAACGCCCGAGGAATCCCGACGATCCACGACTAACGTATGAGCTCCCTTCACCATTCGCCAAGAAATAGGTAGACCCGGTTGATGCGAGCTCCTTTCGTGCCACAACCCAAATGCGGTCAGTGTTTTCTAAGCGTCCAATGCAGGAAAACTGTACATGTAGTCCTTGGGACGGCCACGAGCAAGTCGGCATTACAGCCGCGTCCTGGAGCAGCTCCAACCCCGACTTCAACCTCCACATCGAGAGCGCGTGCGGCAAACAGCAGGATCCGGAATTCACAGACAGGTGTGCGCGTTCCGATGTTGCAGGTGCGTGGCGTCCAGCAAGCGCCGCGCCATTAGGTTCGCGGATCACGCTGCCAGTTGGCGGGGCAGCGTGCGTGTTGCGTTCTCCCGCACATGTGGCAACCTCCGGGTCTCAGAGCACCACGGGGGGCGAAAGCATTTGCCATATTTGCCACTCGAAAGCACAGCTTCAACGCAGGGAGTCTACTGTAGATCAACCTACAGTACATATAAGCCGTGCAGTAAACAACGCGTCAGCCCTATCCCGGACGTAATCGGACCGCCCATCAACACCATAGCAAAACCAAGTCATACCGCTTGTCGCACCCCGCGAGCACAATCATCAGCCCGTGTATGTAGGAGCCATCCTACAAAGCAGAGAGTCATTAAAGCAACATTGAAAATCAGCCTCAATGTGTGGGATCAATAACATTGATGGGGTCCAATGTTGCGTGATCGCAAACATTGACGCAATGTAAATTTTACGTGAAATTTCATGTTTGGAGCGACTGGCTCACAACAGCTCTCATTTCAGAATCTACCGGGTAGGATGCAAGCGCTCGCGCGCTCGCTCAGCCTCCGCGTCGTGCGACCGTCTGCAGCGGTCACCCGCTCAACCTTATTCTAATGTGTGCATGTCCTACTGCGGTGCTTATATGCGTGTGTGTACTACGTATGCGGGAGCAAACGCCGTCCCAGTGCGTTGCGTTGCGGTAGGCGCGATGCGTGTTGCATGCGATCGAATGCGCTATCTTCCAAGCAGTCGTAAGCGCTTTTAATGCGCCTCTAGCCAACAGCGCAGTTAGGTTAAAGGGGGAGGGCGAGCGAACGCGAGCGCGAGCCTCGCTGAGCTGCGCGTTCACCGATCGTCAACACCCGCCGATCAGGCGGGGGCGGGTCTGCGCGAGCGAGCGCTGCAACCCGAAATTTTTTTTCCTAGACACCGCGCCTGGCCGAGCCGAGGACTTAGCGTAAGGCACGAGGGGGTGGGGCAGGCCGCACAGCGGTGCCCCCCGAAGTGCCGTCGCTAAGTCCGCAGGCGAAAGCCAACGCGAGAGTGTCCTGCCAACTAGGAATAGACAACACGTGGCGCCCAGGTAGAGCTGCGCGTAGATCCCGTAGAGCCCATTCCCCTGCTGCATGTGTCGGCGCGTACACCATGACGCGCTTGCCGCGTTAGCGGCGGAAGCTGTTGGCGCACGCCCCGAGTGATACAGCGTGCTTCGCTGTCGTGCTGTCGAGCTGTCGAGCTGTCGAGCTGTCGACCTGTCGTCACTATTGTCACATTGGTAAACCAAATATTCTGCTACGAGAGATACCGTAACATTGTGCAATGCTGGGCAGAGGCACCATTGTTGCGCTCAATGTTACGCAACGCCAACATTTCAATGTTGCTTTAATCAGTGCCCGCTCGGGTGTCAGTCAGTTCAGTTTCTTTTCCGCACAGGCGAAGCGCAGCGATGATGAACAGCAGCTTCCAGCTCGAAGACCCCCTGGCGCTGGAGCAGGCGCTGGCCTTCGCCGACACGTGCGACGTGGGCAGCGACGACGAAATGGCGCGCGACCAGGAGCTGGACGCGCTGCTGGCCGACGTGCAGGCCGGCGACCTGTTCGCGCCCGACCCGACGCTGGCGCTGATGCTGCAGTCGCCCGCCGGTGTCGCAGCAGCTCCAGCTCCAGCGCCTTTGGGCGAGTTCACGGGGCTCATGCTGGGCGCCGACGCCTCCGCCACGGAGTCCGACACGTCGCTCGAGAGCGCGCTGGCCGTGCTCACCACGCACTGCGACGCGTCCGCGAGCGACGGCAGCAACAGCGACGACGCGCGCTCGGTGGCCGCGTCCACGTCCTCCTCGGCCAGCAGCAAGAGGTCCAAGAAGATGAAGAGGGCGCGCGCGCCCTCGCCCACGAGGACGGCGAAGGACTTTGCGGCGGCCAACGCGGCGCTGGCGGCCGCTGCAGCCGCCGCCAAGGGCGTCCCGCTGGAGGTGACCAGGCCCACCAAGAAGCGGATCCGCAGACAGCGCGAGGAGCTGCTGTACCTCCGCGTGAAGGTCAAGGAGATGGAGAGCAGTCTGGCCGAGCTCAAGAGCAAGGAGACGCGCAGCAGGTCTCCCGGCTCACAGCTGGCCGTCAATGGCAAGACCAATGCCTCGGAGGGCTCGTCGCTGCTGGCATCCGTCTGGGAGAGCCTGGCCAACAGGCAATACAAGGACAGAGAGCGCGCCGAGCAGGAGAACCGCAAGCTCAAGTCGACGCTCGAGGGACAGATCAAGCTGGCCAAGTGCCTCGAGAAGATCCTCGAGGACCAGCCGGAAGACGACGTACGTGTTCTTGGTGCTTGCGGTAATGTGGATGTTGTCGCATTGAGTGCTGACATTTGTGTCTTCACGCTGCTCTTTTTGCTTTTAGTCGATGCCAGGCGTGCCGCGCCCAGAACAATCAAAGCTGCTTACGATGTCTGTCAGCAGCGACCCGAAGGCTGTCCACGCAGAGTTGCTGGCCGGCATGGACGCAGCGTTTGACCAGGTGGACGCCAAGTACGATGTGAAAAAGTACCAGGAAATCGAGAAGGAGAAGCTCGACGTGAGGGTAGCGTCAAGCTTGGACAACGGCATTGCGCTGCAATTCATGGGTTTCAAGCGCGTGCCGTTCCCGCAGGAGGTGGCCATTCGAGGAATGTGGCGCTTCACTTCGTGCGAGGCAACAAAGCGCCAGGCGTATTTCTACGAGGAGGTAAGGAATGCATGCGATATGTTGCAGGCAATACCCGCGATCTAACTGTAAGCCCGTCTCATTTCTGCAGCACGATACTTCTTCAAAGCACTCGGTCGCGCGAACTTTCGGTCACAAGATCCAGAGCGATAACGGCAGCCTTGACTACCGCAGCGAAAGCGTGCTGGAGTGTCGCAAGCGCGGCGATCGCATGGTCATCGTGACGCGGGGCCTGACCAAGCCCATCAAGTTCTCGGCGGCGCCGGTGAACGGCATCCGCTTCCACGAGAACGGGTGGATCGTGATCGAGAAGGCGTCGGCCCAGGACGGGTCGTCCAAGGGCAAGTGGTCCACCATATCGTCGTCCATAGAGCTCACCCCGATCTACGACGACGACGTCCTGGACCAGGACTTCACCGTGGGAGCGCTCACGGACTTTGTCATCGACTCGTTCCACCGAAACATGCACCTCGGGGAGGAGGTCGTCGCGGGCATCATGATGGAGGAGGCCCGCAAGGCTGCCACGCAGCCAGCATCGTCGTGGCCGTGAGTGCAGTGCCGTCAATTACCGTGCAAATAGATATTTTTTCTTACACCATTGATTTCTTGGAGACTGCAACCAAGTCAAGTCATGCCATCATCGATTGATCATGGCGGAAGTAATCCGCTTTGATACACAACAAACATTCCGCTCAGACCACTTTAGCCGGTCGTACAGGCAGTGACGTGCAGCGATAGCCAGGCGGCCAAGCCTGACTCGCACATGGTGCGGTGCTCGCCATCAGGTCTGTCGCCGTTCGTCGAGAAAATCCGGTCGGCTTGATGCCGACCAGCGCGGCTGCACTGTGATGGTCTGTGGCGTCCGCCTCCGCCGTCATCGTGGCGACACTTGCTTTTGCCAGGTGGAGTGCCTGCTGCCATCGCAAAAAAAAATGGCCCCCGCAGCGATAAATCAGCGACTCCACCAAGCCTCAAACGCAGCTGAACCAAGTTCTTTCGACGCGAACGAATGCCGGGCTGACGTTGCAGGCAACGGGCGAACTTTCCGCTTCAAGTTGCCCTTTGATCATTTGCGCTCTACAACTTTACCATATCTTCAACCTTGTCACTCCTGGCGGCGAGTAAAGGGATTCAACCATCATAGATTTCTGAAGGAGGCAAGTTAGTCGGCGCCATTTTTGCTGTAAACTTCTCGAGATTGCTCGATTTTGGTCCGCCCTGAGGGCGCAATCTCTCCAAAGACGGGACACAAGGAAAGCAAGTGCCTCGCAAAATGTGGCAGCCTGGCAAGATGCAGCATCGCCCTAGGCGGCCAAACTAAAATATAGGATACATTCAAGAGGTTCTCGCTGAGCTTTCAGCACAGTCGTGAAAATGAGTATGTAGTGCACTGATGCAGTCCGCCAGTGTGAGGTTTCTAGCAGCAGACACTTTAAACATGGTATTCACGGATCCCCAATGTGGCATTTGCCATATTTGGGAAACATGCAAAAACGTTTTTTCGGCGTTTACGGTGATCCCGGCGTTGACTACCATCGCGAGCGGCGTAAACGCTAGTCGTGTCTCGAGGCTTGCCTCGAGGTTTGCGCACCGCGCACCGTCTACCATCGGTGGCCTCGGTCTCTGCAAGTGCATTGCAAGGTTTGACCATTTCAGTTTTTACCCTGAAAGCCGCAGCACCACCACAAAGCCTCGCACTGCACCACACCACACCGCACCGCGCAGCGAATGCCCCATGAGCTACTCGTACATAACAGACGAGTCGCCTCGGCTCTCCGTGGACGACGTGCTCGGCCTCATTGACTGGAAGGAGCTCGAGACCGTGCTCTCCAGCCCCGACGACACCAGCCGACCGCCCATGCCCCTCGACGAGCCAATGGTTCCGATGGACATGCAACCCGAAATGATGGAGTCGTTCGCCAAGGTGAAGACGCCGCCTCGGCGCACCCGAAAGTCCAGTCGGTCGACGCCGACCAACGCTCAGACCACCCCGACAGCTACGCAGTCGTCAACCGCACCTCAGGCCGGCCCTCCCGTCAAGAAGAAGCGCATCCGCCGCGAGATCGTGGAGCTCAAGTACTTAAGGGGCAAAGTGAAGGAGCTAGAGGAGCAGCTGCGTGAATTGCAACTCGGGTTCTCGACGTCGCCCAGAGCGGAGGGCGAGCCGGTCCCGCTCGACGGTTTGATGCCGTCCGTGTGGACGTCAATGGCCGGTCGCCAGCTTAAAGACCGCATCCGGGCCGAGCGCGAGAACCAGGAGTTGCGCAACATGCTGCAGGACCAGCTCAAGATTGCGCAGGGACTCGAGGACACGCTGAAGCAACTGCCACCCAGCCAGGTAAGCACCGAACCAGTTCAATGTGATTGTGTTGCCAGGGTCCTAACGATGATCAAAACCTGGTGATCGACTCACAGAATGCAGGCAACCAGAACGGGTCGATCCTGCCGCCCGACGTTTTTGGGCCATCAAGCTCTGAAACACTCGCAGAGAGCTTGGGGCACTTGGACCGCTCGTATTTAAGCGTGGACGACGCTTTCGCCACGGAAGGCGTGGACCATCTTGAGATGGACAAGCACGAGATCAAGGCCATCCTTCACCCTTTCTACGGGACGTGCATCCGCTTTACCACGCGCATCGCCATGCCGTTTGGATACGACGTTACCAGCCGTGCAATGTGGAGATTTATCACGGAAGAGGGACTCATCTCGCTCGCTAGCTCCTTCAACGTACGCACGCACTCACACAACCGCACTAAAGCTCACTTCAGTACTCGTATCTAACGCCGTACCTGTGTTTTGCCACCGACAGAAAATCTACACAACCAAGGACATCCAGGCGCACTGCTTCGCGTTCCGACTACCAGAGTCTGATCCCGCAAAGGATTACTGGATGAACCAAGTGGTCCGAAAGCACTCGGAGAGCGACCGAACAGTTTTCGTGGGGCGGTCCATCATCCAGCCCTATGTGAAGGATAACAGCCACCCGACCGGCGTCTCATTTATTGACGACGCCCGGGTCATCATCAGTGACTGCAGTAGCAACGGTGTGCCCCAAACCTGCGTCAAGGCTTGCGTGTATTTGGTCCCGGACTTTGGTTCCAGCAGCTCGAACGAGACCGTGGGGATCAACGAACTGCTGGATTTCTTCATCAAATCCGCCAGTCCGGTGATCCTGCGGTGCCGCGAGATGATCATGTCCGTGTTGCACCAGGAAGCAGAGGCCATCAAGCAGACCGCAGTGCGGCTGTGATGACCCTCAACGTTATGTTAATTGCTGTAAAATTGAACCAAATCGTAGTCAAACTGACCAGTAACTTGACGCGTTCGCTCTCTCCAAGTATGTTTGCCGCGCTATCCCTAGCAAATGTTGGAGCTGCGGGCCGAGGTAAAACCTGTGCGACTCAAATGGCAGACGACAGACCGTGTTATACGGTAAGAATACTGACTTTGTCACCTGCTCATTCCAAAAGACTTGAACACGACGATGCATACAGCAGCGATCTGCTCAAGCACAACGAGGCTCATTATGCAGATCCTTGTCATCTTAGCTAGTCGAGCATGGCATACATCTCACCACAAAAACTCCTTAAGTCAGAAGTCAGATGGAAAATTACAGTCAACTGAAAAATAGTCCCGGTCTATTTCATTTCCACATGAGCGATATCGCTGCTCCCCCGCTCGCAGCAAGAGCTGACAAGAGCAAGAAGAAGCGCATGCGTCGCATCCAGGCAGACCTACCGCTCTATCGCCAGCAGGTCGCGGAGTTGGAGCTCCAACTCGCTCGGTGCAAGCTCAAGTGACGGCAAACTACTAGAACCGGTGGCTCACTTGCTGACAACTCGCCTGCACACAAAAATGGACACACAAGACGTCAAGACGAAAGTCTCTCGGTCTGGAACGGCATTGGTGAGAGGCAACTGACGCGTACTGGCATTTTTTCAAATTCGGCCTCATCGACCAAACTTTGAATGATCAAGCACCTGAAAACGCGGTAATTTACACGCATGTGTAAGTACTGGAAATCGATATGATAACTGATGCTGGTTCTGTCAATGTTGTGTAGACCGACATTTTTATGCGTTCATTCGTGGTGCGCATGGAATTCGAGGGTGTAGCGTCAGAAGCAAGAGGAAGCTATACCTGCCGAAAATGTTTGGACAGTGATGGTGCTTTCTGTACGCTGGCTTGGTCCGGCATTTGGGATATTGTGGAGTTTGGTGGGGTTCGTTTCGACGGGATGCAGCTCCACAAAAGCGGCTGGATAAAGCTGCGACGAGAGCACCACGAAGGATCGACATTGGTCGAGACGCATTTCAAGACGACGCCAGTGTTTCACGAGAGCATCAACGACCCGATACCGCAGATTAAGGCTCTCCTAGGCGCATTGGACTTGTCGCACAGCAGCCTGAACGACCATTTCTGCCGCGCCATGAGCGACCTGCTACTTAAAGAAGACTGGAAGTCGACGTTTAAAGGAAAGGAACACTGAGGCTCATTCGATGTAATAAACGTTATCGTTCTCTTTGCACTACATGCAGCCAAACAGTCATCTTCTATTAATAGCAGCACACTGTTGGTACTGTAGACAGTTGAGTCTGATTTGCTCAGTAACAGCGTGAGCTGGCAACGATTATTCTCTAGAAGGCTTACGCCATTTGAGCCGGAATGAACCAATCAATTGCGTCGCCTAACACATGTTGCTAGTCTGACAACCAGTGGCTCCCTTTGCAACGCCAGGAGAGTCATTGCCAAACTAGCTACAGTAGTCACCACGATGACAAGCGTGACTGAGCATGAATCTGCGCCCCTTGCAGCACCCTTCAATCGTCCGAAAGTTGCCTCCTCCAGCTCCTGCAGCAATCCGAAGAAAAAGCGTGTGCGCCGCGAAAGATCGAGCTCGACCATCTTCGTATCGAGTCGAGAAAACTCCAAGACGAGTTGGCACAGCTCCAAGCGATTGATAAACGTCAGCGTCGGCGCTTCGCAGAGCAGAACAACGCCCGATCCACCTTCAACGAGTTTAGCGTCATTTCGAGTCAGCAAAACTATCGCCTGATCGCCCCTCGGACGGAGGAGAAACGCTTCGTTTGGCAAGAAATCGCAGAGTGCCAGATAAAGGAGAGAACGCGGGCTCAGAGGCAAAACCGAGAGTTGCGAGAACGGCTTCAAGCTGAGTTCGAGCTTGGGCGAGAATTAATTCTTCTGTCGCACCGCAAATCGAACGCAAAGGTACGCTCGTTTGTTTTTGGTGTGAATTTATGCGGCATTGGCAATAACAACAACTACTTGCGTTCTTCAACGTCTAGCATTTTGCAGCTCTTGCTCATCAACGCACCATCGCCCCGGTGGATGACGAAAGCGTTGTCAAGAACCATTTGGACAAGGCGGAAAATACGCTGGTGGAAATGGAAAAAGTGCTACGAGGGCCGGCTTTCAGAGACCCAACAGCCTGCTTTGTCGATGCTCGCATGAAAAAGTATGGAGGAAAGGATGTCTTTGTCATGGAATCTAACATGACGCTACCATTTTCCGCACGAGCGACTGCCAACACGATATGGAAGGTAATGGCCACTGGCAAGCTGAAGAATCACTGTGACGACCATCGCGTACGTTGGCAACTGTGGTTTTGATAGTCCCCTTCTGCATCCTCTTCTAATTTCCCGTATATTTTTGTTTCAGGTTCTCCATGAGTCCGATACTCTGCTTTCACAAGCGTTTGACATTCATCTCGCAATGGATGCGTTTGTTGCCGATTTCCGTTGCAAGTATACGCTCAGCAGATTCGAAGAAGACTTTCGCCGTGTTATCGTGTGGGTGACGCAATACGAACCGATCCAGATGAATGGATTGCAGTATCGCAATATCCATTGCCAGCAGATTGGATGGATTGAGCTCAAGACTCTGGAAGTTGCGGGAATGGAAACCACGCTCGCCCGATCATACTCAAGCCTCACCGTTGAATTTGAAGACGGTGCTGACAACAGGGAACTGCAAATCCGCTCTTTGTTGAACTTGGCGCTTCCAATTCACGAAAAAGTTGGGGGCTGGTGCTCTTCTCTCGTTGAAACAGCACTGATCGAGGAAGACTGCAAGCTGCACATGGAACAATTTTCGTGAGTTAATTGAAGTTCTACTGCATGTGGTCGAGTTGTACCAGTTTTTCGACAACACAGGACGTATACCAGTACCAACTTTTGTTATCCGCTGCATGACTATTCACTATGACTGAAATTTGCATCAGGCGTTCATCCCTGAGGTACTTGTCCGAAGAAATATCTCGTAAGGAACAGCGAAGTGGAATTATCTCAGCACTAGCACGTGTAAGTACAAGAAGCAACAATGGTCGATGAAAAGGAAACATTTCATTTTGGCGATTCAACTTCTCTTGCGGCTTGAACTGCTAGCTCGTTCTATACTGACTCACTGTCAGTCCATCCGTTCACTTCCAGTCTTCTTCGACTAATGCTTGCTCGAGGATAGATCCGAACGCAGCGGACATACTTTGTAGAGCTGACTGCCCATGCCTGAACAGGGCTGTGATGTGCTGCTTTAGATTAGGAGCACCTTCGCCTGTTTCCAGCATCAATCGAGACTGAGATCTAGCCAGAGTACTTGTGCCTTGATTGTCGCCAAAACTGTGCTCACGAAACTCAATCCAACCTTCTTGCCAACCCAAAATACCGCGACAGCGGAGACCGGCTAACTCGACGAGTTCAAACCATCCTATCCAAACAATCACGATGCGTGCATTATCCACAAAGCGCTGGAGCGTGTACCAACCACGGAGATCAGCAGTGCTTGTGTCGACGTTATACGTTATGCCGAAAGCCCGCGTCACTACATTGTCGGTTTTGGAGACAACCTGCGAAATCATGAATCGTTAGTTCTACATCAGTCTCCACAACACCTCCCGAGCACTTACGTGGTGATCGTAGCAATATTCCTTCATTCTGTCGCTCCCGAGGATGTCCCATAGCGCGTTGGCAACCAGGTTCAGACGCAACGGTAAGACCATGTTGGATAGCGTGACGAAGACGTCGCCATCTTCGTCCCTCTGAAGAAAGGTGTCCATGAAGGAGGCGCTGGGGTCTGCGAACTTGCGGCCTTGCAGCACCATGTCGACCGAGATGAAAACTCTTTCTGCTTGCAGTAGCTGCCTCCTGAATACTGCACTGTCGTCGTTGTTCCACGACAACCTGCTGGGCATTGGCCCCTGCGTGACAGGAAGTCAACACCCCACACTTTAGACAAAAAAACAACACTACGTCTGCGCAAAGTGCCCCTTACCCTTGAAACTAGGCTCCTCTGCAGCACCTCCATCATCTGTCGTCCCAGCTCATACTCCGCACCCAGTTGGGATCGCAGCTCCCTGTTCTGGTTCTGAGCTCTCCATCGCTCCTTGAACTGACGTTCGGCTATCTCCTTCCACACAAAATGCCTCTCCTTCTTGCGAGGGACGATGCGGCGATAATTGTGCGTCGTGGGGCTTATTTGCAGGTCTTGAGTAGCCACAGAGGCGACTGATGTGGGCATTGCCGACTGCACTGGCTGCTTCTCCCTCAGTCGAACCAGTTCTCCCTCCATCCTTGACACTTCTTCCCGGAGGAACTCGATCTCCAGCTTCTGTCGCCGAAGCCGCTTCTTCTTGAGCTTCGGGGGCTGCTTCGTTGGGCCGGCATTCTTCACGTCGAGCACTCTCCAGGCCTCCACTATTTGAGCTGTTGGGGGGCTTTCCATGGTCAAGTACAAGTGAGGACTTAACGAATGGCGACAGGAATGCGGTGTGTGGTGCCCTTTGCCCGTCCCTGGCGCTCGGTGGACAGACTTCATTCGCCCATATTTTCGGTTTGACGGAGGCAATAATCATCCGGACTTAGGCTCGCTTAAAGAACTTTTAAACAAATAACCTGATGTAGCCGATTCATATCGTCTGGTGCTTTGCAGATGCAAGTTCACACAGTCAGTTCTTATAATCGTATTCACTTCGAATAGGTATGCATATCAGTATCAGGACTACGAGTGCAAATACGTACATGGTGTTTGGATTCCGAATTCCGAATTCCATAGTTTTCATTCGCCAGTTCTGTCGGTTTGGCATCAGCATCGGAGGCGATAGTCATCCAGGCTTCGGCTGTTGCAGCGTGGGGCCTGACGATCCGGCGAATTCATTCACGACGGCTGCTTGTTCACTTTTCCACTCCTCACCTCACGCGCCAATGGAAACCGACGGACTCTATAACCTACACGTGACGCCAGGGTCGGATATCGAGGAGATTCTGCTGGATGCTCCAAGTCCGACCGCCTTGGACTTGGATGCAATTACCTCCCTTCTACGCGACTACGCCCCGCTGCCGAGTAACTCGGAGCAGGAGGCTGCAATATATGGCAACAACGCAGACTTCATCAAAGCCGCTCCCTCGCGCAAGAGGGTAAGCTCGGAATCGGACAGCTTCGACGATGACGATGGGGCGACACTGTTGAGAATGCGGCCGCACAAGAAAATAAAAACTTTTGCTGGCTCGCGCAAGGACGAGATCGGCATGTTGCGTGGGGAAGTGCGAGAGTTGCAGAAGGAGTTGCAGCGGCTTGTCGAAAAATTGACTCGGAGTGAACTGGTGTCGGAGATGGGGACGCTGTCGTCGCACTCGCAGTCACTGTGGCAGCGCGTGGCCCATTCGCAACTTGAGCTGCGTCGCAAATCTGAAGCAGAGAGCGAGGCTCTCCGGGAAATGGTCGCGATCCAGATACTGGAGGCCAAGAACCTGCGGAGAATCTTGAAGCGGCGAACTCGAATCGAGGTACGCTATGATAGAGCTCGAAAGCTGTCTTGACGCAAAGCTCTAACTATTGGTTTCTCTTTTCATTGTAGATGATGGCGGCAATGTTCAGCGTCAAAACTGCGCACAACCTCCAGCAACCCCCCCTCCCCGACAATGCGCCTATCATCGACGAACTGTCGAAAGATGCAGACGAAAAGCTGATCAAATTGACAAGTTCTTCACTGCCAAAGGCATTGAGCAGCTTTCTCCCGAAGGTGACTCGCGCAACGTCAACATGGACGCTGAGGGAGGCGTCTACTTCGAGATATTGCAGAGGCGATACCTCCCTTTCGACATCAAACACTCGGAAAAGGCCATGTGGAAAGCTCTGCGTCGCTTTGGGATGGACGCAAAGGCGGGTATTCGCCCGTATCACGTGAAGGAGGGTGATGAAATACTTCAATTGAGTTTCTTTGCTGCGATCTCAGGAGTTGCGGATTTGGTCGGAGCTGACACGCAGAAGGTGGTGCGACAGTACAAGGGCGACGACCGATTCGTATTCATTTTGAACATGCAATCCGAGTCGATTATTGAGAGCCACCGGTCTGGGGTGCGCGATAAGGCTACGATGCAAATTGTTCTCGAGAAGACCCGTATACTGGATGAAGCCGAAGAAGAGATGACTGAGATGAAACTTTGCTTTACTGCAGACCGGAACACACCTCTCGCTTCAGACCCCTCCGGGCCGGTTGCTGTAGCTGCATGGGACGAGTTGGTCCCGCAGCTTGCGATTGATGTTGAGAGTTCCTTGCTGGATGGTACAGTAATGCATATCATTTCTTTATACGAATCTGTAATATCCCCATGCCACAACTTCCACGCCTTCAGCAAGCACCAAACGTCAGCACCCACCTTACAAGCCGGTGCTCAGGAAGCAGCTAGGTTCTCCAGCCAGTTGGCAGATCTTAGCACAGCATCATGCGCCAAGCCAAATATGTAGCGTGCCGTAAGATTTAAGGGATTGCGGGACTAGCTGATGCGACAGCCTCTCGTTGTCTACGAATCCCGAGATGAAGCACAAATTCCACTTAGAATCTATTAAGTTAGATGGCAATTTTCATTGTAAAAAAAACTAAGCATTAGGGTATCATCACCAGATACAAAACAAAACTAGCCTACAAGTACCTAGAACATTGATGCTGTACATTGGATTTAGGTGGATCAGCACCCGCTTCTGTATTTATGTAGTACTTGGACTGTCAGCAAAAGGTGAGTCTTCCAATGCGGAATGTCGTGACTGTATGGCAGTGAATGCACGTAGCGTCGACTCCAAGCTTTGGTTTAAGCCAGAGAAGCGAACCCTGAATCTGGGGCATGTGTCGGGCTAAGAGTCCGGTGCCGAACTATTACACTGATCGGCTCAGTTGCGTGCGCCAGTAAGCTTCCACGAAAATAATCACCATGTGCTTGCAGCTTACACTTTGCAGTTGTCTTACCCTCGTTGTAGTAGGTGACAGATCACATGTGGTGATCATGTGGGAAGGCTATCGTCGATTCAGTCTGGCCTGACGTTACGGGACCGTCGAGTTGGCGGGTTCAGCGTCGGTGCCGTATCACTTACTCATTTGCTCACCTCACGTGACAATGGATACCGGCACCTTGCTATCTACACTCTTCGACTGTGACGCCTCGATGACAAGTGGGAGCTCGATTGAGGGGCGCATGCATTACCGAAATTCAATTGACACGGAGCTCGCAGTGATCAACGCGTTCCTGCACGACTACAGCCCAGTCGAGACGTTGAGTGGGCTCGACGACATGAGTGGACCGCTGACTGCGAAAGACGAGTGCTTCATGAACCCGCTTTCTATGGTCAACTGTAGAGTTCAAGACACTCTCGCAAGACCGAAGTTGCAAGTCTGCGGGCTGAAGCGGAGAGCCTGCAAGAGAGTCTGCTGTCCCTCCAGTATAAGTCGGCAGGAGCAAGATCGACGGAGCCAGTGTCATCACAAGCACAGCATGTATGGCGGCGTGTTGCACTCTCCCAACTCGACCGGCGTCGAAGAGCTGAAGGTGAAAACGCCTCCCTCCGGGAAATGGCAGCAATTCAAATACTCGAGGCAAGGAACCTGCGGCGTATTCTAAAGCGGCGAACGAGGATTGATGTACGTCGTGCAGAACCTGGCAATCGAGATATCTACTGTTGATGCTCACACTTTTTCTCGTTACTCTAGATGATGGAGGAAATGCTGGGCGTGAAGGGAATTACGAAGCTGTTGAAGCCCTAACCCCACTTAGCCCAGTCCGTAGGACAAATGGAAGGACCAAAAGTTAGGTGCCTCGCTCCGTATAACTAGAAACAAATAGGATCATGTCAAAAACACCCCATACAAATATCAAGTCATTTTGGTCCTTTTTCGGGCTCCCTAGGACAAAAACGGCTGGTGTGCCACACCAAAACACGATTTGGACCTATCTCCTAGGACAAATCTAAGTGGGGCTAACATTGAGTTCAATATTTTCCGGGAGCTGAACCAAGCAGCCGATGGTCTTTATCGCAGACTCGACAGCCTCTTCACCGTGAAAGACATGGATGCCTTGCCGTTCACTGACCACTCCCGTGAGGTGAACCTGGACAACTTCAGCGGCGCGTACTACGGAATTCGGCTCAAACGACCTTCAAGAAACAGACAAGGCCGTGTGGCAATATCTCGGCTCCTTGGGCCTCACGAACATGCGAGACGTTGGTGGTCGCACGTACAATTCGCGCTCCAACCCCTTGGAGGCCCAAAACGACACGCTTCAGACTACGTTTTCCGTGGTGATTTCTGGGTTTGGAGACTTGGTCGGCACGTGCAATCGGAAGGTAGTGCGGCGATACAAGGACGGCAAACGAGTCGTGTTCATTTGCCGGGTTTTATCCGAGCCAAGATTCCAGAGCGGCCACTCTGGAGTCAGCGCCACGTCAACCACGCACATCCTTCTCGAAAATTATGATGAAGATGACTCCGACACAACTGTGATGAAAATGTATTTCAGTGCTGAACGCGATATTTCGCCTTCTACGGAGGATGTGACGGCCCCTTTGGCAATTTCGGCGTGGGACGAACTCGTTCCTCGACTTCCTGGCGACGTTGAAACGCTATTGTTGAAGAATAGTAGGGAGCAAGAAGCGTTAGCAGTTTGATCAAGCAAAACTTTCAATAGCAAGCTCAAAGAAGCCTCACGCTGAAGGAATATGAATCTATAACGCTATTTGTTTGTTATCGACGGAGATATATACATATTATACTAGTGATGCTTGGCTAACGAGACAAATGAGTCATCTTGATGGCCACGGTCAAGCTAGAAGGAAGACCTTTCCAATCAAAAAAGCCAAGGTGAAATAGTTAGCTACTGGTATAGTCATTACGATACTGTAGCTGCAACGTAACAGCACCGATTGTTGGTGGTATAGTTAGCCATCATTACTTAAAAAAAAAGTGTTGCTTAGCAGAACCCACAGGAATGCTGCGCCAGCAATATTGCTGCTACCAACCAGTAGTTGGCATTCCGTAATACAGCGCAAGGGGTGTGCTCTACTCATGTAGTACCAGATTGTTTCCTGGTTCCCGCTGTCCTACCTCCTATTTCGTTGCATCGTTGCTCTTGGACGCACAGGCTGGTTATCTCCACAGCGCTTAGTTGGAATGACTGAACTTGCTCACAAGCCCAGTCACTCCGACTTTTAAGGCCCCTGATCACTCACGACAGAAGCGCAGTTGCGCTTCCAACCTCTAGGGACGACGTGCTGGCTTCTGTTCTCTTCGAGTCGTCCACTCCCCGCTCGCTCGACCGACAGCTCAACGCTATAACGGCGTTCCTAGACGAGCACAATCCTGCGGAAACGGGCGCGGGGTTGGAACTATTCGCTGAGGTGGAGTTGTCCTCCGACTCCAGTAACCCCCCCAACTATTTGCCCCCTGGGGGCCACTACTGCAACACTAGTGTCGACTCTGCTGTCAATGAGATGAGCACATTAACACATTATTTACTGGAAGGTCACAAAAAGCCGTCATTTGCTATGCTAGGTCAAAAGTCTTTTAAATCCGTTAGGTCATTCTACATGGGGATAAATACTTCTTCGGATAGCCCTGCGTGTGCTCTAAATGATAAGCAATTGTACTCGGGAGGAAGAGCATTATTAAATGCAGAGCATACTATGAAGTGCAACCACTCGACTGAAAATGCATGCCATCAGGTCGATTCTAAAAATAGCGCTCATGCGACTCTTCAAACAAATGAGCTTCAGTATCAACAATGGACAGCTAAGTGGTGGTCTCATGGGTAGGTTAATAGGAATGCTACTGCTGCCTAAACTAGCAGCGACCAGAGCGTGAAAACGTGCTAGGACATGTTTTAGATGCTTCCGAGGGCATCCTCAAAGTTTGGAGTGGTTTGATCCATTTACGGATTTAATTTTGATGAAACCAGCATAATTTGAAGTGACCCTCCGGTAAATAATCTGTGTTTGATTTAAAAATCAAGGTTCCAGGGGGGTAATGACATACCACGGCAAACGCAAGGCAGAGATCCAACGTCTCCGTACGAAGATCCAAGAGATGAAAACCACGGTTCGGCACTCGAGTCCAAATTCATTCGGGCCAAGGCAGCAGCCGATTCGTCGCAGGGCAGTCTTATGTCATCCCGAGCACGTCATCTCTGGCGACAAGTGGCTCTGTCACAGCTTGATCTGCGCCGGAAGGCGGAGGCAGACAACGCCATTCTACGGGAGATGATCGAGCTACAAATTCTTGAAGCTAAGAACCTGAAGCGAGTTCTGAAGAGGCGAGCCAGAATCGAGGTAAACAAAGGACGATTACAACTTTTAGACACCGCCAATATCTAACTCTTCGTACAGATGATGCAGGACATGCTGGGTCTAAAAGAGATCAACTCGCTCACGGCCAAGTCCCTAAGACGTCTCCAACCAGCTTCCACGAGCTTGAACTCGACATCGCCAAAGTGTTCGGAGCTGCAGGCACTCTTCTCTCGACGAATGTCATTTCATTCCCTGAAGACTCGCGCCACCTCGACATGGACACTGAGAGCGGCGTCTACATGGAAATTCGACAGCACCATCTCCTCCCCTTCAGCTTCCAAGAGAGTCAACGTGGTGTGTGGGACAGTCGCTCTCGCTTCGCCATGTCCAGCATGAACGAGGTGGGAGACTTGAAGGCTCAGATAACTCACCACCCGCAATACTCGGACACGGAAGACGATACACTGCGAACGAGCTTCGTTGCCGTGGTGACTGGTGTTGCCGGCCTCGCTGGATCTTACCTGCGGAAAGTGGTGCGACGACACACGAGCGAAGACCGCGCTGTCTTCATTTTCCGGCTGCTCTCAGAGACGATGCTCTGCGACGGTAGAAGTGGGATCCGAGAGGTGACGACGATGCACGTTGTGCTGGAAAAATCTACTGCTGAAGATGGCAGAGAACTCATGCCGTCGCTTAAAACCTACTTGACTGTGGAACGAGACACCCCGATCAAGCAAGACCCCGCTGGTCCATTGGCCGTGGCTGCGTGGATCGAGCTAGCTTCACAGTTTCCAGAGATGTCGAGACTGCCGTACTGGATACGAGTTCGAGCACGTAGGAGCACTATTGCAGCAATACTTCTGAATATGTACCTATCAATAAGTGTAGTATCCACTTCAAAATCCGGATTATCTAGCTGCGTTGGCGCAACAAACGCGTGCCACCTTCGTTGGACTTAGGTCATGCTTTTGAATATACACGTAGCTTGAGCGCAGAAGGCAAAGTGGCCATCAGCGAGAAAGCGGGTAGTATTGAGCTGGCTGGTAAATCACTTCTACTGTATCCTGTTTAGAGGAGCCAAGCCTTCCGGAGTGGAACATATGAGCTAGTGCCGTCGTTGCCATTGGCGAATTAATCTGCCGTCGGGCTAGAGCTCAATCAACATGAACCAACTCGGCGATATACTGGACGATCCGAGTATCAATCTGGATGAAGTCGTTGCAATTCTCGACTCTTACGACTTCAATTCCGCTGCGGATCAAGAACTCGACGAAGACCCGAGCGATCAGAGCGCGATGCAATTTCTCAACTCCGTTGAAATCGAAGACGCCCTTATTTCAGGGCAAGTCATGAGTATTGAACCAGCAGAAGCGCGTCCGGCCTTGGACACATCAACACAGCTATCACGCTTGCCAGGAAGAACAGAGCTTCCTGTCGCTCCTGTTACCACGGATCTGGAGCTCATAGAGCGAGGACGGGTTCGGGAACGTGTTATCCGTTTGCGTGGCGTGGTCAAAGAACTGGAGAATCAGCTCGGAATGCTTAGCGTACTGAATCATCGAGGGCCGGACCTGGATGACGGGACTGAGCCGGATAGTGAACACCAGCCGAGTACGTTAAACTGTCGAGCTCAAAACACTGGAGGCGTTGTGACGTGGCGTCACGTGGCCATCACGCAGTACGAAGCAAGACGCAAAGCCGAAAGGGAGAACTCCAACCTCCGGCAGCGTTTGGAGCAACAAATCCGAGTGGCCAAGCGGCTGGAAATACTCATCCGAGGGCAACTGCCAGACAAGGTAAGGATTACGCGCTGCAATTCAAGGTACAGTATTAATACTTCACAAAAGCTGTTGTCTAACGACTCTGTACTACCGTGGCAGGTGTACACGTGGCAGGACGAGCTCTAGTGAGTGGCGTTGGAATGCTCACTACTGTACTACATATGTATACGTACATTATGGACTCGACAAAAGATTTGGATCCTGTACAGTAGGGGGATTTCCCTTTTTGGTAAGATGTTCCGGGATAATTCACTTCGCGTTTGCAGATCACGTTTGGTATGATCATCTGTTGTGCAGCAAGCTGGCTAGTCTTCCGATTACAGGACCTGATGATGCGACAAACGGTATGGTACATGTACGGTACGACACGACACGGAATTCACTCCGTCACTTTGAGCAAGTCAGTCATTTTGTCATCGCTCACTTCACTACGTAACTCATCGCAGAGGTCACGCCGCCCAACAGTAGAGCAATGCAGGACCAAGCCGCTCACGACCATAGCTTTATGGACATGCTGGTGGATCCCCAACTCGGAGGTACAACGAGCGAAAACTTCGACACCATCCGCGAGTTCATTCGCGAGTACGACACCTTGGGGCTGCTCGACGGACTCCAGTGCTCGGAGTCCGACGGCAGTGAAGGTGTCGACGGCAATCACTCGAAACTCACGTCGAAGACAACCAAGAAACGCAGGCGCGTAACGTGGAAAGAACAGATTGTCAGGCTGCGTACGCAAGTGCGGCAGCTCACGACAAAGCGGCACAAGCTCGGGGAGCGCTCGAATCTACTAGTATGTGCTCAAGGCGAAGGGCCAAACCACTCAATGAAGAAGCAACTGTGGCAACGGGTAGCGTCCTCGCAGCTGGAGCGACGTCGTGAGGCGGAAGCGGAAAACGCCACACTGCGCGAGCTGGTCTCGTCCAACTCCTCGAAGCGAGGAACCTCAAGCGCCTACTCAAGCGCCGATCCAAGCTTGAGGTACGCCAGTATACTGCGTTGTTCGCTACCCCACGGGTGGGTTGTACTTACTGAATGCCTTCTGTGTGACTGAGCCAAATGCTCGGCGTAGAGGGGATCTCCATGATGATTAACGACATCCCGAAGGAAAAGCCTCGCGAGTTCGAGCCACTGCTCCGCGATTCCCAGCAACAAGTCGCTGGCATCGATGAGCTCTTCAGTGCCAAGGAGGGGAATGTCTCGCGCGCTGTATACCTCGACAGGATTGACGGCGTATACTTCGAGATCATGGAGACGCGTGTGCTGCTGTTCAGTGCCCGTCAAAGTGAAGAGGCTGCGTGGGAATCGCTCCGCAACTTTAGCCGATTTTGATTAAGGAGTACATGTATATAAATATTCAAAGAAGTGGTAGACTTCGGATGTTGCCAACAGAGCGCTTGGATTATCAGTTATGCACATGTACTGGATATTGGCGCTGGGGTCTGCGTTGCTGTACTGGTACGCTCATGCTCAGTGAGTCTGCGTCAGATTGACACATCTTAGAGGACTTCTGATGTGGTACAGTACATTACAACTCGACGGAATAGAGGAAAATCCAGTGACATCTGCATGACAGAGCACTGCAACACCTAAGCTCGGGCCCATAGTGGGTTTTCTCCTCTCTCCGACCGTAACCACCACCAGCTATCAAGGATAGATCGACAAACTTCCCATGCTCAGCGCCGACTCCGAGCTGGCAAACTTTCTCGGTCGAGTGACTCAAGACCTCCTCGCGGGTCTCAACGAGTGCGACGACGTAGCACCAATGGCGACGCAGCCACAGCAGGCGCCTCAGACAGCGCAGAACCACCGATCCTTCTTGCTCCAGCCTATAGAACTCGGCACGAGCTTACCACACAACGACAAGGAGGACGAAGAGGCCTTCAAAGCGGCACTGGAGTTGCTGGACGAGGCTTACGACTCTGATAGTTGGCTTGGAGGGCCCTTGAGCCAGCCAATCGTGCTCCCGACCACAAGCTTTGACGCGTCCAGCACTTCGGCCTCTGACCCAGAAGAAGCTGTCGTTGAGGAGGCTACAACCAAAAAGACAAAGCGACGGCACCGAGTTACGTCCAAGCAGAAGATCGACAAACTGCGGGAAACGGTCGAAGAGCTCACGAACCAGCTCCAGTCGCTGGGCTCGGGCCAGGCTGGCGCACGAGCATCTCAAACAGGGAGCGAGTGTAATCCCGTGTGGCAAAGTATCGCTTCTCGACAGCTAGAGCGCCGTTTGGAGGCCGAACGAGACAACACCAAGCTGCGCGCCATGCTCAAGCTCCAAGTCCAGGAGGCAAAGAACCTGAGGCGCGTTCTAAAGCGCTGAACGAGGATCGAGGTACGGCTGCATTCTTTATCTATTTGTCAGTCTGTAGTCTTACTCGCTGGGTCTAACGGTGGCCTTGCTGCTTGCAGATGATGGAGAACATGCTCGGTCTGAAAAAGCAAAAGATGCTGGCCATCGACTCGACTGAGGACAGCGTTGATATTCTGCAAGAAATGCTGAGAAGCACGGACGAAATTTACGTCGACGTGGATCGTGAGCTCCAGGCCAGAGGGATGGACCAAGTGCCTTGTCCGGGTAAAACGTGTCGAGCAGACCGTCACGTGAGGAACGATGTCTTTTTGGAAGTCCTGGAGAAGCAGTTGGTACCTTTCCCCGCTAAGAAAACTGAGAGGGCAGTGTGGGGTGCGCTGGGGCAAGTTGGGATGCAAGCGCTGCAGTGTGTTAAGGATATCAACGCCCAGGTTGATTTCTACGCCCAGAACTCGCAGGAGACGGACGATACGATGATGATCAGCTATGCTGCGGCCTCCTCGGGCTTTAGAGGCTCCGAGGTTCAAACGGTTCGCGTTCGGAAGGTGATGCGGAAATATGTGGAAGAGAATCGCACGGTGTTTGTGTGCCGGTTGGAAACGCTGCCTGAGCGCGTGAGGATTAGACTGTCCTGCTGGATCCGAGTTGTCGTGGAGCAAGCCGATGTGTTGGGCGGTCAAGACGAGGATGTGACGCTCGTCGAAAGTCACTACAGTGTCTCTAGGCATGCCTCGCATACTGAGAACTATCCAACCGGTAATGTGGATTTGGCGATCGCTGTGTGGGACGAAACGATCTCCCGTGTTTGTGGAGATATTGAGAGTCTGCTACTGAACGAAGCTTTGAAGACTGAAGAGATGCGTCAAACCTAGGAGTCAGTAACGAAAATGTGTTGGCTTCCTTGCTTGTAATCCTAGAATTCGTAAATGTAAATGTATATATAATCGATAATGCACTCGCTACTTTAGTACAGTAAATCACGGGTTCACTGCAACGTACGGGTAGCAACACTGCAACGTACGGGTAGACTCTTAAAGATTTAATCATAGGGGTGACACCCCCACTCTGTGCCACATAAAGTATGTTATTGACAAGAAAAGGAAAAACAAAATTTATTCATCGCATACAAGTGGCGCATTCTAGCCGACACATCGGGAACCCGGAAGCGGGCACTGCGGTCTCGGGGGCCGGTTGGAATCAAGCCGGCCTTGATGAAGCCGTTGGTAATCACCGTGGCAGGTACCACGTCCCAGGCTTCGGCTACAAGGCGTGACATCAGGGCTCGCTTCTCGCGCGCGGTCGCCGAAAACGGATGCTCGAGATGATACTGCAGGTACGCATTCCTTAAAAACGTAGCACAGAGTAAGTAAATGACAGCATCAGTATAATTAAGAATAAGAGTACGTACGTAATGTGGTTCTTGAAAGCCTTCATCACGGAGACGTCCATGGGCTGACATATGCCAGTCATCCCCGGAGGCACGAACTCGACCTGCGTGCAGCATTCTTGTTGCAAGGCGTACCGGACCGACGCCATCTTGTGGGTCCTTAAGCTGTCCACAACTTCCAAACCTATAGTGAAACCAAGTCAAATTAGTAAATGTCAATACAGGAAGCATACCAAAACACGTACCCTTTCAATCCAGTCCAGCATGACCAGTACGCGTTCGTCTGCACGGTATGCTCGACGGACGCCGCTCCAAAAGCAGGGTTGAACACCTCTTGGGATACGGGTCCGCCGGGCACACCTGCAAAAACAACAAACGGAGGCAGCTTCTCGCCCGTGGCCGACGCAGCAAGGAACACGGACACTCGGAAGCCGTTTATCGCGCTTCCTACAGGTATGTTCAAAATGGTAGCAAAGCGTCATAACGTACTGAAAATGACATCCTTACCTTGCACGACGTCGACAAAGTCAACCGTGGTGCGTCCATTCATGTCAATATAGACAGTCGTTTGGTCCATGTTGTACACTGACGCATACGTGTCGGGACCATTGACGTGAGCCAGAATCCCATCCTCCTCTCCGGTACGCAGGATAGAGTGCGAAAACACATTCGCAACTTCCTGTAAACATACATAAGTAGTCAAATAGTTAGATAACAGTAATCACCTTCAATTGAACAAAACCGTAGCTTACCTCCATATCCGACCGTTTTTTACGGCCCTGGTGAGTAATCCGCCGCACCGTGCGCTCGAGGAAACGGCGGATGAACATCAAACTAGCCGCCCGGGACCGTGACGCGAAGAGGGCGGGAGCGAACTTCGAGTGCATAAGCAGTAGGCAGTTGGTAGACACACAAAGATATTTATTTTTGCGCATGATGACAATCCACTCGAGTAGCCTACATACGTTTAACGACATCAGAATTAAATTAGAAAAGTTCAAAAGGCATACACGTTTTGAGAACCATACCTCTGCTTGAGCTCAGGCTGCTGCACGTATACGTGAGCACGCGCATTGGGGCCGGCAAAGCACTGACTGGGGCTCGATTCAGCGATACGACTGGCGACCTTCTTCCAGCGATGAAGCGTCGACCGGTCGACCCCAACAGCAGACGCAACTGCCACTACAGTCGCACTTGTCGCCTTAAGCAGCTTGAGTGCCTACAGATACAGCAAATATTAGCACAGCAGTAGGTGCAGAACCTTAAAGTAAATACATACTTGTAGCTTTTTCTTGTTGGTGTTCCTTTGGCTTCTGGGCATGTTGCGCGCGAAAAGTAAAATAGCGGATGTCATTTGCGCGGACGGAGGAGGGGTTGTTGGTTCAGGGAGCGAGTTGACTTTTTACGGGTAAAAACCATGAAAAAGTAATAGACAAGGACGTGTTACCCCTGTTGCAATGAACCCGTGGTTTACGGTACCAGTAGACGCCAATATCTTCGGGCAAATTCGGAATTCAATCTACAACACTACAAGGTCGTCTTCGACTTGGCTGAGAACACCAGTGATATAAACGCTGGTGATGGTACCGGTGCTAATTGCCATGGTAAGGGAGAACTGTGGCCCGCGTGATTCAAGAGCGTGGCCCTTGCGGGCCACACCCACGAATATCGCGCGTGCCGCAGTTCACTTTCTGAAGCTGGTGCATGGTTGACGTGCATTTCCTGCCTCAGTCTGTAGTTACCGTTGAACCTGTTCGGTCGACATCCTTCCGGCTGGTGTAGCACGAAGGTTGCGCCAGGCTACGCTTACGCGTCCAATTAATCCGTTGGGATCTGTCCACCCCCTCATTTACCGGGTGTTCCCAGTATAAATAATACTAGTAATGGAGCGCCTCAGTCGCATTGCTCCGTTGAGTTGCTTAGGGGGCCGACACCCTGCAGTGGAATCTCCACTTCAGGCCAACGTTCCCACCCTCTAATTGATCCAATAACTCTTATCAATCACCATGACCATTTTTTGTAGTGTAGAGAAGCAAACTTAGGGCTAAGGGCGTGTTCGCGACCGTTGTAATTTAGATTCTCAGTTTTCAACCGATGCAGGTCATCAAACCAATAAGCAATTAGCAACACTGGTGGAGCTGCATGATGAAGTCTTCATTATCAGCAAATATTATCTGTCGCGAGATCAATTACACACCAGCAGCAAGAGAGCACTAAATTAGTGCCACTAATGATGCTGGACTATATCCCGCGAAACCCCTAGATCACGGTTTACCGCAAGGGTGAACTGCAGCACCAGTGGTTTAAGATCAATTAGTGGTAGCCGACAGCCCAAAGCAAATACATGTAGCAAGGGATAGTGGTTGTTAATAGCTATAACATTCAGTTTCGATTTTCCAGCGTACTCATCAATACAGCATCTCGGCTCCCGATGCCCGCCGTACTTCCTATCTAGTGCTACCATATCACTTATACCATATCACCTTACACAATTTAAAAATATTACACTATCGCAAGATTATCTATCCTATCGGCAGCAAGTGGTTGCGAGGAGCATAGCCAAAGCAAACCTGCGCGGGTGCCCGTGAAGCATATCCGCGTAGGAGGGCCCAGCGACCAGCAGGGCAGTGAACGAACCCGTCGTTGCGGCTTGGAGCTAGTTGCGTAGTGCGGGGTGTGGGGCGTGGGCCCCCAAGATATAAGGAGACCATCTGCGTCACTGCCTGCAGCTATTTGTAGGCTACAGGCTGTAGCTTCACAGAGTATTGGGCATGGTGAGCTTTGCGGAGCACGTATCCATGCAAGCAAGTTGAAGTGCACTCTCTTTTAGCCTTGCCAGCACTAACTCACTCGTAGTAATGGATGCAAGCGCTGACTTGGCGCTCTAAATCAGAGTGAAGCCGAGGACTAGGTGGCGTTTTTTTTGCGCTCGGTGCGATCTAAAGTGTAGCAATTTATCTAAACCCCCGATTCGCTTCACACTGCCTGTTTGATTAGCGTTTATCGTCGAGGCTAAATCGTGTCCCCCCACTTTAATGGCATCGACCCCTTCTCAGAAGGGGTCACTCCTGTTTTTACGCAGTGAGGCGCTTCAATGGATCTAGAGAGGGTTCTTCAACCAAGGTTTTCTGCGCAATTTTTGTCCCCGGGGAAGCGATTCTAGATGTAAACCCGAACCGTTCATGTCTCAGATTAAGAGAGGTAAGCAAAGAGAGGTAAGAAATAGAGTAAAGAGGCGTGATAGATGATTATAAGTGGGGACTTCGTCCCCAACTATGTAATGCGAGGTCCCCATGTTCACGGTTTATACTTTTTTTCACAGTAAGTAATATAACGTCGCAGGTGAAATCTATACACTCTATGAGAGTTAATCGTTCCACAACAACATTATTTTAAGACAAGCGTATTAATTCATACTACGTAGTAAAGTTCAAGCAACTAACTTACTTTTCTTTTGAAAAATAAAGTGGGACGCAGTCATAGCTTTCAGCACTTTGAATGCGTCCCAGTAGCAGTTCGTTTCTTAACACGATCCAGCCGGCTCTCACGATTGATGCACAAACGATTGATGAACGAAGGCGTGATGAACAAAAGGTTGACAACCAACGCCGCCCCGCTCCCCGCACACACCCGAAACGCGGGCTTGCCGCCTACAAGGCGGGCGAGGGCTGGATGCTGGTGGCTGCACATTAAGGCATGCCACCCACCACTGCACGCCGCCTCGTCGCCAACGGCCGAGTGGAGTCGCTACTGCGCGGGGGAGCGAGAGCGCAATGCGTCAAGTGTACTCCCGAGATCGAGGCGGCGCTCGAGGGGTACATTGACGAGATCTGCACCTACACTCTCGCCCAGCTGCAAGAGATGGTCTGGCTGGACTTCCGCGTGAGCCTGAGCACGTCCACAATCAGCGATAAGCTGGCTAAACCCTACGGGAAAGGGGCACGCCGTGCAAGAACGTCTGGATCGTCGCCGCGGAGTACTTCCGTATCTTCCGTCACGGCTTCCGCGCCCCAACAGGGACAAGTGTACTCGACCTCGACTTCTTCAACGCTGCAATCGCCAGCGATGTCAATTTCGGCACCGGCACTGGCTTAGACGCCCTGGTCAACCATTGGAGCACCTTGACGCAATTCTTCCCGGATATCCGCCTGGAAAGGAAGAATCTCAAGCCAATTTCGGGAGACTCTGTCCTTGCGACCACTACCACGAGCTTTACGATCTCGGACGCGGCTTTTGGGAATGCATTCCCTCATTTAAGCAACGGAAACAAAAGGGGCTGCTGCTCGAGGATTGCAGCCAACATGTTACGCCAAAAGCTGGTTCTGCATGGTTCGGTGCGTTTTCACTGGGACCAATCGGCTCATTGCGTTGCGGGTGTACACAGTCAAGCAGACCTCTTGACACCTTTGCTCGAATTGCTGAGAAACCTGGAGGATGTTGCGTTAGTTTTTGCGTACGCTTACGTCACGCCTGAGTGCAACGTGGTATTATGCAGCTAGAACTTCTTCATCACCTGAGAACACAGTTGAATACACGTTGCCGTCACAAACAACGCACTTACAAAGGTTTAATCTTAAAAAAATCTTCACGATTTCTACCATTATAATTTTTAGTAAGTATAATAAGTTTCAACAATATTGAGTAGACGGGAATTGCCGAAAGCCCAGTCAGTTCTGGCTCGCGTCTGTAGAATAACGTTATCCGACGAGTGTAGGGAAGAGTACAGTACTTCTTAAAGGCCTGACCATGTGCTAATCGGGATGGAACGACCCATCATAATCCTCAGGCGTTCGAGGTCGAATCGGCCTGCTATTAGCATGACTTGCATGTTCAGAGGTATATTACCGCGTGTTTGGATATCTCCTCTGAGCGTCATTGATTGTCAGGCCTCCTTAAACATGGGATTTTCACGGATTTTCCCAGATTTCCCATTTTAAAATCTCAAATACTCCCGTGAAAAACAGAAGATTTTATGCTACGGAATTGTATACGATTAGCTTTTGGCGTCGGAGCGCAACGAAAAGAACGCTTTATAAATGCTGAAAGCGCTCGAATAATGGTCCAACACAGCCATGGGACGATAGGAACCGTCTAAAGGGTTCATTTACCTTATTTTGAGTCAGGTATCTTTGTAAGCTTGAGATTCCAGGACAGGGTGGGGAAATCAAGGGTGGGGGTGGACTTTTGAGGTTGCAAATTCACTAATAGAATGCTTGCTACGGCCCATTGTTGCTTGGATAATGAGACCTTTGCCACGGGCTACGTAAGTATTGTTGTTAGATCACGGCAATCTTTGCGTATCAGGTCTCTTTTTTAGTAGATGTAAGGAAAACATATTCAATCAGCGGAACTGTCAACGGTAATTAAACGTGGGCGCTTTTCAATATTGAGATTGTTCCGCATAGACAACGAACATCACGACAGCACTGATTGTGATGCACCTTAATGTTACTACTTGGGGTTCTTATGATGACATTTAATGGCTCTGAAGCACCAGTATCAACATCGGAAATAAGTGGGTGAATCATTTGACTTGAGTAAAGTATGCGTCCCATAACTCCCATATTCAAATCCAGAATTCTCCCTTGATAAAGGACTTTACGGGAAAACTGGGAACTCCCATCTTTAAGGAGGGCTGACAATCAAAGAGAGCAATGGCACCACCTGATAGCCATCCGTACCACTCGTACATCGAAACACAATCGAGTCGCAGGCTACACTTTTCTCACCCCAGACCCATCACTACCGATTTCACCAAGAATACCACAAGCCAAGGATGACAGACGAGTTCGACGCGGAGCTGGACTACATCGCAAACTACGAAATGCTGACGAACGTCCTACCCGATGTCGACGACGAGACCACTACTCCTACCGGTGGATCTGAGAGAACTCTTTCGGGTTGTGACGAGAATTTTAGCTTCGATTTTGCGACGACTGAGGCTCAAGACCTATTTGATACCAGCACCGGACCTCGTCTTGACTCGAACAAGTCCGTTGCAAAGACGAACACGATCTCATCCCAGTTGCGCTCTATGAAGAGGCGGGCACCACAACCGCGCCGCGTATCCCGAAGGAAGGTGATCGCAGAGCTACGAATCGAGGTAGATGAACTGTCCCGGACCCAGAAGGAGCTCAAGACATCGCATTTGAGCCCAATTTCTCAGGATTTACAGTCGCCTACTGGGCAGCACCGACTGATGCGGCACGTTCAGGAGAAACTCTGGAAAGGGATCGCCTCCAGACAGCTCACTCTGCGTCAAAAAGCTGAAAAGGAAAACGCAACACTTAGTCGTCTTCTACGAGAGCAAGCTAAGGAGCGGGAGAACATCAAACGCTTATTCAAGCATCGGTGTAACGACGAGGTGAGTCGATTCTTCTGTTTATCCAGTCTGCCGATATATATTCTAACCCTCTTTTTTGATCAGATGTTGGAACGAGTTCCTTTCTCCAAGCGGTCGACTCTTTGTGTGCCTAACCCACTTAGCTCCGGTGACAAGACGTTCATGAAACTATTATCAGAGACGGATTGCATGCGTCAAGATATTGCGGCGATAGTCAACAAAGCAGAGATGGACCAGATTTTCAGCCCAGGACGGACGAGGAAAATCCGCTCCGACGTAGTCACCGGGACATTCATCGAATTCAAGGACAGAAACCGTGTAGCATTTGGCCTTTCATCGACTGAGAGGGCTATGTGGAAGGCTTTAAACGCTCCTAAAGATCAGATGGGGACCACGTCGGCGCCAAGGTACGGTTTATTGTGACGATCAACATTTTTTATTATTTACTAACGCTTTTTTTACTTATATATCTAACTCTGCTCGGAGAATATCCACAACTCCGGTGACATCGCGACTAGCAATGTGGGATACACTTGCTTAGTTGGAGAAACTAGCGCGTACGTGGAGGAAAAGCGAGTAAGCCGAAAGAACGTCCGTGACAGTGACGTGCTGTTCGTTTCTCGAGCCTTGTCCATGTCGTTTACGAGAGATGGTGGGTCTATCGGTCTGGAATTCGAAGAGCGGTGTAATGGTCTAAGTCTACGTGGACAAGCGCCCGTCTCGACATCGATCTCGTCAGCGGTTCCCGTGTCGACGCAGTACCAATCGAAGCTCGCCTCCAGATGTGTCACTCTACTCCAGAGACGTGGACCAGTCTCCGTTCAACTCCGCTCCAAGTCACTACTTGTGCTCGGCGCATCTCTGCTTGTACCAGGCTTCAACATGGCTTTCGTGTTGCATTAGCAGTGTCTCCCCCTGGAGACGCCCCTCAGAGCTAGCTACCGGTACTTGTTGCTACTCGCTAACCTCAATTCAATGGCATTCTGTCTTTTGCTCAGTGGTTCACTCCAAGCGGAGAATCACTGGCGTCAGGGCGCCCCACAAGCGTCATTGAGACGTATCTGGAGGTAAAACGATCGGACGCAAAAAAAACAGGCGGGCCGTAAATTCCGGCACAAGTCCTTCGTGGATATCGCCGCCAAAGGCTGGGACTGCAACCTCTCGCTGCTGAGTCAGAGAATCGAACACTTTCTGTTTGATGAAGCAAACGCACAAATGGCGAGCTAGAAATAAGAAAATGTACTTGAGCCCGTGTCGTTTTAGCACGCTTTTGCCTACGGATTCACTATCACTGGCATGTGAAATGCCATGTTAGTACAGTTAGTTGATGCTCACGAAACCTCAGCATACCGACACAGTACGTGTAATACCGGTAACGCGGTCACCACGTAGTGGCAGCCTTGAAATTGCCAGCGCCAGAAGGCAGAGCAGTTTGTCCCCAAAACTACCGGTAACTTTATCACCATCACTCATTCCTGAATTCTCCCTGCTTGACGTCAAACAACCTCAAGATGCACTCTGCCTCAAGTCTCATGAGCGACTCTGCACCAGTCCCGCTGCGTCGAACCCACTCGCTCGAGTTCGACCACAGCCCCGAGAGCGAGCCTTACGACACCGCCGATGAGGAGTTCGACGTCCATGCCGCGGCCCAGATGATCGACTCGTTCGACTTAGACGCGTTCTAGACGCGTTCTTAGACGGAGGTGCTGGCCCGGTTTCAAGCTCAGATAATGGAAGCAGCACAAATTGGGTGCCAGAACGGAATCAATGCCCGGCATCGGGTAGCAGCTCCGAAGTGATGGAAGCGAGGCTCACTGCTAGTGGCTCCGTGTCAAATGACTCGACAATGGACGGAAAAGGCTGCAACCCCAGGTAGCTCAGGTAAGTAATCCCGACGGAGAACTCGCAAGGAGAAGATCCTAATGCTTCGGGAGTCCGTCAAGACTCTGGAAGGTCGACTCGAAGTATCCACTTTTCCGCATTTCTAGACGGCTCGGGGCTTCCTTTCAGTTCGGAATTCCGCGAGCCAGGACACTTGGACGCCGGCTTCAAGGTGTGAGAGAAGGTCATCGCGCCCATTCATCCCAAGATTGAAAGCGTCCTCTTCGATGAGCAGTGTGCATTAAAAAGCGATCGACTTGAGGTTTAAGGCAAAGTTGAGGCACACATTTAGGAGCTATACATGCACATTGCATGGACTGATCGCCATATTATCGATCCCCAGGCTGAGAAGCGAAGTCGAAAGTGAGGAACTTCTCCTTTAATTCGAAGGGAAACTTTCGGAGAAGTCCGTTAAAAAGAGTTATGCATCACGCTTAAGTCACGTTGCTCTGCAGACAGCAATGTTCTCTTCCCCCTCTGGCTGAAGAGCGTGATCCCATGCGTTGACTGCCAGGTCCGTGAACCTGGGCTCGCGCCTCGATCACCTCATCTTGGTATCGAGTGACCCACAGAAACCGTCGATGACGGTAGTCTTTTGGGCGGCGGGCAACAACAACGAGTGATTTCTGGAGCGATAGCCCAAATTGGAGCACATCCGACTGTTCCATTCGCGAAGGCAAAGCCCGGCAGAATCTATACATCCAGCACGTATGGCTTCCATACATCTGCACTGCCTCGTGAATACCTACCTCCTCGTATCGATGACGGCGTCATCACACTTCCAGGTGGATCGGAAGAACCATTTCCGTTTGCGGTGATGATTTCGGCTGTGAGTTTGCCACGCTCGAGGCTCAAGACCTCTTTGAAGACTTAGATACAGCATCAGACCCCGACTTGACTTGAATAAGTCTCGAACAGTCGAAGGCTACCTCGCCCAGGAGAAAGTGCACAAAGGATCAAGCGCCGCGGCATCGGTGCGTGTAGCGAAGGAGGGCTATCGCAGACCTCCAATTCAGGGTTGATGAACTATCCGCGACCGTAAAGGAGCTCAAGCAACCGCTTTCAAGCGCAATTTTCTTCGGTTGCCTGCTCGCAGCACGAGGAACTGTGGAAGAGCATCGCTGACTGACAGCTTATCCTACTCTGCGTCAAGACGCTGAACAAGAAAACGCAAGTCTCTATCATCTTCTACGAAAGCAAACCGAGGCACGGGAGAACATCAAACGCTTAGTATAGGTACGCTGACGCTGGTTGATTCTGTTTATTGATCCTGCCAATATATACTGAGTATATTTTAATCGCCTGAGCAGTGTTGGAACAAGTTCCTTTCTCCAAGCGTTCAATTTTTTTGTGATTAACCCACTCGAAACTGCTGGTAAGACATTCATGAAATGAATGAAACTTTCAGGTAAAAGGGATGCTACGTCTCACGATGTTGCCGCCATGATCAACAAAATGGACGGGCTGAATCACCAGCTCAGGACGGACGAGCGAAATTCGCCCCAACGGAGTCACCCGGACATTCATCGAGTTCAAGGACAAAATCCGTGTCCCTTTCGGTCTTCCGGCGACTATCGGGAAGGTTTTAGATGCTCCCAAAGCCACAGGAGACACTAGCACGTACATGAAGGAGAAGCAAGAACGTTTGTGGGAGTGATGTGCTGTTCGCATCTCGAGCCTTGACCGAGTCGTTCACGAAAGGTGGTGGGCCCATCCAAAAACTCACATTTCACAATAAATATACCATATTCATACGCTGACACGGCGTCACCAAGAGTTGATTTCTGCCATACTATGTAGTATTATCGTAACTTGTACTTGAACTTACTTGTAAACGTTAGTGCGCCTTACGCTTTAGGGGAAAAGTGGTCTACACTCTCCAAGCGTGGTCCACACCACTAGTATTATCGTAAGTTTACGCAAAATACGCAAAGGCATCGTAAGCATCAACTGGTGCCACTAGAGGATTGGGCTGGTAGTGCGCCTGAATATGCAATTTCGTCGAAGCAAACCAAAATTGTTCGGTTAAATGAACAGAAACTTGCCAACATTTGATACGCATCTGCTGCGCCTGCTTTGCAGCCGCAGCATCTGCGGCGCCAGTGCTATTCACGGCGCGCCCCGGAAGTGATGCAGATGTGCAGAGCGATGTAGTGCAGCGGGTTGTTCTTAAACGGCGCCCGGAAGTGATGCAGATGTGCAGAGCGATGTAGTGCAGCGGGTTGTTCTTAAACGGCGGTGGAGCTGCTCCTCCGTGATCTCCTCGCCGAACTCGAGCGCCACATGCAGGTGCGCCATACGGCCCTCCGTCTTCTCCACGAGACTGGAAGCCGACACCTGGCGGTTGACCGCGTCCATGAGCGTTGAGCTGCGTACGTATGATCAATAGTAAAAATGCATGACGGTTTACAGATTCATGCTATTTCTTCGCGTATTCTCAATATATTTTCGCATTGAATGATGTAGACTAGATATTGATCGACCATCAGCACAACCATTTTTTTTTCATTTTGCCACAAAATAAATTTCTCCGAGTAATCCTAAGAAAAGTTGTATGTAAATTTCCGCATGAATGATGCAGACTAGATATTGATCGACCAACAGCACAACCATTCAGCCACAAAATTAATTTCTCCGAGTAATCCTAAGAAAAGTTGTATGAAAACGCGATGAAAATGATGAGTGATCTGGACTACAGAGCGCTCCTACGACCACCGAGACGTCGTCCTCCGAGCTGAGGTCGACGTCGTCTCCGCCCGCAATGAGCTCCCTATCTTCCTCCTCGATCGTGTCCAGGCCTTGGAGCCCGGTCTGTGGGAGGTCGTAGCCGGCAATGAAGTCGAGCGTGGCCTGCAGCGACTCCATCTCGTCTCCAAGTGCGCACGCCATAACGTCCAATTCAGTTGGTTGAGTCGTGATCGGAGAATAACGTCGTTATGTAGTCAACGGGCCTCGACTCAACTCAGAACAGGAGAGGAGGGGGAGAAGACCATGGCAGAGCAGAGCAGATCCCGTTCCCTGATCACTGCTTTCGGCGCTTCAACCCAATGAGCTCAAGCGTCTACAATACACAGCAACACGGATGAGTGGGAGTCCTCGGGCTTATGACAAGTACAACAGCCAGCGTCGTATCACCTCTGAGTCGTTGCGTCGACTGAGCATCCGCTTGAGGTTCTTGGTCTGGCGCACGCACGTCTCCACCAGCGTCCGCAGCTGAGCGTTGGCCTGCTCGGCCTGTTGCCGCAACAGGAGCTGCCTCGCAGCGACCTGCTGCCACAGCGACTCGGGCTGCGAGAGGATGGACCTCACGTGCTCTTCTTCTGCCTCCGCGGGGGAGTTGGGGGCCGACGACGCCTGCAGTTTGTCAAGCTGCTCGAGAGCTCCGCCACCGTGTCGCGCAGCTCGCTGATCTCCTCCTTCTTCGACACACGGTGGCGACGTCGAGGTGTCGGTGTTGCAGTGCTAGCAGTCTTTTGGTCACCTTTATGAGGGACTGGAGTAGGAAGCGACGGCCGCACCGACAGGCTTATTGCGTCTTGCATACCCGAGTCCGTTGTCGCGTCGAACAGCTCGTTCTCGCCCTTGATTTCGTCCAGGAGCTCTTCGGCTGCATGGAAGCCTGTGTCGAAAGCAGCGGCGTCGGTGTCCTCTTCTGGGATCTCGAGCGAGTGCGAGTGGGTGAACGCGTGTGCGTGCCGCTGCTCCGGCACCTCGAGCGAGTGCGATTTGTTGAGTTTGTGCGAGTGCTCGAAGGCGAGCGTGAGGTCCACGGCGTCGGGTGTGCCAGCCGAGGACAGTTCGTACTGCGAGATGAAGTTGAGCGCCGCCTCGAGCGTCTCCAGTTCGTCTTGAGGCATTTTCTTGGAGATCAAACGACCCGAAGTGAATTGGGAAATGACAATCACTCGAGGGATTGCATGCGGGTGGTCGATGTTCTCCATAATTGCCATGAGTAGGTGCAGGTGTTCAGGTGTTTGGAGAGCGGACGATTACTCTAGTAAAACTGTAGGCTTCTTGGCACAATCAAAAAATCGAGGTAACCTGCTATAATGTATAGGACTGTCGCAACATTTTTCACTTGATTCGTGAGTACAACCAGCTTAAATTAAACATTTAGATAGTTAAATACTTCAATTACAAAATGATTTTTGTCACAAAGCATCGTAATATAGAGTTTCCATGAAACTGCATCATCAAGAATTAAGGGTTAGAATTGTTGTCGCGACGAGGACTTGCACTCAACTCACCCGATGGATCTTCTCAACGTGTGGCTGAAGCGGGTGTTTACGGACGTGTTCGCCGCCACAGCGTTGACTGTTCCGTCTGCTCTCCTCTACGAGCAGCCAAACCTACACTTGGCCTACGCTTTTGCGTGGGACTTCAACACACAGCCAGTTAGCTTTTTGTTGTCCGAAAGTGAATAATCATCCTCACTTCGTTTGCTAGAAGTAATACATGTACATTCCTCTTCTCTAAGGCTGACGTGATTGAATTAGATTTGTTGCACCAAACCTCTGCGCTTTCTATTGTAGAATCGCAGCCTGGCAGTCAGGAGAAGAGCTCGACTTATCACACGACTCGTCGATCGCTAAGCTCTCGACTTGGTGCGCGATTCGAGTAATAGCTTCGTCCCACGCAGCGATGCCAATATCCAGGTTGGGTGAAGTGCGAATAGCCCCGGCACCGGGCAGGCCTTGGTCATAGCGTGTGGCGCTGAAGTGGCTCTCAATCCGAGTCACGGCATTTTCCACTCCTGACTGAGAGCACTCTTCTCGGAGGACGATGCGCAGCGTCGTCCGGGTGTGGAACCCTGAGTTCTTGCCAGCGTTGAAGAGCACGGGCTCCATAAGCGCCTTGCAGATGAAAACCACGCGGCCCTTCTCCACATACTTCTGGATCACCTTTCGAAACTGAGCCCCTCTGACGTCCCCCAAGCTGTCCGTCTCGGCGAAGACGCTGGTCTTGATGGTGTTGCTCGACTCCTCGATGTACTGAGAGTGAAATTGGACACGGTCCGCCAAGTCTCCAATGGAAAGCAAACCGTGGAAGCCCACCTGGCGCAATGTCTTGTGCATCGCCTTCTCCGTCGTCTGAAGATCGAATGGCATAGATGGCGTTGCATGAGCTCGAGGAATAATCCGGCCGTCACATTGCGTTTCGCTTCACGGTGTCGACCAGGACACGGCAGATTGTACAGACCCCTCTCAGAAAAGAGGGCGTCGGTACCGACATAAAGCTCGTCGATGTCTCGCAGCATGTCCTCGAAGACCTCGGAGTTGTCTTCTGGAACACTGTAGTCAATCATCTTGTGGCGCTTCATCCCCAGCATGTCCTCCATCATCTACACCAACAACAACACAGGTTAGAACCGTATTGAGGCATCCGCAGTACATCGTTGAGCACTTACAGCGATCTTCGTCCGGCGCTTGAGCACGCGTTTCAGGTTCCTCGCTTCGTGCAACTGAATCTGCAGCATCTCGCGCAGCTTTGCGTTCTCCGCCTCGGACCGTAGCCGGCGGTCAAGCTGTCTAGCCGCAATCTGCTCCCACATCGACGCTCGCCGTGGAATGAGCTGTCCATCGACGCCCCGGGTCGTCGATCCGCAGCCTGGCTCCCATTGCGGCAGCAGACTCTGCAGCTCCTCGTTGAGGCCTCGAACTGTTTCGCGCAGAGTTTCGAATTGCTGCTTCTGAGAGATCCTGGGGCGTCTTTTTGGCTTCCTGTTGTCGGCCTTGACCTTGGACGATAGGACCGAGTCTTCCGACGACGTGGGGCTTGTCACCTTGGCGGGATCCGGAGAGGCATCGCCGAGTACGGCCAATTGCTGTAATGCTTCCTCAGCCAGACACGCACCGGACGGCTCACGCGTTTGCGTTTCAAAGAGCCCCTCGAACGAGCAGCTCTCTTCGGGAGTGAAGGCCAGGAACTCCTCAGGTCTTGGTGGCAGCACCTCTCTAGCGTCGTGTAGAGCGAGCCCTTCTTCCTCGAGATCGATCTGCGAGAGGAAGGAAAACTCTTCGTTCAGCGCCTCGGTGTCGTGGAGCATGGTCGATCGACTCGAGTTGTGCTCTGACTCAGAGCCTCTGAGCTTTCGGTTCGAGCGGCGGGGCTTCTACGATCGAAACCCTCGACAAGTCGCTGGGACAGTGATGGAAAATCCAGCTCAGGCAGCAGCCGTTCCAGTGCTTTGGCAAATCCTGCATGGTACTGTAGCATTACCCTCGGAGACCTCAACAGGTGCCTTCGACACAGAACACGAGTGCACTACCGGTGTGGCTAATACGACTTGGACGCTGTTCGCGTCGCTCATGTGTATGAGTGGTAGTTACGTGGAATGAGGAATTTCTTAAATGGCGCCGAGGAGGTTCCATCGAGGCGGGCAGCAAGGAAGTTCTATAACCTTTGACTAAGCACTCTTCGTCACATTGACAGAGGTGTCAAAGGCGTTGATGTACATGTATGCATCTGTACAGTAGATTACGCCAAGCATTCCCGTGTCAACATGCTGGCGGGGAACCACACGAAAATCCATCGCCCAAGGCTCACCCAAGTTGCCGATCCAGTACATGTACTGCACACTTACGTGTGCTGTACTGTGCTGCTGAGTCAGCAAACCTTTTGCGGACCTCCACCTCCATCGAAAGCTGCTTACGCCTGCAAGTTGGCACCTTTCGGGTCCATCAACGCCCGTTGGATTTTCTCCTCAGTCATTTCGTGTCTAGATCACCGGTAGCGGCCATAGCGCTAAGGTCTTTTAAGACGTGTTAACACAGCTCAGGCAGGGATAGCAGACAGTTGATCGGAAGGCAGTGCACGGTACGGGAGCAGCACATAGAGGAAGCTCTTCTGCCAGGACGAGAGCACATGGCTGGGACAGCCCCTGATGGCGGCCACCATGGCCGTCTCACAAGTCAAAGTGCAGGCGCGCGCAATAGAACTATGAGCGGGCTGACCCCCACCGCCTTCGGGGGCGAGCCTTCGGGGCTGCAGGACGTCTTGGCCTTCATCGCCGACTTCGAGATGGAACACGGTGCCTCCAGCGCCAACCACGACAGCGACGACTGGATGGAGGACGAGTCGGACAAAGTCCAAGACGTGGAGCTCCCAGAGTCGTTCGTATGTGATGGCGGACGACGCCCCTCGCCTACGGGTGGCATTGGGCCCCATCAAGCGTTGCTGCTGTCCACCAGCATCCCGGGGACTTCGATGAAGAGCACAGAGGACGGAGCTACCAAGACGCCTCGTCGCCATCGCGTCAGTCGCAAGGAGGAGCTCGAGTATTTACGTAAGAAAGTGACGGACATGGAAGATAAGCTCAAGCAGCTCAAGAGTAACGCTGACGGTGGCGGCAGCGGCTCTCCCACTCCAGCGAAACCAGCAACACCCGAGGACGAGAAGGCGGCGATGCAGCTGGAGCAGTCCATTGCGCTCTGGAAGAAGATGGCGCAGAGGCAGAAGAGTCAGCGAGAACTGGTCGAGTTGGAGAACGCCAAGCTGCGCGAGAAGCTCAAGACGCAGGTGCGCATGGCCAAAAGCCTGCAGAGGATACTACGCAAGTGCGAGCGAGCTGCGGAGCAGGTACGTCACGATCAAAGCTTGCGCTCGATTAAAGGTGCAGGTGAGTCTCACCCACGCTGTCGATCTATTGTACACACAGGACACGTCCGACGCGCCGAAGCGCTTCAAGAAGCTTCAGCCCGGCGCATATACTTCGTCAGGGGGCGACTTTGATGAGCTGGTGCAGAGTCTCGAGGCGCTGTACTCTCTGACGAACGAGCGGATAGCGACTTGTCCAATTGCGACGGGCGCGCAGCCGCTGCTCCGCGAGCAGGACGTCAAGTACAACGACTTTACTGGGATGTTTCTCGAGTTCCAGCACAGCAAACTGGTACCGTTCGACATCGCGGCGGTCAACCGTGCAGTGTGGCGGCTTATGAGCGAACCGGGCATCAAGTTCAACACGTACTTCGAGGAGGTACACTACGCTACCGACCAATTTACTACAGGAGCTGGAGTATGATCTGACGCTGTTGTGTATTAGCAGTTTACTGAGGTTCAAGGCGACGTGGTGCTTCGCAAGTTCGGCGTCGAGATCAAGCAGGGCGATCGTCTGGCCCAAATGACCGGAAGGCAGGCCCTCAAACGGTATTTTGAGAACAGTCGGGTCGTGATCGTGCGCAACTCGAACATCGACCGCATGCAGTTAGCTGACGCCGCGACAGGAGGACTCGGATTCCGCGATGTAGGCTGGCTTGTGCTAAAAGACGTGACAGGAATGGTCTCAGCTTCCGGGCCGATGACGCTGATCCAGTCCTACTCGACGTTGACTCCGGACGTGGATCTCGACGCCCAGTGGGAGGTTGGAGCGCTGACGGATTTTGTACTGCAGTCTCGAGAAGAGATGGAGGTTGGTAACGAGAGCGTCGTAGAGAACTTGCTGCTTGAAGAAGCTACTAAACGCACATGAATACGAATTTTGGCTCGATCCACGTTTGTAGCGTATTGTCCCAGTGCAATTTGGCGTGGTGAAGCTCGACAGAAGGCCACGTTCAATGGTTACCGCTTCGGAGTTAGAGGGCAGTGATCAAGCTGTCCAAGACGACCGGGATAGGCACATTCCACATGTAAAAATTATGGCAATTCATGTTGAGGACGCTGTGGTACCTTCAGCAACTGGTAGGCATCGGGTCTTGTCGCGCTACATGTAAGCTTACCCGGTATTAATCTGACAAACCAACTTCTTCACCAGACCGCATTTTGACTCTTCAGGTGTCTGAGGACATGTCGCTTGAACTGCAACACGAACCCGCCGAACTTGACGAGCTGCTGGCGTTTGTCGGCGACTTCAGCCTTGGAAATGGATCCACAGCTCCGAAACCCCAAGCTTCGAGCCCCAGCGAGCCGCTGGAGATGTCGGACGACGCATGGTTCAATGAACTCGGAGAACTATTGAGCGAGGAGACCAGTCCGCCGCTCAAGCTCGTTGGGCTCGACATGCATGAAGCTAAACCCGACAAATGTGCGAAGACGTTGTCAGCAGTCCCAGTCCCAAAACTTGCGAAAAAGGCCCCAGGCCGCACGCGAGTAAGTCGCAAGGAAGAGCTCGAGTACTTGCGCTTGAAGGTGAAAGAGATGGAAGCCAAACTGCGTGATCTCAAGGGGAAATCGGACGGGGATCGGTCACCACCTCCACAGACATCGGATTCACTCGACATTGCCCAGAACTCCATGCACGTCGATCAGTCCCTAGCTCTCTGGAAGTCGTTGGCTGAGCGGCAGAAAAGTCAACGCGAGTTGGTGGAGGTTGAGAACGCCAAACTGCGGGAGAAGCTCAAGACGCAGGTTCGAATGGCGAAGAGTCTCAAGCGAATCCTTTGCAAGCGCACGCGAGATGAAGAACTGGTAAGAGCAACTGACGTGCGTTTGCTTGCGTGTAGACTTTAGACTCCTTACATGATTTTGCGCTCTACTGCGTAGCAGGGCTCCAAGACCCCAAAGCGATCAAGGTCATTGCTGCAGGATGTAACTAGCACCGCAGCTCTGTTCGATGACATGCTGCAGTGCCTCGACGAGCTCTACGTGGAAACAGACAAGCACATCGCCCAAAGTCTCAAGGCTTCGATATCCAGCCCTGTGCTTCGCACCAGAGACGTCAAATACACCGACTCTGCTGGAATGTTCATCGAGTTCCAGGACAGCAAGCTCTGGCCGTTCGATATGGCTACAGTCAGCCGTTTTCTGACCGAAAACCGGCCACAAGTTCAACAAGTACATCGAGGAGGTACGTGCTTTACTGTCTGCTTCTCTGCTGCGAACGTACTAATTTTGTATACTTGTTATTGCTCGGATAGAATGTTGAGATGCGGGGTAACACCATGCTTCGCAAGTTTGGCGTCGAGATCAAGCACGGCAGCAGTGTCGCCGTGCTGTTCGGACGGCAAGTTACGCGTCGATACGTGGAAAGCGACCGTATTGTGCTCGTCCGTCACTCGATCGTCGATGAGATCCAACTGACCGGATCACCGACTGGAGGACTCACGTTTCGTGAGTCTGGATGGATTGTCGTGAAGAATGCCACAGACGTACCGGGCACTGGAGCTGCGACTCTGGTGCAAGCGTGCTCTACCATGTCGCCAGACATCGACCTTGATGCGCAGTGGGAGATCGGAGCGCTGACTAACTTTGTGCTTCAGTCACGCGAAGACGTCGAAGTAGGGAACGACGCGATCATCGAGAACATGATGATCGAGGAGGCGGCTAAGCAGACAGTAGCATAAATTTGAGTGTAGGATTGCTCATGGTGACTATCATTGAATCGAGGTTGATTAGTTTTCCCCGCTCTCGTCTTCACCTTCTGGTAGCCAGTAACCACAGATGACAGGGATAAGACACCGGCACCGCCTTACTACACGCTCGCGCTTTCAACGCCATTCAGGCCACTTCAGAATTTCTTCCCTCGTAAGCATGTCGCTTGCATTTCTTGATGATGACTCGAACTTTAGCGATGCAGTAGGCAACAAACAAGAGGAGTTTGGATCACACCTAAAATCGCAGAACCTCAAGGAGAATGAACTCTTCGATGCGCCGGCAACATTCCTGAGCCTTTTCGAGAACGTCACCAGCCCTAATGCAGTCCTGCCTCCTGTGCGAACCGAAGGCTTCGTTGGAAATCGACCCTTAGAGGTACAACAACACCAGAATCGCAAGCGTAAGAGTGGGGTCTCTCGAAGGCAAGAGCTGGAAACTCTACGTGATGAAGTTAGCCTGATGGAGACAAAGCTGTCAGAACTACGCCAGAGAGCTAAGCACCGGACAACGGCCCCAGTCAGCATGAGCAGCCAAGACCCACCACTTTGGAAGGGCGTTACAGAGCGACAGAAAGCGCAATGCAAGCAAGCTCTGGCGAGGAATATCAAGCTTCGTGCAAAGCTTAAGAGCCACATTCGTATGGCGAAGAGCTTGATACGAACGTTGCAGAACAGGGAGGCGAGTCTGGTAAGTATTTGCATACAATGAGAGAAAATACGATGTTCTCAGGCTTACCACCAATGCCGCTTGTGCTTCGTAGGCTCCGCGCCCGCTTCCCGCTTTAACACCCGTAGTGCAGCAATCTACACAACGCGCCGACAAAGACGAGTTTGCAGACCTGTTGGGGAGTATGGAGAACCTCTTCATCGGGACGGACGACAAGACTCGATTGACACCAGTTGCATCTGTAGGCTCCCCGCACGTTCGAGATGCGCAGATCAAACGCAGTTTGGACGGGGAATACCTCGAGTTTCAGGACAGCAGGTGCCTCCCTTTCACTGTGGACGTCGTTGACCGAGCGATGTGGCGTTTTTTTCGAGAAGCAGGAATCTCCTCAAGCCACTACAAGCATGAACGTCAGGTGAAGCAGGAGGATACTATTGTACGGACGTATGATGTCGAGATCGACAAGAGAAGCGGCGTCACAAACTTACATGGGAAACAGTCGGTGCGTCGTTACTTCCGCGGCAACAGCGTCGTGATCGTGCGGAAGTCAATCATGACTCCTGCTGGAGGCAATGGCGCTCAATTTGTCGAGAATGGCTGGATTGTTATTTCACCCGTACCAGGACAGCAGGCGACAGTAACACGCGAGTGTTCAACCATTTCTCCGCTCGGGCGTTCAACGGAGTGTGGGATAATCACAGAGGGTATGATTTCCGCACGAAAAGACTTAGTCGACAAGGCTTTTCAGGTTCTAGAAAACATTCTCTTTGAGGAGGCTGGTAAATGTCCGTAATCTAGTTCCATGCCCAATTGTGCGCGTGTTTCATCATTCAATTCAGTCGCATAGCTTCTTCCAGCAGAGCATCTTCGACAGATTGGTGGATGCCGTCCAGGTTTTCGAGAAAGGAAGAGGTGACGATGTCTGTCAGTATCGCCACTTCCTCCTGACTGTTTGGCATCACCTCCGGTAGTTCTGTTCTTACTTGCACACAGGACTGGATAATCGTCGACTCGAGCGACTTGCTAACAGTATCATCATCACCATACTGCTTCTCAACCAACGTCCACCCAGAATCACGATGACGCATGCTTTGAGCGGCGCTAAGAGTTCCTTCAACTTTGGTCTCGCAGGCCCATACAAATACACATCTGTCTTCTTCGATAAAGCGCTTGACCACGAACCAGGCGTCTTTGATCACTTGGTGTTTCTTGTGCCGCACAGTGAATGCCATTTTCGCCGATAGTGTGTCTTCCGTGCCGTCAACCAACTACATACCCACAATTCTTCTGATCAGCATTGTAAATTAATGGAAAACCCGAACAAAAGATGAACCTGAACGAACCGAGTAGTGGCCATCGCGGAGCTTGAGGTGTGGTTGAGCCATCGAGCGCCAGAACTGTGTCGCCGTCGCATGCATCTCGAACGGCAGGATCTTCGAGGCGAGAAACTCCATGAACATTCCATACGCACCGTCCGGCTTCACCTGCATGTGCTGTCCATCAGTCTTCTTCCGTGCGAAACTATTCTGAAGAAACACTGCGTCGGTCTGCTTGTGCTGGTCATCCAGTCGTCTTAATATCCTCTCAAACACGTCGTTCTCCGCTTCATTTTCCACTCTCACTCGTTTCCGCTCGCTTGCCCACGCTCCAGACTCCTAAAAGCCCATACAGAAATCCACGTCAACCAGTCTAGCTCCTCGATTTCTGCTGATCAGCCTGCTCACCTCCAGCGCCGATCTCTTCCTCAGCAGCTTCTCAAGGTTCTGGACGATAGCCAGTTGTCCCTCCACCATCCCTCGCAGCTTCTCGTTCTCCCTCTCCACCCTCTTCTTGCCCTCCAACTGACGCCTCGCAACGCGGCGCCACACAGACACCCCCTCCACCTCTTCCTTAAGAACTCCAGCCTCGGAGTTCTTAAGTTGCCGTAGCTGCAGCTCGAGCTCTTTAGCCTTGAGTCGCAGGAAGTCCAGCTCGTCTTTGCGTCGCTTACGACGAGGAGGAGAAGGAGGCACAACGGCCACTGGGATTGAAGGCGTCTGGGTGACACTCTGGCTGCTGCTGCTGGAGCTGCAGCTATCTACAGTCGTGGCGTCTGCATCTTGGCTCTGGTCCCGCAGCTCCACCGGCTCGGGGAACAGCAGCGTCGGGTCTAATAACTCGGCTGGCAACTCATCGCTGCTATCTAGAGGTGCTTTACTGAGGTGGTTGACGTCTAATTCCTCGCATTCGGGCAGTAAAAGCTCGTCGAGGCTGGGAACGTCGTCTAGCAGCGCAGGGAATTGGCTGCTGAGATCCATTGAGACGTCAGAGTGCGGCGAACTCGGGCTCGTCGTGGAGCTGGAGAGGGCGGCGAGCAGATCCGATGCGCTGGTGAGCGAGGTGTCGAGGTCGTCGGCCTCCATCGGCGTCACGGGTGGACCCAAATTTTGCGTAACGTTTAGATGAGTTGTGTTCAAATACCGCGACAAACTTATACCCTCCTATACGATTGCAGTGCTTTAGCCCCACTTAGCCCAGTCCGTAGGACAAATGGAAGGACCAAAAGTTAGGCGCCTCGCTCCGTATAACTAGAAACAAATAGGATCATGCGACTACATGGGCACAACCCCCCGTCCTAGCTGTCCTGGTGGTCTTATCGGTTTAGCGTCCTCCATTGTCCTTCTCGAGATATAAGCCGTTGAAAACTTGTCTCTTGTAACATCGAATTTTGCCGATTTGTCCTAGCCTAGGACAATTTTGACTTGATTTCAGTATGGTGTCAGCCGGAGCTATCTTTAGCGCCGATTTCCCTGCCCGATGCGCCTTATAAGACACACCTTTGGGGGGTTAAAAACACCCCATACAAATATCAAGTCATTTTGGTCCTTTCTCGGGCTCCCTAGGACAAAAACGGCCGGTGTGTGCCACACCAAAACACGATTTGGACCTATCTCCTAGGACAAATCTAAGCGGGGTTAAGTTTTGTAAACTTATAAATGAAATTTCCACATCGCGTTTAAAATTTGTCAATCAAAATTCATACCGGGTACCACTTTTGAAAGGCAACTGGTAGTAAGAGTGAAAACACTCTGATTCGATCCAAACTGCAAAGTTGTGCACCTAAATGGAGCGATTCCCGCAGCGTTTTGAATCTTACTTTTATTCCAGAAAGTACGTGTTTAATATCTGAAAGAGGGGGTACCCCGCTTCCAGATCTGTGATTGATTGATTTCTGCCCTTTCTTCGCACTTTTAGGATGATTTTTGAATTCTAAAACCTACGGGAATTGCTCTAATGTGATACTAGAACAATGTTTTTAAGCCAAGACTTTAATTATATCCTTAGCTAGTGTTAAACTCAATCAACTGAGAGTATTTTATGTTTTCTGTGAGTGATTTTACCTTGTACAAATGTGATGTACGGTAAAAACTAAAAGTTGATTGATCAACTTCAAACACGATTGTCTAAAACTTTCATCTGTCCGCCATCGTCGATCGAGACAAAACTGAATGAAAACTCACCTTACTTAATTAATTAGAATTGAACGATGGGTTTATTACATAGGACGCATTAAACGTACTCGCCCGAATATAAACCCTCACCCGAATAGAAGCCCGTACCGATAAATACCGGTTGTTCACGGTTATTTCATATTTCATATCTGAGAATTTCGAGCTTCTAGCCCTGTACTATAAAATAAAGTCCGGGCTCTAATAGGGCAAGTACGTTATTTAATATACGTCTTCAATATTTTATTAGATAAGTACCGTATTGAAATGATTTTAAAGATTTAAGTTTTGTTTATTACACCATTCGAATAACAATAAATGGTTAGATAAAGTAAACTGGATCGTTATAATATGGGAAAAATTATTAGTGAAGAAGCTGCTTGAACTGAACACGGCCAGATTAAAATTACCTGAAGAATTTAGTCGGTGGGACTCCCAATTACCACAAAATATGATGATGGTTTTGAGATTAGGTGTACATTGTTCATCCAAATCATAGAGCTGTATGTACTGAAATCAGATGTACTATTGTCTGATTTTCATTCAAAAAGACAAGAATTGAAGTGCATGTCACTGTTCCGAGTAAATTGGTAAGGTATTACGCACCTTTAATGATACTAAAAGTATGATAAAATAGCACATCGCACAAATTTGACGAAAAACGGAGTTATTGTAAAAAATGGAATGACCAAAAATCGCTAAGACCAAAATTTTAATGTAGTAAATACTCTAAAAATCGTACGAATTATTAAACTTAATTTTACTTGATTTCTATGTTGATCTTCATGTAACAACATCTTGAGTTGGAAATTGTTACGATTTTTCGATAGAAACATGATTCCCCAGATTCTCGCGCCACGGGGGGGGGGGGGCAACACTCATGTCCGTCCTTACACGCCCACTGAGCGTACGTGTTCGACCACAATTATCTTGATCCTTTTGTCGGGGTGAAACTCCTCCCGAAGCTTGGGGGCTATCTCGTACAGCTAGTTGCAGCCATCCACGTGACAAACCGCCTTGTTGCAGCAGATCGGACACCTAGTCGGGTTGACCGCTTTGGTTGCTAAAGCAGAGCTGGCATGACCACGTGTCGTGCGGGTCCACGCGGCACCTCCACGCCACAACCTTGCCACTCCCCGAAAGAAAGTCTCGCGGTCCCTATTGGCATCCCAGTCCCATTCCGCGATGATATATGAGTTAGTGACGGCGATGGAGTTGCAACCATCCAGGCACACCTTTCGGTGGCGGCAGAACGGGCACTCTGCACCGGGGGTCGATGTCTTGGTCTCTCACACGTGGCAGGTCATGAGCTCGCACCTCAACTGCATCCTCTCGTTGCTCATCGGGAAGTACAGCCGCATGTCCATGTTATGCTCCTTGTCCCACTGACCCCGGAGATCCTTGCGCACCGCCCACAACGAGATGAAGAAGTCCACAGTGCACAGGACTTGCCTGGAGCAGATCCGCCAGGTACTACTGGTAATCATATAGTTCAAGTTCGCCATCCATGTATGGTGCGGCACGTCAGTGCACCTCCAGTGCCATTTCGGCTTCTGTTCGGGCCTGACAATCCCGCAGTCAAAATCACACTCGTTGGCTTTCTTATTTGCGAACGCTGGGTACTTTTTGGTCCTGGGGTGTGACCTCGGCTTCCTCTTCAACCCCTAGCATTGAGATCGCCGCCCTGGACACCACCTCCTTCTCCGGAGGTGCCTCCAGGTCCAGGTCCACCAGGCGCAACACCAGCGCCGGCAGCAGGATCAACAGAGCCATCGCGGTCACCACCCTGAACCCCACCGCCTTCCTCGGAGTGCCACGATCTCCAACAACCTCGCCAACAACAGCACCGACAGAGGCGCCGTTGCCACCACCATGACTACCGCCTCCAGAGAGACTAATCACCACTTCGCCACTTGGCAAAAGAGTAGATTCAAATAAGTGTTTTCAAGTCCATTAGGAATAATGGCGTCTACGCTGGCCGGTGACAGGCGACCTCAAACGACAGATGAAGCCGACCTGGGCCGCCTCCCCGCTTTTCGCCACTGGCCGTGCGACATGGCTGTGTTGCCGTAACGAACGGCGCCGCGACCGACGTAAACTCTACTTCCTGGGTCGGCTTGGCGATCTTCGGTTCCAGTGACGAGGCCTGCGCTTCCGGCTTCACGGCCTCCACTTCCAGTTCCACAACCCCCTCCCCCTTCAATATCAGAGTTCCACTCCCAGCCCCACGCTCTCCACTGTCAACATCAGCTTCACCACTTCCAACTTCAGCCTCACCACTTCCAGCTCCACGATCTTCACTCACAGTGCCAGCGCTTCCACTTTTAACTTCACCGCCATCACTGCGACGGTGCTTATGTGGTGAGCAATCTAGCGTGCTTAGTGCACGGTTGATCGGAGGCATAGGTACAACCACACCATCAACCGGGTCCCCAGCAAACAGCAGCAACGCGATCCCCAGCAACATCGGCTTCAATGTCGTTGTCACCACGAAGGTCAATTTGACCACTGGTTGTGCCGGCTGCTTCATCACTGTCGCTATCGCGGCACTAATCGTCATCGATGTCCCTGGCGAGGTCATCGACACTCTTACTGCAGAGATCGATGGGAGCCCCTTCCGAACCAGCAGCTGAATTGGTGCTCTGAATATGCGGGTACGCTGCCGCACCCGCGGAGGTATTTCCCGAGCGCACGAGCCAGCACCTGATGCCAGAAGGCGAAGCAAAGGCGACATCTCCGACAGCTAGATGGTTGCTGCCGAGTGCTTGCTAGAACTGAAAATCCCGCGCGGGCACCGCCGGCAGAATCGAAAATGCGGCCTCAGCTGCCGAGAGGAAACCAAGGGGAGTGATGGTCGGCAACTTCACGCTCGGCAACTTCAACGTATCATTTCACTCGATGTAGCCGTATGGTTCTCTCGACAACGTCCTCCAGTATCGGTTTTGGCCCTGAGCAATAACTCACGGCACATGAAGCACTCGTACGAGTTCGTCGTAGCGATCCTCGGTATAACGTAAAGGCTAGCAGCGCTCCACTGTGTATGGTTTTCGCTAGGTAGTTATCGCACAGCTAAAGCGGTGTACTTCCGTGGCGATCTCCAACTCGTGCTGCCCATTGAATGCTGCGTCTACATCACACTTAAGGGCTTTCGCCGTAGCCTGGTTGATATGTCCGTAGAGAGCTTGCCTGATAACTCACCTTGTTCACAGTGGTGTTAATGCACCAACGGAAACATCCACAGTTCTGCGCATCGCTATAACTTCATGTATTGAACGCCACAAACATCACCTCCCCACTCATAACATCTTGGTCCCATGATGTGGGGTGTGGCTCGTCAGTGCCATTTCGGAGTCTTGACGCCTCAGATATCCCACATCTCGAAATCACATATGATTGTCTTCGTGTCCCATAGCTTAGTGTGCGTTGATTTTTTTACTCTGATTTTATTTTCTCGTCTTTTTCTTGGACACCGCGCAGGGATTGATTTTAAGGTCACCAGCCTAAACACTGCCTTCTTTCAGAAATGACGATTCACAGTTCAAATATGTAGATTTGTTACAGGTTTAAATTGGTGGAGCTTGATACTACAAAACAAACACCATAGTTGTTCTTGAAGAGCAGTCTAGGCAGCGCTGCTGCATATCTAACGGACCTTAATACAAAGGGCACGCTATGGCTGGTGAAGTCTATCCTGCATACTTTTAGCAAGTTGGTGTTTATTTTACACATATTTATTACTATTGTGGCTTTCATCCGTTTTGGCAAATCGGGTGGTCCAAGATCCGATATATCGGGCCCGATTTGCTGGAGGGCTCCGATTTAGCAGGAAGGGTTGAGGGAAGCAAGCTATATCTGGCCCGATTTACGTCTGGGGGCTGCGAGTTGCGAAGCAGGGGACAGAAATGCCGCTTTTTGCCGGCAAAAGGGACCGCCGCGAAAACATGTCTGGGGCCCTCTCAGGTCGGCGTGGCACGAAGTTGTAGCGGCCGTAGATGTTCACACAGGTGATTTAGATGGCCATAGTGCTATGAAGCGGCTATATACAGTGTACTATTGTCGCCAATATCTTGCAGTTCTAATGCGTCATGAGAGGTGGGGAGGTATGTCCTACTTGGAATGCCTCCCCTTTGAGCCTTATGCTACTTACTCAGGTCAGATATAGCTAAATTGGACTAACCGATCATGTGGGAGCTCCATTTTATATAAATAGGACTTCGAGATAACACGTCAAATCGGGCGGCAAAATAGTTGAAAACCACAATAACACGTGTGACAAGAAAACTAGTAATGGTTCAAAACATGGTTTTGAAATTAGAATATTTGGATTTTGTTTTTAGAAGAAAATGATGTTTGTGAACCATTAGAAGTTTTCGCGTTGAAAGTTGACTAATCCAGTTTTGTGAATCAACTTTTCGAAAAGTACACAGAGAAAGAGGAAAATTTACACCATTTCAAGAACAAATTAAGTGAAGAGAAATCAAGAAAAATAATTAGAAAGGCATATCTAATATCCCTTTGATGTTCAAATTCTAACTTGCAAAAGTCCTGACTGGATAGCAAACACCCTGGAAGGACTGACTAGCAAAACTGGTGCACGGTGATTGCCATTTTTGTTTTGAAAAGGGATCTTCTAGCCATCTGTATCAACCACTACCTCTCGTTAGCAATGGCAAGCTGAACGAGAGATACAACGACCAGTACAACGCAGTAAGCTTGGTGGCATTCGCGAAGTTCAAAGTGTGGTTGAGTTGCCAAGCGCTACAACTGTGTCGCCGTTGAACGACAGGGCCTGCGAGGCAAAAGCTCCATTACGCCCTCTGCCTTGACATGCATATGATGCCCGACCGTTTTCTTCTGCGCGAAAAATGTTTTTGAAATATCATTGCTCGTACTAGTCGACCCGCCCATGTTCCGAACTCCTAAAACCGCAGCTCCGCCATGTTTAATTTCTCCCTATATTTACCAGAGCATCTCCAGCAGCGAAGCATGATGAGTACAGGACAGGTCAAACTTGTTCTCTCAGCCTGAAGGGCTGAGAGTATACCGCTCACTTTTCGTTTCTTGCTTCAACTTGGAGGTGTTTTAAACATATTTGTGAAACCTGGATCACTAAATATGGAAATGTTTTATACTGTTTCTTTCGTTGTCTTGGTATGTGTATACTCTGCCCGTACGGAAGACTTCCATGGGACGACCCTTCATATTTGTGAATTGGCAGATTCAGAAATTCCACCTCTCAATTGAATCTCGCTTTGAAGCCATTTACTTTTGAATATTTTTTCAGCAAAGTACGGTACTACCCCGGCTTAAGTTCATGGTTTGTCACGGCCATTGTGGATTGCACTATAGAAAAACACTTTTACGGGATACAGCGGTTGGGCCACTCGCACGAAGGGACGCCCACCTCACTTGTTAAAGTACACAGGTCACTTGTTTAAGTGGCCCTTTCGGCCAATGAGATTCAGCCCAAAATATGGAGCTGTACCAGTTGCAGCTGGGAAGAGAAGTGAGAGGCTTTCACTATGGCCCTTGAGCTTCAATTGGTACAGCCCGGCCATTTAAAAACGAGTTAGAAACGTGGTGTACCGTACACTTTACTCGGGCAGACTATAAATGTGGTGTACCGTACACTCGCCATTATGCAGGCTGCCAAGAAATAGGCAAGCCTTTCGTTCACTGGGAAGCTGGTCTGATCGGCAACCCGACGCGGTGCCTGCCGGTGCCGTCGTTCAACATCATTAACGGTGGCTCGCGCGGTGGCAACAAGCTGGCGATGCCGGAGTTTCTGCTCGTGGCCACGAGGTTCACGGCCGGCTTGGAGGCGTACCACACGATGAATCTGTTGGTGGGCTAGGCCAAGTCCAGGATCCAGAGACAATATTCGTGTAGCAGTCGAGCTCGTGGGTGGGGTGAACCACGACATGCGTGAGCGACTCGTAGAGCAGCAATATGGAGTACAGAGGCGACCCGACCGTCACCTGCACGTTGTAGTGATGGCTTGATGCCAGAGCTTCTGTTGCACAACATCGTTGGCCTGCGTCAGAGATGCAACACGTACGGTGGCTAACATGCTTTTTGATTTAGGAGCTGTAGACGAGGCCTAACAAGTATGTATGACGGACACAAGAACGATTACGTGGAAACATCTCCTTATGTATTTACGCGTATGAAGAAAAGATCGCATCCAGATCCAGGAGGAAGTTTAAGAAGCCGCAGCGTGAGCAAGGCACTGGCAATTGAAGAGTTCTCGGTTGCGAGCGCTGTATCGGAAGGTGAGTTCCTGAAGAGGAGGTATCTCGGCCGCCGCAAATATCCCGAGGCGGGTCGTGTTCGTCCAGTTGAACTCGTACATCACGCAATTCGGTTCACAAGAGTGGTTAATAAACCGACTCTCATTGCCGCACGACAGCGCGTCAACGTATACTTTCGTTCCTCCATTCCAGTCAACCAGGGTGCGGAAGGCTGCTTGATACCGTCGGTTGACGCGTTCACTTGCGTCGCTCTCGTACGGTATTTCACCGACGTACTCGATAATGAAAGCCCCACGGGGGGTCCTTTGGGTTGAAACAACGCCAAGCCCGACCCGAGATTCCACAAGGTCGAGTGAAAACCGTGGCTCAAACCGGTTACCACAGGCTGGACCGAGTAAGCAGTTGAAGTCGCCGCAGATGGTGGCCGTATTAGCGTTGACGCACGCGCTGGTCAAGTGAGTGCCGTGTTGGAAACGCAGCACGGTTCGCAGTTGCAAGGTTCGTCGTTGTACACCGGTGTCGTCATAACTGGGTATGGTTGTGAAGCGGAAAAGAGGCTGCGGTCGATATGGACTACGTCGTCAGGCCAGGCTTGTGGGACGATAAAGTCGTAGTCGCCTCCAACGAGGGGCAGCAGGGTTTGCTCGGATCGCATGATGCAATTGCTACGGGGCTAACCTAGTGCAAGTTTGGGTATGCAGAAGGCTGAGAGACCTCGTGCGCGAAGAGCCTCGAAGAGACTCGAGCAGCGCTACTGTCGTTTGTATGGTTGACTTGGTTACTGTATTTCAACTTCAACTTGGCTCCGTCTCAGGACATTGCTGGAAGAGAGCTACAAAAGATCGGATGAAGAGACATATATTACGCGGCGCTGTTGCTAGCTCGAGTGTGTGCTCCTGTTGCTGTGCTTGCTGTCAACCAGCGACTGCGAGCCACCTACAGCATCTTGGACTTGAGCTCGGCGAACGCCCTGAGCGGCTCGTCGCCCTCCGGATCCACGACGTCGGCCAGCTTGCCCTTGGCGCGCGCGTCGCGCATGCGGTGCCAGATAGCAGTAGCGCGCTTGCGCTCCGTGATGAGGCCGAAGAGCGCGCAGATGTCGATGAGCAGCTTGGTCGGGTTGAACTGCAGGAACTCGCCCTCGCCCGTGGAGTAGTCGTACGGGAATTTGTGGTGCCAGTTGTGCCAGCCCTCGCCGAGCGCCAAGACGGACACGAGCCAGTTGTCGCGCGGGCAAATGGTGTCGTCATACTCGGCCGAGCCGTAGAAGTGCGTGGCGCTGTTGACGAGCCAGGTCGCGTGCAGGTCCAGCACGTAGCGCAGGAAGCCGCACACGAAGAGTGCGTTGAACCACGTCTCGCCGGCGAAGTGCATGGTCACCAGCATGGGGAACACGAAGCACATGAAGAGGTTACCCCACGGGTTGAGCTTCTCCTGCAGCACGACGGTCCAGTCAGCCCACAGGTCGTCGTAGTTGAGGCCCTCGCCGGCCTTGACCACCTTGGGGTCCTTCTTGACCAGCAGCCAGCCCATGTGTGCGAAGAAGAAGCCGCGGCCGGAGTTGTGCGGGTCGGCGCTCGTGTCCGAGTACTTGTGGTGCACGCGGTGGTCTCTCGCCCAGTGAAAAACAGTTCCTTGGTTGGCCATTGCGTTACACAGCATCAGCAGGAAGCGCACGAGTCCGCAGGCCTTGTAGCTGCGGTGCGCCCATAGGCGGTGGGCTCCCATGGTGATTCCGAGGCCGTTGAGCACGTAGAGACCGAAGAGCCACCAGTACGTCTGCGTCTTGCACTCCGGCAGGCACGTGGCGCCCACGACGGCGCCGATGTGCACGAGCGTGATGTAGTAGACCATGGGCCAGTTGGCGTTGCGGTAGTTCTCCACCCAGTTCACCATTGCTGCTGCTGCTGTTGTCGGTGCTCGAGTGCGTGAGAAGGCGAAAATTGGACAATGAGCTTCCGGGCTTCGCTCGCATCTGTCCGTCGGTGCGCTCCTGAGCGTGCGCAGCAGAGGGTGGATGAACTGCAGTCCCGCCAGTCGATGTCACGGCCGTGTTGGGCGGTTGTCATCGTGTCACCCCGAGCTATTTAACGCATTGGGTTATGCAAGTTGAAGGGTATCCGTAGGGATCAGGCTGAACCGCCCAATGCTGGTGGTGCATGTCTTTGGCGCCCAGACTCGCGGCAAGCAGGCGACATCGTTACTCGGCCTGGGGACATGGCCAAGCAGCGTGACGTCCGGCCGGAAATCGCAATGATGTCAGGGTCCCTCGCTGACGGCCATCCGTGGGCGGAGCGCCAAAATGGGCTGAGCTGTTGCCACGGCACGCGCCTCGAAGCTTGATCATCTCCGAGATGGAGGGAGGAGCCAATGCTTCAAGCGCCAAGCCGCAACGCAACATATCGAGCAAGGATTCTCGCGTACCGGGTGGACAGGACAAGGTGGGCGTGAATCACTGTGTGGTGCGAAGCCCTCGCCATGACATCACGGAGCACTTGGCTCGGGCAAAATGGGCCCTCGTTTCTATAACGCCGAGGCATCCTGGCGGTGGATTCAGCGACGCAGAATAAGCGAGTTGAACACGAAAGCGTGTGTGGCCATTGTTCCTGCGGTGTGGGCATGATCGCCCGAAACACTTCGGTTCTGTGCGTTTGCATAGGCACTTTGTGGCTTGGTGGTCGTGGTCACTCGACCCACCGTCGGGACGCTGATACGGTGCTCGAGCTGCACGTGCTGGTTCACGCAGAGCCTTTCGCCCAGGTGACGTCGTGCGCTCTGAGCGGGTTCGCAGCGTGAGCCTCACGCTGTGGATACCAACAACTTGAGCAATAGAGCCCGCAACTTCTATCCGATAGAGGAGCGTGCAGCGCAAGGCTTATGACGCCTCGTAGACCATGGTCACGTCAAACGAATGCTCCCGACAAGCACCACAGCGATTTACTTGAATGTTCGAGCTTCGGGCAGATCAGCAGGCTTGCCGCCAATTCACCTCGGGCTTGGCACCGCTAATACGGAAGTACGCAACCAAGCAAGAACGGCGATTCTGGCACACAGTAGCGTTGAATGGCAGTGTGGCATGAATGGCCGAACGGAAGGACCCCCTTCTGCTCCATCAAGCCGATCACCTCACGCCCCTGCAACTCGTTCAGAAGCAATGCCACGGCTGCAACACCGAGTTGCAGTGGGTTTTCACTGGCGAATGCCATCCACCAGCGGTGGACGATTTCGTCGTCGTTGTGGACCTGCCGAGGTCTTGTCGGTGGCTCGAATCTCGCGCCGCTGGAGCCGCGTGGATTTGTCTTGCAGCGAGGAATCAACCGTGTTAACCCCTGCATGGACGGGCTGGTTGATCGCTGGGCCATCCACACCTGACACTCGCCTAATCCATCGCCAGTCTAGACTCTAGCGGCGCTGTTGGCGACTCGAACGCCGTCTCGGAACCCTCACAGCAGCCGCGTCTGCCACTTTTCGCGCAGAAATGCAGAGCCAAAGGCTCCAAACTCTCTGGAAAGGCGGCGTTCCTCGCCATAATGTGCGATGATATATAGTCTGTATGTAGCCACCCAAGGCCAAGAAATGCATACTGCACGACGCACAGCGCGCCAAGAAGCGCACGTATGCAGGCAGTTGAATTGCTGGTTTTAGCTCACTCATTACGGGACATAGCTCCTCCATCCCTACCCCCACCTATACAATACTCCAATACACTGAGTCTTCAATCGCTCAACGCAACACATTCAGCTCTCCCTCCAGTCCGAATTAACCTGTGCAGTCTCCATACGCACAGTGCACACTAGCGCATTCCATACATTGATTAGCCTAGGCTAGGACCTTCCTACCAGTACATCGCATCATGTGCGTGACCGACCTGCCCGGCGACCCGGACGGCGTGCTGGTGCTCCACGACGTCATGGAGCTCGTGGACGAGGCCTACGAGCCCGTCGAGGGCTCCACGTCCGCCAGCGCGTCCCCCATCGTGTTCGACTCGGACGACGAGGACCTGGACGTGCCCCCCCTGCGGCCGAGACACCGCTCCGGCCGCCGCAAGACGTCGCAGCGGCGCGCGCGGGGCGAGCGCTGCTCCGCCGGAGCCGAGAGCGACGACCCGAGCCACGGCGTCACGTCGCTCGCGGCGCCGCCCGCGTTCGGCAGCCCCGCCATGCTGGACGTGGGCGGCGGAGACGAGACCGACGAGGACGCCATGGGCATGGGCGGCGTCTACCACGGCGCCGTGACCGCCAGGCTCAAGCAGCCGCTGCAGCAGTGGCGGCTCAAGTCCACCATCACAGACGTGAGCGTCAGCGTCACGCCCGCTGTGTCAAAGCACAAGACAGTCAAGCACAAGCCAGCCAAACCCACGGCGGTCGAGAGCAAGGCGACGCCCAAGCACCGGATGAACCCCAAGGACGAGGTGCAGTACCTGCGCGAGCGCGTGCGGCAGCTGGAGCAGACGCTCGAGACGCTGAGGCTACAGGCCCTGGCGGACCGAGAGAAGGCCATGGAGACGGCCATCGTCTTCAACTTGGTGCCGCAGCCGGAGCTGCTCGCTCCGACTAACAACAAGCCAGCGGACTGGACGCCCGGCTCGCCGGCACAGACACAGACCTCCAAGGACAGAGTGAGCCTTGGAGCGGGCAGCCCCGCCGCGGTGGACGCGGTGAACGGCAGTGGGAACGTCGGCGGATCCCAACTCGCATCAAGTGACGGGCTCTGGGAGCGCATCGCCACGTTCCAGAAGGCCGAGTACGAGAAGTCCATGAAGCAGAACAAACGCCTGCGGGTCATGGCCGAGCAGCAGCTGCGAGCGCTCAAGCAGCTCGAAGTGGCCTTCCGCAACCCACGAGCTGTAAGCCAGTAGATGCCCTTGTATTCCGTAGTAACAGTGCTTCCACTGAACCATCGTAGCCGGCCACCCTGCGTTCCCGGACCCTTATACCTCTGTGCCTGTTGCTTCGTGTCATGTCCAGGTCATGCGCGCGTTGCAGTACAAGTGCCGGCCAGAGAAGCTGTTCCGTGGCAGTCTCTTCGACAGCGAAGCCGCCATCTTTGACTCTCTTCGGGTGGAGCTAGAGACGCAGTACCAGCAGACCGACAACGTGTTCCGGTCCACGGGTCTTGCCCATTTCGAAGGCGACATGGCGTGTTCAGCGGCGCTGCGCTCAGCCCCGAGCAGCAAAGGCGTCTTCCTGGAGAATACCGAGTGCAAGGTGTTTCCGTTCAGCCTCAACGCCGTGGACCAAGCTGTGTGGCACTGCATCGCCGACAGAGATTCCCAGTACCATCCAAGTCTGTACCAGGTCCACGAAGTCTCGGACAACATCGCGGCAGTGAAGATCACGGATCTGGTGAGGTTGCCCGAGGCCGACACGCTCGTGACGGTGTGGTTGACTGTGAAGCGCTTCTACGAGTGGTCTGACGACGGCCGGAAGCGCATCATTTGCGTGTGGAACGCCATGGTGGAGACCGAAGGCTCGCTGGATATCCGGTTGCAGGAGAGAGGATGGAATGTGCTTCGTCCGCTAACGTACACGGCATCTTGTGTCGATCCGAACCGTGCCATGAGCTTCACCGCAGACTTGTATGCGCATCTCGCCGCTTGGCCGCGCCGAGTTTGACCCCAGTGATGTGGCTGTTGGAACGCTTGCAAATGTGCTGGTCGGGTGCTACCATCGCACTGTGATCGTCATGCACCACGTGCTGGAGAAGTTGTTGCTCGTCGAGGATACTCGGTCGCTGCTGGGCTGAAACGCAAATGTCTGGGATACTCGGCCAGAATCATCACGATTCGGATCGAAAGTGCAGTGGATCGAGCCTTGCGTTTGCGCTCCATTTGCGAGCATCAAACGCAAGATGGTGAAGATGGTGGGAAAACGGTTTGTTGTATGCATTCTGTACAATAAAGTTTGTATGTTTTGTGTGTTTTCGTCGATGTTGCCGCTTTGAAGTTGCGAAGAGAAGTTGCAGACCCACCGACGTCTGAGCTGGCTCGCCATGACAACACCGCTACTTGCCGGTGACGGCCCTGCTCAGCCACATCATGCCTTCGTCGATGCCTTACCCAGACACAGCCACTGTTTTCGAGATATGTGAAGGATTCCGGGTCACGCGATGCAGTGACAGCTTTTCGCGGAGCTCTTCGACGTTCATGCAGTCCGGCTGATCCTGCTTGTTGGCCAGCACCAGCAGCTTGCAGTCACGTAGCGCGTCGTCTTCAAAGACACGGTGCAGCTCGTGGACCGCTTCGTCGATCCGGTAGCGATCAGCCGAATCAATCACAAAGATCACCGCATCCGCGCCCTCGTAGTAGAAGCGCCAAAGCGGACGCAGCTTACTCTGGCCACCGATATCCCAGGCCGTAAACTCGATGTTCTTGTACTTGAAGGTCTCGACGTTAAAGCCGATCGTTGGGATGGTCGTGATGGCCTCGCCCAGCTTCATCTTATACAGCAGCGTGGTTTTGCCAGCACCGTCGAGGCCTAACAGGAGAATCCGACTTGGCTTCGTCCAGTAGTTCGCCATCCGATCCATCGCTGCTTCCACGTACTGGGACACAAGGTTGCCCATTTCCAGTTGAGTGTCGAGTGAAGTTACTTGGTCTGATGAAAAGTAGTTATGGCAACAAACTCGAAGACGTTTTCCTTGGTCCGACCATCATTGCCAACACCGAAATGTATCATCTGCCATGCTTGTCAAACTTGACCTGGCAGATGGTGATTGGTTGCAGAACGCATGCGATAATATTGGCGGGGGACGTTCCACCAATTGATCAAGTCAAGCTGACGTGGCGGCAGTCCGAAGCTGCACGTCGAGGTTCGTACGGAGCCTCATCATACCGATGACTCCAATGGGCCACGTTCCACCCGGCCTCCAACAGTAAGTGAATCGCTGTCAGAGACAGCAAATTGAGAGATTCTCTGATAATTTGTCGTCTCCACAGGCAGAACTTCATATACCTCATCGTGAACTTCCACCATCACCACTATCGTTATCGGCCACGTTTGTCGAGCACAACCTTAGAGGCGCAGTACCGACACCACGATATTCTCAATAGTTTGGAACAGCCAACTGAGGTTCCGATGCACAGCTGCAAGAAGAACTCCGTGACCGCCCCGGAGTGCCCAGCAACCCCGCCGGCAATGACTCGATTCTGATCAAAAGTGGATGGTTTGAGACCAGGGCTCGCAATCGGGTACCCGAACCTGGGTAAATTGCTTACCCGCCCAATTGTGAGTATTACACTTCACTGACTTCTGAGTAATTCGAGATAAATCTTATTTATCGCTTAGAAAAGATGCCACGTCCGGCATCGCCACTTTGGACGACACCGGAGGAAGGCATAATGTGAATGTATGTGGAGAAGCAACGCATCAAACCACTTATGTGGGCGTTAGCAAGCTAATAGAAAACTCAAGCGTCATCTAGCGTGAAATAGAACAAAAGTTGTCCTCATAAGGGTTTGTAGCTCGTTATTTGCGTTCGTGAATGGCAACCCAACAAGCAATGTCTTCAGAGTGGGGTCAGTATTTGCAAGCTGACGCAGTGCACGAATTCAAATGAGTGTATGTACTCGAAAGCCCAAGTATATTACTCATTACTCGAAAGCCCGCGAAATACTCGAAAGTAAAGCCGTTCGGGTGTTGCAGGTATACCCGAACACATCAAGGAAATCTAAATTATAGCTAAATGGCGTGTACCGGAAGAATAAATTGTATGAAAGTGCACTTGGAGTTTCACCCATGAAGCCTCAAACGAGAAGGCTTGGCGGAGAAGTTCTTATACCAAGCGTAGATTGAGCTGCATACTTCGTATAATGCAGTGCCTTAGGATAACATAGTAAAATGAGCCGGGTAGACTCGAAAAGGGTTGTCGCGTGGGTGCGAGTACCCGAGTGGTCCCAGGAGAAGCGACCGGGTGGGTAACTCGAAAGTCGCTATTTGCGAGCCCTAATTGAGATTTGCGTTTGCGCTCCACTTGAGAGAATCAAAGCCTTAGCTACAGTCTACATCGAGCCGAGGGTCCTGTGGTTATGGTAAAACAACGAGTTAAATAGAACGATTTACGCCTTCGTTTAGACAGAATTGGAGACTAGCACTATATGCATTCTGTACAATAACGTTTGTATGTTCTGTGTGAAGTTGCGAAGAGAAGTTGCGGGCTCACCGCCCTCTGAGCTGGCTCGCGATAACAACGCCGCTACTTGTTGGTGACGGCCCTGCTCAGCCACATCATGCCTTCGTCGATGCCTTGCCCAGACGTAGCCACTGTTCTCGTGATGTGGGTAGAATTTCTGATCACGCGATGCAATGCCAACTTCTCGTGAAGCTCCTCGACGCTCATGCAGTCCGGCTGGTCCTGCTTGTTGGCCAGTACCAGCAGCTTGCAATCGCGCAGCGCGTCCTCGTCGAAGACACGGTGCAGCTCGTGGACCGCTTCGTCGATCCGGCCGCGATCAGCCGAATCGATCACATAGATCACCGCATCCGTGTTCTTCGAGTAGAAGCCCCAGAGAGGGCGTTGCCTTTGTCGGCCGCTGAAGTCCCAGATTGTGAACTCAGTCTTCTCGTACTTAATGGTCTCAACGTTTAAGCTGATCGTTGAGATCGCCTCGATGTTCCCGAGCTTCATCTTGTACAGGAGCGTCGTCTTGCCAGCACCGTCGAGGCCCAGAAGGAGAATGCGTTTCGGCTTCGTCCAGTAACTCGCCATTCGATCCAGGCCGGCTTCCACGTATTGTGACGTGACGTTGCCCATTTCCGACTTGGTTTGCTTTGACGCGGAGGGAATTGAAAGTTGTGGTGGCAACTGGTCCGACACCGAAATTTTACCTGGCAGCTGGTAATTGGTTGCAAGCGCAACACAGCGCTGACGGGACCAGTCAGGCTGACGTGGCGGCTGTGCGAAGCTATTTACTGCCCTGACAGCGCTGAGAAGCTTCACCGCGCTGACCCCGCTAGCAATTGTGCCACGTTCCATCCTGCCTCCAACGCCAAGCCAACGTCTCAGCGCGACTTCCTCATGCATCCACATCACTTTCTGCCATCATAATGTTGAGGCGCGGCACCGAAATCGTGCTCCATCAGGATATTCTCGACGGTTTGGAACAACCAACTGAGGTTCCGATGCACGGCTGCAAGCAGAAGCTCCGTGATCGCGCCAGTCCGCGGACCCGGAGTGCCCAGCACCCCTGCCGACAACGACGGAGTGAGTCTCATGCACAGCTGGATGATCGTCTCTTCAGGAGGTTCATTGCCATCAACCAGCTCGTCCTCTTCAATGGGCACTGGGCGGATCACGACCCACGCACGCTGCATCATCTTGAGTCCATGTAGCAGATCCCTCGGGCCTTCGCTCTCCGACGCCGACTCACACGTGATCACCATCCGCCCTCTCTCCACGTACTTCTTCATGGCAAACCTCATCTGCAGCCGAGCTTGGGTCGTGTCCACCCGCAGCGTCGTGATGGCCTTGGCTCGAATGGTGTCCGACGAGCTGGCCACGCCATGGTACGTGCCGTCCGCCAGCTTGATGTGCTCCCTCGACAGGCACCTCCACACGGCAGAGCACGTCTCCTCCATCCCGAAGGGCACGACCTTGGAGTTGGTGGTCTCCAAGTACAGCGCGTACGAGTCGCCAACCTGCAAGCTTGACACGTTCGAGCCCTCCTCGAGGCTCTGCATGATCGAGTTCCTCGCACAGACCGCGTCCACCTCGGCGTACACGGCGTCCATGTCCTTTAGCAGGGTTTCGTACAGCGCGTCCTCCCCACTGCCACTGCAGTAGTGGGTGAACTCGAGGCGCGCCTGGAGCTGCGCGGCCTCCGTGCCCTCGTCCTTCCTGACCACGCTCCGCTTGAGCAGCTTCTGCAGACTGCGGGCCAGCTTGAGCTGCTCCACGAGCGTCTCCTTCAGCTGCAGGTTCTGCATCTCGGCGCGCTGCTTCTCGACCAACTGATGCTTGGCGATGCGCTGCCAGCGGCCTCGGCGCGCTCTGCTCGCCAGTCTGTTCTCCTTGTTGTCCGTGCTTGAGGCCATGAGCTCGCGCTTCTTGGCCTCCAGCTCCTGCTCCAGCGCCTGCACCTTGTTGCGCAGGTAGCTGAGCTCCTCCTTCTGGCGGATCCGCGTCGAGTTCTGCATCGGGGGCTTGTGCGCGTCTTTCAGCGCTGCTTTAGGAGATTTCGAGCTCATTTCGACGCCATTTCGAGCCACGGGTGGCGCTAAACGTTGCGCAGCGGCTGCTGTACGTGTTACGGGGTCTTTAAGACTTGAAGACGACGTGGAACTGCCGTTAACGACGGAAAACTGCCCGAAGATGGGCCTGGGAGACGTCTCGGAAGGCGCTTGATAGCTCGCGAACGACGGCGAGCCAGCCGACAGCTCCACGGGCGACGTACAGAGCAGATCTTCCTCCTTCAGCTCGTCCAGGAAGTCCGGCAGCAGCGCCGCGGACAGCGCCACGTCGTCCAGCGAGAGGCCGCGCGTGTCGTCGCCACTCGCCATTGTCGAACTCGTGATGAATTAGCGTAAAACCGCAGGATTACACTAAAACCATGATATCACCGTTGAAGCCAAGTTGTTGCAACTGGCCCACGGTGGCCCGTATTCCTGCACGTACATCATCATGGCGTCGCACCAATTGGCCGGTGGTTGACCCCAAGGCGCACACACAAGTCAATTAGCGTACCCAAAGTCCTCTCTATCTCCTCAGCAGTCATGACCAACGTGGCCATCTACTACTCCATGTACGGGCACGTGGCCAAGCTGGCCAACTCCCTCAAGGCCGGCGTGACGTCTGTGCCTGGCGTCAAGGCCAGCGTCTACCAGGTGCAGAAAACACTCAACGACGACCTGCTCAAGGCTCTGCACGCCCCGCCCAAGCCCGACCTGCCCATCGCCACGCCGGACGTGCTCAAGAACGCCGACGGCATCCTGGGAACGGGCCTACTTCTGAGTGACTTTGGGAGACTTCTGAAGACCGAAGCGGGCGATGTGTTCACCGCCGACGGCGTACCCGGACTTGCAGAATCTCTTGGCACCACGGACAGCGAGGGCAGAGGTGATGTTTGGGGCCTCGTATTCTCACCGTTAGCCTCCCCCAACCAGAACACATGCCGGAGGCAGTCTGCAGTAACGTGCGGGGCGGTAGTCCTCTTAGCGTACATCGCTGCGAAGGTCGGGCTTGTGCTGCACGCCGACGCGACGCTGTCGCACAGCTTCGCATCCGCATTTTTTACCGCCCGGGCCATCTCTGCAACAGCTTCACCGCGTTCGTCGTCGCCGTCGTACATCAGCAATGAAGTGGGGCTAGCGTTTAGGTGCTGCACTACCTCGTTGGTGATGCCGAGGACCTTGCTGCGAGAGTCCACGGGCACTGCTGAGGCCACAATGGCACCCATGATCTCAGCGGCTCTGGAAGCATTGACCGCCACTGCCATGGCGTCTCCACTGTGCACAGCCAGACCGATGTTCGTGCACGCAGCAAGCAAGGCTGCCTGGAAAAGGCCCTCGCGGGCTGCATTAACTTGCTTGACGGCTGCAGCCGTTCTATCGTCCAGCGGCGGTTGAAGGTGCAGCTGAGGCGCTGGGACAGCTTCCTGGATAACTTGCGGTGTTGTCACGGGTTCTGACTGGCGACCCTTGTAGTTGTTAGGATCTTGGCGGCCATCCAAAATACCGCTAGGAGCGTCGACAAGTGGGAAGGTCTCATCGGGGTAGCACCGGATGAAGTGATCGCGCTCGGCAGGCTTGATGGCGTTCCAGTGATCTCGGAGCTTCCTACCAGCACGGTTGCACAGCCACTTGACAGTCGCCGAATCCTTACCAGGGTTAGATTCTGCAAGGCGCACACGAGCGAAGTTGGCCGCCCCGGCCGACACCAAAGCCTCGCCTTGCTCGGCGGCGAAGGCCCAAAACCCACGGTGGCGGCGCATGCTGGTGGTGCAAACGCAGCAGAAAGAAGACTGTGGGTGCTGAAGAGTGACCTATGCAGATGCAAAAGAGTGGCCCTTTGTAGACTAAGCCTTCAGCAAGTTGCCGCCGAGTCATCCACCGACGCTTGTTTCCTCTCGCTGATAATGCTTCTGGACGGATCGCGTCAGCCGAGCGACATTGAGCTGGAGATCGCCAAGATCCAGGGCCAGAGCTTCGCGGAGATCACCAAGAAGCTGTCGTCGTAGACTGAGGCTAGAGTGTCGTGCACTACTGCGTACAGATCATTAACGAATACCATGTAGTGAGCCGTCCATTTGCTCGCACAGGCTTACTTCCCCAACATTTTATCGTTTTTGAGCAGTGCGTCTTGCACCAGACAGTTTTCCACTGCTTGGTGCAGCGTCTGCATGTTCAACCCGTACGAGCCGATGACAAGGTCTGCCAGCACTCCAACATGCTCCTTAGGACCACGAGCGTCGTCCAGCTCGGGTGTCAAACGCACACAGGACTGCACAATGGATCCACCTGGAACATCGCCCGCCGTGTCTTCCACCAGAGTCCACCCGCTCTCACTGAGATTAATGCGCTGCATGCCGAACGGAGCCCCTTCCGTTTGACCGAACGTTGCCCAAACCATAACAACCCGATTCTCCTGCATCAAGCGCCTCCCGAAGATATGCATACGCACAAGAGCCTCCTCTGCCCGGCGGAGACGCATCGTGACGCAAAACTCTGCTCGAACTATGTCATCCGTGCAATCCAAAGCCTGCCAAAAGCCAAATATTAATTCAGCCTGCTCATCAACCCTCAGCATAAAGACCCGTTCGTACCTTGTAGTACCCGTTGTCCAGCTCAATGCGCTTGCTTGTCAGCGTTTTCCACACCGCCCTCGCGACGTCTTGAACACCAAACGGGAGGACTCTAGCGTCGACCAGCTCCACACAAACCCTTCCAAAGTTATCTCGCTTCACCTGAGCTTCATTGCGCTCGCGCCTGACAACCGCTAGTCCCGCCTCATTTACCACTGAGTCCACGCGCTCGTACAAAGTGTCTACTCTCCCAGACAACAGGGCAAAAATCGTCGACTCCTCAACACCCGTTGCCGTTCGCGGCCTCGTCTTCGAGTCATGACGTCCCCCCAGTGCCTCATCCTCCGCCGGACGTTTACGCAGCAGCTTCTCCAGGCTCTTGGCAAGTTTGAGTTGGCCCTCGAGTCGCTCTCGGAGCTTGGCGTTCTCCACTTCCGCCCTCACCCGCTCCTTCCTCTGGTTCTGAGCTACCCGTTCCCACAGCAAAGTAACATCAGCCTCTGAGGGCGGCGTAGCGGTTTGTTCTTCCGTGTGAGTTGTGCTCGAATTCTTGAGACGCTCGAGGTCTTTTTCGAGTTCGGTCACTTGGCTCCTCAAATAATGGAGTTCATCCTTCTTGCGTTGGTGCCGGAGCTTCCTCGTTGATTTTTGCGGATTGTGAACCTCTGGAGAAGGATTGTCGGCGTTCTGCTCTGAGTCGGTTCGGGAATGTTTCAACTTTGACGGGCTTGGGTCACGGTCTCTGACGGGATCCAGTTGCTGCGTCAGCGCGCGGCTTTCGTCCAGCGTTTCGTCTCCTGCTGCGTATGCAGGATCGAGAGCATCGCCGACATCCGAGAAGAAGAGATCGAAGCCGTCCACGTCATCCAGCAGCTCCAGTTCAAGCGACACGTCCAGAAAATCTGCGGTCCAGGTCGACTCCATTTGAGACGACGGCAAACAAAATGTTACTTATCAACCTAAGTACGAATCGCGATTTAGGCGCATAATTGGAAGGAGGGATGTCTCCTCTTTCGTTTGAGCCCCTCCCGAGCTTCTGGTATGAAGAAACGACCGAGAACGAGACCGTCAAAAAATATATGTCCGACTTCAACCCCGAAAGGGAATTTTTTTTTTGATGAACTGGTGTAAAATTAGTCAGCGAATCCGACAATGTTGTCCGTTTTAGCTAATTCGAAGCCTAACAGTGTTAGAATCTCACTTTTGTGCCGTCACTTCAAATCACGAGGGGTATCTTTTTGAATTTTTTTTAGAAAATTTGATATCTGGATATAAGTAACATTTTGAATGAACTGTGGACATAAGTATCATAATGATCGACTACAACCTTGGGCTGCCTATTCTTGCTCAGCAGGCAGATCCGCAGTAGCTTCGTGCTTCTTGTTCTTTTGCGTCTTCTTTGCTGCAGTAGCCCTCTTCTTTGCTGGGTTCTTTTTCGTCGCAACAGCCTCCGTGATACCACGCTGGTCTTGGTTAGCCTTAGCCGCCACGGCCATTGCCGCGCGATGCTCACGTCGTGCTTGTTTCCGTGACTTGGCATCTTCTCCTTCCTGCTCGCTAGGCTTGGCGTAGAGGGGATCCCTCTGAAATTCAGCAGGAACGTAGGGCCTGATGTTGTGGTACATCTGCGCAATTTTCTCGGTGTTACGGACAGAAGGGGACAGCGTCTCGATATGGTCCGTCATCATCAGCTGCACCTTCTCCTTCGTGGTGAAGATCCCGTCAATTTGACGGCTCAAACTAATCTCTGCAGGTTCGCTCTCGGGGCCTTTCTTGCAGACAACGACGCCCGGCTGCGATGCGTCCATCGTGAAAATCTGGAACTTCAGGATGCCGTCAAGTCGTTTGTACAATTCGGTGAGAATAGGTTTGTAGGACTTGAACGCTGAGCTTCCGCGAGGCAGATGCATCGTGATTGAGCTCTTGGACGCTGAACTAACAGCCTCTACGAGCTGCATGCGTGTTGAGCCGGTTACCATGCGCCTTGATCGACATGTTACCGTCTCGGATGCGCATCTTGTAGCGCTGCAAAGTAATGGGGACTACTCCATAGCAGAGCGCGAAAGTGGGTCGGCACACATGACCTACGTAGGGGAGGATGTGCGGAAACTTCTCGCGGTCACCCCGTCCTCTCTTACGCTCAACCATGGGGGTCTGCATCAACACAGCCAGGAGCGTGTACAAGCTCGTGGTGCGCTCTTGCTTCGTCATCTGGTCCAGCGAGCACAACAAGAACTCCAACTCACGAGCCTTGCCCTTGACGCACTCGTTCTCATGAATCACCTCAGTCACACGGGCTCGAGGACTCGCGTCATTCAAAAAGATACTAATATCCTCTTCATCTTCGGCTTCACTGCTCGCGCTCTCTGCTGTGAGCGGTTCCTCGTCGTCGCTGCTGTCCTCGTTCACCTCACTCTCACTGGTAGCAGTGGGATCGACACCACAGACAGAATCGTCAGCAGAATCAGGCTCTTCGTCTGCTTCGCGACGCCGAGCAGCAAGGGGTGCCGTGGTCGACAGAGTCAGCGCCGTGGAGGGGGACGTTGTGGCCGGCGGAGTCAGCGCCTGGGAGGGCGATGTCGTTGCTGGCGGACCCGACGTCGCGGCTGGCGGACTCGGAGCCGTGGCTGGCGGGCTTGGCGCCGAAGTGGCCGGTGGCGAGGATGAGAGAGGCAGCGCTGGAGGTTGCGCAGGCTGCGCAGTTGGCGCTGCAGCGCGCGAGGTTGGTGCTGTCGGCGTCGTGGGTGGTGTCTGCATGGCTGTAGGTAGTGGTCCGAGGGGCTTTTCGAAATGGTATCCGTGCCGATACACCCCCTTCAAATTTTTGAAAATCAAAACTCCTCGTTTTCTCACGACTTCGTTTAGTTTCGATTTTGAACCTGGCCTCTTTTAAAGCGATTATCTCGATAACTCTAAATGGTGGATAAGTAACATTTTTGTTGCCGTTGTCTCAGTTTAACCTTTTACCTTCAGGAACTATCAGGATAGACGGGTAATGCCAGGGATGCCGAAAAATAAATTGATGCTGAAATAAATGCAATAAATATTTCCAATATATTTATTGACGTGGTTTCCAAGACCCGTATCAATAGATTATTGAGAATTTGTCACCAAGTACACTTGTAATTAGTCACCAGAAAAGGGCAAATAATAATTTATTTACCTGATTTTCTCTACCAATAAGATTATCTATTGGTTTGATCTGGTCGCAATAGATAAAAATGCAATATTAGGCAACCCTGGGTAAGGCTATCCACTTCAACTTGCATGCCAGTGTTGGTTTGCTTCGGTTCTAGTTCGCTACCACCCTGACCGAGCCGCGACCATGGCCAAGACGCCGACCCTGTCTATGAGTATAAGAAATGCGAGTCGCGCAAGTCTAGGAGAGCACCGAGCGTCGATTACTTCGAAGCCAAGAGCACTCAGGTGCTACTGACGATAACGCGCCAAGACAACGCGATCAAGTGACAACTAGTGATACACGTCCATTCAGCAGCCCTCAGTCCTCTGCAGGCAACTGGCGTGGCTGACGGTTGTGTCGCTGACACTAAACGAAGTGGCCAAATGGCTCATGAATACGGGCGAGTACGACAACAGACAGTTTTGGCTCATTATCCACGCAAAAACAAAGTTGCTTTTACTGTTCTGGCAGATGTCGTTTTATCTGCAGTTCTTCTTAGAATCTTCAACACTGCCACCCCACTAAAGCTGCTGCCTCTCCATTAGTATCGTTTCAACATCGCCTGAGCATCGAGGAACGAGCTCGTCAAACACGGCTATCCCCATTCGAGCAGTCGTGTTCTCCGTATCGGGTAAAATCCCGCGTTCAGCGCTGAAGTACACTTTCATCTCGGTGCTATTGGAGCCACCTTCCTCGAGAACGACAGACGTGGTTGTCGTAGCAATGACACCGGAGTGGCCGCTCTGAAAACTCGCCTCGCCTACTATTCGGCAAATGAATACGATTCGCTTGCTTTCCTTGAATCTGCGCACCACCTTCCGGTTGTACGTGCCGATGAAATCTTCGACACTGGAGACCACCACGGTACTGGAGCGTGTCCTCATCAACAACTTTGGTGCCATTGTCATGCGAGTTAAGCCACATCGTAGGCCCCCCAATGCTTCGCATGTTCGTCGTCCCCCACGTACGAAGACGTTGCCATACTGCGTCGCCTGTTTCGTGGAGGTTGAAAGGAAAACGTCGCTTCTGACGGACTTCGTAGAACGCACCTTTCGTCTTCTCCAAGTTGACCTAATGCGAGTGACCAGTAAACGGCAGGGCATCCATGTCTTTCGCTTGGAAAAGGTAATCGATTGTGCGGTAACGCTTGTCGGCGTCTTGGCTCAGCTTCTGGAACATATCGGCGTCATTGTGAGCAGTTTGCTTCAGCCTCAACATCGCCTTCGCGCCCAGCATATCGTCCATCATCTAACGGGATAACAACACAGAAAAATTGTAAGTAAGAGGAAGCTCGTTGAGGTTTCGTTTGCCCAACATACCTCGATTCTCGTTCGCCGCTTCAGAAGCCGCCGCAGGTTTTTCGCTTCACACACTTGGATAGCCACCATTTCCCGCAGGGTGACATTTTCAGCTTCTGCTTCCTGACGCCGGTCGAGTTGGGAGAGAGCCATACGCCGCCAGATCTGCTGCGCTTGCGAGGGGATTGGTTCCGCCGTTGCTGCCTTGACCGAATCTGGTCTAGCTGATTTGTACTGAAGAGAGAGCAGCTTCGCTTGAAGCTCGTCAGCTTCTGCAAGCAGTCTTGCGACTTGATCTTTGTGTGAGGAATAGTGCGTTTTGACGCGCTTTCTGCTTCTTCCAGGTTGCAACAGCGCACGATCCGAGTCGCCGTTGTCGATCACTTGGAGCTGGCGGTGGACTGAAGAAGGTGAGATCGTGTAGCCCTTGGCGTTCGCTTCCAAAGCTCGTGGTTATCGTCCAGGAGGTGAAATGCCTCTACGGGGCTGTACTCGTTCAAGAACGCGCTGATGGCTGCGAAACTAATGTCCTCCGAGTGTCCGTTTGTCATGATAGCGTCACTGTCAAAAAGCGAAGACAAGAGAGTGCTGGTTTCCATTGTCACGTGAGGTGAGTAAATGAGGAAGTGATGCTGGATCCCCCAAATTATTAATGATAGTTGTTGCTGCTCCAGACTGGGAACACCTGGTTTCATCACACATATGTACGGAGCTAGCCCTAGCATCCACTCTTCCTTCCAGCCAACGTATAGCGTATACGGTAAGTATAGAGGCCGATCGTCGATAATAATAGTGTGAAACGGAGCGCAGGCCGGAATATAGCAGGGAGTGAAGGCACATCCCTCGACGTCGCCGACCGAGATGGAGACAGCGGCAAGAAGAAAGCGCCCTGCACCTGACGAAGATGGCTCCAGCACCAGTACTCACGACGACAGCGACGAATCGTCGCTGCGCGTTCATCGTCGCCGACGATGAACGCGCTTGGGCAGCTGATGTTGCTCAATCGGCTCACACTCCTCAAGAGTGTGAAATCGACGGCAGTTTGTGGCAAGCTTCGTCGCAATCAGCTCGAAATGAGCAACAGCAAACCACCAACCACACACACGGAGGCGTACAAGTACAGCTGTAGCTGATGGGGTGGCACACGCCTTCGGAGGTGGTTCTACGAGCTTCTCCCCCGCAGATTTCGGTGCTACAGAATTTGGCTCGTGGTCGGAATTCTTCTCGCATGTGTATGCCTATCAATCAAGGACGTTCCAGGTATGCTTTGTTTGCTTTGTATTTGAGCTAAGCTGATGCTAACTCAGTGTCGTGCATGCAGCGTTTCCGCTTTAGGACTTCTAAAACCGTGAAAGCTCGTAACAGTAAGGTGCATGACCCAGCGGATAAAGTCCCGGAATCGTTCGAACACTACGCAAGAGGTCTCGAATGTATCCATGCAGGGAAGTACAAGTCGAGGGGACAGGCAAACGTCTTCGACAGCAAAGTTGCCAGATAGAGTGTCCGGCTCAGGTACTTGTGCTAATTGATTTGAATGTCTTACAATCAGAAGCGAAAATGTGCTTACCCGGATTGTCAATGGCATGTCCCTCGTAGATAAATGCATGCGTCCGTCGGGTTGGTACAGATCCATCACAGTGGGCGGTGTGCGTTACGAAGATTGTACTAGAGCACGATCACCCCGTCAGTGAAAGCCTGTTCAAGCACCACCCACGGGCAAGGCTTTCTATCCCGGATGAGGTTGTGCACACGGTCTCTATTTTACAGAAAGTGGGTGCAAAGAAGAAAACCATTCACCAGTACATTCTGGAGAACTGCGACCGTTTGCCGAGCATCAGAGATGTTCATAATTTACTCCGGACGCTGAAAACCAAGGAGTTCGACAACACAACCAGGGTACAGCGCTTAAAGAAATGCATGACGGACTTCAGCGAACAACCAGGCAACATAGCTAGGATTTTCACAGAGGTCATCAACGGTAAGGTATATACGTCTAGTTTATTGCTCTAGTATCCTACCGATTGGAGTATCATATTCTGACACTTTCTTTTTTTCATTGATTAGAAACTAGCAACTTGTCTTACCCTGCAGACCGAACGTATGCGCGACACGTTTTCACGGTTCTCGGAAGTGCTTTTGATCGATGCGACGCACGGCACTAACGAATCGAAGTACAAAGTGTTTTCGTTCATGGCGCATGACGTATTTGGGAAAGGCTAGTTTGTCCAGCATGCGAGAATGAGCGAAGTGAGACCTTACTGACAGCTATCGAGGAGTTCAAGAGCAACAACCCTGATTGGCCTCGCATTCAGTGCATACTCGTAGATAAAGATTTCACTGAAATCTCAGTCTTGAAGCAGGCATTTCCCGATGCGCGAATACTTTTGTGCCAATTTCATGTCGTGAAATATCTTGGAGAGGAGGTAGCAAATTCAGCCTACGGATTTTCGGTCTGGCAGAAGGAACAACTACGCGATGTTGTCCGTCTCCTGGTATATGCAAGGACGGAGGTCGAATACGAAAAGCACATGCGATATTTGAAACACTTGACCGAATTGGGAATGGGCTTCAATAACACTTCGAGACCACAAGCTAGCGGGGCTCATTCAAGCCGGCCGTAGAGGTGAGAAAATTGACACCCTCGAGTACGATACTGATGTCGGAACTCAGTTGGAAAACCACAACTGCGGGATTTATATTCTCTTGGGATTCGAACACTTCATCGGGGCTCCCGCCTTAGGCGAACTGGACAAGAAGAAGCTCCAGTGTCTACGATACGGATAACTTGATCATATACCCTTCATACACATGAATGGCATAGTGCTGGAACGATTAAGTGTTGTGTGCGTTCAACCGCGATTCGTTCGAGCCAGAAATCTCTTCTCTCCCATAACTGCTAACCGGAATGTATACCCTAGCCAAGACACGTGAGCTAACCCGCTCTACCAGTCTGGAGGTTGTCTGGAGGTTCCACTCCGACTCAACCGTGATGAAGATGTATTTCAGTGCTGAACGCGACATCTCGAGTACCTCGGAGGACACGACTAGCTGCGTGGGACGAGCTTGTTGCACGGGTAATTGGCGATGTTGAAACGATTGTTGAACAGCTCCAGACGGGGCTCCAGACAGCGTCCAGGTTTCGAGAATAATGTGTGTGGTTGACGTAGCACTGACTCCCGAGTGTCCGCTCTGAAACCTTGGCTCGGTTAATATTCGGCAAATGAACGCGACTCGCTTATCATCCTTGTGCCGTCGCACCACCTTCCAATTATGCGTGCCGACCAACTCTCCGACGCCTGAAATCACGACGGAAAAAGTGTTCTGGAGCGCGTCCTCTTCGGTCTTCGAGGGGTCAGGGTGCGAGTTAAACCGCACATTGGGGCCTCCAACGGCTCGCTGGTTTGTCAGCCCGAGTGAGACAAGACATTGCCACACTGCGTTGTCCGTGTCGTGGAGGCGGAAGGGCACGACTCGCTTCTGCTGAACTTCGTAATATGCGCCGTTGACCTTGTCTAGATTTGCCTCACGGGTGTGCCCAGTGAACGGCAGGGCGTCCATGTCTTTCGTCGCAAACAGGGTATCGATTCTGCGATAAAGAGCGCTTGCGTCTTGGCTCAGCTGCTCGAAGATACCGGGATCATCGCGAGGACTTTGCTTCAGTAGCCACACCCTCTCCTTCACACCCAGCATATCCTCCATAATCTATTGTACATAACAAAACACCATTAGCATCAACTGTAGGGATTCTGACCGTTCTGCTCGGCAAGACGTACCTCAATCCTCGTTCGCCGTCTCAGAATTCGCCGCAGGTTTTTCGCCTCGAGGACTTGGACGGCCACCATTTCGCGTAGCGAGAGGTTTTCATCTTCTGCTCTTCGACGCCGGTCAAGTTGGGACAAAGCGACGCGTCGCCATGCATGCTGTGCTCGCGAAGACACTGCGTCGGTCGATTCTGCTCTTGCTGACTTGTACTGGAGAGACTGCAGTTTCGCGTGGAAGCACTCGGCTTCAGTTCGCAGACTCGCAACTTGTACCTTTCGAGAAGGATGTTGCGTTTTGGCGCGCTTGCGGCTTCTCCCACGTTGCAACATCTCTGCTTCCACGCGACCGGAGTCTTTGTTGCTGTCATCTGATGTCTGGTAGTAAACCGGAGAAATTGAGTTCATGTAGCTCTCGCCTTTCGCGCCTATAAGTCCTAGCATGTCGTCCATCCCGTTCAACATCTCGACTGGGCTGTAGTCGTTCAGGAACGCGTTGATTGCTGAGATATCCGTGTCCATCGAGTCTCGGTAATGCACGGCCCCCTAAATCGAGCCCCCACCTGCCGTCGAGGCGTCAACGTCGAGGAGAGAAGACAGCAAAGTACCGGTATCCATTGTGAGCAAAAGCGTAAGTGAATCGAACCACCGACGCTGATCCCGTCGAACCGACGCTCGAGAGGAAGCCTAACGTCAGGCTGGACGAAATCAAAGATTGCCTCCCGCATGATCACCGCATGTGATCTGTCACCTACAACGACGATAAGACAACTGCATAATCCTGAAGCGTTCATGATTGCTTTCCAAAAGCTTACACAGCTTCCGCACGGATAGGCTGTCGCATCATCAAGTCCCGCAATCGTTCCTAACTGTACGATTTCCGGACGGCGCAGGATGATGAGATAAAACCTGACGACCCCGCAACCAAACTTACGTGGGCTTTCTTGATTAAACTCATTCACACACAAGCTGTTGATGTTCTTTGGCGAAGTCGTGCCTTCGTGCCATAAAGCTACGGAGATCACAATAGCGCGTCTTCGACGGGTCGATTCGCCATTGCCCCATTCAACTTAGGCGCCAAACGAACGCAAGACTCAACTGTGCCACATCCACCCGCAACATTTCCCTCCAAAGTCCACTCGCACTCGTATGGCAAGCGGTGATCGTCCCAAATGACAGAACGCAGTCCAATCATTACAACTCGATTCTCCTCGATTACTCGGCTTTCATAGATATCCATGCGCGCGGGGGCTGCCCGACCGAGGCACAGCGTGACGCAGAGTTTTGCTTTCAGCGGCTGGAGGTCGACTCCACTTGAGCAGGTGTAGATTTGGGGCATAACAACAAGTATTACGATGAACGAGTTGAGATGGACGAAACATGGATGGCTGAATACATGTACAGTATCCTGGCAACTGCAGCTAGTTTAAGCCGAGTTGAGTAATTCAACTTAGCTGCTGCCAAAATTGGCCTGTGCACATCGCAGTTGTGCCTTTAGCAATTTACTGCGATGATAGTACGCAACTACCCCAGCCGCACGGTGACCATGCCCAAGTCAAAGACCACACCTCTGTCCGCGAGTATAAGGAGCGTAAGTCGTGCAAGTCTGACGGAACAGCACGGAGCGTTCATCACGGATACCGACGCCAAGAGCACCCAAGTGCTACCGGTGGGGCCGACGATCACGCGCCAAGATAGCAAGACCAAGCGAAAACTGCGCGACACCAACGCCAAGCTTTCATTTCTACAGGCATTTGGCGCCCTCGGGGTCCCGATGCTGCTCATTCTCGTGCTTTGTCTCGCATCAACTGCGTGGCTGATTTTCGTGTCGTTGGCTCCGAATGAAGCGGCCAATTGGCTCATGAACACAGGCGACTACGACAACGGGCAGTTCTGGCTCATTATCGACGCGAACTCAGCGTTGACTATGGCAGGCGTCGTTGGCTTGGTGATCGTGAGTCTGAGCTACTTATTTGTGGTGCTGAAGATGTTGCTGTGGCGCGAGAAGATCCTCACTCCTGCTATGCTTCGGCGACTGGAGAGGAGACTGCTGGGCAGTTGGAATGGGGATGGATCTCGCTTGGAGTCCAGGACGTGGTCGATCATTGTAGGGCCTACGTACCGACGAGCACATAGCGTCTGGAGGGACCTCACGTCGTTCAATGGCAGGAATCGGAAATTATGGGTGGGTACTGCGTTGATTTGTAAGGGTTTTCTGAAGAATCTTACTTAATTTTTTTGTTTTTTGTAGAACGCTGGGACCAAAGTGGTCGATCTAGTAATGCAGATGCTCGTGCTGCTTCAGTTACTTCGGAGTGGGAGTCCTGTAGCGCTCGTGTATGGCTACGCGTTGTTCGTGGCGGCCAATTCTCTGTCCAGTGCGATAAATATCCTGTTCGACCGTTTTTCAGCCCTCACGGAAGTCCTCATTGACTCACTGTACGTACGATATCCAGCCGCTGAAATATGCCCCAGCATTAACTGACCAGTTTCCGTACAGCTTCGACTTCTCTGCAGCCGTCTTGTTTCGCATTACCACGCTCGTGTATTGCTATTACAACTTCGAGTTCGATCGGACTGAATATCTCACATACTTGAAGATGCTCAAGCCTGGCAGCTTCGAGCATATTGCGCGCTTATTTGGGGATCAATCCGAGATCGCGCTCTTCCGCGTAAGCTTCGACTCGCTTCGATTTAGCTCCGTGCTGGACTTGGTTACCCAAATCTCGATGAATCTGGCATTCTGCTACCGAATTAAGCGCATGATGGAGGTGATGATTTGGAGACAGCACCACGCGTGGATATCGGGGCGGACGTTGAGGAAAAGCTCAGGAAGTATCGCCCCTGTTGAGAATACGCTACCAGTTCCAAAAGTAATAGCTGCTGCGTTCTTTCTGTACAGCGTGGCAACTGTGGTGATAACCCACCAATCGGTGTCACAGTCCATAGCTGCGTGCTCGGCATATCCAGACTGCGTAGTGTACGCCTACCGGTGGACATCCAGCGATGGACCCTGTCCGTGCCTCATCTTCATCGACGTCAATAAATCTCCAAAAACTTTTGACGAGTGGATTCATCCTCCACAAGCGTATACAGCGCTTGAAGCAGTATCGAAGTTTGGAACACTGGAGTCGATTCAAATAATTAACCGTCAACTGCTCGAGTTTCCAGAAGAACTTCGCTCTTGCAGCAAGCTCAAATCGATGTAAGTACTGGAAAAATGAGAAGCACCTACCTATTTATTCACAAGACTAACATAATTCTTTATTGTGACAGTCAGCTAATGTATACCAGTGTGGAGATCATGCCTGCATGGGCAGCAGAGTTCAGCCACCTCGAGACCTTGTACGTCTCTGATTGTCTCGTAAGCAGCATAGCTGTTCGTCCTAATCTGTCTTGCTTCACCTTTGCAATGTACAGTCATATTGAAGGGAAACTCGGCAGCATAAATCTGCAAGAGCTCCCGGAGAAGCTCTTCACCAACATGCCAAACCTGGCAATGGTTCATCTGGGCGTTCACGGGCTTCGAACCCTACCACCATTGACGGGAGTGCCGAACTTGCAGAGTTTAACCCTCGCTTGGATGTTTGCTTTCGACCATCTCCCGCCGTTCGATCACGTCCCGAACTTACGCAGATTGGTCATCTCCGTGGTGCCGTTCCTGCAGTGGGTCCCTGACATGTCCCCACTACGAGATCTCATTGAGTTCGCCATTCTACCCGGTGTGATCTGCTGTAACGGATTTCTTGGAGCTTGCGACTTGACCGACTACCTCTGCGCCGGTAATCCTCAGCTTGGGTTGCCGTCTGCGACGTGCCTGATGAACAGCACCAACCCGAGTTTGCCAGCCTCCCCATACTTCGGAAGTGTTGATACCAAGAGAGACTTTGACGATCTTGCTCCGAATGTGTGTGCAAAGTGGCCACCTGGAGCTATGTACATCGATAACACCCCCACCAAGGAGAAGATCGACATGTGCGGGGGCAAGCCGTTTCGCGAGTGCCATCTTCCTGGGAACATGACGGGCATTTGCTACAGTATGCGCTTCCAGGTCTTGTCGTGTATCATTGACGACGACCGCATTGCACTGAGGCGCTACCAAATCCAGCAGGGTGTTGGCCTGTTGTGCGACCCAGTCGAGGAAAAGTGGCTGGGGTGTGGGGAATAGAGGGGAAGTTTAACATTGTTCCTACCAATAAATATTGATTTCTGTGTATGTTGCGCGCCAATTTTTTTCAATCTCTCTTTCTTTTTAAATAAACACGGTTTGCTAGCCCAAAACTGAGAAACACACACGTTCCCAACAAAACTGTTGGGCACGATTTAATTCGGGTATTAACTAAGAATGGAACTCAGCATCTTTGGCTTCAGACTCTTGGCATCTTGTATATATCTCGCCGGTAGACAAAACAGCATTGCCGCGCCAAGGAATACAACAACTCGTGTAGGAGTATCAGTCGAGCGAGCTCCGTGGATAACCTCCAGGCTTCTAGGCGTCAGATTCCTGTTGGAAGCGTGATCGATGTCAAAGCTAGCCAGGTGCTGCCCACCGGACCAGCATTAAACAGTGTCAGAACCGAAGCCAACCAAGTCTGCGCAGACTTCAGAGAGAGAAGCTATCATTTTTCGATGCTTTCGGCGCGCTTGGGATTCCAATGGTGATAATTCTTGTCGTATGTGTCGTGTGGACGGCGTGGCTCATGCTCATATCGCTGGCTCCAAACGAAGCGACCAACGCGCTGATGAACACGGCCGCGTATGACAACGGCCAATTCTGGCTCATTGTTGACCCCACTCCAAGATTGACACTTGCTGGCGTCGCCTTCCTCTTCATCGTAGGAGTTTCCTACATTGTCGTGCTGCTCAAGATGCTGATTTGGCGTGAGCGGGTGTTGACACCGCTGGTCCTTCGGAGACTCGAGAATCGACTTCTCGACAGCTGGAAGGACTCGAGTTTGGAGTCGAGGACATGGACGATCGTCGTATCTCCAATCTACCGACGAGCTCATAAAGTATGGAGCGACTTCACCTTGTTCGGTGGGAACAAGCGCAAATTCTGGGTAAGTATACTTTGATGTTCGTTATGTACGTTCTGAACTTCCTACTAACCCTCCAGCATGTAGAATGTTTTCACCAAAGCAATCGACCTTGTGATGCAGACTGTGTCCTTGCTCCAACTGCTCGAACGCGGAAGTCCTGCAGGACTCGTGTATGGCTATGCAGTCTTCATAGCAATCAACGCTATGTCCTGTGAGGTTAATATCCTGGCCGATCCGTTTACTACCCTTGGGGAAGTCCTCGTCGACTCGATGTAAGCCTTCTTGCGTGGTCAGATCGCTTTGAGGAAACATCCTAATTCATATTTATGTTGATAGTTTTGATTTTTCAGCAGCGGTCCTGTTTCCTATGGCCACGCTGGTGTACTCGTACTACAACTTCGATTTCGATCGCGACGGGTATCTCACATATCTGGACAAGCTCCCTCCAGGCAGCTTTGAGCGTATCGCTCGCTTGTTCGCAGACGAAACTGAGATTGCGCTCTTTCGAGTGAGTTTTGACTCGCTAAGATTTCGATTGCCTCTCGATTTGGTAATTCGGATCGCTATGAACTTGGCGTTTTGCTACCGCATGAAGCGTATGATGGAGGTCATGGTATGGCGCAAGCGGCACGCTTGGGTATCGGGGAGAACGCTACGGAAAAGTTCGGGTAGTATTGCTCCGGTTGAGCCAAAGAAGCCGGTGCCCAAGGTAGTTGCGGTTGTATTCGCAGGTTTTAGCGTAGCGGTTCTAGTCGCTACGCAGCAAGCTGTGGCACATTCTAGTACTGCATGTGCTCGGTACCCAGAGTGTGCGGTATTTGCCTACCGCTGGACCATCAGCGACGACGCGTGTCCGTGCCTTAGCTACATCGATGTGGATAAAGCTCCGAAAACGTTCGAGGACTGGATTCATCCTCCCGATGCGTACAATAAGGTCAAAGCTCTTGCGCGTTCGGGTTTATTGGAGTCGATCCAAGTGATCAATCGGCAGTTGCTTGAGTTTCCTGAAGAGCTGCAAGAGTGCAGACACCTCAGGGCAATGTAAGTAGTATCTCTAATTTCGAGCTCGCTTTCCTTTGGACTAACCGTCTCAGTTCCAATTTATCAGTCAGCTAATGTATACAAGCATACACAGCCTGCCCCCTTGGACGAGCAAGTTCAAGAATCTGGAGACATTGTGAGCTTATACCGTATTGGCGGTTGTGTCACCGAGTTTTACCCATGTCTGATCGTATAAATGTTCTTTGTTATGTAGTCATATCGAAGGCAAGCTGGGAAGTGTGAACATCGGAGAGCTCCCTGAAAACCTCTTCAGCAATATGCCGAGCTTGGTAATGGTCCATTTGGGCATCCACGAGGCGCTGGCGCAGATCCCGCTACTGACCGGCGTCCCACAACTTCAGAGTTTGTCTCTCGCGATGTTGAAACGAATAGGCAACTAGAATACGAGCATAAGTGCCTGCCATAGCGTCGGTCATACCGTAAAGCTTCGAGTTCCCTGTGGCGTTATAGTGCTGCTGAATTACTGCTGCCGTCTGCCGAAACGACAACCCAACCGAAAGATATTTGACCGAAAGAGTAAACCGCATGGATGTTTCAGCTTCACCAGCTCCCGTCGTCTGACCGCATCCCTGATCTACGAAGGCTGATGCTCGCCGTGATACCGCTATTAGAATGGATCCCGGACCTGTCGCCGTTGACGAAACTTGTGGATTTTAGTATTTTAACGGGGGTTATCTGCTGCAATGGATTTCTCGGAGCCTGCGACTTGAGTGACTTTTACTGTCGAGGCAACCCTGCTGTTGGCATCCCTGCAGCAACATGTCTCATGGACGAGACGGAACCAACACAATCTGCAGCTCCATATTTCAACAGCTCTGGCACACGAGACGTATTCGAGAAGTTTGCGTCTGGAATATGCCAAGCGATGCCGTTCGATGCTGCGGTTATGAGCATGCCGTATCCCAAACGGCCTAGGCGTCTGAAGCCTTCGAGAACACTTGCCTCAAGCGGTGCTGCTCACTGTCTTCTCCTACACTCGCTATGATAGCTTCTAGAGCAGGATCATACGATTTGAGTACTTAGCTTGTGATGTGCAGAGCACACAGGAACTAGAGTAGCGGTTCGACTCTAAGGCCTCTCAATCAATCAGTTTCCACTCTTCCGCACGCCAGACATACGGCAGAGCACTTTGCCTACGCAACAGACAGTCGAAAAGTGCGGCGGCAAGCCTTCCGACAGTGTCATATCGGCAACAGCACCGGGATGTGCTACAACACACGGTTCCAGATTCTAGCCTGCCTCACTGACGAGAGCCACATCGCATTGCGACGCTACCAGATCGGAAAAGGTGTCGGCCCACAGTGCGATCCGATAGAGGAAAAGTGGCTGGGATGTAGAAAGAAATAATGGTAGATCCGTCCATGTTGCTCTTGAGGTTCCAGTAGTATCCTAAGAATCAATCAGAGCGTCGCTGTCCGTCCGAGAGTAGATCACGCTTATTCACTAAGTACGATTCCCACCTAAGTCCGATTTGCTGCCGAGCGCAACGAAGGCGACCCCCTCATACGATATTGCGGCCTCTGTAATACTAACCCGACATTGAGAGTAGTGCAGCGAGCCGACGAGGCGAGCGGAACGGGTCCACTACTGCCGTAGCGAAGCGTAGGCAGCCTGCTCCTATAGCGGAGCGAGCATTGCGAGCGAAGCGCCAACTAACAAAAAATTCACCGCCGCGTAGCGGTGGCGCTCGGCTAGTCTACAACAACTAATAGAGAGATTTGTCCGTGTGAAAGTCCGTGTGAAGCCCCTTGTCCACTTTAATGGTGGTCCACATAATCGTACAAGTACAAGCTGCCGAGCGCAGCGAAGGCGGCACCCGCGTGCGTTCTAGCGGGCCGCAGGGCCCGCCCTACAACTATGTACTAATAACACGGCGAGTAGTGCAGCGAGCCGACGAGGCGAGCGGAACGGGGGCGATTACGCACCCCCGCTGTGACGCTTGGCCTAATATAATACTTTTCGGAACACCTGCTATTAATTAAAATGGACCCACCGCGTAGTAGCAGCTGTCGCTGCGGTCGGGCACCCTACTACTTAGTATAATAGCGCTGTCGCGAGGTTTGCTTCATATAAACACATGCTACGATAATTGGTATGGTAGTGAGCGATAGTAGCGCATAAGGCAGCGATAGCGGCGAAGAGTAAGCGATAGAAGCGCATAGTAACGGATTGAAGCGCATAGTAAGCGACAGCAGTGCGCGTACATATAGTGGGAGGCGTTCACTGACACCCATAGCATATTTTTACTGTAATTATTTTGGAATGTACATACTTGAGTATTATAGCTACAACGGCGCTCTGTGTTCATCTTGGGGGAATATTTAGCTACACTTGCTTGAACATGTTTCGCATCTTTTTTAAGGCACAGTATGTAGCTGTAGGTTAATGCGTTATTGGGGTAGTAGATATTCTGACATTCACTGAGCTGGAGCTTTTTATCATAGTAGAAACTCCTTCTCTAACCATGTTATTGGACCGATATACATGCAGGAAACGGAATTAGCATAGCGCAAACGCATAGATACGGGGTAAGAGCTTCTTACTTTCAATCCCTTAGCTACTGTAGCGATAGGTGGACCTGCCATGCTACTTACTGTAGTACAATAGCAATGTTGGCTCAATACAAACACGTAGTAAGCTATAGAAGCGTATAGATAGTTATATCAGCGCGTAGTCAGCGATAGGACGGCATAGTTAAGCGCTAGCAGCACGTAGTAAGCGATATGAACGTGATAGCAGCACGTAGAAAGCTATAGGAGCACGTAGTAGGTGACAGCACCAACATTGTTAGAGCAAGGTGAGCTGAAGGTGGATAAACTATTTACAGCGCGTCCAGCTTTTTTTTACTATAATATTTTTGGGGGATAAGCGCATTATAGCAACCGAGGCCACTACGTGTACATATCGGTAGGATAATATGTTATGGGGATAGTATATATTTTAATTAAACTGAGGCTGTTATTGTGTATGTTGTTCATATGACATGCCAGCATTATTGGGCCGTGCATACCTGTATGCTAATTGCACGGGACGGAATTAGCATAGCGCACGGTGTACTGCATCGTGATTGCATGCAGAGTTCTTACTTTTTATCACTATTTGAATGTACGTACTGGAGGTGGCACAGGAGCGTAGCAGAATAGAAACGTGCATTACGCATAATTTTGAAGTTTTGAAGCAGACCACGTAAAATTATTGGCGTTTGCAGACGGATGATGTAGCATGATAAATACACGGATTTTTTTAAAGACGATTAGCACTTTATATAATGCTGAGTACAGGAACAGCGAAGCCAATACTTTGATTGTTATCTGGGCTTATAGCCTGATTACAGGCTGTACTTACTAAATGACATAGCCTACGAACCAAATAACTGAAACTACGGTAGTGCGATAATGGGATAAAACAACACGTCGCCACAGCGAGTAGTAGCTCATGTCAATGCTTATTTCAACTACGTTTAATACAATGACGACTTTGTAGTCGTATTAACTAATTGTGTGCATGTGGACCCGGTTTACAACAGAGTACCGTACAAAATAGAATGCTTAACCTGGCAACATGCAACTACTTATATTCAATAGACACCCAGATGTAGGTCTAACGGTGGAACATTTACGAAGCTGATACCAGAAACGTCACTCTACTGATAGTACTTCAAACCTATAAATAATTTTACATGTACACAATCGAAATGAATACCATTTCAACTTTAAAAAAGCCCACCGGAGCGAAGCGGAGGTGGGCGGCCCTTACTACTGCGACTAACCACAAAACCTAGCGGTGGCGCTCGGCTAGTCCTAAGAATCAATCAGAAAGACGCGCTGTCCGTGTGTAGATCACGTGAATTCCTATTGGCTGAAATTGCTGCCGAGCGCAGCGAAGGCGGCCCCGTCGCCGAAGGCGACCCCCTCATACGATATTGCGGGACCGCAGGGCCCGCCCAACCTCTGTAGTAGTAACTAAACATTGAGAGTAGTGCAGCGAGCCGACGAGGCGAGCGGAACGGGTCCGCCACTGCCGTAGCGAAGAGTAGGCAGCCTGCTCCAATAGCGGAGCGAGCATAGCGAGTGAAGCGCCAACTAACTAAAAATCCCCGCCGCGTAGCGGCGGCGCTCGGCTAGTACTAACTACACTCCGCGCCAAGTGCAATCACGCACCCGAGTTTGTAGCTATATCTCAGTCAATATTTAGAGTTAGGAGCTGCGCTTTAGATATGTTGCTGCTACTACCGTTACCGACCCCGCTCTTGTGTTAACGATCGGCATTTCCATGGCTGTGGTGGGGCTCACATACAAGCAGACAAATATGGCTTAGTGACACAATTATCACGCAGATTGGACCGTACAAAAAATCATATATTATGAATGATTGTAACATGTGGGTCAACTAGTAGTGTGTCTTTCCTCCTTTCTTTTCCAGTACTTCGACGAGCCGCTTGGGCATGGAGTCCACCAGGGTTGCCAGGGTTGCTTGGTCGACAGATTCCCACGCCGCCAGAACCGCTTCGCGCAACTCGGACACACTGGAGTACTGCTTTTTGCCGTTGTCGTACACCGTGCGCGACAAAATGGCCCACAAGTTCTCTATCGGATTAAGGTCCGGAGAACGAGCGGGCCACTTCATCACCATCACCTCTTGCCCTTCAAAAAATTCGGCCGTGCGCTTCGACGTATGGATACAAGCATTATCTTGTTGAAAGATATACTCCAGCCCAAAGTGCTTGTGAGCGTAAGGAAGCATGTATTCAGAGAGAGTATACACATTGTCATCTGAGTTTTGCTTACCCACAAAAAGACTAGCTCCGTCTTACCACCGCGGCTAAAGCCACCCCAGACCATAAGCGAACCACCGCCGTTTTGGCGCCGGACGGTTTGACACCTCGGGACCCGCAGGTCCTGTCAGTAGCGCTGATACCCGTCTGGACCATCCAGGTTCCATTTCTTTTCGTCGGAAAAGACGACGCGCGGCCAGACATCCTTGGACTAGAGTAGCCATTCCTTCGCGAACTCACGGCGAGCGAGCTTGTGCTCAGCCGTGAGCTCCAGCGTGTTGTCCATCTTCGCGTACTGCAACCAATCCACGCTCGCAAGAACGCGCTGGATGGTGCGTAGAGAGGCAGCACTGCTGACGAGCTCCTTGATCTGGGAGGCGGAAAAGTCACCGGTTGCTGCCGTCCGCACGACTAGCCGCACCTCGCGGTCCGGGCGGGGGCCAAGCTTCTTCGGCTCCGTCGGCGCCTTCGGAGCGATGATGCGAGCCACCGTTTGGTCGCTGCGACCGACACGGCGTGCAATAGCACGGTTAGACCACCCGGCCTCGTGCAGGCCTTGGATTCTCCCGCGTTCTTCGTCGCTGACGCGTGGCTTGGGTGGCATCTTTGCGAATGCCGTACTGGTTGGGATTTTTACGGCCCCACCACTAATCTTAATATATGAATTTTTGTATGGTCTAATCTGCGTGATAATTGTGTCACTAAGCCATATTTGTCTGCTTGTATGTGAGCCCCACCACAGCCATGGAAATGCCGATCGTTAACACAAGAGCGGGGTCGGTAACGGTAGTAGCAGCAACATATCTAAAGCGCAGCTCCTAACTCTAAATACTGACTGAGATATAGCTACAAACTCGAGTGCGTGATTGCATAAGTAGCGCAATAGTCAAAACGGTCATTCTACTATTATTGTCACGAAAGTTGTCGATAAGTTCGTACTACGAAGTAGTTCAGTAAAACATGATCAAGCGAGTGGCAGTCGCTCCAAGCTCTTCAAGCCAGGTAATGACGGACCCCCGAACCGTTGGTGGCAGGAGCGATCAGACAGCCAACACTGGAACTCCCAAGGTCACTCAAGTACTGCCAGCGAGTTTTCTGCCGAGGCTCCATGGCCTCGTCAACACGAAGAAAAGGCGTCTGCGCAGAACCAACCGCTGTAAAGTGTCATTTTACCGGACGTTTGGTCTTCTTGGACCCCCAATCCTGTTGATTCTGGTTCTCTGTCTTACCTGGACAGTGTGGCTCATTTTCGTGCTACTGGAACCAAATCAAGCGGCAAACTGGTTCATGAACACTGGCTCATACGACAATGGACAGTTCTGGCTCATTATTGACTCGAATCCGGCGCTGACCAAGGCAGGCGTGGCCGGTTTAGTCGTCGTGAGTTTGGACTATTTGCTGGTGATCCTGAAGACGACAGTGTGGCGCGGAAGAAACGTCATCCCAGCGGTGCTCCAGCGACTAGAAAACCGACTGCTGGATAGCTGGAATCTTTCACGTTATGAATCCAAGACATGGACGACGCACATCGCTCCTAGATATGCTCGTAAAACCTGGCAAGAACTCAGCTCTTTTAGTGGCAGGAAACGCAAAGTATGGGTAAGTTATACTGTCTTTTCACTAGCTTACTAAAGGGACTAACGTGCCTCTGATAGAATGTTTGCACCAAATCAAGCGACTTGGTCGTGCAGACAATCCTGCTGTTGCAATTACTTGATCGAGGAAGCGCTTCGCAATGTTTGTAGTCATGAACTCATTGCCTTGTGCCACCAACATTCTGATGGACAGACTTTCGGTATTGACTGAGATCCTGATCGACTCCATGTACGTGAATTACGTGTTCAGTTCTGCGAGTGCTAATTCAACATCGATAGCATTGCTATTATCTTTTTTTGTTTTTATTTCGAGATTTGACTTTGCAGCGGCTGTCACGTTTCCGATTATCACGCTCGTGTACTGCTACTTCAACTTTGACCTCGATCGCGACGTGTACTTGTCGTATCTGAAGGTGCTCCCAGCAGGAAGCTTTGAACACAACGCCCGGGCATGTGCAGACCAATCGGAAGTTGCTCTTTTTCGAGTGAATTTCGACAAGCTGCGGTTCAGCTCTCCTCTCCAGCTACATGTAGTAGTGTGTATCGCAATGAATCTGGCCATCTGCTATCGGGTGAACCGAGTAATAGAAGTGATCTCGCGGCGTCGGCATCAAGATTGGGTATCGAGAAGTTCTCAACGCAAATCGATGCAAGAGTCAGTTCCAGTTCCTGTATCAAAACCCATGGCGGTCTTGTTCGCAGCGTTCAGTGTGGCTATACTGCTGCTAACACGACACCCTGTCGCTACTTCAACGGGTAAATGCTCCGCCTACCCGGAGTGCGTTGTGCACACATATTAATACAACTGGGCATCTAGCAACGAGGCATGTGGATGCAAAAATATTCATTAAGGCTCCCAAAACTTATGAAGAATGGATATATTCCCCCGATACTTACAGCAAATTGAAAACACTGTCAAGAACTGGAAAGCTGGAATCGATCCAAGTTATTAACCGCCAGTTGATGGAGTTTCCGGAGGAGCTCAGCTTCTGCCGGGGCAAGCAATGTTACGTCTCTAGCCGAAGTCCAAGGTGTTAAAAGGTATCGTAACTCACAAGTTTGTCGTTGTGCAGCCAGCTTATGTATACAGGTATACAAGCATTACCCGACTGGATGCAAGGGTTGACACAACTGGAAAGTCTGTAAGTGCTGTCCTGACACTGCCTTATTGAGCTGTCTAATGGCCATAACTCATATAATGTTCGTACGCGGTGCAGTCATATTGAAGGCAAACGGGGTAGCCTAAATCTACGCTATCTTCCCGAGGACCTATTCAGCAATATGCCTAACCTTGTAATGCTGTATTTGGGTAATTACGAGTCCCTTGAACGAATTCCCCCTCTATCAGGAGTACCGAATCTCCAAACCTTAACATTGGTGTGGATGCTTCGCCTTCAACAAGTCCCAACATTTGAATTCGTCCCGAATCTTCGGCATCTCAGGCTCCTCATTCTGCCGCTGGTGGAGTACATACCGGACATGATCTCGCTTCAACAACAGCTCCGATTAACTGCTCGTTTGACCCGCATCTGCTGCAATGGGTTCCTTGGGGCGTGTACTTTATCTGTTTGGAAGATCCAACGGTGGGCATCCCGCAAGGGGAATGCCTCCCGCCCCATACCCCTTCTTACTTAGGTGAATCCATACGATCCGCGAATCTTCTCTAACAACGTCACTAAGGCTACTGTTGACGCGTGCGGCGGCAAGTTGTTTCGGCAGTGTAAGCTTCCAAGTAACGCTACGGCTTTTTGCTACAATGCTCGTATGCAAGTCATATCCTGCTCTGACGACGAGAACAACATTAACTTGCGTCGCTACCAGATCGAAAACGGAGTGGGGCCTCCGTGTGACCCGGTGGAGGAAAAGTTCCTTGGTTGGGGGGGTAGAACATCAAAGAGGACGGCAGCTACGCGTTACGTAAACCTGACCTCTGCTATCCAAGTTTCCTCTAAAATATTAATTCTCAATGCGCTCGAATCAGCGTGTCTTCAACAAAGTGGTTAAAGCGTGTGATCGATGCTTCCCAAGCTGCGACTCCCATGTCGATGAAGGCTCGAGGCACCCTTTGAGCGGCAAGAGAGTAGGCGTCGTGGCTCGCCGTTGACTGTCGATGCGACTGAATTACCGTGGTTGGGCCGAGGTCGGTCGGCGAGCCTGGTCGCACAATTAAGCGCGTTGTTTCGTGGAAGACGATGGGAATATCAGCCACCGGCTGAATCAGCCTTCGGAAAATGAACACGCCTCGGTCCTGCTCCATGTATTTCCGGCCCACTTTGCGCACGATCACACGGACATGAACGCTGCCAGCAGTGAAGGCGCTGCACATGCTCTGCTTCAGTGTATTCTCGCACTCATGGTAGTGCTGCAATACAAAAAATAAACGTTAACACAGCCAGAAAAAATATCAATGCAGTTGCAGAATTGGATAATTGTACCTGAACGAACGCAGGTTTGGGGCTTTGGGGTTCTTCCTCTCCAAGGCACCTCCAGATGACCTTCTCCGTGTCTTCCAGGCTGAACGGAACTGCGTAACAGTCCAGCAACTCCACGAATTTCCCCTCAGCTCGTGACCCTGGCGTGGTATTTCTCCTCCCTGGACACGGTAACTCGTCCATGTTCACTTTTTCAAAGAAATCGTCCACGCCCGCGTACATTTCGTCCATGCCCAGAAGCAAATCATGAAACACCGACTCATTATCGGTCGGCGGCGTCACGCCCGCGGCGTCCACGCTATACTGCCTGCACAACTTGAGCGAGGACCCCACAATCTGCAGAAATAAGAAAAAAAAAATCAGCATAATTCTGCAGTTATAACTACGCTGCAGAATTGATCCCCAAACCTCGTTCCGCAGCCTCCTCTTGAACCCTTTGAGCAGCGCCTTGGCCTGCCAGAGCCGCTGCCGCACTTGGTCCCGCAGTTTCTTGTTCTCCTCCTCGCTCGCTGCGCGTCTCGCCGCTTGCCGCATGCAGATTTCCTCCCAGTGCAGAGTTCCGTCTGCGAGCAGCTGCTTCTTATTCTTCAGCCGCAAACTCTGCTGCAGCTGCCGCAGCTGGACGCATAATTGCTTTTCTGCCTTCCGCAGAGTTATCACTTCGTCCCACCGCGCAAGGCGCCCGCACTGGCGCACTGGGCGAGCTTTCAGCGGCGAGTCGACGGTGGCGGAGGGGGAGGGGATGGCCTCCACGTCCTCGGCCAGGTCGCAGCCCTCCAGCAGCGACAGCGCGGTCACTTCGTCCAGCTCGAAGGTCATTTAGGTTTCGTACTGGAGCCCCAATAGATTCAACATACATGTAGCGCACTACACTTGGAGTTTGTAGCAAACTGACTGAAGAAGGAGATTTCACGGATCGAGACCAAGGGGCGTGGCCCATATTGAGACGGAATTCAGCATCACTTGAACGGTTTGAATCGATTCATGGTTGAGAGTTTGAGAGGTGGCAACAGCGCAGCTCCACGTGAGTTTGACCGGGTGAAATGCGTACTGAGTCGGCATCGGCTTGGAGTCCAAGGCTTGAACTGCTCATCACTTGGACGCGAATGATTACACTCGGCTCGCTAAGTACGAAATTCAAAATCCGTGTCAGAGTACATTTAGCTGGGGCTCTGGGGCTGATAATAGTGAGTACCGGTATGTGCGTGATGCCGTACCTCCGCCACTAGGAGAGTGAGAACATTTAGCGTTTTGAGCGCTGCTGCTTCTCTATTATTGCAAGCCATCAAATCACCGTTGGGCACCAATCATTGCACTGAAGAACGTCGAGTGGGTCGAGCCAGCCAAGTCACCCGCACGCTTAGGGCTGACTCGCAAGAGTGGAAATGTTAAACGAGCTTGCTCGCGTTAACCGTCCGGTAGGCTGCAGATGTGTGTCGTTCTAGCATTATCAACGAAGCGAGCCACATTCCGGGCTGTAGACCAGCAAAAATGCCAGCCACTAGATCATTCGTAGACACATGGACAGCGTGTACGCCCGTGAAGAAGCTGGAGTTCTCAACCATATCGTCAATTGTTGTTAGAATCGACCACTGTGGCCTTTAGACGACTACGCGGAATTGCTACCGGGATGGAATAACGAAGGTTGACGTTATCATGACAAAATTATAATCGATAACACCAAAACTAAATACCAATGGCATGGTTCCTGTTACACCCTCACGAACCCAAAGACCACGGATTCTCTGCCAGTGCGTGATTCGCTAGATACATAATTGCTCAGTGGTGCTTTGACCCCTCAGGAGATCGCTTGGGGTACTTGTAAGAATGTAACACCACTGGTGTTGCATTACCCAAACGCAAATTGACATCAGGACAGCGACCTGCAGACGCGTGCTGGTTTTACAATGATCGCTGTTCTACGTGTATGCATCTGAGGAGGACATGAATGCACTTAACAAAGTTAGTTGGGACTTCTCGCTGGTATGTGCATGTACCTGGTGCGCATAACATGAAGGATCGTGGCACTTATCTGTAGCGGCAACTTGATCGCGTAGACCTCCGAACCCCGTTCTCAATCCACGCACGCTGTTAATGTGCACGACTGAACGTGCAGGAGCTTTCAACGCCACTGGGCGTGTTGGAGTGAAGTTTTATCAAGTCTTGTGCTGCTGTCGGGAATCCCAACTCTGGATACCATCATTGCAAAAGACTGATCAAGAGCGTCTATAAAGCATCTGACGAGACAGGAGATTGCTGCCGGCTTCGAAACGTAGCGGCAGCCTGCCGCTACGTTTCGACTTCAAATCGCAATCGTTCTCTGTATAGCCTACATGTATTGTGCTTTTCATACATTTTGGCACTTCGGACTGTAACTCGTACGACTTATCGAGCGCGACTAATCTATAAATCGTACTCGAGTACGAATTGCTATAAGTCGTGGATGGCCAAAGAGCACTAAGTAGTGCACAAACGCCATCTGCAAGATTTAGCACATCCAGCATGGATTAGCATCCGTTTGGCACTTTTAGAAAGTGCCATTTCCGAGCCAAATCGGGCTCGAAGCACGACTTGAGCAACTTGCATTCAAAGCCTCCATGATTTACCACTAAGTAGGAACACTAACTAGTGCACTAATTAGGAGGGCAAACTGGATGCAAAGCACAATAAGTCTAGTGACAAAACAGTAGTGTACATAAGTACGTACTTGTGTATTGGTATTCTCCGTTCGTCAAGATCATGGGGCAAAGAGGAGCAGTCCATTCGCATTAAAGACTCGGCCTCGGAGGGCCGAGTCGAGGATCGTCGCAACGCGAAGCTTCGGTCGGTCCGAGACTGGGGCTGGAGAGGCCAGCCCCATAAGAGGCTTGGTTGCGGATGGACTGTGATGATAATGGGATAGAGCAGAGGCTAAAAAAGAGTTAGCTAGTACCATGACTCGCACTAGACACACACAGCAGGTTGCCCCGTGACTTGGCCGACAATGGAAAGCCGCTCTTGCTTGAAATGAGGGAGCTGAGTCGGGACAAGCCACGGGTCAAAACCCTGTGCACCAGTTTCGGTAGGGTTATGCCTGTAATTTCAAGAGCTTTAATCGTACTTAGTAGAGAAACGCAATTGATGTCTCAATGGGCTATCTCCGTAATAAAGGTCTGATGAATCTGCACGAAAGTACTTTCGTGCACTTTCAAACACTGCACGAAACAGCCCTATGTGTGCTGATTCGGCCCTGACACGCTCGCCATACTCCGTCGTGGGAGCGCGAGCTGCCCCAAGTAAGGTAGTGGTAGTTGTAGGAGTAGTGATAGGTAGGCGAGCGCGAGCGCGACGGAGCCCGACGTGGTTCCTCCTCATCAGGACGACATCATGAGCAAGCCTGCGTGGGCGATCGCTACATGTACCTTCGCCGCTGAGGGGATCGGAATCCGTGAGTCGGCCGTTGAGCGCTGGCGTGACCGCGGCGATGATGTCGTTGACGGAGCCAGCACTTGATGGTCACGCCTCAAGAACACGCATGGCGCTGCTCCACTAACTATCCTACCTAGCGTGGGAAAACCCCCGCCACCAGATGCCGCATCCATACGGAGCCGTTCGGCGGGGAAAACCAGGCACCTACGCACACACAACTGGCTTGGAGAGCTCGATTTTCCTTGGTGTCGGTCGTATTGTGTCCAGTACTTATTATAATTAATATTGTGGCTTTCAAATATTTTGCCGCCATCGGTTAGTCCAATTTAGCTATATCTGGCCTGAGTTAGTAGCATAAGGCTCAGAGGGGAGGCATTCCAAGCTGGCCATACCTCCTCACCTCTCATGACGCATTAGAACTGCAAGACATTGGGGACAATAGTACACTGTATATAGCCACTTCATAGCACTATGACCAGCTAAATCACCTGTGTGATCATCTACGGCCGCTACAACCTGAGAGGGCCCCCCTTTTGCCGGCGACAAGCGGCATTTCTGGCCACTGCTTCGCAACTCGCAGCCCCAAGACGCAAATCGGGACAGATATAGTTTGCTTCCCTCAGCCCCTCCTGCTAAATCGGAGCCCTCCAGCAAATCGGGCCCGATATATCGGATCTTGGACCACCTGATTTGCCAAAACGGATGAAAGCCACAATAACTCTTTCAGTAGCAAAAACCATGATCTCTCCTCGCCCATTTTCAGCCTCGCCTTCGTCTCCTCTCAAAATACCTAGTACTTTGCGATGTGTTCACTACACGTTCAAAGGTACGGATCCTACATGCAGTTCAGGAAAGTAGCGATCGCAAGCACAGAAGGTCACAGATGAGGAACAACGCATATGAGCAAACCTTCTTGGTAGTATTTTATACTTCAAGAGGCTATAGCAGCTAGCAACCACGCACGCCCCCAGATCATCGCTGAGAGTAGCCTCAGCGTCACGTGATGCAAGTGAAGCCTAGCTTCCGTGTGACAAGTTCTCGTCCAAGCCTGTTGCCTTCGCAGCGTTGAAATTCGCCATCAAGCGCACACACCAGTGAGCGTCAGGTCATATGACGATTAGAGCTGTTGTCCATACTCATCAAACTGGCAGCTGTCGTCTTCCCACAGTTTGGTCTCCTCTGGGTAACACGAATCACCAGCCATCGTTTCAGACTGGCTCGCCGTCATAATAGTGGTAGTCAATTTCGCAGCAACAAGAAGGATTTTTATTTTTTAGAGCCTTCTGCATGAATATATTTGACCAATCAACGTTGGGTCAATTGAGTACCCCAAATCGAAGTTTGCAGCAACAAAGACGATTTCTTTTGTCCGTTTGCAGCTCACAGCTTGCTATACCATACATACGCCTTCGCGGGCTTGGACTTGGATGCCGCGGTTGTCGGCGCGCGGCAAGGAGCTGCAAGACCTGCGTCGCATCACAGAGCAACGGAGCGCTGCTGCAACGGTTCGCGACCTCCTCAGCGACGCTGATTCGTTGGAGGACGAGCTAGATGACTACTGGCAGCTGGAACTCGAGCGCGTTCAATCGACGCGTTATGTGGATCGCCCGGCGCAGTACCGACGGAGGAAAGATCGCTGGCTCAAGCTGTTGCGCGACCATGATTACATGAATGACACTGAGTTCCACGACCATTTTCGACTTGATCGTGGCGTGTTTTATCGCCTGGTGGAGTTAGTGAAAGATGATCCAGTGTTCTTCACAAAGGGGAACAAACCATTTCGTGGCGGCGCCGAGCTTCACATTCTTGCACTCCTAAAGTTTCTTGGCACCTATGGAAACGACAACTCCGGGACCAAAGTGGGCCAATTCCTTGGAATTGCAAGTGGCTCTGTTCACAACTATCTGTTTCGAGCTTCAACTGCCATCATGAAGCTTGTGGACGCCGTGATCACTTGGCCAGATGAGATCGAGCGTCGCATGATTTCGCAGCGGATGCAAGACAAGTATGATTTCGTGAATTGTGTGGGTATCACGGATGGAACGCTATTTTCTCTTGCCTCGAAGCCTCGCCACCATGACGAAGATTACTATTGCCGAAAGGCATCCTATTCCGTAAGTGGGTTGGTAACGTGTGATGATGTTGCAAGAATTCGCAACATCGTTGTTGGTTGGCCGGGATCGACTCACGATAACCGAGTTTGGATGAACAGTCCGATGGTGCTTCATCCTGGTGATCACTTCAAGTCCAACGAATACTTGCTTGGTGATTCGGCTTTTCAAGTATCGGCCTTCATGATCCCTGCATTTAAGAACCCCCCCCCCCGAAGGCTCAAATGGATTCTCGCCACAAGTACTTCAACACCAAACTTGCGAAAGCTAGAATCAAAAGCGAGCACTGTATTGGGCTCTTAAAAATGCGGTTCCCCTACTTACGTGAAATCCGGGTGAAGCTGAGCAAGAAACGAAAGCACATGAGACGCCTGATTTGCTACGTCATCTGTGCGGCCATCATGCACAACCTTCTGATTGCGGAGCCGATTCCACGTGACTGGCAAGCTGAACTCGAACGATTGATGACGGGCAGTCTGGACGACGATGACGAGTTGAATGTACCCCTCCCTGTAAACGCAAAAGCGCATGAAAGACGAGAGCAGCTACTGGCATACTTACTCGAGCTGCGGTCGTAACGGTAGCAGAAGGTCGATCTCGTCGGATGAGATGACCTCATCCAACAATTGTTTTCGTTCTCGAAGCAGCGCGATTTTGCGTTGCTGGCTCCAGTGCTCTGCCTCTTCGCGGAGTTTTGTTGCTTGAGCGTTTGCCTCGCCAATCCGTGCCGCAGCAAGAATGTCTTCATTTTTCAGTTGTTGTTGGCGTGCAAGAAACTCTTTTTCACGAAGGCCGAGTTCTTTTTTTCGGACGTCCAGTTCAGCAAGTTGGATATCGCGTTGCTGGTCTAGTTGGGCTTGCTTTAATCGGAAAAGAGCCGGGTGCCCGGATAAGTCGTTTTTCTTGGGCTTTGTTTGAGGTTGAGCGATAGAAATTGGAATTGACGTCGATCGCTTCGCCGCCGAGTTGCTCACTCCATGACTCGAAACCTCATTTGTGTCAGTAGCACTTTCATCACTCGAACTGCAGTCATCACTCTCTGTATCATCTTTGCGAAAGTGCTGATCGGTGTTCAGGAGCTGCGCGCGGGTGCTTATACGACTATGCATCGTGTCGAATAGCTCATAGTACTCGGGGCATCTCTCCAGAATGTTTGCACGCAGTGTAGTCTCATCTTCCACTCCTTGCCCAGTAGCCGAAAGCCAGTCAACAGCTGCACGAAACGTCGACTCCAGTGACGCAATCTTAGACATAACATCTTTCGCGGTTCGAGCTGTCTTAATTCCTTTGATGGAAATCAAGTGCACGATTTGCTGAGCGAGCGCAGTTTTCGTTTCCCCTGTCTGGCCTTCACCCCCCGCGGTATCGGTCATAATTATCGGCACTCGTGATCCAGTCAATCAGCACGCTCAACGAGCTTACATCTTGCGAAGGTCCATCGTTATGCCATAGCACACGCTTCTTTCCGGTCGTTTGAGGTGCAGCCGCAGTAGCGGCTGGCTTACCAGGGTGTTGTAGCATCGTTTTCCGCACGTAGCTTTGTCAAATGAGCCACCAGCACCGAATGCATCCAACATTGCTGCTACGCAAGCAGCGTGGGCTTCGCGCTCACATCCCGGCCTACTGCAAGGGCGAAATGACCCGCCTCCATTCGATTATCTACAGACGGATGCTACAGCAGCACCTATGACGGCCGCAGCTTCATGACGAGTTGCATCAGCTCCGGGTGCTTGCCGGGCATTGTTGTCGGGTACGGTATCAGCAGTGACGGGCGGTCTGGTTTCCTCGCATCGATCATCATTGTCGCTGTCCAGCATTCGGCTAAGGTCGTTCAGACGAGCAATCCTGCTGGGTGCCATGTGCACTCCTGTGCTGATCACGTACTGGGGGTCCGCGCAGTTTGGAGTAGTCGTAGGAGCTGGAGTAGTCGGAAATTCACTTGCACTTGAAAACTCTGACGGTCGTAGGGGTTGTACGGCAATCTGGTGTGTTTGATAACTGGTTTCGGACGCTTGATGCTCCAACTGGGTCGCGTGAGAGCACCGCGTAGCGGCGTCGTAGCTGGACTCCTCGCTGTGAGCCGGCCTAGTGAGGTCAGGCGCTCTACTGCCGAGGCTTGGCTGTGTTGGGGCGGAGCTGGTAGTCCCTCGACTAGACGGGATCGTCCCTGGAGCAGCTGCTGCGCCAGTACGAGCGCGGCTTCGTCTTCTTGCCCATGAGCTCTTCAAGTTCCGCGCGGCGAATAAATAATTGAACTTGTTGCTGCGCGCCAAACTGCGTGAGTTTTGTTGCAGGTGGGCAAATTTTTTTCTGACCAATCAGAGCCCTAGACAATATTTCCATCTTGCTGTGAGAAAAAAAACCCTCTTGTTGCTGTGCAATTGACTACCACTAATAGTGGTAGTCAATTCTTTTGAGCAGTGGTTTTTTGTGGCGTGCCGGACTTCATTTCGCGATTCGAAGGCCAAACAGACAGCGTCTAATGTCCACCATGAACGGCTGCACTCTCTTCCCATCCAACACGCAGCGCCTCAGCGACCATGTAATCGGCAGTGTCGTACAGCGAGCCTGGGTGCCAGAAGGACCCACCGACAGCGACGCGGAGGACGGCGCAGAGTTCGCCCGCCCTTCACAGCAAATATCTCAGTTCTCGGCGTGTACTCAGGCCCGTCACGGGCTCCAGTACCAACCCGCAGAGACATTGGAGGACAGCCCAGTCCGACGCTACGCCCCGTCTGCAGTCAGGCAGATCGAGATTACGGGGAGAGTCGCGCTGGATGCGCTAGAGGGCTACAATGCACAGCCTCGTGCGACCATTAAGTCGCAGAGCCAGCGAGGTCTGGCGAGAAAGGACCCCGCTATCAGCGCTGAAGAGCGTCAGCGTGAACTGCGGCGGATGAGGCAGATCCGCTACAGGCAGAAGAAGTACGACCTTAACATGAAGCTCGAAGAGGACACGGTGCAGCTGCGAGAAGAGGTCGAGCAGCTCGAGCAGCGCCGACGGACCATTGCTGCGGCTGTGCCCACCAACCAGAGCATGTGGGATGTGGTTCTCAAGTACTTCCAGGTCTTCCGCTATGGAGTTCAAGAGCGTGCGTCGATCCAGGAACCGACTTCCGGTCCAGGAGCTTCCTCCAGCCCCCAGCTCGAGTTCGTTCTGGCGACTATGACCAAGGACGTGGTGTTCAACTCCTGTCGCGGCTCGGAAGCGATCATGAAGGCTTGGAAGTGCCAGACGCTGTGGTTCAAGGACTTTGAACTGGAGCTCGAGAGTCTGGTCAAGGTCTCCGGCAGCTCTTTGGTCGCCACCACGACCACAAACTTCACCATCGTCGACCGAACGCTGCAGAATGTTTTCCCACACTTGAGCGAGAAGAACGGATTCCGCAGTGCCGGATTGGGACCTCGCGTTGCCAAGACGCTGCTGGGCGAGCGTGTTACTGTACGTGGCTCCGTGCGCTTTGAATGGGACGGCTTTCTGGGCCGAGTTACGATGATAACCACGCAATCCGACCTGCTAACTCCTATCCTGCGCCTACTGGGCAACTTGGAGGACGTGTCCTACGTCTTCGAGTGGGCTCTCGTGTCTCCGGAGTTCCAGTGGCGACATATTATGTAAAACGAATACAGTATCAACACATTGAACCTTGCGTGATTTATCTCTGAAAATTCCATTTCAAACGTTCTTCGATTTCTTGGCTCGAGATGCATGTAGACGAACTCCCGGCGGGAGGCTTCCGTAGTAGCGTGGCTACATGTACATACGATCCCTCCTTGTTGCAACAGATGAATCCTCTTGACCCGTAAAAAAGGGTCAAAACTTCGTAATCACACGGTATGACCTTTTTGCCTTGTTTTTATTGTCGTTCTTGCTCAACAGCAGCGAAAGGAGGCAAGATGTGAGACGAATACATGTACTTTACGACGGAATAGACACTCAGACGTGTAGATTGCCTGGGTAGTATTAGTTGTGCAGTATTAGTTGTAGCACGAGGGTATGGCGCTGGACTTGACCTGTATATCAGCTCTTTTTGCTCTATCTATCGGACACAACCTTATCAACTGGCGCAGCATTGATTGACTCCTCAGGGCTGACAGGACGAGAGACAGATAAGTCACGGACTAATCACACGACGTGGTTATCAGCTGCGCCCTAAATTTCCGTGTAAGTTATCGGTGTTCTTTCGATTCTATACCGGCAGGATCTTAGGGTAAACCTAAGCGAAACCTGCTGGCGCGCACTATTAGCCGCGCTGTCTTGTGCCTTGTGTGTGGCCAGACCCCACACTTTCTATTTCGTGACGCACCGGCCAACAACGCAACGCAATGGTGACACTGATGACCGGTGAGGACCTGAGCGCGCTCGAGGCCGCGCTGGCCTTTTCGACGACGGCGACGACGCTGTCAACGGTTTCTCGTCGGACCCGAGCAGTGACGACTGTGGATTAAACAAGCGCGATGCCGGAGTGCACCAGCTTGCTACGAGCAACACCGCCTGTGCCCCAGTTGAGCAAACGAGTGAAACCGCTCGAGAGATTGCTCGCATCAAGACAAAGTTAGCTATGCCCGGCAGGAACCGTTCGCGAGACCTCCAAAGGCTGGAGATTCTTCAGCTCCGGCAAGAGGCCGCGGCGCTCCAAGGACGGCTCGATAAGCTGCGTCCATCAATGACCGTTAAACCCATAGTAGGATGGGATGTTGCTGGGCAAGAGGGAGGTGGCTCAACTCGACGTGCCGAGGAAATGCTTCTCGACGCGGGGAAGTGTTTGGCGAGGGAACAGAAGAGGCTGCGGAGGGAGGCGGAGAAGGAGAACAAGAACCTGCGAGAGCTCCATGCAGCTCAGTTCAAAATGATCAAGACGCTCAGGAAGATGTTCCAGAGGCAGGCTTCAGTAACGGTACGTGTAGTCAGCACGATGAGGATCTTTATTGATTTTAACCTGTTTCTATTCTTTCACCTTCGTTGTTTGACCAGAAGGAAGCGTGCATACCCCGAAATTTCTACGTGAAGGCCTTCTTCGAGACCGAGAAAGATGCCATGGCTGTCCTTGAAAAGCTCAGCAGCTCACTGAGTAGTGTGTTCGCAGAGACTGACCGCGTGTTTCGCCTGAATGGGCTTAATCAAATCACGTACCCGTTCTTCAAGAGAAACACGCAGCCAGTCTCTGCCCAAAGCACGTACGTGGAGCTGCTCAAGTGCAGCTTGATTCCATTCGACTATCGATCCGTAGCCGAAGGCTTTTTCGGCAAAATGACGACGGGCTGCGGGCAAAGTGAAGCTGATCACGCTGATGTAAGCAGATTTTGTGGAGAGATACTCATCTCAATCGCCACTAACGTCATATTATCCGTTTCTCTTCATCCAGGTCGGAGACGTACAAAAGGAAAATGTGTCGGTGCGTGCATTCACTGTGGAGATCGCGGAGCGGGTGTAGATTGAATATCGGTATGCTGGTATAAGGTACTCCGAGCACAAACGCGAAGTAATCGTGCTGGCCGGCCAAAACCAGTTGATGGAGGCGCTTGGAGTCGCTTTGGATGGCGTCGGATTCAACGAGAAGAGCTGGTGCGTGATGACGGAGGCAGCCGCAGGTCTGTGCTTCATGCAGCTTTGTATCGGCGTTACGGTAGAGTGCAAGTACGTGGCACCAGACCGCCGGGATTTTGTCGATCGACTCTGCGCAATGCTGGCTCACCTAAAGCAAGAAGTCGTCGACTCGGTTCAGCGAGAGGTCGAACACGATCTCATCGTTCGTAACATGCTTGGGCGTGTGTTCCAGTATACTGTAATGTACACGCCTCGCGAAGGAATTTTAATTACTTCGAATAGTAGAAAACCGTGGCACCGATACTGACGTTCAGTACTGACGTTCAGTTCACTAAATTTAAATCCAGAGCTATCATTTCAAAATTCGTAGGGTTTTTGGGATTCACCCAACAACTTTTAATCCAGAGTTGTTGGGTGAATCCCAAAAACCCTACCAATTTTGAAATGATAGCACCAAAAAAGATTTATGATTGCGTTAAACCGACGCAATCATTTCACGACAAAACTGAATGTTGCTTGTGCCTCAATACACATCGAACATAATGATGGTCATTAAACTCACTCACTCGAGCAACAACCATATGCACCTGTAATATCACATACCAGAGTATTAAATACTAGAGGTCTACTTACCAAAGGAAACGAATTCGGAAACCGTAGCAGGATCTTTGCTAAACTGTGGAAGCAAATAGCAGAACGTGATATAAGTGAGATGAATGCCTCACCAGCACACCCATATATACGTCCATTTTGCTAGCGTGCCCTCATGTAAAAATTTGAGCGGCAAGGATGCCGGAAACACTGCAAGTAAGCTCGCCATCATGGGGCTTTCGCCCAATGACTAGTGTTGGAGGATCTCAATCGCGTTGCTCTGATGAGTTGTACTGGTTTGCGGGCTTTGGCCCGCGGTGTTCGCAGTTCGGTCTTTTTTTTTACTGTATTCCAAAGCCTGCACGGTAGAAAAACTTTATTTACTACTGGTAGTACTATGTAGTAGTGCTACGCTTGCCGTAGAAGAGCGCTGCATGAAGAAGTTCTTGAATTTTAGCACATGCTCATATTTTTGCACTGTGAAGTATCATGCGTCCATGTGCTGGGTCACTTACGCTGCTCGATCTGCCGTGGTGGATCTATTATATACATGAACTCACACTACTGCTACATGTATTCATGCTGCATACTGCACAGCTTCAAGCTGCCAGACTGAACTTCGGTTCATGTTGGATGTATAATGTGTTTTTTTTTTCTGGAGTTATATGTCCAGTTGTGACGCCTGCAACTTGATTTTGTAGAATTGCTATACTGACTTCCACGTCTTTTAGCTCTCCTCACTACGAAGTCGACTCGCAACAAACAGTATGTGCCCACTACCATTAATCAATAGCGATAATTTTGTTTTAGTCTACGACGGTTTATTGTTGCTGCTGCTGCTGACATGTACATGTAGATATTGTATCTTAGAAATGACAGCCACGGCGACTCTGCTCGCTTGCTGCCCCGATACGGTCGATTCTTCACAGATTACATTGATTGACTGATCACCCCTCTTTATTATCGCTGCTGCCTGGTTAGCTTATCGCCAAAAACTTGCTCTGAGCTCTAATGAATCGTTTGCGCTGCTATGCTGTAGTATAACAACTGTCATTGCTGTGGTTTCAAATGACTCTTTAACCGATAATGCAACATAAAATCTTATGATGCATTATCTCAAACATCCGCAGGGGCGCAAACGACAGTTCTTACGAACTGCGAATTGTAAATGAACACGCTGCAGTGGAGCCTTCACTACAACCTGGACTATACAGGCCGACGGCCCCACCCTTCCAATAGATTAAAAATAACCATGATATGTTTTATATCATTGTGTTAAACAAATCAGAGTCTCGCGTTAACCCTTCAAATATTAAGATCGGCGAGTCGAAACTCAGCGGAACACCATATCAAGTCAATACCATGTTTAATGATACCTTGCCTGGCGTGCTCTCCGGTTTGTTCCTATCGGTAGTGAGTGGTTTACACCTCAAACACCGCGTGATAATCAGTTTACGCGGAAAGAGGATCACCTACGAGCAATCTAAACGATCGACAAAGCACAACCGGCGTAACTGGGTGGCCTCATTGAGCAAAGAGTCTTTGCCAAAGACGTCGATCAAGAAAGCCGCCACCTACTACAAACGACGTGCGCTTGATGAAAACTACAATCCCTTTTACTTTATTAAATATATTGAAGACGAAGTTTAGTGAATAACACAAGTGGGGCAATCCTGTATCTGTAAACATTCATCAAAACATCAGGACCCATATCGAGCGAGCGGCCCTGTAGACAGCAGTGCGCGATCCAAGTATTGTGCTTTGCATCCAGTTTGCCTTTCTATGTAGTGCACTACTTAGTGTTCGTACTTAGCGGTAAATCATAGTGGCCTTGAATGCGAGTTGTTAAGTCGTGTCTCGAACCCGGTTTGGTTCGGAAATGGCACTTTCTAAAAGTGCCAAAAGGTGCTGGATGTGCTAAATCATGCAGGAGATGGCGTATGCGCACTACTTAGGGGCTGGTCGTGCTGGCTGGTGCTGGTTCTCGGTCGGGACGGCAAGCGATATGCGAAATGATATCGTACTATTTTTGCTCACATTGGACATTACCATGACGATTCGCCGAGAACCCGGGAACTCGATCCCCTTGCTGGTTCCCGGGTTCTCTGCGAATTGCAAAGGTTATGATCAAAATGAGCAAAAATAATACAGAAATGAAAACTCGAGGCCGACTTATTAGTTCACCTACCCCTGCCCATCTCTGGAACACCCGGCCGAGAACCAGCACCAGCCAGCGCGACCAGGCCCTTAGTGCTGATTGACCATCCACGACTTCAGCAATTCGTACTCGAGAACGATTTATCAATAAGTCGTGCTCGATAAGTCGTACAAGTTACAGTCCGAAGTGCCAAAAGCCTGCAAAGCACAACACATGTAAATAAAAAATGGAAAAAAGACTCGAAAATCCAGAGCTTCCCCGTGCAAAGCACGGCTTTGTACGGACTAACAATCGAAGCAACAACGTGTTTCGAGTTGATAATAGACCTGTTTTAAAGGGCCTATTGATGCGATGTAGCTTACAACAGGGAACTTTCTCGCAGTCATTTTACTGCGTAAAGATTCACGCACAACCACGCCTGGTTGTCGAGCTTGTGCCTGCGACGTACATCATATATCTCATGGCCCGGAGTCGAGGAATTAAATAATACAAGTAGATTGGAGCTATTTGTCCAAACGTAAGTAGATAATGGGGACTACTTATAAGTAGACTGGGGGACGTTGATTAAACGTATTTTAACTATCACCCTACTACGCGCTGCGCGCGGCCATCCAGACCCTAAAGGCTCGCTGTGCTCGCTTGGACAGAACCCTAACAAGCCCGCTGCGGCTCGCACGCGTCGTCTCCACTTGCTAGAAGGGCAATGCTGGGTCTAGGGTTTGCATCCGCGCGCTTCGAAAACGAGCTGACAAACCGCAGGCGTGGGCTCGCTTCGCTCGCTGTGCGCTGTTGGTCATAAGTAGTCCCCGCGATCTACTTACGTTTGGACAAATAGCCCCAATCTACTTGTATAAATTAATTCCTCGCCCGGAGTCAAAAGCCTCAACCCTGCCCTCGGGCTAGATTAGTACCTTCGTCAGTGCACTCATATTCAATTGCACGCTTGGTAGCCGTATCTCACCACTGATGGAGGGATTCGTATTGAGTCAATACGAATCCCTCCATCATACTATTGACAAAGCCGTACGTATCCTTGTAGTATGTACAGGCCTCCCTAATTGGGGGAAATGGGGTCTATTTCCCCCACTGTACCCATTTTAAGCACCGCACTCCTCCCCCACACTAGGGCTTCGCGTAGGCTGGGATAGGATTGGTTAACTCACCTTTGATCGCCATTGATAAACTCAATCCGCACGCTCCACGGGCATCTCCTGCGCCTGCTTCACAGCCGCAGAATCTGCCCGACAATGTATCGCCGCTATGGTCACGACGTACAACCAATTTCAGAGCAAAATCAATGACGAATCTAACTCGACGAATTTGCAAATGAACTGGACCAGCCTCCATCATTCTTGAGAAGTCTAAAACACTCGGTCAATAGACACCACTTACTGTAAATTGACCTAAAGACGTTACCGGTTCATCACCGGTGTCGATTGGACGGGAGGACATCGCCCGAATTAATCTTGTTTGAGCTGGGCTATCAGCACTTCGTCGCTTCCTATCCCAGTAAAAATATATCATTTTAACGTCCTAGTGCTGCTATCCCGCCCTCACCTTCTTATGAGAAGATATTATTAGAGCTCTCAGTTTGCTAGTAGCTCTCACAACCCAACTTGCTCTCTTCAAGCCTCGGTGACAGCCTTCACTGCGCCCCCCGCCGGCCCACCCACGCCACTCGCTCTCTTCAAGCAACTCGCTTTCTTCACGCCTCACCGCACAACCCGATCCTTTAAGCATACCGGCCGGTTTAAGAACTCCTTTTCAGCCTGGACACGATCTCAAGTACACCTACAAGTGACTGAAAGGAACCCAGACACCAAAAGTGTGGTGTCCGTAGTGTGTCGTTTTTACGTCAAATTCGGCCGTGAAGCGAAACCCAACGCAAAGCGGAAGCGAACCACGCAAGTGCAATACTTAAAGTTACCTTTCCGCGCAGATCACATCAAACACCATCTAGAAAGCGTTCATCCGCGGCACTGGAAGGTTTACGCTGCTGCTACCGATGAAGCCAAGAGAGTGTATTTCGACCGACCCAACCACGCCAACACGATGCTAGCTCACGTCGACAGCGAAGTCCCAATTCAGATTGAGATCAAGCCATCCATTTTGTCGAGCAAATCATCGGCGGTATGTTGTTCCATCCTATGTTTTTCAGCGTGCGTATGGATCAACACGGATCCAGTCCTCATCAACTTGCAACTCGCTTGGTGACGTGCTCAGCGACACTGATCGAGTACCGCAGTCCAGTGAATTAAGCACTACAGGAAACCCATCTGCGAGCCGGGCCACGCAACCCCTGTCGGTTTCCTCCGCGTTCATCGAGGTTTTCACGGTCGACGTGTTACCGTTCGACTTTCGTGTTGTCGGGGAGGCATTAATGGCCTCGAACTTCCAGAGCGATGAAGAGAAGGATATTCAGGTTAGCGTTTTCTGTTGTTCTTGTTTTAGGTGCCAACCATGCTTGCGGGCGTGGAGAGGTGGGTTAGCTTCGAGCGAGCGATGAAAATCGAAAGTGAGAAGCCTCTCGGTCGGTGGGCGATCGGGCTCCATCAGTCAAGGTCGGATACTTGCCGTCTGGAAACCCTGACAACCATCCTGGATATCTCTCGTTTCCAATACGCAAGATATCCTTCTTGAGGGACAAATTGCTTTGACTTCACCAACTATGCTTGCGGGCGTGGTGAGCGGCCCCATTGTTGACTTGCTTGCCACGACCGTGAGCTTGTGCTGGGCGCGTCTGATGCACTTCACCATCCTTCTCGCGAGCCTGATCGTCGTCCTTGCCGCGAGGAGAGGGTAGCCTTCGTAGCAATTGCTCATCCAGCGTCCCAAGAGCTTGATGCAGAGACTGTCCGCCTATCCGTTGAGCAGCGCTGCGGCTCCGCCCGATCGGATGGAGTGAGTTGAGTAGTTCGCTGCGGGCACTCCGATGCTCGCTGCCGCCACTTTCAGTGCTTGGTTTACTTCGTCCACGCTGAGGTCGACACACAGATGAGCGCTATCCTGGAGCTGTAGATCTCTGCGTGCGCGTAGAATGAGTCGAAGCGCCGTCGTAAGGCATAGCATCGGGTTTCCGGTGGCGTGCATTGTTCGCCAGGCTCCACGTCCGTATTGATCGTTCTTGGACCCGGCGAGACCGATAGTCACTGAGTTCGCCGCCCCGCACGACACAGGTCTCCCGTCCCTGTCCAAGAAGTAGGCATCGGCTGTATTGAGGCAGAATGCGTGTCGTCTTCGGCCGTCGCGCAGATATTACGAGCGGCGTAGCAAGAAGAAGTAGGCTAGTTGCAAGGAGCCCCACAGGATACGATTTCGGGGGCGAGAGAGGTCGAGTTGCCGCCGAAGTAGTCTTAAGAAAGCCGGAGTAACGGGTTGCTTCTTCGTGACAGGATCCGAGACTAGCCGAATTCCACTTATGAGGATGTCGAAGCTGGGTGAATTGCGGAGGCTGATGCCGGCGTGCGCCCGGTGTACCCACCGGATTGCTGCAAGTTTGAGTCGGATGGTATCGTATTGATTCCCGGCGCCATTCTATCCGTAACGCCAACAGAATATAGCGAACATGCTGAGCTTGCTGTCTGAATCATTTGTGTCCCCGCCAAGCCATGGCGACCACGTTATGAATCGCGAGAATTGCACCCACCGCTTCCTGTATTTGGCAGAGGTAGTGCCAGCGAGGGCATGTTGCCGCAGCATCATCTCCGAGACGTGAGAGATCGTCGTAGGGCGCCACTACTGGTACCTGCGTCCAGCCAGATGACAAGTTTGTCCACGTATCGAAGTGTTGATCTGCTCGGGACCAGGCTCGTGAGCCGGCGTCCGCCATGATGTTGTCGGCTCCGGGTATGTGGGCGGCGGTGCACACGAGCGAGTAGTTGGGACAGAAGTCGATTGTACAGCTGCGCGAGGGGTTGTCGGCTTGCTCGGCGTTGAGTCCACGAGACAGCGCTTGTATTGTCGATCCAGAAACGCACTTGTGTCGGTCGATGTGCTGACGAGCGACCCCATGTAGGACCCCAGAGTAGAGCTGCGAGTGTTGCACTGCGGAACTCGCAGACATTAATCGAGTTGGCTGATTGGTCCGCCAGAAACAGTTCCTGGTCAGCTGGGGCGAACTGTACTCGGATGAATTGCTTGAGCGCTGGTTCCAACACACAGAGCCCTTGATTAGATGCGTCCATGAAGACGTGTACGGTGGGTTCGTCAAGACGGGCGAATTGTTCGACATGGACACGGTTGAAGCGGCTGCTGTGGTGAAGAATCAATCGAAACCACTTCAGGTCTTCGACTGCCTGGGCGGGGAGCTTGCGTCGCCCTGTTCGGCCCAGTACGACGGCCACACCTTGCAAGCGCTGGTAAAAGGCGCGCGCCGGAGGACAGCATGTGGAGATGTGACGCAGGCACCCTAAGAGGCTAATCGCAGAGGTTTTAGTTGTCGTGCCAGCTTCCACCATGTCCGCGATGCATCGCTGGGCCTTGGTGATCTTCTCAGATGGGATAGTGATCGTGCCACGCCGCATGTCCCATTCAAGCCCCAGAGCTCGTCCTTGTTCGCTCCACATCGTGAACTTCGTTTCGTTGATTGCAGCCGGACCGAGGACCGTTGCCATCGCGCTGCGTAGAGCGAGATTGGCCACGTAGCAGTGCAGCTCGTTGTCGACCTCAACGCAGGTGTGATCATTGCACCAGAACGAGCCTTGGCGTGATATTCGAGAGAGAGCTGCGCTGTCGGGGTGCTCATACAGCCCATTGATGAGCTCTCCCGGAAGATAGTACCAAGCGGGGGAACCGCACCATCCAAATCCACTGGCTATGTCAATCACGAGAAACTCGCCGATGAAGAAATCTAACATGTGGGCGTGATCGGCTTGTACAGGCACGTGGCGAAAAGCTCCAGCGACGTCACCTAGCATCATAAGTATTCGCGCGAACGGGTGGTCTCGCCGTGGCGAAAACTTCTCCTGGCGATGTCGCCAGGACTCCTGGACCAGGAGGGTTGCACGAGATTTCCGGCAGGTGAGTTCGGTCAGTAAAATCGTTTACAGATTCGCCTTGCGGGAAAGATTAGTCGTTTATCAGGCGAATATCGGGTGGACTCGTGCCGGCCTTGGCCACCACAACGAGATGGGAGATGAACAGTTCCTTCCATTGCTCCGCTAGCGAGGCTCGCACAACGAGATACTGTCCTTCTTTTTGACCCTTGCGGATATGACGCCATACATTCGCGGGGGGGGGGGGGGGGGGTCGCTGATGTGGTGTAGTACCCCGCGGAAGAAGTGGGCGCGCCGGGCGCCGGAGGATGAAGGCGTCGGGACGCGAGTGATGGACTTCAACGCGGCTGATGGAACGCGACGCGGATTGATGGGCGCGACGCAGGGCCGTGCTCGACGGGAAAGTCGGCGTGGGTGATGGGCCGTGAGACACGGTGCCAGAATCCAGTGCGACGCGTAATCATCCGACGGGTCGACCAGCACACCCGGTTCTGCAAAACGCGCCGACCCTAAACCCCGCCGAGCAAAACGCGCCGACCCTAACCCCCGCCGACCAAAACGCGCCGAGGTAAGATCTTGATTGCGCCACGCAAACCAGGTTGAAGGACGGCAGTGCAAGCACGACAGAAGTAGGGATAGGCCCAGAGCGGTAGGCTTAGCAAGCAGTAGTACAGAGTAGCCAGTAGCAAGAACATAGGATAGGGTAAGGACTCAGTCCCGAAATTTCTCTGAACCACAAAGACCTCCCGTCTTCTCCGAGGTGCCAGGGGAACCACCAAGCGCCGGCAAGTAGAGCCGCCTCGATATCACGGCCCCCCGTCATTTGCTGGTTCGGGTGCTCCCCCCCATACACAGACCCGTGCTGGAACAAAGGCACGTTAAACGTATACCGTTTAGGTGGGCGCCCGATAACGCGCTGCCTAGGCGAAGGACCGCAGTGGCCTGATAACCGCCGTGCACAAGACCCCCGTGTAGGCCCGATAACGCCACACAAGCCCCAGGAAACGCCGGCCCGATAACGCCGCACGCCCAAGGCTCGACGCCCAACGACAAGGAACAAGCGTCAACACAAGAACCCCCAACTCCAAAGCCTGCGAAGACTTGGGCCTGTATTTCGAATATACGCTACTCCAACAACCGGGTATAATTTGCTCGGCGCGACCGCCATCCAGACGCGCCGAGTTTGTGCGAGATCGCATTCGCGAGATTTCTGCGAGGGCGCTACTCCACAATGGTGCCGCGACACGGGAGTACTACTTCGAATAACGGGCTAACGATCCAAGAGGCATCGGAGGCAGGTGCGCAGTCGGCTAGAAGGTCGCCGACCGCAAGAGAGCACAGTGAGAGACCTGTCGCGTCCTGGAGCTCTGAGGGAACCTTCACGACAGGCCACGGGGCCAGCGACGACCAGGAGGGCTACGAAGAACAGTTTGCCGTTCCCGATGCGGCTCCCGACGATGGAGCCGCGAAGGGCCGCGACGCAAGTCGTGTTCCTACCGGTCAGAAGTCTGCAAAGGCCGACGACCAACAACAACCCACCGCCAAGGCAGCCACGAAGCGCAAGTCGCCCAAGAGGAAGAAGAAGAAGCTGCGCGCGCCAGACTCGGCGGAGGAGTCGCTGTCCAAGCCGCAAGGCAAGAACACGGGACGTCAGTACACCGTCGAGGAGGTACGGTACGTCGTGGCGCGCACGGAGCTCTTCCGTCTGCTAGAACAAGACCCAATCCAATCTTGGTCTTCCTCAAGCCCATGCTGATGAGCAGCTTCACAGGCCCCTTCGTGGCGCCGGACTTCGATAGTCTCACCAGCGTCGCCCACGCCGCGCCGACTCTCTTCCAGATGCTGCGTGACTCGGGATTCGTGCGGGGGGCTTTCGAGATGGAGAGGCTGTGCGATTGGGACCTCAAATCTTGGTTACGTGCGATTCGCGTCGTGCAGGAGCCCTTGGCGATTCTCGCCGGATCCGTCAAACAAGACGCGACGAGTTCCGAAACCGACCAAGACGCGCCGAGTCCCTCGGCGGGCCCAGCCCAGACTTCGACGACCACGCCCTCGCCTCCACCTCGATACCAATCGAGCGTGGACTCCGACAGCAGTTTCGAGTCGCCCAAGCGCATGCCCATGAACCGGCCGCCGCGCGTCATGCAGCTATCCGCGGCGCCCGCACGCACGGAGTTGACGAAACCCGCCGAGGAGGTGCTTCCCAAGGCCTTGGGAGAATCCATCATCAAGTTGATGCAGACGACAGTGATGAGCGCCCCGCGCGCCGACACAGCCGCAATTCCGACGGGGCCGAAGCCGCCCGCGAGTCCCACACTCACGGTGGCTCGCCCCCAGGAGGCAGCGGATATCGCCATGGAGTCGGTCAGTTCGCGTTCTTCGACGAGGTCCAGGGCTCGACGCAACGCAGACGAGGACCCCGATGACCTGTTCGACTTGGACATCGGAGTGCCAAGAACCGCGGCCGCCGTCTCGACGGCGACAGCCGGCGGCGTAGCCCTCGCCCGCGTACGCCTCTCAGCATCGTCCAAGCTGAAAGAGTTCTCGGGACGGGACGCCAGCGAAGAGAAAGCCAGACTGTGGCTCAACCGTCTGAAATCCGCCGCGCGGCGCGACAGGATGACGGGCGAAGAAGTGTGCGGGCAGTTCAGCGATCTAATGAGCGGCCCTGCGCGCCAATGGTATCTCCAGTTGCCCAGGAAGGTCAAGAAATCATGGACCGAGCTGATGGAGCAATTCCGTGTGCAATACTGCGGCAAGGGCGTGTCAATGGCCAGCCGCTACTACCATGCGGCTCAGCGCCCCGACAAGACCCCCCTGGATTACTTGTACCGGCTCAACGTCGCGGGCTTGAGGGCCAACATCCCATACGCCGAGGGTACGACTGAAGTGAAGCGCGAACACGTCGAGCATTTCATCCGGACGCTGAACACGCAGGAGGCCGAACTCGCCTCGCGTCTCACGCTGATGGAGGTCGCCGACTCCGAGGCGCTGGAGAAGAAGCTGCGTGCCCGACAACGGGGACTGGCCCACCAGAAAAAGACTCTCTTCGGCTCGAACAAGTTCCGCCAAAAGGCGCCGACCCCACCGACTCAGCCGGCGCGCGCTGTGCATGCGATTCACGTCGCGTCGGACGAGTACGATTCGGGACGCGAAAGTCGCGACAGCGACGATCGCCAGTACGACCAAGACGAGGCGGACGAAGAACGCGCCAAGTTGTTCGTCGCGGGACAGGCTCCGCCGGGAGAGCCGGCGCGTCGCAACTTCGATCCCGATGACTCGGGGCGCGACCGCCCGCGGTGCCGCCACTGTGGTTCACGTCGCCATGTCGAAGGAGACGGCTGGAAGATGTTGACGTGTCAGAAGTGTGGTGGCCAGCACCCGACGGAGCGATGCTTGAGGGTGTGCAAGGCCTGCGGTGACGTGCACGAAGCCGGAGAATGCCCGATGGAGGAGTTCTTCAACCAATTGCGCCAGTGGTTTGACCCGAATAAACACGCGGGAATGCTGCCGCCGGCCGTCGAGAAGATGTTAAAGTAGGACGCTCGCTGGCTTGGAAACCAGTACGAGACGAGCGACCTGTTTCCGTCTATGCATATGTGACCAAGAAGTCGCGAGACGTGGTTAGTGAGAGCCCGACTTCCCTGAATGATAATACATGTGAATCCAACCCGGAACGTACCACGCAAGAACGCGCGCCGCGAATCTCGGCGGGCCGACGTACGAAGGACGACGAGTTTGCACGTGAACCACCCCTGGACGAGATCGACTTGCAACCAGGAGAGCGACGCGGATACTGGAAACATTACGCGCCGCACAAGTGGTACAAGCAGGCCAAGATTCATGGAAAGCTGAACAACCGCCATGCTGTGTTATTGCTCGACACAGGTGCCGAGGTGTCCATCCTGGACACCACCTTTGCTCGTGAGGTAGGCTGCCTGATTGACACGGAGATCACGCAAGAGTGTGTGGGAATTCGTGATGAGACATATTACACGGTGGGGAGAACCAGAGTCAAGATTACCTTGGCTGGGAACTTGGTGTACTACATGCACCTGTGGGTCGGCGACTTCGTCGGCCAACACGCTGGGAATGAACTTCATGGTGCCCGCTGGAGTGCGCATCGACACTGCGGACGGCACGGCGTGCCTCCCCGACGAGGTGCATATCCAGATGATCGGACGAAGACCGCTATACGGCGCACGGATGCACCCGGTCAACGTCAAGACGCCTGTGAGGCTCGAACCAGGAGACACGCATGAAGTATTGCTGAGGCCGGATCGAAACGCGCCGTTCGTGTGGGTGACACAAGCAGAGTCGTGGGTGACTACCTTTGTCAAGGGGAGAGTCGGAAAGAAAACGTACCTGCGTGTCACGAACATCGGAGACGCAGCGATAACCCTCGACGCGCATGAAACGCTTGGGTGGTGAACGCCGTCTGACGGCCAGCCTCGGAACCGTGGATTCGCCCGACTGGGCTCCACCCGGTACCAGCAGTGGTAGAATCTGGCGTACGGCGCGACGCGCGACGCGGAGGAGAACTGGATCCCAGCCGAGCTCGACGTACAGACGACGGGTCGCCCCTCATACCCGACGCCTAAAGCCATCTTGCGCCCGGAGCCGAGACAACTCGGGACGCGACGCGCCGTGACCCCAGTGTTGGCGGCTGTCGCGGAAGCGCCGAAGGGAAGGGGGGGTAGACTTGCCACCCGACGACCACAAGCCGGATACGGACGAGGAGGCGGTGGAAAGCGAACCCGATATGCCTCCGACTGTGGCTGGAAGCGCTGCGATGGAAGAATCGCCGGAGTCGGAACTCGCTGAGCCAAAACTCGACGGACCAAACCCCGTCGAGCCGAATTTCGACGAGGCGAAACCTGATGAGCAGGAGGAAGACGACGCGGTCCTCATCCACGAGGGGTCCGACCTCTTCGTAGAGGATCTCGAGTCTGAGATGGCAGTGCTGCCAGACCTCTCGCTGACCGCCGAGGTGATGATCGAGGACTTGAAGGTCGGCATACCGACTGGACTCCCGCCCGAGGAAGCCACGATACAAGAAACGCGGCTACGCCATATCATCTGGAAGCGACGGAAGTGGTTGATCGACAAAGGCAACGCTTTGCCGCCGGCCGCCCTGGGTGTTGTCTGCGACATCGACGTGGGCGATGCAAAACCCGTCGCGCAACGCGTCCGGAAAATCCCGCCGCAGTTTCGAGAGAAAGTCGCCGACTTGATCAAAGGGCTGCTGAGCGCGAGGATGATCCAGAAGTCGTAGTCGCCGTGGGCGTCGCCCATTGTCGTGATCATAAAGAAGAACGGCGTCGATATCCGGCTTTGCATTGACTACAGGCTCATAAACGGGCTGACACAGTTGATGATTTAGCCCATGCCGCTCGTCAACAACTTGCTCGAAGACTTGGACAAGTATCTGTGGTACTGCTCCCTCGACATGGCGAGCGGCTTCTGGGTCGTCCCCATGACAGACCGGGCCCGGCTCATCTCAGCCTTCCTCACGCCGATGGGACTGTACGAATGGCTGCGTATGCCGTTCGGCCTGTGCAACGCGCCGCGGATTTACCAACGCTTGATCGACAACGCGCTCTACGGGTTCATGAAGCTGTCCCCGGATGGCAGCACTCGGGACGTCTTTGAAGACGGCGAACCGGTGAAGCCAGGTATTCACTCCATTCTGGGACGGAGGTCGTACATCGACGACTTCCTCATCGGGGGCACGTCGTGGGACGACCTGTGCGAGAAGGTCGAACGCTTGCTGGATGTCTGCGAGCAGTGGCACTTGTCCATCAGTGTCGAAAAGAGCGAGTGGGGCATGTCCAAGGTCGACTACCTGGGCCATCAAGTCTCAGGACTCGGTCTCGAGGCGAAGCCGAAGAATCTGGAGTCGCTGATGTTGCTCGAGTTCCCGCGCACACTCAAGGGCCTGCAATCGTTCTTGGGTAGCCTCAATTACTACCACCGGTTCATTGCAGACTTTGCGGTGTATGTAACCGCGCTGTATTCGCTGACGGAGACCGACTTCAACGAGTACGTCACGCGTCCAAAAGTCCGCGGGCATGAGAAGTGGACGCACGCGACGCGCTCAAGGCAAAACTCGCCGAGACCCCAATGTTGAAACACTTCGACGCGAACCGAGAATCCGTCGTGATCGTGTACGCCAGCGACTGGGCCATCTCAGGGGTGCTCACGCAGGTCCACGACGAAGTGTACATGCCTGTGAAGTTCACCAGTCGTACGTTGAAGCCCAACGAGCTGAACTACGACATCGTCGAAAAGGAGATCTTGGCCCTGTTGCGCGTCTTAAACGAGTGCTACATGATGCTAGCAGGGAGACCAGTCCGTGTCTTAACACGTCACACGACACTCGCCTGGTTGTTCCGGTCCAAAGGACTACAAGGGCGACTGTCACAGTGGGCCGCGATCCTCTCGCCGTGGAAGTTGGAAATCTGCCGATCCATGAAGGGAGAAGAAGAACTCCTTGGCGCGCTGGCCGCGGGCATTACCCCGCGAGCCTTCGTCGACGCGGCGCTAGAAGAGATCGCCCCGCGGAAACGGGCCTCCAGGATTGTAGTCATTCCAGTCCCCGACGTGGCGCGCGACGAGGTCTTGCACGTTTTGAGCTTTGACGGATCGGCCAAGGCGAAGCGAGAAGGCGGAGCATACAGTGCTGTCATTTGGCAGCTGCCGAACTGGGAGATCGTGCGCGCCGCGTCGGGATATGCGACGGACCTCACGGTCAACGAGGCGGAATACCGCGGGCTGCTGCTCGGATGTTCTCTTCTAGAGGAACTCGACGACGTCACCCGATTCGTTGTATGCGGAGACTCCAACCTTGTCATCAGGCAGATGCGGGACGAGATGGACTGCAAGTCCCCGGGGCTGAAGCTGCTGCGACAAAAGACGCGAAACGCACTCCAGGCATGGCCGCGCCACGAACTCTTCCACGTACGACGAGACTGGAACGAGAGTGCCGACATGCTGGCTGGACAAGCTCTGCAGCGTCAAGGAGGTCGCAACGCGCACAGCCCCGAAGAGATTCAAGATCTGAAGACGCTGAATCGCTTGGAAGAAGTCATCCGACCACGGGCATCGAGTCCCGAGATGGCGTCTCCAGCCAGTCCCGACGCGGAAAATCTCGACGCGGAAAATCGCGACACGAAAACGCGCGGCGTAGATGACCCCGCCGGGAAGGCCATGGACGCGGGACGCGGGACAGCACAAGTCCTCGCGGTGACGACGCGCTCGGCTGCCGCACGCACGACAACACGTAGGGCCCGTCCTCCAGAAGTCCTGGAGGAGCGGGTGGTGCAACGACGGCGCCTGGATCGCATCCACGTCGCCCAGGACGAAGAGGTCTGGATCGTCAACCTCAAGAAGTATCTCCGCGGCGACGTCGGAGACCTATCTCGGCGCGAGATGAAGAACTGCCAAAAGCTTGCACCTCAGTACGAAGAGGGCGAAGGCGGGCTGCTCTACTACCAGCCGAGAAGCGACGATTCCGCCGAGGATCGCGATGTGATGATGAAGCTGGTGATCCCGGAGACGCTTCGGGAAGATGTACTCCACCACTATCACGCGAGCCTGGAAGGCGGACACCAGGGTATTGGCCGCACGTACCAACGCGTGAGGCGCCACTTCCATTGGCCAGGGATCTTCAGAAGCGTCCAGCGCTACGTCGACGAATGCACCGACTGCGAGACGGGAAAGGGTCGGCCGACCATCCAGGGCGAGTCGCCGGGCAACATCGTCGCGACGTACCCGTTCCAGGTCATTGCCATGGACCATATTCCGTCGTTGCCGGCATCCTACAAAGGCAACACAGAGCTGTTAGTCTGGGTCGACCTCTTCACGGGGTTCGTCGTGGTCAAAGCGAATGCATCACGAACCGCGCAGACGGTGGCCGAGGCGTACGAGGAGGCGGTGTTCAGGGCTTCGGCGCGAGCGAGGCTATCCGCCACGACCGCGAGCCGGGCTTCATGTCCGACTTCTTCAAGGCGTTCAGCAAACTCATGGGTCAGAGACAGCGAGCGACGCTTGCTTATCGTCCCCAAGCCAACGGTGCTGCAGAACGGATGGTGCAGACGGTTACAGGTGCGATCAAGATGTACATCGCGGACGTCGACCAACGCGACTGGGACGAATACGCCGAGCGTCTTACCTTCGCGCTAAACACGTCGCACGACCAGACGAGGAATGAAACCCCGTTCTTCTTAGCGCACGGCTGGGATCCTCGGTCGACGCTGGAAGCGACGCTGGCCGTCGGGAACACGTCGACCCGGGACGCCGAGGCGAGGCGGTGGAGGCTCCGTATCCAGCGACACTACAAGGTGGCAACGGCACAAGCGTTGGAGTTAGTCCGAGAGGCCGTCGAAGAGAGAGCGCGTCGAAAAACTGAAAACGCGACGCGACATGAGATCGCGACGGGCTCGCAAGTTTGGCTGTACCTGGATCGGGTGAAGCCGGGGTATGCGCGCAAACTCGCGCACATGTGGCACGGACCCTTCCGCGTCGCCGAGCTGGTCAGCGCGTTCGCAGTGCGCCTCGAGACGACGGGTACGCCCTATCATCTGTACCCCGTCGTCCACATCTCCAAGCTGAAGCCCGTCCGGGAATTCCCGTCGCGACCCACGACGCAGCTGACGGTGCCGGCCAAGGAACGCTTCGACGTCGACGAGGTACTCTTGCCGGAGGACAGCTGGGAAGCCACGCGCGAGCTGTAGGACGACGTCTTCGAGGTCGAGAAGATCGTGAACGTGCGCGAGGGGCGGGCTACCCGGTATGGGCGCACGCAACGCCAGTTCGAAGTCAAATGGAAGGGCTACCCGGACATGACGTGGGTCGACGAGCTCGATCTGAATTGCGGCGGGTTGTTGTACGACTTCCTGCGCCAGCGCACGGGACGCAACCGGTTCGAGGCGATGCAGTCGCACGAGAAAGCGGAGGCGGCGGAGCCTGGTGGGTGAACGCCCACGGGTGCGACTAAGTCGGCAGGGGGGCTGTCGACGGGAGGACTGGTGGGAAGCCTCTACTCTGGGAATGGCCGGAGCGAGGGATTGGATGAGGGAAGTGAGGAGGACCAGCCTGTTGCTGAAGATGGGACGGCGGAGGGCCGTCTCATAAAAGATATGGAGAAGTGGAAAGAAACAAGGGAAAAGATCAAGGCTACGTGTTGAAGTTACGGCTACAACAACTAAACGCGACGGACTGCGACGATGGGCCAAGACTCAAACCTGCTGGACAAACTTACCTGCAAGACGCGGCACATGAAAGGCGGGGTGATCGCGCGTCACTCGACAGCGTACGTTGGCGTCCATCTCGGCCACAGTGAGCGGCGTCCGATAGAACCGGCGCCAGGGCTCCTGCGTGTCGATGTCGTCGAGCGTGGCTTGCAACGTCGCGTGCTGGAGGCCTGGATACCACCGTCCGATCGACGTGTGCGCGGGCGGAAAGTGAAGCATCATTGGGTCCAGCAAGAGGTCCATGTCTGCGAGCCCTTGCTGGAACAGCCCGACCACCAGCTGCAACAGGCTGTTGAGGTGGTTGCCCGCGTGTGAGCGACGCGAGTTGCGCGCCGTGCGCCACCTTTTCCACGCCGCGCCCTGCACGAAGAGCTCATGGGTGGCCTCCCAGTACGCCTGAGCCCAGTGCTCGATGTGGTGCCGGAGCCGACGTAGGAATGGGCGGAACGCCGGGTCGCCGGACGCGAAGAGAAGCGCCTCAGCGGCTTGAGCGAGGTACCGCCATGGCCGAGTCGCGTATAGCGCGTCGACGTTGGCCAGAGTCACGAGGGCGCGGTTCCAGTTCGCAGGCGCGGGGGGAACACGGCGCGGAATGATCCAGCCGGGCGGCGGCAGGAAGAGCGTACGCAACTCCTGCACAGTGATGAGATGAAGGCGGAGACGTCGTACCCGCTTGGGCGAAGGAGCGTACGCGAGGCTGCCGCCAGCCAGACGGAGTTCCGGCAGGCGGAATCACAGGGTCGAAGAAGGGCGCCGCCGGAGCACTCCCCGCCGAGCCGCTGGAGGCGGTGCTCGAGGACGAGGCGCGGGATGACGAGGAAGCGGACGAGACGTCGCAACTGGAGTCGCCCGAATCGCCCGGACCAGGGCCTGGTCCAGCTCCGTCTGCCGCTCGGCCCCTCAGCGAGGAGTGCGTCGGCCGTGCAGGAGAAGAGTGACGCGAGGCCGCCGACCCCGCCGCGTGCGCCGAACGCGTTGAGCCGGCCGAACGCGTCGACGCCAAGGAGGGCGAGCGAGAACGCGAGCGCGAGCGTGGAGGCGAGTGCGAACGCGAACGAGAGGCCGAGCGGGAACGCGAACGCGAAGCAGAACGGTGTCCAGGAACGTGACGGCGAACGTGGAGGCGAACGCGCCGGCGACCGTGACGGCGAACGAGGAGGCGGACGCGCCGGCGACCGTGAGCGAGACCCGGGGCTATGCAGCCGGCGGCGCTTGGACTGAGCTCGCCGCGCTTGGTCCTCGCTGTCCGAAGACTCGGAGCCGAAGAGCGACGCGTCCTCTCGTGCGCGCGCTGCAGCTGCAGCGGCCACAGAGGGCGTAGCTGCAGATGAGGCCTGCGCAGCGGCGTTGTCGGAAGCCGCAGTGTCGGCCACGGTAGAGGGCCGCCGACTTCGTCGAAGGGGCGAAGAACCAGACGACGTAGCGGAAGCCACTCCTGACGGCCTAGACGCGTGTGACTGAGAACCCACACGACTCGACGCGCCGTGTCGAGGTCGCCGAAAACCCGACGAGGACGAGGCAGCGAACGAAGTCGGAACAGGACGGGAGCCCGAAGGACCTGCTGGAGGGCAAGCGCCAGTCGTCGAGCCCGCCGTCGAAGCCGACGAGCCCGCCCGGGCACCAGAGCTCGACGCAGTTGAAGCAGGAACAGGAACCGCGGATGCCGCAGGAACTGCTGCGGACGTAGGAATAGCAGGGGGGAGGGGGATCGCACCGTCGATCTCCGCCGTGAAAGTGGCTTCGAGTCGCCTGACCAGGTCAGCGGTGTCGATCTGCCCGCCTACACGCGTTACGACGCCGGCGAGACGATCGGCAAGCTCGTCGCGCACCCACAGCGCCAGCTCTCGGCCCCGACGCGCGTCTCGAAGCATCCGACGCCAAGCCACAGCGCGTTCGTCGCGCTCTCGGATGGCCAAGTCGCGCTCCTCCTCCAGCTCGGCGACGCGAGTTCTGAGACGATGGGTCTGGGCGCCGACCGGTCCTCGACGCTGCTGAGACGACCGCCGAATGGACAGCCACCCAGCTCGATACTGCGCCGCGCGAGATGTGGCGCAAAGTTCGCCGGCTTGAGCCTGCGCCATCTCGGACTCGGCGGCCACACGGAGAGTCGTAGCAGTAGCCACTGACTTCTTCAGCTCGTGGATACACGTCGCGCTGCGGCGGAGCTCCTCGGCATGGGCCACTAAGAGCGCGTTGACGCGCCGAAGGTCGTCCTTGCAGCGGGACGTTCAGGTTCTGGGCCGCCTCGATCTCCATGCGGCTCTGAGAAAGCGACGCACGGGCCGCGCGGAGCTCTTCGTCGACCGGGGCGCGCTGCTGCTCCAGAGCGGTCAAGGCCTGACGAGCCTGATCTCTCTCGGCGACGGCAGCGTCTCGCCACTGCTCAAGGGCGGCCACGGCTCGACGTGCCTGGTCCCTCTTGGTGACAGCATCGTCTCGCTCGCGTCTCAGGGCCGTGGAGGCTCGACGCACTTGATCCCGCATGTCGAGGGCCCCGTCACACTCTTGCTCGACGACCACGAGAACGGGGGTTACGCGGTCACGCTCGGCGAGAGCGGCGTCGCGCTGCTGCTCGGCAGTGGCCACGAGCTGCCGCATGTGATCTCGTTCAGCTTCGGCAGCGGCCACGCGCTTGGACAGGAGCGAGGGCGGCTTGGGCGGCTGCGAGGTCGACGCGAAGGCCGTAACGCTCGGCGCGCGCGTCGTCGCGCCCGCCTTGTGCAGCAAACAGCCGCGTTAACGGCACGGTGGAGGGAGGCGGCGTAGCAGGAGCGCGCGCGAGTTGGGCGGTCAAGTCAGTGACCTGGTCTCGTGCCGCCCGGAGCTGAGTTTGAAGATCACGATATTGCTTTGTCGAGGAGCCTCGCTCGGCGCGGAGTAGAGCCTCGGCAGCGTCGGCGCGCTTAGCACGAGCGCGGAAGTCGGCCACTTGGCCCTCCAGGACTGCGTAGTCCCGCTCGGCGTGCTCCCAGGAGAAGAGCGCCTGCTCGAGCCGGATCATGCCTGCGCGATAACCCTCGCGAGCACGATGCAAGATCGCGAGATTGCGGTCATGCAGCGCGGACGCGTGAGTAGCCAAGCCCGCATTGTGCGCTGAGACGAGTTCGTACTGGGCGCGCAGCTCCTGGTTCTCGCGCTGGAGAGTGTGCGCGTCGGCGACAAGAGCAGTCACCGAGTGGACGGGGGCGCCTGAAGTCGAGACAAAGCGAAGGCGCGGGGCAGGTTCTGCGACGACACACCCACCTGGGGAGTGCGCGTGCGTGGCAGCGGGACGAATGTGGTGTAGTACCCCGCGGAAGAAGTGAGCGCGCCGGGCGCCGGAGGAAGAAGGCGTCGGGACGCGAGTGATGGACTTCAACGCGGCTGATGGAACGCGACGCGGATTGATGGGCGCGACGCAGGGCCGTGCTGATTATCTCCACATCTATTTTATTAGTTTATGCAAAAAAAATAAAAAATATTAAACAACGTTATTTATTTAAAAAGTTTGAAAAAAATAGATTAACGTTAAAAATTCTTTCAAAAAAATTAAATATTGAAAAAGATTTACGAAGCATAAACCCATGATTTACTCCACAAATTTCACTACATTGTCCATAAAAAACACCCTCTCTTTTAATAAACATTGATGTTTGATTTAAACGACCTACTTAATGCTTTTATTAATAATAATTAAACCATTTAAATGGTTTAAATTTTTATTTTGTTAAATATTTAATTAATTTTAAACTTAAATAGAAAGGATATAAAATACTTTTAAATGTAGGTTCTTTAAAAAAAATACCTGTTTTAATTTTTTTATTTCTATGTAAATAAAGGTCGGATACTTGCTCTTCCCCTCTGCCTTCGCGCGCTTGGAACTAGTGGTTCAATGTGAATGCAAAAATGCGCAAAACACCCAAATTAGGGGTGTATCTCTCTACATGCGATCCCACGGACTTTTCTCTCGCATCTCTGATTGGCCTAAATAAAGGTGTATCTCTTGAACCGCTGTAGCGCTCTACATGCGAAATGCGGTATGGACAAGATGGCGTCGAGTTTTGACGATCACGAGCTCAACGCGGTTAGTGCTCATTGGCTAAGCCTCACGCTTTCATTCAAGTACTGGTTCTTGTAATGTTTTATGTGTTGTTTGACATGTGACTTTGGTTAGTAGTGAAGACAACGAAGTCGCATGCCTTGATGTTGTTTGTTGACGACTTCGATACACAAGCACAACTTTTTTTAACCAGCGGGACGAAACGAGATTAAGGGGTTATTTAGGGCTGCTCTCGAAGACGTACGGCACCATCAGAGAAGTTGGTGTGTGCTCAACTACGTGTCGCCTGGTGTGTGTATTGTGCAAATTTACACGGCCTTACGAATGAGGCCGCTGTGCGTGGCAAGGAGCCCATCCACAAGCTCACACAACTGGTATTCGCTTTTCGCGGCAAGATCTGCTCAAATCGGCGTAGCACACATTGGGCAGAGGCGACAGCTCGCTAAAAACGATCCAGTACATACAAAACTAGTAGGTTGGAAAAGGATCCAACTAGGAAGATGTTGTAGTTAACTAGGCTTAACCCAAAGCCCAATTCCCATTTCCTTACACGCCTCGGTCATGAGAGCACACTAGTCACCACGTCCACACCTAGGTCAACGGTTCAACGCCGACTGCCAACAAGTGCGAGGCTTAGGACGATCAGACAGCTGCCGACTGACCCGTCAACGACACGGCGGGTCTCGGGAATAGGGACGGCTGGGAGGGAGCTACATGGACACCTTGGGCTTCCGGCAAGCCCCAGGCGGCTCCCGCCGGACATGCAAATGGGCGAGACAACGTCCGTCACTGCCATCGAACGAATCCGACGCTCGGAGACGTTATCTCTCACGGCCAGAGTACTGACTGCACTGTACTCTGCGCCCCCGTGGTCTCTCCCCACGGATCCCGCCACCCTACTTGATGCGTCGTCCTCATATGCACTGTCCGTCACTTTCGCCTACCTTCGTTGTTACTCCTTCGTGCTCCTGGCCGACCACCCTCGAGCCGCAGTACCAGCTAGCGTAGGAACCTGTGCGTCGGTGCAACTTGCGTGTATTTAGTCTTTACTCACCACTGACCAGTGATAAACCGCAACTGAGGGTCGAGCGGCTCAACCTCCGCTCGTTGTCCCCGCTTAGCCTACCTTCCTACTCTATCACACGGCGCCTTCTACTCCTACTTGGACCTCTCCCTCTTCGTCTCCCATCTCCGCTCTCGTGGTTTTTCGGCCTCTCATCGTGGGAGGCCGCGTCACCCCTCCGGCGCTCATACTTACTGTCCTTCGCTGCTCTCCGGGTCGCCCCTCCTAGCGATCTTCTGCCTTCGACTGCAACCTGCTCTTGCTGCTGCTGGTGACCGTAGCCTGCTGGCTCGCTCGGGCCACCGTCACCCCAAACCATACCGCTGCGCCACCGTCTCCACGCTGTGCGCCACACCACTCATTGCGTCAAGTTAATCGTGACGTGACCCCCAGCTTGATCGCGTCCTGCAGCCCAGTGGCAGGGCACCATACTACACGCCATCCCCGGCATCAAGATCGTCCTTGATCTTGTGGGCGTCGTCGAGCGCCTCGAACCCCTCTGCAGACAACCATCGCCGGCCCATGGGACCCCCACGCCGTACCCCGTACTCCACTTCGTGTTCCTGCACGTAACACCCAGTGTGATTACGAACTTGCCGTCGCGCTCGTTCGACGATAAATCCTGGTGTTGGCACCTGCAGCAGCTCGGGCATTGGGGCGGGTGGTCGTGGCGGTCCTCGCCCTTGTACCATCTCCACTGTGGCTCCGTGGTCACCGCCATGTGTGGTTCCGACGCCGGCAGTTGTTCCTCCGTCACCTCGTGGCTCTTGGGCTTCATTCGCCCGCTCGTCGCCGTCTCCGGCTTCCCCACCACCTTGTACCCCACGATCACCGTTTGCACCATCTTGCGTCGCGGCTGCGGCTTCCTGCTCGTCGCGCACAGCCTGCCGGCGGGATACTCGCGCTTCATGCGCGGCATCAGCTTCTTGTCGTCGTTGTTGCTGCGTCGGCCGCTCGTCTTCATCGTCCTGGGTTGCTTGCACCGCCTTCCGCCGCCGCTTCTTTTCCACAAGTGGCGTCTGTTCCTGCCCCGCGGCACCGCGTGCTTCAGGAGCTGGGCGAGGGCTCTGACTCTGACCCTGGCGACTTATTTCTGGCGCCCCTGTCGTGGTCGGAGATTCAACGGCCGAAGTACCCGTTGGTGCCCGTTGGCCCCCAGCCGTCGGTCCTGATCCACCGGCTCTGGTGCGCGATCCCTCAGCGTCGCCCTCGTTATTCACCGGCTGCGTCTCCGTCTCCGCGTCCTCATCGCCGTTCTCATCCTGCGAGTCGGCGTCCTCCCTGGCGAGTTCTTGCAGTATCTGTTCCGCTACCGTGCCGAGCGAGCTGCTCGGGCAACTGCTCGACACCAGGAAACTGCAGTGCACGATTAGCCTCTCGTCGTAGCCGGCGTCCGGAACGATCCTGGCCGGGCCCACCCACTGGTGGGCCAGCTTCGTAATGTCCTTACCCCGCGGAGGTTTCAACACCCAAACGAGGTCGCCCACGCCAAACGGCGTGGTTTCGCGCACTCGTCTGTTGTAGTACTTCTTGCGCCGTAACTGGTCCTTCGCCAGCGCGGTGCGTGTCACTTCCGACGCCCGTGTGAGACGGTCTACCAACGCTCGGTAATGCTCTGCGAATGCCCCGGTCCTCGCTGCGCTACTCGTCCTCGTTCGCAACAATTTGTTCGGAGCGCGCAACCGGCGCCCCATCATCAGCTCGTTGGGGCTGAAGCCCGTGCTCATGTGTCTCGCCCAGTTGTACGCGTATGCTGCGCACGGCAGCCAGCGGTCCCAGTCGTCCTGGTTCGCCGACACGTAGAGGGCCACCATATCCTTCCACGTGCGGTGGGACCGCTCTACCCGTCCCAGCAGCGCGGGTCGGTAGGGCACTGGCGTGAGTTGCTTCGCCTGCAGCTCGTTTACCAGCGCCTCCACAATCTGCCCGTTCAGTTCCGGTGCGCCGTCCATTACCTCCTCGCACATCGGCCCATGCACGAGGACCAGCTTCTCGACCATGAACCTCGCTGCATCATTCGCCGTGTGCGCCGGCGTTGCTGCCACGACCGCGTAACGTGTCGCGTAGTCTACAGCGGCGATCACGTATCGGTTGCCGTCCGGTGTAACGGGGAGCGGCCCCGCCACATCCAGCGCCCACCGGTCTCCTGGCTCTCCCACGCCCTGACTCCTGAGCAGGGGCACTACTTCCTTCGCCTTCGCCTTCCGGGACCCGCAGTCGCGGCAAGACTGCACCCATCTTCGCACGTGGACCCTCATGTCAGGCCACCAGTAGTTAGTTGCAATCCGCGCTAGCGTCTGTGGTGTACGCAAGAGGCACGCGTACACCGAGTTGTGGTTCTCACGCAGCGCCATAGCCCACAAGGCCGTGGGCAGCACAACGCGATTACTGCCGTCGTTGCCCTTGATGTACACAACCCCGTCCACCTCCACGATGGGCCGCGCGCCGTACTTGCCCTTCTTCTTCAGCTTCGGGACGGTCTTGTCACGGGGCGGATCAGTACGTTCGTCAGCTGGCCTTCTGAACCAGCTGCGGTGGGTTCGTCACCATGGCGGACCCGTCGTTCCCCGGGGTTATGGCGTTGTTCGTCAGCTCCGTGCCGTACGGCTGCGTTCCGTGGCTCGTCGTGCTGCTCACCGCCTTGATGTTCGTCACCGTTTTCTGCCGCTGCCACCATACCCACAGGGGCGCGTGACAGCGCGTCTGCCACGACGTTGTCGGCGCCCGGCTTGTAGATGACATCGAAGTCGTACTCCTGCAACTACAGGGCCCACCTGTGCAGCTTGGCGCTCAGCGTCGTCGCCGTCATCAACCATTTCAGGGCGGAGTGATCCGTGACCAACTGGAACCTCCGCCCGTACAGGTAAGGACGAAAGAGCTTCATGGCCCAAATCACTGCTGCGCACTCCAGCTCGGAGATGCCGTACCTGGCTACCGTCTCTGAGTTCACCTTCGAGGCGTACGCCACGGGCTGTTCCCCGTTGCCCAGGTCCTGCGTTTGCGCCTCCCCGAGCCCCACCACTGAGGCATCGGTGACTAATCGGAATGGCCGGGAGAAGTCGGGGTAGGCCAAGATCGGCCGTTCCGTCAGCACCCCCTTCCATTCCTCGAAGGCGCTCTGCTGCACCTCCCCCCAGCGCCACACAACCCTAATTTCGTCATCGGAGCCGCCCTGCTGGCGAACTGCGGTACGAACCGGCGGTAGTAGCCAGCCATCGCCACGAACCGCTTCACTGCCTCCACATTCTGTGGCACTGGGAAGTTCGTCACACTGTTTACGAGATTCTCCATCGGCCTCACTCCGTCTGCATCCAGTTCGTGGCCGAGGAATTCCAGCCTGTCGGCCGCGAACGTGCACTTCTTTGCCTTCAACGAGAGCCCCGCGATCGCCAGCCGCTGAAGCACCGCGGCCAGCTCGACCACGTACTGCGTCACGTCGCCCTTGGTGAAGATGATGACGTCGTCCAGGTACACGAGGCACGTCTGCATGAGGCCTCCCAACACGGCGTCCATGATCCGTTGAAATGTGCCGGGGGCGTTGGCAAGCCCGAACGGCATTCGTACGAACCGAAACAGCCCTCTCCGGGTCACGAACCCGGTCTTGTCGCGATCTTTCTCCGCGACGGGCACCTGCCAGTACCCCGAGTGCAAATCTAGCGTCGTAAACCTCTTCGCCCCGTACAGGTGGTCGAGGGTGCGGTAACGGGTAGACGTCTTTCACCGTGATCGCGTTTAGCAGGCGGTAGTCTATGCAGAAGCGCACGGACCCGTCTTTCTTCTTCACCAGGACCACGGGGAAGCCCCACGCCCCGTGACCCTCCTCGATGACTCCCCCGTGCAACATCTCGTCCACGTTGTCGTCAATCGCGTTGTTCTTCATGCGCATGTCGACGGGGACGGACTTTGATCGGTGCTTCCGTCCCCGTGTGGATCTCGTGCTCCACTCCGAGGGTGGCCGCTGGCGGACAGCCTTCTCTCGGCTCGAGTAGCGTAGGATAGATTCCCAGTAATTGTAATAACAGCTCGCGGTCCTCCTCGCTCATGCCCCCCACGTTCAACTCGTCCTCGTTGCTCAGTGGCCTGGTGTCCGACTGCAAGTCGGACAACCACTGCCGCACTCGTCCTCGGTCCAGTTCGCCCTCCTCCGCTAGCACCGTAATCTCTTCACCGGTCGGAGTCCACGTGCCCAGTTTCTCCTTTGGCGGCAACTTCACTGTGCGGCCGTACAAGTTCATCACCGGCACCACGATCTTTCCGTCTCGAACAGTCGTCAGCGTCGGGCCGAGCAGGATGTGCGACTCGCCCTGACCCGTCGGCGTGAACAGTCCCTCCGTGCCGTCAGGAGCCGCCACCGCCGACTCCACGTTATGACAGGTCGCCGTGCGCACCCGTGCTCGCCGTACTACTTGCACCTTGGCCGGCTGCGTCTGCCGCTTGTTGGTCGAGCACCAGAAGGGCACCACCTTCCGTACGTCGTCCGCATGCCACTTCATTTCGCAGGAGATGAAGTCAATTTTGACTCCTTGCTGCAGCATCCAGTCCTCGCCGAGTAGGAACTCCACGTCGCGCCCTCCACCATCAGCGCGTCGACGACCATACTCTGCTCGTACTGAGTACGGAACCGAAAGCGCCACACGCCCAGCACCTTCGAAACCGCACCCGTGAACCCCTCGACGTAGTCCACGGGTGGCAACGTAGTCAGCCGCTCGCCCAGAGACTACCACTCTTCGCCAGCCACGCTGAACTGCGCCCCCGTATCCAGCTTGATCTCCTTCTGCTTGTCCTTCACTCGCACGCTCACTGTCGGAAGTGAGTCGACTACACTGCGCTTAGACACCCCACTCGCACAGGGTGCTGCTCATCGTTCATGTTCCTCACGCTCGTGTGGGCATACACGCTACCGCTGGTGTAAGCGTAACGCTTGCCGTGTCGCCGGCGTCCTCTCGTCGATGTGGACAATTCGTCGCGCTGGGTTGGACGAACCCAGCTGTCTCGGCCTCCTGCGTTTCTATTGCTTTCGCCTCTCGACTGCCACCCCGCCTATGTAGCTCTTCGAACGCATAGTAGGTGCCTTCCAGGTGTCTCGCCTTATCGATCAGCGCCCGTAGGTGGCGTTTTTCCTTGGCGCGTGCCTTACGCACACGCTTGTCGTACCACCGCCGCGTTCGTGACTGCTGCAGAGACGCAGTACCCGATGGAGGCCTCTCTTCGCCAACGGCCGCTGACTGGTCGTCATCGGGCGTCACCTTCCCGTCCTTGTTGCCGTTCGTGTCCATGGTAACCGTGGACGTCTGCCCACGTGCTCGCTGCGCTCGCCGCTCGCGTCGGGCTCGGGGTGTTCAACACGTTTCGCGTGTTTGCGGGCTCGCTGCGCCGTCTCAGCTTCCTCCTCCCGCAGCCGTTCGTGGCCACGCGCCTGTGCGAGCAGCACCTTGGCCCGGGCAGCGTCGCGCGCCCGTAACTCTTCGACCACCCCATCCTGCGTCCGTGGTGGCTCGTCATGGACGCTGCCTTCCGCTGACGTCCCCGCCGATGTCTTCCCCCCATACCTCTCGGGCTGCTGGTGCCCTCGCCCGTACTCTCATCCTCCGTCCGGAATACGCCGTCGTTCGCGTATTGCTCACGCACGGCCTGCAGCTGCGCAACCACGATGACACCAAGCTCGTCCTTGCTGGGGGCGCCGCAGCCACACGCCTCCAGCTGTTTGCCCACGTCCACGACTACACGCTCGGTCTCGTCGGGCGAGGTGTCTACCTCGCTCTTCCCTTCGTCGAGCGCCACCCTCCGCCGGACCTAAACCCCGCCATCCTGTGTGTCGCTCGTTGCTGTCCGTGGCGTCGCCGGGGTGCCATCCGCAGTCGACACCCCCGCATCCGCCTTCGTGGCCGCCGTCACGGCGTCCGTCACCGTCTTGTTCGTCTCCGTCTTATTCGTCACCGTCTTGTTCGTCTCCATCTTATTCGTCTCCGTCTTATTCGTCACCGTCTTGTTCGTCTCCATCTTATTCGTCACCGTCTTGTTCGTCACCGTCTTGTTTGTCACCTTTGCCTCGCTTTCCGCCGCGGTGGCCTCCGGTATCACGCAGGTGCGCGCGCTTGCTAGGTGTCTGGGGTCCGCGCTCATGGCGTGCCACTCGCCACCCCCAGTTGACGGCACACTCTCTAGCGTCTGGCCGGTGCTCGCGGCGTTGGGGCGCGGCATCGGCGGCTCCGCCGACGCCACCGCTACCACCGGGGACGTGCTACGGGGAGGCGGACGTGGACGCAGCGTCTCGCCATCCCCATTCTTGGCCGCCACTCGACGCTTGGCTTGACCCGCTGCCTGGGCCACCACCCCGCTGCCTCGAACAGCCTTCGTTCTGCGAGCGCTACCCCGCTGTTGTCCTCGACCGTGGCCACGGCCATGACTACGGCCACATTGCGCTCTTCGTCGTTTTCCCGGATCAGGTCCTGCGAGCTGTAAGGTCGGGCCCCTTACGCTCGCGGGCCATTTTCCTGGTCAGGTACGTTGCCTTCTCCGCCATCTTGCCCGGAGGAGGCGGCCCCACCGGCCAGATCAGACCGCTTCAGCTCACATTCGCGCGCGTAGTGTCCGCCCTGCCCGCAATAGAAACAGTCAACGCCGGGGCGATGCACGGTCGAGCCAGTCTCTGCCGTCGCGCGCTGCGCCTGGACTCGCTTCTGGTACCGCTCGAAGTTGCGTAGCCTCCCCTCGCACGTCGCCAGCGTGGGGTTGGGCGCGCCTCGCGTTCTGTTCGGACCTCCGTAGTTAGCCTCCACCTTCAGCGCCTTGGTCGGGCGCTTACTGGCTTGTTGTTCGCCGCTCGTTCGTTTCCCGCGTGCTCCAAACTGATCGCCGCCAGCCGTTTGAAATTTCAAACCAGTGGTCGGACTGGCTTGCTTACCGGTTGGAACCAGTGAAAATCCAGGAGGAATTGCCTTCCACCATCCCGTTGGATTAGCTCCGCCGGTCGATACCGGTCTGCCCTCAGTATCGTACCTAGGAGGCTTCTGATTGGAGCCCCACATCGGCCCGTACCCGGTAAACACAGTACCCGCGTGACCTCTCAGTCCAGACTGCTCCTGGCCACCTCTCACCGTCACCGCCGCCAAGGGCCCACGGCCGTGCTGGGCCTCCCGGTCGTCCCAGCGTGTCATCGCTGCGTCCAGGCCGACGCCATATCCTTCTCCGTACTCACCCACGTGGGGGATCGCCAGCCGCACTGCTTCGTCCAGCAACTGGGGTCGATGACCGCGCACGTGTGCCGCGCCTTCAGAGCTGCTCAAGCCCTTGAGGAACGCGTTCACCAGCCAGTTCTCACCGACGTCCCCGCGCTCGACAATTTCGCGCAAGGACTGCGCGTAGTCGACGAGGCGCTCGCCCCGCATCTGCCGTCTCGGGTTCAACAGGTCGACCACCTCGGGGGTCGTGCGTTGGACCATGTACTTGGCCCGCAGCATCCCGGTCAAGGTGTTGATGTTTTCCTCCTCTGGTGGCACGGACTCCATCGCGGTGGCAAACCACCGCCTCGCCTCTCCGTCCAAGTGAGACGCCACCTCGTGGTAGAGCTGGCTGTCACTCCACTGCACTCCCATCGTCGCTGCCTGACGACGGACCTCTGCACGGACCGTCTTCAGCCACATCGTGACCGGCATGTTGTCGTCAAGACCTTTGAACTTCGTGAGCTTCAGCGCTCTGGCCTTCTCGCGTACGATGACTTGGCGCGGTGGGGGCTGGTCGTCTGCCCCCGCGTACCTCACCGCTGGCATCGTAGCTGCAGCTGGTGGTGCGCGCCCCGGGTCTACTCCGCCGTGGCCGCCGCCGCTTCCAGCCGTCAAGATCACCACCCCCGTGCCCGTCATCCCGCTCGGGTTCGTCATGGTGCTAGTCGCCGCGTTCGGGTTCCCCGCTACGGCCGTCGCCATGCTTCGAGTCGCTGCTGGGCCGGCTCTGCCTCCCGTGGCGTCGCTTCGTCCAGCCGTTACACCCAGGTCGTGGCTAGTTCTCGTGCCGCCGCCTGGGTTCGAGTGTCCCAACCCGGCGTTCGTTGGCGTGGTGCCCGACGACGGACGGATCATTTCCGTCTCCACCAACACCCTTCCTCCGTCTTCCGCCTCCAGCGTCGCCGATGCAGCCACCGTCTGCTGCTGTTGCTGCTTGGCCGCCTCGCGCGCCGCTGTCTCCGCTCGTTCCTGTGACGCTGCGCGTCGCTCCGCCCGTTGATCACGCTGCGTGGTCATGGTCGTTTCCTTAGCTCTTCTCTATTGCACAATACACTTTCTGTTAGTTCATCCGTCTCCTTTTCCATTGTTCATTACCCGCTGACGCTAAGCCCGCTTAGGCCATCCGTCCGTGGCCCAGCCCGGAAAGCCCCTGTATGACCACGATGTAGTTTACTAGGCTAACCCGAAGCCGAAGCCCAATTCCTATTTCCTTACATGAGAGCACACTAGTCACCACGTCCACACCTAGGTCAACGGTTCAACGCCGACTGCCAACAAGTGCGAGGCTTAGGACGATCAGACAGCTGCCGACTGACCCGTCAACGACACGGCGGGTCTCGGGAATAGGGACGGCTGGGAGGGAGCTACATGGACACCTTGGGCTTCCGGCAAGCCCCAGGCGGCTCCCGCCGGACATGCAAATGGGCGAGACAACGTCCGTCACTGCCATCGAACGAATCCGACGCTCGGAGACGTTATCTCTCACGGCCAGAGTACTGACTGCACTGTACTCTGCGCCCCCGTGGTCTCTCCCCACGGATCCCGCCACCCTACTTGATGCGTCGTCCTCATATGCACTGTCCGTCACTTTCGCCTACCTTCGTTGTTACTCCTTCGTGCTCCTGGCCGACCACCCTCGAGCCGCAGTACCAGCTAGCGTAGGAACCTGTGCGTCGGTGCAACTTGCGTGTATTTAGTCTTTACTCACCACTGACCAGTGATAAACCGCAACTGAGGGTCGAGCGGCTCAACCTCCGCTCGTTGTCCCCGCTTAGCCTACCTTCCTACTCTATCACACGGCGCCTTCTACTCCTACTTGGACCTCTCCCTCTTCGTCTCCCATCTCCGCTCTCGTGGTTTTTCGGCCTCTCATCGTGGGAGGCCGCGTCACCCCTCCGGCGCTCATACTTACTGTCCTTCGCTGCTCTCCGGGTCGCCCCTCCTAGCGATCTTCTGCCTTCGACTGCAACCTGCTCTTGCTGCTGCTGGTGACCGTAGCCTGCTGGCTCGCTCGGGCCACCGTCACCCCAAGCCGTACAGCTGCGCCACCGTCTCCACGCTGTGCGCCACACCACTCATTGCGTCAAGTCAATCGTGACGTGACCCCCAGCTTGATCGCGTCCTGAGCACAGTGACAGGGCACCATACTACAATGTCATGATTTATCTATTAATTAGAGCCATCCATGAGCGGTTACGTTGGTTGAACAACTGTAGTGCCAACAACAGTAGCGTTGGGTGAGGATGCCCAACAACTGCAAGCTACATTTAACGATAATGCTATTAGAAATGTCAGGCCTGTTAACCGCAACTCCGTGTGTTCTTGACGACAATAACGACATGAACGCACCCCTCGAGTCCTATCGGACCAGAGTCAACTCGGATCCACGCCGAGTTTTCAAGGACCTGAAAATATACTCCGAGTCGTCATGTTTACCATGCGAGCAGCCGCGCACGCTGACTGGAAGCAGACTTGCATAGCTATGCTTCATGAAATGGTCACATCGAGAGAACTGCGACGATCAAAGCAGCTACGGTGGTACTGCAAAAAGAAAGAAACGATGGTCACACAACTCGAAGGAGCCACCGAGAAGCTACAGTAGATTAAGGAGCTCAACATGAGTCGCGTCTCTATCTCTACCACTTTTCTGACGAGGCAGAGTGTTTAGGTCGGATTTATCGGAAACTAGCATGCGCCCTGGCGTCAACTTTGGCTCGGGACGCGGTATCGACGAAATGGTGCAGAACTAGTAGAGAAGCCTCAGACGCTTGGTTGAACTTCCAGAAGAGCTACAAGGAGACTCTTGGGTCGCTAACTGCTACTACTGTCACGAGCTTCACATCTTTGGAAAGCCCGTGCTGGTCACAAACAAAGTGCGAGGGCACAACTTGCACACACGCAGCTCAGCCAACGGATCATCACCAGCAGGTGGACTTGGTTTGAATAGGATGCCAGCCACACCCGCGTAGCCAGCATCAGAAATGACGCGGATTTGCTGACACCGATGCTGCGTTCATACACAATCATCAAGGCGTATAACTCACGCTACGGTGCTTCCAGTTGAGCTGGCTTACGCACCTATTAGACTTCATATGTGCATTGCGCCAGTAAACGGCATAGTAAAAATGGTGGTGCTTGACGCTACATTCAGAAATATTGTGACTACTATGCAACAAGCTAATAACAATTCCAAGGAGGATTTATGTATATTGAATCTGGGACACGTACTCCAACTAACATGCTGCTAGTACACATCTTTAGTGCTCAATCGATCTCTCAGCGAGCAGCATCTTCTGCTCAACATCTTTCAGAACGGCTTTGAGCATCTTTTGTCGGAGATCAGATACCAGCCGTGAGAGCTGAAGGAAGAGTTGCTCACCAGTGTCCCGCACAATCGAGCCCGCTTCAATCCTTATGCCAATGTACATTTGTAGAAGGCAGACTCCAGGCGGCACGTCGTTTAGCACACACCAACTTCGCTCATGGTAGTGCGCGTCATCGAGAGAAGCCCCGAAGACCTCCTCGATTTTGTTTCGTCCCGAAAGCACGATTACATCGCGTCCTGGTTCACTAAACTTGGCACTGCTGTACCGATATCGAACCTTCATGCGATCTCCAGCATCAACGGAGAAGGCGTGCGTGGCCAAGTTATCTTCAAAGGCGGCCTGCTTGAGATGCATTTTAGCCGTTGTAAGTTTAAGTGGAGTATGCCAGGGTAATAGCAGTACTTACCGGGTTGGAACCGTCCTCGTCGAACTGCGACGCCATTTTGTCCATAAACGCACTTCCAACGGCCCGATAATGAAAAGGCACGACTTCGCACTTGAGGATCTCGATGTGAGCACTGTAGCTGAGATTGTTCTCGAGTTCAGTTGGAAAAATGGTGAATTGACGGTATTGAATCTATTCGACATCAGCACGTGGTCTGTCTCGCCGCATAAAGTCCCAAGCGTGCTCGTTAGTTGTTGCAGGGTATCATGGGTATCGTCATCCCGAAAGAGCGGTTTGACCCGCCATGCCAAACTGAGTGGGGCCTACAAAAAACATGACCGCACGGGAAAGAGTAAGAAATTCGAGCGCAGATGGGCAATAATACCAACGAAACACTTACCTTATCGATACTCTGCTTCTGAAAAAGCCTTTTCAGTGTCTTGATCGCCCTCCTCCGACTCTCCACGAGCTTTCGCAACATCCCGTTCTCCCTTTCCGCTTGCTTCCGGAGCGTCTTCTGCTTTTTCGCCAAACTCTCACAAGCGTTTAAAAGCAGCTCGTCGGCAGGCCTGCGAGTCCCAACAGCGACTGTCGAGTTCATTCCTCCGGCACTGTGTAGATCATCCAGTCGCTCTTCCAGCGCTGCAGCCTCGACGCGCAGTTGCAGCAGCTCTAGCTTCTGCAGGTCTCGAGATCGGTTTCGTCCTAGCACAGCTAGCTTCGCCTTGATGCGAGCAATCTCTGGGGCGTCGGTAGGAGCTGGTTTGGTGCGATTAGTAGACTTGATGCTTCGGCGTCGTGGTCGTTTCAGGGGGCTCGAGGGTGCGGTCTCTAGTGGAAGTGCGGAGATATCATGGACACTGCCTTCGCTGCTGTCGGAGGGGACCCCGTCACTGCATTCGTCGATGAGTGCCAGAGCCGCCTCGAAGGCCTCGAATTCCTCGCCGTTCATTAAGTGCATTGTCGTCACTAAGAGTGAAACTGACGTGTGAGAAGGCTTGAGTACGATCGAGTTGTCGTTCCCCTCTGCATCCCATAATCGAAGAGCCGGATACTGTCGGTGGTGACAGAAATTTGATCAGTCTTGTTACTGTACCATCGGGTTTTAGCTTAGTCCGCGCTTCAGTGCGGCTGTTGTCCCATCTACAACGATTATCAGCAACGCCTCAGGTTTCTCTGTCGTCATTCTCATATGCAGTACATGAAGTGGGGACGTCTGACACGGCAGTGTGCTGCAGCACACTGCCGTGCAGGAAGCCGTAGTTATCGCTACTCTGCTTTAACTGCAGCCACTATCAGAGCAGTCGTGTAGTGGTAGTCCAGTGCCACTTGAAAAGAGCTTCAATTGCCATGCAACAGGAGTGCTCGGCAGAGCGTGGTAACGGCAACATACAACGGTTTTAATGGGACACAGAGGACCGAGAATGTAATAAGGTACAGGAAATGTGGACGCGCCTATACTATCTCTTGGTAAATCTTTGAGTCACCGTGCGCTTGTACAGTGTAAGCGAACCGCTCAAGTTTTCATGCGACAAACACCAGTGTGTAATTCAAATTCAATGAGGAGATAACACTCAATATCACTGTGCGATGCAGTGATCGTACTACATGTAGTACGTAGATCGCAGTACATATAGATCGCGATCACAGTACCTAGACCGCTATGACCCACAAAACTACAGGCGGAGAAATGATCTGGAACCCATGTGGCTAAACCATGACGAATCAAAAACTATGGTCAACAACTGAGGACCGTTCTTAAGTTCCCGGTCCCAACTTGGGACTCCCAAGTCCCTGGACGAAATAGAGCGATTTGATTGGCTTTCAGAAAGCGGGCTAGGTTTATTTCCGAGCTCGTTTTGTCCCATCATTTTCGAGTGGTCGGGACGTGGGACTTTCGCCCTAGCTACTTCATTTCTGCACTAATGCGCGCCAAGTGTGCACCACATTGTTACGTTTCGAAAGGGCTATCTGACCATGTTCTTCTTTCACTGTAGTTCGCGGTAGTTCCCGAGAGTTAGGGGCTTAGGCGTGTTCTTAAGTTCCCGGGAGCTGGGACCGGGACGAACGGGACGATACCCCTCGTCCGTCAAACTTCCTAACTCTCGGGAACTACCGCGAACTACGGTGAAAGAAGAACATGGTCAGATAGCCCTTTCGAAACGTAACAATGTGGTGCACACTTGGCGCGCATTAGTGCAGAAATGAAGTAGCTAGGGCGAAAGTCCCACGTCCCGACCACTCGAAAATGATGGGACAAAACGAGCTCGGAAATAAACCTAGCCCGCTTTCTGAAAGCCAATCAAATCGCTCTATTTCGTCCAGGGACTTGGGAGTCCCAAGTTGGGACCGGGAACTTAAGAACGGCCCCAAGTTAAAAAAAATAAAAAATGTAAGCAGACGCTAGCCCATTATAACTTTAACGAGATGCCACTCCGACGGACAGCAAGAAATAAAGACCTTGATGGGAGCGGTGGGGCACCTCGTAGTATAAGGACAAGGTGTCTTACAAGCAGCTCTTGGCATGGTCTCCTTGCTATGACCTTTCAGACGGACAGTTTGCTACAGTTTGATAGCTGCACAGCTCTACATAATTGTTTGAATGCGCAACCATTGCAAGAGGATCACCCGGACTCCGGCTTGAATGAGTGGCCTCTCGTTCGGAGACCACTCATTTCATACAAAGGGTCAACCCTGCTGGCAAAAGGCGATTCGGACATAATTAGTTCTCTAAACTCCAATCCTACACATTACGACAGCTGTCTCTCATCACTGATGCAGGGATTCGTATTTGAAAGTCGTACGCATCGTTGCATTTCCTCCGCTACTCTGTTCGTCTTTTGATGGACATTCTTCTTTCTGACTTTCGTCCCAACAATGACCTCGACCACGCTTCGACCTCCCAACAGCCAGCTTCTCAGCGACGATGTCATCGGAAGTGTGGCACAGAGGGCCAGTACCTCAACTTTGCGCGCTGAACCGGTTTTCGACGAAAGCGACGGCATGGACTCGCCCCACAAGGCCCTACCCGCCCAGAATCACCTTGGTTTCCATCAGTACTCGGCTGCAGATGAGTTTTGGCTCGGGGTGTGGAGTGTACAGGATGTTAGAGCACTGGAACAGCCTCTTGGTCCCCCTGGACTTTCTCTTGTTGAGCAGTGTGATCTTCTCACGCTTTTCGGTAACTGCCCGATGCATGCCCTCATTACTCAGTCTCAAGTGCGTCAGCGCTTGCCCGATCGACGCGTTCGAAATCGATACTTCACGCGGTTGTTGGCCGGGTAGGTAAAGTACATAGGCTGGGGGCGGGCACGGTAAACCGGTAAAAATTTCAACGGGGGCTCTGTTGGCCAGTGAGGCCACCGGTGAGTGGTTCATGTTGGCCTGAACGAGTGGCACCAAGTAGATCCAATCCTGGTGCGAGATACTGTTCTCGAGTATCATGGTGCGTTGAACTTGCAGAATGTCCCTATTCGCACGGACCACAGAGCCATTCACCCACGGGCGGTAGGCGACGACAAAGTTTTGTTGGCACGTCAGACGTTTGCATAACTCGGTCATCACATGGTTGTTAAAATGCGTCCCGTTGTCGCAGAGCCACTGCGAGGGGATGTCGAAACGACGGTGTCATCCCAATAGGCCTTCAACCGTAACTTCACTGGTAGGAGCGTCACAGGGTACCAGCTCGCAAAAATGGTTGAAATTATCCTTCATCACCAACAGGTACTTCCATGTATCAAATCCATCTCCGAGATATAGTCGAAGTGGAGCGCTTCATTGCGTGTATCAGCCCGGCACAGTTCACCCCATGGTCGTGGGATAATCTTACCCCCTTTGTATGCAGGCACAGCAAGCATGAGCGCAGGAATTGCCGCACGATCTTGGCCAAGCCTTCGATAGTAAACGCCCGTTGAAGGTGGTTCAATACTACCGCCTCACCACGGTGCCCCTGCGTCCCACAGTGCGCAATGATCAACAGTCTTTGCACGAGCTCTGTTGCGACTGCTGGAATCCAAATAGTGCTGCCACACCACAGCACACCATTGTCATCTCGCTCACAACCAGTCGGAGCTGCAGTAGCATGTGCCGCTGGCGTCGAAGCAATTTCCGTCAACGTCGGCCAGATAAACTCGTCCTGGTCCAACGGACGCAGCAATGGTCGACGTTGAGCACGAGCCTGGAGCCGGGTAACTCGTTTGAACACAGTCGTGGTCGCAGCAACACTGCCGCCCCACCGACTAATCAGGTCGGCCCACAAGTTGTTGGTCCCTTCGATGTGGCCAATCGTGTAGCGAAACTCCATAAGCTTAACGGACCAGCGAAGCCGTTTGCCTCTCACGTGCTTCCTAATCTCCTGGCCAAGGGCGAAAACGTGGATGAGGTTGCGGTGGCCACAAAAGACCTTAAACCCACCGGGCCGCAACAGAACGTAGTCGAGGTCTTCGCACAAAAGCACAATAGGGTAGCCTTCCTTTTCGATGACGTGCCAATGCTTTTGCGCACCATGGAAAGTGCCGCCCTTGCAGAACAGCAGCTCATACGATTGGTCGGTGACGGCAACACCAGGTTTCCACGCAGCCACTTGCGTGAGGATGGAGGCCCACCCAACGTCGCTAGCGTCCACAAACAAGCAGAAGGTTGCGCCATCGCGAGGGTATGCGAGCTGCGCTGACTGCTGCAACAGCATCTTCACCTGGTTGAAGCTGTTGACCTCTTCCTCATTCAGATCTACTGCATCCCCAATGCAACACGCGTCGTCTTGCGCTTGCCGTTCAACGCCACGTCCAGACACTGCTGTAGGGGCTGGACCACGCGTGCATAGTCTATCAGGGAATCGCGCATCCAATTGGTCGCGCAGATGAACTGTTGAAGCTGCCCTGCCGTCCGCGGCAGCGGCATAGCTGTGAGTCCCTCGATCCTCTTCGGGTCGTGACGAATGCCATTCTGGTCGATTACTTTCCAGCACCACGTCACAGACTGCTGATAGAGCGAAGACTTCTTCAAACTCAACTTCAGTCCAAACTCGTGCACGAGGTCGAACAATCTCTCCAATACCAAGAGGTACTGGGCAATAGGGTCCGCAAAAAGTAGTAAATCATCAATCCAGATGAGCAGGTATTCATGCCGTAGCTCCGCGGAACAATCCTCCATCGATACTTGAAAATATAGAGCAGAATCACGACTATCTTACATGACACGGTTCGGCTAAACACACGCTCATCGGTCATGTAAGAGAGCATTTCACGGCTCTCCTCAGCCACCGCAAGTTGCCCAAAACTCCGGATGAAATCGAACAAACCGTAGTGCTTCATGCCTCGCGCCCGCTCCTGCTTGGTTTTCAGATTGGGCATGAGGCCGGCAATCGCTTCAGTCATCGCATTGAGAGGCTTGTAGTCGACAGCCTACGGAACTCGTCCGATTTCGGCTTCCGGAGAGGTAGAGCAGCACACGCCCACCGGCTACTGGGGTTCTTGTATACCCAACCCAGTTCGACCAGTGTCTTGTTAAAATCCCGGAGAAACGCGCTCTGTAGTGGTGCGTACTGACGCGCTTTTGCATCGGAACGGCTTTGCGTTTTCTTTCAGCCGCAATTTGTATGGAGGGACCTTAGCAGGAGGATCATCACGCAGAACCAAGTGCCAAATGGCGTGCTTCAACGCAATGCGCCTTAGCTCATCCATAAATTCCATCGAAGAGTCGTTATCTAGTGCTGCCTCAATCAGCCACTCTACCCCGCACGAATCTCATCATCATCACCGAGTCCAGACCAAGCATCATCCTCAACATCAAAAGGATCATCGTCTTGCTCCAGCCTGTTTCCTGCGAGTTGTTCCAATTAACAACAGACATCAATGCCCAACGTGAGCAGTACATCATTGCCGACAATCAACTCGTCCTCGTCCTCTTCGATGATAAGGCAAGTAACGGGATCGGCGGGTTCCACGGGACCTGCAGCAGTATGCAGTCGGATGTGCAGTCGAACGGACTCACGGGCCTCCACATCATGCCTGCCAACGGCTTTGCCCACCACCGGCTTCTGCAGTGGCTCTGCCTGCACGCCAGAGCCCAGCCGAACGTGCTCGTCAAAGTTTCGGCGACTAATCAAACACCAGTTAGAGCCTGTGTCTGCACAGTACCGCAGCTCAAGGACGTCGTTCAACTTGATGGTAAGCACACCACCAAGGCGCTCCGTGATGCGTTTCATCCGCGTTTTGTCCACGCGGTTCGAGTGGAACTTCTTGGGTAGCTCCTTTTTCTCTTCATCAGTTGCATTCGGACACGACGCAACGTAATGCGCACCGCCGCACTTCAGACATCCGGCACCGCCGGTCGCACTTTTTCCACCGGCGCTTTTGACGCCGCTTTCACCACGCGATTTTCTTCGCCGTTGCGAGTTTCCTTTGGCCTAGCAGAGCCACGGCGGCCAGTGCCACGCATGTCCGCCAATGCATTACGTCCCTCCAGCCTAGGAGCCTTCTCCGTCTTGGTAAATTGCTCATCATAACGAGAGCAGGAAGTCGCGATCTTGCTCGAGAGCTTTCGCCAAGATCAGATCATGCAGCTTGCATTCGCCCTTGAGCGTAGCTGGTGCTTGGAAACGAATTGCATTTTTCACCTCCAGCTTCAGCTCGCGTGGCGACAGAGACTCAATCAAGAGCTTGCACTTCTCTTTCGAGCCGTGCTCACCCTCAAAACAAGCCACGAGGCCATTTTCCTCAATGAGTTGGTTGCACTGCATGAAGTACTTCAGCACACGTTCGCTCACATCCGACTCGGACATGTCGAGCCGTAGCTGTTTGCTGAACAGATCAACGTCAGGGAGGGTGTCGTTCTTGACCCGCTGTGGGATAGCCCGGACTTCCGACATAATCCGATCGTCCGTCACATCGTCCTTGGACAGGCCACCCCAGCGGTAGGTGCATAGCGCACGCAGCAACTTCTCGTCGATGGTGCTCTTGACGCTCTCCTTCATGCGCTCATAGAGCTCTTCATCACCTTTGCTGCGGGCTTTGACGCTTTCTTCGTACTCAGTACGGGCTTTCTTCCACTCGATTAAAGCTGAGTGAGACATCGACGTAATTCGAGGCGCGACCACCGGAATGAGCAGCGGGACGCCCACCGCACTGGTCTCGTCTGCAGCGACGGACTCGTCTTCAGCGGTCTTGACTCGGTGTATCATCATCGTGTGAACGAAGGTTCACTAAAGTCGACTTTGTAGTACGTCCACGAGACGAAAACGGTAGACAGTGTTGGGGAAGCTGGCACTTCCGTAAGTTGTTGTTGCCGATTGTATTGCTTAGTAGGGAGCAATAGGAAAAGTGAATAACTACGAGCTTTAGGCATTCCTGCTCTCGCTACAGTGAGGAGGAAGCTCTCCTGTGCGCCATGGTGCTCTTCGAGCCACGGCTTCAAGCAAGTATTGCCGTTGCAACTGCAACTGCAACTTGTGCCAGCTGATAAGAGACTGCAACCGCAGTAACTACCAACGTGCAATGAGGGCAAGGCTTTCAACCTGAGCCCCACGCTACAACACCGTGGACTACGATGAATTCAAGGCCTTCGAGACGGCGCTGGCCCTCATCGACGAGTGCGACAACGGGACCACTGACCTTTCCTCCGACTGCTGCGAAGAAAGCTTTCATGACATCCCGTTGGTACCGTTCCAGACCACTCTCACATGTACTGTGAAACAGGGATGCCGCCGCAGTACCAGGGCCGCCCCTCTCGACAAAGCAGCTTTTATCGACCTACAAGAAATCGCTCGTATCAAGGCGAAACTCGCTCTTCGAGGCAGGAACCGATCCCGAGACCTCCAAAACCTGGAGCTTCTGGAACTGCACGTCGAAGCAACGGTACTACAAGAGCAAGCGGACGAGCTACACCGTGCCTAAGGAACACACCCGAGTGCCTCTGCTGCGAGCAGCAGCAGTTTGGTCCGACATGCCGACGATTTACTTCTCGGGGCTTGTGAAAATTTGGCGAAGAGGCAGAAAATGCTGCGGAGGGATGCAGAGAGCGAGAACCAGAACCTCCGAGAGATGGTGGAGGGTCAGACGAAGACCATCAAGACACTGAAACGGATGTTCCAGAAGCAGATCGTTGACAAGGTAACCATTTTCGACACTTCATCCCTCCGTTAGAGTGAGTTACCGATCAAAAATATGCGGCTTTGCGTTTCACTTTTCCACGTTCAGCTTGGGTCTTCAACGTCCAGATGCAGGACGATACTGGCGACACGTATTCCGTCCTCAAACAACTATCTAGCTCGGTCTGAGATGTGTTCGGTGATACCGATCGAGTTTTGCGATCCAGCGGGCTAACCGGTATCCAAACGCCGTTTTTGCAGCAGAGTACGCAACCGTTATCTACTACTACCGTGTACATCGAGGTTCTCAAGTGCGACTTGCTACCATTCGACTTTTGTGTCCTCGGGGAAGCGTACGAGAGCAAACTGGCGACGAATCTACAAAGTCATGACGATAAAATCCTCCAGGTTGGTGCCTCTGGCGAATCTTATCCTCTGTGAAGCGGAAGTACCTCTTGCAGTACGCATCGCTGTGCTCGTTGAGCCTCGAACGCCTGGGATGATCAGTCACTCGGGGCTCCCAGAGCGCGAAGCAGCATGGCATCGGATGCAGGGATCTCGTGTCAGCAGGGCGGCCTCTATCGCTGGGAGTCAGTTGGATTTCGTAAATGGGCGGATACGAGAATGCTAACACTGTCGACGATTTCGTTTTAACTAAACACATAAAAATGTTGACCGTAAATTTGAGTCGTTATTTACGAAGTTGCTAACATCCTCTATTATCGGAAAGTTCGCGCTAAAAGCAATCGAATAAGAGTGTTTTTACGCTTTTTACGTGTGCTTTCCACTTTCGAAAGTTTGGTGTCCGGTTATTTCCGAAAAATGATTGGTCAACTTCAAACGCATTTATCTCGAAAACTCTAAATGGCGCCTAAGCATCATTCGTTTGAAACTGTCTCAAATGATACAACAGTACAGGTATTACCTTTTTATCTGATCGTATTTACATTTGCGGACTTTTGCCAAATGATGGCACATTTTCGCTAATCTAGTCAAACGATGACCACCTTCGCCAAATGATGGCACACAACGATATTCACACAAATATTTCAGTCGATTCCATTATTTATATTTTGACCACGTAGGACGAGTTCTCGTTCGATTCGTTTTCAGCTATTACTGCTTCGGGCGAGCGGCACGAGCAGCCTCGGCGTGATAGATGAGAGGAACGTCAAGTTGTGGCCGATCTTTCGGCGGTTTCCACAGCGCCGAGTCCTTGCTGTCGAGTTGCTTTGCGACCATGACTGAATGTACCGTGGCCGAAGGACAACTGATAACATTTCGAATAAAGATGAATTTCGCGACTCGACAAGATGCAACCGACCACATCAAAGCCTTTGTACTGGCCCAGGGCAGAAGCGTTGTGCAGTACCACAAGCGCACTTGGGAAGAATCGAACCGTGTATATCTGCACGAGCAAGACCGAGTGCTCTTTTGTGGTGATTGTTGCCAAAGTCAGCTTTTCCTAAGTTCGTTCGTCGCAGAGCACAACGGATGCCCGGGAGTGGCAACGCCCGCCGCCAAACAAGTGTGCGCTATGGCATCCGCGGTTGCGTGCGTGCGTGCGGATACTTGTCAGTTCAGATGAGCAGCCCAACCATGCGGTACGTGCTTGACACTAAAGGACGCAACCAGAAGAAGCGCTTTGCCAGCGGTGGGGAGCGCAAAGCAACTCGACAGCAAGGACTCGGCGCTGTGGAAACCGCCGAAAGATCGGCCACAACTTGACGTTCCTCTCATCTACCACGCCGAGGCTGCTCGTGCCGCTCGCCCGAAGCAGTAATAGCTGAAAACGAATCGAACGAGAACTCGTCCTATGTGGTCAAAATATAAATAATGGAATCGACTGAAATATTTGTGTGAATATCGTTGTGTGCCATCATTTGGCGAAGGTGGTCATCGTTTGACTAGATTAGCGAAAATGTGCCATCATTTGGCAAAAGTCCTACATTTGCTCTCCTTTTTGGTCGCTGGGACTGTAGTGCTGTACCTCTTCGGTCTATCACCACGGTTCTTCTCGAAGCGGAAGACAGCCACACAAAATCCATTCCTCACGCCAGCACTGCAACAACCCGACGAAGTGGCGTGCGCCAAGATGATCCTTTGGATGGGGTTCACCTACATGCGCTGTCTAACTGTAGATCATGCGTACGCTTTACCAGCATTTTGCTCTCCAACTGTGGAATTTATCAAGCGCGTGTCTCACATAGCAGAGACTGGCTTCCATTACCATATGGTATGGTACACTGCACCGTATTGAGGAGCTACGTTAGTGAACATCCAGTCCGAGTGTCGGACCAGCTCAGCCTTTTTGACCAGCATGAGCTTCGTGCTGCTGGAGGAGGATGACTCGACGTTGCAAGAGGCTCTGGCCATGATCGAGGATTCCTACGACGAAGAAACGCCAATTATGGGCGAAATACCCGACGTACTTGACCCAATTACGAAGGACCCAAACCGAGTCAAGGAGCGAAACCGCGAGCGCGACTTTCGCCGGCGTCAGAGGCAGCAGGAGGAGCGACTGCAGTTGGAGATGCAGGCGCAGAGGCTCGAGATGTATTTGTCCCAATTGAGGAAGAGTGGAGGAAAAGGTGCAAGTCTAAGCCTCGCGTCATTGAGAGATTCGTCCGAGATGCAGCAGGAGCGAGTGGAGGCGGAGCTGCTGAACAGGTCGCTGCGCAAGGCGGTGGCGGCTGAGGTCAAGTGGTCCAAGAGCCTGCAGTCGGTGCTGAGCAAGCGCCAGACGATGGAGGTACAGGAGCTCATGCAGTATAAAGTCTTTCCAGCGAGGAGACCGGTTCTGACGTTGTGTCTGTTTGATACTGTCTGTATGTGTGTAGACTGTATCGTTGACCAGCTCCATGCTGAGCTCTTCGCAAAGCATGGCGTCTAGTGTTATTTATCGCAGTCGTGCAACTCTGCGGGATGATCCTGCGGCGGTGAAGGGAGAGATCATGGCCACGATGGATAGAATTTACTATGAAGCCAAGGCGACTGTCAACCCCGTGACTGGAGCGGCAGCGTCGATACCTGAGCTGTCGTGTCACTATAACGTGCGGATCGATCCTAAACTGGGGCCTACGACGAAGCTGACGTCCGAGACGCCGCTGGAATGCACCTTGGACTCGGCGAGAGAGCTGCTGTCGTCAATGTTCTCCATGCCGGACTCGGTAGAACCAAGTCTGAAAGTGCGCAGGACACGGGTACGGTAAAATTTCCTTCATTGGCTTTGCGCGGGAGTTTGGCCTAAGCTAACTATTTTTTACTTCGTATTTGCAGGTAAAGAGAACATATACCGAAGGCGAGGTTGAAAAACAGTTTACTATCGACCTGGGTGGATCGAGGGTGAATGAGTGCTTAGATGGAGTCGGGCTGCTACGCAGACACAACGAAGAAGACTGCGAACTGATCATTTGGGCGGCAATTTCGTTTCATCACAGCGGGAAAATCTCGTTCAGAGAGTGCTCGTGGATGGTTGCGGCTCGATCGGCGCCTTCGTCCAATGAGTCTGTTGTCCGGGTCAACTACCGACTCAATGCAGAGAAAGCGGCAGAATGCACTTATATCGAGGGCGAGCACATTGATCAAGTTCGGAACCACGCTTTGGGGGCCATTGGCGCGAAAATGAAGGCGAAGAACCACTTGCTTCAAAAGAAAATGCTTGTGGAGACTGGTCGGGGGGATCTGGCAAGCTTTCTGCAGTAGAAACGACCGCACCGTGCCCGTCGAGTTGCATCAGTTAAACATTTATTACTATTCGTCCGTAATATCGATAGAAAATATTTTAACCTCCGGTCTATCTAAGCTTAATAATGAAAAAAGAGCTACGAATGAAATACTAGTAGTAAACGAAAGACGGGTTTCACTTCTCCCTTGATGCTTTACGCAATTGTGCTGGAATCGAACTGTTCAGCGTTGCCCTTCAGCACGCTCTAGCATTTTTAGTTGAACGCGTTCCAGTCTTGATTTCGCAAAAAGCTGGTGCTTTCGAGCAACAGGTAAATCGACGTTGGATCCGTTGCACGGTACACCGAAATGCACACCTGAAACTCGGCTACACATGCGGACTGCAGCTTCTCCTTCAGGATTACACGGATTTCGTGTGACCGAGACCCATCCTTGAGACCTGAAGTACGGGTTTCCCTCTTGCACCATCATCGACGTCCAGATCAACACGGCGCGGTTCTCTTCTTCGTATTTGCGCATCAGCGTCACACCCTCAAGAATCTCTGGCGCATCGGGGACGTTGAAGTCGAGCGAGTATCCCATTTCCGCTGAACTCGGCGTCAATTCCTTCGTCTACAGTACAGAGTTCGCACAACAAGGATCAGTCTACACCTACCAATCTCCTTTGTAAGGGTCTTTTAGCGTACCTTCATCGTGTAACAAGATGAATCAGGACCAAACACCTCCTTCCCGACCATCAATTTCCATACCAACTCCACTGCAGTCGTTATGTCACACGTCAGCGGTGTCGAGCTGAGTAACTCAATACACGAACCCGCCAGAGAATCCTGGTACTTCAGAGACGCTGCAGTCGCCAGTGATCCGATGGAGCTCGTGTCTTCTTTAAACAGCGACACCGAGGCAAACACGAAGTCTGATACAGCGTGAAGCTGGCTGATCACCCCCTTCAAATGGGCACTGATAGCACCCAAGCCTGAGAACGTAGTCAAAGGAGTGGGGGAAAGACTCGGAGGACTGCTACCTAACACCATCTGAGCACGCTGTAGTATACACAACACAATAAGACAAAAATCATGACAGTATTTCAACTAACGCGACAACTCACCTCAACAAGCTCTGAGTTCTGAGTGAGTAAGTTCTTGAATGTCTGAGCTGTGCTCAAGTACTGAGCTAGCAGCCCACGTAGCTGTCGATTGAGCTCTTCTGCCTCGTGTCGCTTCTCCTCTTCGGTAGTAGCTGCTTCGACCCATCCCCACTTGGACTCAGTTTGATGAACTGGTCGTCGAAGCCGCAGGAGTTCGAGCTGCGTCTCGTACTGCTGGGCATGCGTTTTGAGCGCTTCTCTCTCCGCCTTCTTCCTCTCTCGTCGTCGACGCTCATACTCTGGGGAATAGTCTTTCCCTCGCCGCCTCTTGCCACGGTCTCCACTACCAGTCGAACAGCCTTGGTTGCAGCCTGGTGATGCAGGCCCAGCGCTGTCGGAGCCGCTCAATGCGTGTTGGTCTTCACATGAATCAAGGAACTCCATGATATCGTGGAGAAGACCTTGAGCCTCTTCGGGCTCTGGGAACTGCAGCTCGGAGCTCATGCTTCGTCTTCGAAGGAGGTCAACAAATAGGAGACTTCGCAACGCCATTCTTTGCACGAACGACCGACATTCCTATTCCTAAGCTGTACTACAGTACGGTAGTATAATACATTTTTTGTAGTCTACTACAATTTGTAGTAGACGCTGTGCTGTTGACATGAAGACCGCAATTTGAATACTATGGTTTTACAGCAAAAACGGTGCCTAAAGCTATGGCAACTCACGTTATCCCAGCTTCCCCTCACCATGCCTTCAGGGGTGACGCGAGCACCATCAAACACACGTTCTACATCCTCCAGATTGCCTAGTAGCGTCAGAAGGGCCGACAGCATGTCCACCCTCCAGTGGAGCTGCGTCACTCGGCCTTTGGCATTATCCCGCAAGAAGCGCACGGATCCTTGCAAAGTAATCCGTTTGCCGAGCAACTTGCCAGCCAGAGGCGCCAACTCCCCGACCAGGTGAGGAAACCCGTACCGTAGAGTGTTATCGGTAATCTTGAGAACGCACCGAGTCGTGGCGACCAACGATTCCCC